TCCCATACAAACATTATCAAAATCGGTTCGGTGGTTGGTTTTTAAATCAAAATTACAGGTTTTTCCACAACTGAAGTGGTTTCTAATCGTAATAATACGATTAGAAATTTGAAATATTATATACATATACCTAGTCCAGCCATAAGATTCAATAAAAAATATTCGTAAAGTATATATGACACACTAACAATATAAAGAGAAAAGATTTGATCGTTTGTTTGTAAAGGATAGACTCAAAAATTACTTAACCGTTTTTGAAAATTCTTTTATCTATAGAAAATTACATTGTTATAGGTTCAGCCATAAGTTCTGTTACAAATGAAAATGCATTTTATTTATAAAGTAATGTATTACACTATTGAGCACAAGCACTGTAAAAGCAAAACTAAAAAAAAGTACGAGTATACGCAGTATAACGACTCACGCACAGACAGACCGGCAATGCAATCATAAAAACAAGACGAAAAAACGATTGCATTAGTTCCGAATAACTTTACTCACACTGCCGCCAAATCCTTTTCGAGCTTATTGTGTGAAATTCAATGTCTTACTTGTTTATCTCACTCTAACATATGTGTTAATATGTTTTTCGTTTCTCTCACATTCTCAATTTATATTTTCAATACAAGTGTTGAAGTGACATAACTTTTTTTCTCCCCAGATGTGTACAGCGGAGGATTCAACATGGTCAGGCGACGGTGGAAGCAACGGTAAAGATAATTGTGGAGACATCGACAATGACAAACATAATGGCGGAAACGTCGACCATTATGATCACAAAGACTATAATAATGGCGATGGTGAACACTGCGATGCTGACAATGGCGAAAACTACAATCATTATAATAATCGCGTGAAACGCGACGATGAAGACCATCATAAAAAAGACGGCAGTGTCAAATGTAAAGGTGATGAAAGCCATAGTACTGAAATAGTAGATTTGAACCTCTTGAATTTTTAATCTTGAAAAACCTTTCATTTTAATATGCCTAACACCAATATTACAAAGGCGAGCGCTGAGTTTCAGCTATTATTGCTTATTAGGTTCTTGCCGCGGTCTCAGTGGCGTGAGTCATATCAAGCATCCCATAGTCTAAGTTACCGTATAACCCATCCGTGTACCAAACTTTATTTTAATCCGTAGAATAGTTTTTGCGTGAAAGAGTAACAAACGTCTATCCATAATTACATCCTCACGAACATTCGCATTTATAACCTCACTGATTTCGGTATGCCAAATAAATAATTCAATCTTAATTAGTTGTTTTTTATTGAAAATCCCTATTCTGATTTTTTCAATACATTATAATGGAGTGGTCGTTTAGTCTGCGCTATTGGTATAAGCTGGCCTCCGCCAGCTTATATGATAGTATAAAGTCGGGCCAGTTGGCTCATCGTGACGAATTCACCAGGAATTAAGCATAATGGTTTCCAGGGGGAGCCGCATGTAGTGCGACCCGTCCGTTTGGTCATTGTGTCATATGTATTGATGCTTGATATTTGATCTGTTTGTATGAAAGCATACATTGACCGGGATAAAAGTAGCCTAACGTCCTTCTGGGTGATTCTGGTAATCTCTTTGGTTTCTAGTCCCAAGAATAGTGAATGTACCCAGGAAGCGTTTTACAAAATGCTCCCTTCTATTGTATCGTTCGGAGACATCGACTTTTCTGGGGACTCGATGTTGGAGTTGCACTTGCTGAAAATCACATCTCTCCAATTGAAGTACCACAAATGTATCTTTCACGACGATTGGTTGAGCGGTATGCTGGTAAGTCGTGAGGAGTATTTATTTTTACAATCAAATATGGAGTCCTATTATGGCTAGACACGTGACGGTGTCTTCTAATGAACACTGCGTTGTCGTTTTCTTTTCATTTTTCATTAAACACCTAAGTACATTGTTTTTAACTGAACCCAACTAATTGTGTTTGTGTTCTTACACAAACAAAAACCGAATGTCACATAGAATATTTTACAGTGGCAACGTATTTACTTATTAATTGTTTCGTCGTGGACACAATGGAATTTATTTAGAATAAACTCTGATAATCGATGACAAATACTTTTATTTTAATATACCTAGTGCAGCCATAAGTTTTATTACAAATGAAAATGCATTTTTTTATGAAGTAATGATATATTACTAAAATGTATACCTACATATTTATTAAAGTGACTTATTTCGTAGTTACCCAACTGGACGAATTCAGCATGTAAAGCTTGGCTCTCTTACGAGTTCCGACCAAACAGTATAAATGGGTGTTTCACAAGGTAGTGTTTTAGGACCGAATTTGTTTCTTGCCTACATCAACTATCTATGTGACTTAACACTCGATAATGACACTGCTGTTTCATTTGCCAATGAAACTGCACTTATCTTTACCGATAAGGCCTTTTCAAAAGTATTGGTCCAAAATTTTTGATTGTATTAGGAACTACAAACTATTTGCTCATACATGTTTATCACCCCGGAATGATGTACAGACTTGTAACTGTCAAAATTTAAAAATAACTAAGACAATTAAATACTTAAGACAATTATATGGGTGTGAAACATGGACAATGACGCAGAAGGAAAGAAAGATGCTTGAGGCATTCGAAATGTGAACATGGAGGAGAATCGAAAGGATAAGCTGGACAGAAAAACTAACAAACGAGGAAGTCCTAAAAAAAAGTAAATGAGAAGAGAACATTGATTAAAATAATAAAGAATAGAAGAGGCAAAATGCTGGGCCACCTTATACGACGATTTTATTAAGAGCATAATAGAAGGAAAAATAGAGGGCAAAAGAGGAAGAGGAAGACCGAGGATTAACTACATGGGACAGATAAAGGAAACACTAGGCGTCATGTCGTATAGGGAGATAAAGGATATGGCCTGGGATAGAGCTGGCTGGAGGAAGTTGCATGAATTAGTTGCACCGACAAGAGGAAACTCTTAAATGAAAAAAAAAAATTAAATACTTAGGTGCAGCGGCGGCCTTACCCATTGCGAGGCTCCGGGCAATGGGTCTTTGTGAAGTCCTTTGTGAAGCGCCACCGCCTAAGGCCGCCACTGCTTAGGTGTAACACTAGATACCAATTTAAATTTTAAAGCGCGTCGATATATTAACTATGCGTATTAGAAAGTTAATATACATTTCTAAGCAACTATGTTATATTACTAATACTAAAATTATGAAAATAACATACATGGCTCTATGCCAGTCAATTTTAACTTACTGTATAACTTGATGGGGTGGGACTACTAAAACCAACTTCATTAGTCTTGAAAGAGCTCAAAGAACCATACTGAAAGTATTAACCTTCAAGCCATTTCGCTATCCTACTCACGATCTTTATAAGTCAAGCCAAGTTCTTACAGTGCGCCAGTTATTTTTCCTATCTACATTATTAAAACAACATTCACTTTCGACTTACCATCCTGACCTAATTACCCGAAGCCGCCGTTTAACACTAGTACAAGATAAACATAATGCGACGTTTGCTCAGAGATATTACGATTTTCTTGGGCCCTACTTTTATAAAACAATTAACTCAACAATATCAATCTTCGCCCCCAATAAATATATGTGTAAAAAAACTGTTACAGAGTGGCTCCAGCAGCTTCACTATGATGAAATTGAAAAATTAATACATCCTACCTCCTAAACTCTTTATTCTTTAATTGTTATTCTTATTTTTTGTTCTGTCTCAGTGTACTTGATGGATTTGCCTTTGCTTGCTAATGTATATGCAGTTGTGACTGATTGATATTTAGACATTTGAATATCATATAACTATGTGTGTATACGTGTTTTCATGTGTACGTACTGTATTTGTATCTGTTACGCCTAACAACTTTTGAGTTCTCCATTGTATGTATTGCCATAAATTGTTTCATGCCAGGCAGGGGTCCTGGTGCCTTGTGATACGGGTTTTTTGAATACCCAGTTCAGGCACCAGTTCACTACAACTTTGATGTATCTATGGTATTATTTTAAATGTTTCATTGTACTCAAAAAAGTTGTGAGATAAATAAATACACATTATTAAAAAAAATCTCAGGAAAAAATAAAAGAATATTCTATTCGAAATGGCCACCTTTGGCTTTTATACAGGCCTTTAATCTGTCTGGCCACGAATCAATGGATTTATGCACTGTTTCCAAGGGAAATTTTTCCACTGCTTGCTCCAAAGACTTCCATCCGTTATAAACAAACGATCAAATCTTTCCTCTTTATATTATTAGTATGTCATATATGTGTACCTCACGAATATTTTTAATGGATCCTGTATGATTCACGACGACAAGTCAGTATAATATATTTATTTGTGTACACTCGTAAAAACTTGCTATTTGTAGAATGTTACTCATATAATAAAATTATAAATGTATATACATTTTTATCTGCTCGCCTGTCTGTCTTTATAATTGTTCTGGCATCACGCAAGAACTACTGCCCCAAATTTGATACGACTTTCATTTTTTTTATACCACAAGGGTAGCAATAAAACATACAGCCCGTCTGATGGTAAGCTGATGGTAATGGTCACTGTAGCCTATGAACGCCTGCAGGGGTGTCACGTGTGCATTGCCGACCCTGTAGAAACCTTAATAGACCCTTTTTGAAGAATCTCATACTATAGTTTCCAAGGAAAATGTCTACAGGGAGCTCATTCCAGCCTGAGCGTCCGCACGAGAAAATTGCTCTGAAACCGCACTGTACGTGACCATTTACACTCAAGCGCTTTGGGTTACCATACCATTTTCACCCATTAAAAAAAAAAAACACTCCTCACTGGCGTCCCGCCAGCGCATAGCGGTAGCACAAGCAGGGTTACCATTCTAGTTTTACTGATAATGGAAAATATAGTATAATTGCAGAATTTGTTTTTATGTAACATTAGAAAAAATATAATTAAAAATATTTCATTTGCCTTAACATTAAAAGTATAATAAAAAATAATAATAAATACAAACGTAAAAAGGCAATTAATATCTAAACAAAAAGTATATAAAGGTAGCCAGTATGAGGAAGTTGTTGGTGCTTGCTGAACTGTCGACCAGTCAACGTTTCTTCAATACCTGCTCATTCTTCAAAATGAAACGAATCACTTTGCTCGTTCTCTTCGTCTACATGACGGTAAGAAAATTTTATTTTTCATACATTTTTTTACGTTTGTTACCTCATGACTCTGTCAGTTATAAATTTGAAAAATTGGAAAATTCTTATGTACTTATAGATTTGTCCCATACAAACATTATCAAAATCGGTTCGGTGGTTGGTTTTTAAATCAAAATTACAGGTTTTTCCATAACTGAAGTGGTTTCTAATCGTAATAATATGATTAGAAATTTGAAATATTATATACATATACCTAGTCCAGCCATAAGATTCATTAAAAAATATTCGTAAAGTATATATGACACACTAACAATATAAAGAGAAAAGATTTGATCGTTTGTTTGTAAAGGATAGACTCAAAAATTACTTAACCGATTTTGAAAATTCTTTTATCTATAGAAAATTACATTGTTATAGGTTCAGCCATAAGTTCTGTTACAAATGAAAATGCATTTTATTTATAAAGTAATGTAATATTACTAAAATTTATATCTACATAATTATTAAAGTCTCAGCAAAAAATAAAAAAATATTATGTTCGAAATGGCCACCTTTGGCTTTTATACATGTCTTTAATCTACATTTTTTAATTTGGCTACGAATCTATAGATTTACGCACTGTTTCTAAAGGAAATGTCACCACTGCTTGCTCCAAAGATTTTTTAAGAGACTCAACGGCGCCGTGTCGTTTAGGCCATTTCGTCTAAAACTGACGATAATTTGAAGTATAAAGGGTTGAGGTCTGGGCTAGATGAGGGTCCGTCTTCTGCTCTTATAAAGTCCGGAACGTTGGTTTCAAGCCAGGCTTGGGTAGTTCGTGCCTTGTGACCAGGTGCAGAGGCCTGCTGGAAAGTCCACGGTATATTTTTAAAAAGTGTATTGCTGAGAGTTATCACAACACGATCCAAGACTGTATCTTGATAAAGCGTATCAAGTTGAAAAAAACCATTATTGACGCAGGATGACGACCACGTTGTATCTTTCCGACCATTTGAGCAGCTTCTTTAGAACTGTGAGCGTACACTTTATCATTTTGCTTATTGAAGTGTTCTTCAATCGTGAAAATGTTTTCATTGGTAAGGAGAATATTTCTGTGCCTTTCACCTGCGTATCGCGACAGAAGGCGTTTTGAACGATCCACTCTCTTTAATTGTAAAGATTGATTTAGGGCATGTCCTGTATATCGACCATAAGCACTAAGTTTCAAGGTCTTGTTTTACAATACGCGACAGAGTCCTAGCGGGAATCTTCATTTCTCGCGATTAGATTTTGCTTCCTAATAGGGTTTCGACGAATTCTGACTTTAACAGAATTAACAGCCTTTGTAGTTCTAACAGCACGCGGCCGCCCCGATCTTTTCTGGTCTCCGACAGAGGAAGTGTTGTTGTATCTGTTGATAGTACGATATACGAACGTATGCGATCGATCACTGCATTCCAATATTCTTTAACACCCCATATTGTAATTTGGTAATAAGCACAAAGAAATATATGTGAAATGGCGCGAAATCGAAAGAAGTTTTTAAAATAATACAGTATTAGTAATGAAGTTAAAAACAGGCGTTAGTGATGCCATAAAAACGCTTCGCCAAAAACACTTTTTCCATGTTTGCGCGAATAGTGTTACCATAATGTACATTAACTACTCAGTATATGGGAGAAATTATATCAAAAGGTTAAGTTGACAAACATAATGATGCAAAATTCTTAAGAATATATTTGAATGAACAAGAGAAACATTGCACAATAATTTGAATTGATGATTGTGTCTGCTGATTACTTTGACAACATGAAATATTAAATTTAATTAGATGAAACATGGAGTTATGACATTTTTCTGTTTTTAAATTATCTTAATGGCCACCATTTTAATTAATAATTGTATATTGATTTGTGGTCTATTAATACATATATTTCATTTTTTGTCAAGACAAAATATTCTATCTCTCAAATTAAAGCAGAAAAAATATACATTTACAAAAATTGGATTAAGTCGATTCAGCTCTTCAGTAGCAATAGTAATAGTGCTTAGTTTGCGACTAGATGGCCCTGCGTATTATTATAAATAAACCTCCACACTATTGAGCACAAGCACTGTAAAAGCAAAACTAAAAAAAAAAGTATACGCAGTATAACGACTCACGCACAGACAGACCGGCAATGCAATCATAAAAACAAGACGAAAAAACGATTGCATTAGTTCCGGATAAATTTACTCACACTGCCGCCAAATCCTTTTCGAGCTTATTGTGTGAAATTCAATGTCTTACTTGTTTATCTCACTCTAACATAGGTGTTAATATGTTTTTCGCTTCTCTCACATTCTCAATTTATATTTTCAATACAAGTGTTGACGTGACATAACTTTTTTTCTCCCCAGATGTGTACAGCGGAGGATTCAACATGGTCAGGCGACGGTGGAAGCAACGGTAAAGATAATTGTGGAGACATCGACAATGACAAACATAATGGCGGAAACGTCGACCATTATGATCACAAAGATTATAATAATGGCGATGGTGAACACTGCGATGCTGACAATGGTGGAAACTACGATCATTCTGATCACAAAGACTATAATAATGGCGATGGTGAACACTGCGATGCTGACAATGGCGGAAACTACGATCATTCTGATCACAAAGACTATAATAATGGCGATGGTGAACACTGCGATGCTGACAATGGCGGAAACTACGATCATTATGATCACAAAGACTATAATAATGGCGATGGTGAACACTGCGATGCTGACAATGGCGGAAACTACGATCATTCTGATCACAAAGACTATAATAATGGCGATGGTGAACACTGCGATGCTGACAATGGCGGAAACTACGATCATTCTGATCACAAAGACTATAATAATGGCGATGGTGAACACTGCGATGCTGACAATGGCGGAAACTACGATCATGATAATAATCACATGAAACGCGACGATAAAGACCATCATAAAAAAGACGGCAGTGTCAAACGTAAAGGTGATCAAAGCCATCATCTTAAATTGTTTGATTTCGACTCAAAGAAAACTTTTCCACTTTAATATGCCTAACACCAATATTACAAAGGCGAGCGCTGAGTTTCAGCTATTATTGCTTATTAGGTTCTTGCCGCGGTCTCAGTGGCGTGAATCATATCAAGTATCCCATAGTCTAAGTTACCGTATAACCCATCCGTGTACCAAACTTTATTTTAATCCGTAGAATAGTTTTTGCGTGAAAGAGTAACAAACGTCTATCCATAATTACATCCTCACGAACATTCGCGTTTATAACCTCACTGATTTCGGTATGCCAAATAAATAATTCAATCTTAATTAGTTGTTTTTTATTGAAAATCCCTATTCTGATTTTTTCAATACATTATAATGGAGTGGTCGTTTAGTCTGCGCTATTGGTATAAGCTGGCCTCCGCCAGCTTATACGATAGTATAAAGTCGGGCCAGTTGGCTCATCGTGACGAATTCACCAGGAATTAAGCATAATGGTTTCCAGGGGGAGCCGCATGTAGTGCGACCCGTCCGTTTGGTCATTGTGTCATATGTATTGATGCTTGATATTTGATCTGTTTGTATGAAAGCATACATTGACCGGGATAAAAGTAGCCTAACGTCCTTCTGGGTGATTCTGGTAATCTCTTTGGTTTCTAGTCCCAAGAATAGTGAATGTACCCAGGAAGCGTTTTACAAAATGCTCCCTTCTATTGTATCGTTCGGAGACATCGACTTTTCTGGGGACTCGATGTTGGAGTTGCACTTGCTGAAAATCACATCTCTCCAATTGAAGTACCACAAATGTATCTTTCACGACGATTGGTTGAGCGGTATGCTGGTAAGTCGTGAGGAGTGTTTATTTTTACATTCAAATATGGAGTCCTATTATGGCTAGACACGTGACGGTGTCTTCTAATGAACACTGCGTTGTCGTTTTCTTTTCATTTTTCATTAAACACCTAAGTACATTGTTTTTAACTGAACCCAACTTTTCACCAAATCTTGGCGAAATAATTTTACATTTTCTTATAAATATAAACACAATAAACATTATTTTGTTTCAAAAGTGGTAAAAAGTACGGTATATGATATTTAAATACCGTTCACACTCTTCACCGGAATGTGGCATACAATTAATTGTGTTTGTGTTCTTACACAAACAAAAACCGAATGTCACATAGAATATTTTACAGTGGCAACGTATTTACTTATTAATTGTTTCGTCGTGGACACAATGGAATTTATTTAGAATAAACTCTGATAATCGATGACAAATACTTTTATTTTATGAAATGAAATGAAATATTTATTTGCTTTAAACAGACATTTGTATTATAAGGGCCATGTGACACAACTTTTTGGCATCTGTCTAATTGCCTTAAAATTGTAGGCATGCAAATCTAATTTATTCGTTAAATAAGGATACAAATTTAATTTATACTAGTACATTATTATGATCATAGAATAATAAAAAAAAAGAAAACAATGCTCAAACAATTATCAAGTCAAATTACATATTCAATATCGTCAAATAAAATTAACAATTACATTATTATTATTAATTAAATACAAATTACATTCCATATGTTATGTCAATAGCAAATTTATGTCAAGTCTTAAGGATTTATATTATTAATAATTATGTTAACTATTTTTGGGATGTGTAGGCATAATATTCTCCCATACTGTAAAAGACCTTATCCAGAAGCCATAGATGAAGCCGCTTCTTAAATATTTTCAAGGGAAGGTCTAAAAGATCTGAAGGAAGTTTATTATATATTTTTTGGGCCATAAATGAAACATTCTTTTGGTACAAGGTCAAATTACTTTTTGGTATCACAAGTTTATTTTTTCTGTGTGATCTAATGCCTTCTTTGAGTTGTCCACATGTATTAAATAATTCAGGGTGTTGCTTAATAAAAGTACATATAGCAAATATATACATGCAAGTCAGGGGAAGGATTCCTAATTTTTTAAATAATGGCCTACAAGATTCCTGGCACCCCACATTGCTAATAGCCCTTATACATTTTTTTTGCGCCTTATACATTTTAATATACCTAGTGCAGCCATAAGTTCTATTACAAATGAAAATGCATTTTTTTTATGAAGTAATGATATATTACTAAAATGTATACCTACATATTTATTAAAGTGACTTATTTCGTAGTTACCCAACTGGACGAATTCAGCATGTAAAGCTTGGCTCTCTTACGAGTTCCGACCAAACAGTATAAATGGGTGTTCCACAAGGTAGTGTTTTAGGACCGAATTTGTTTCTTGCCTACATCAACTATCTATGTGACTTAACACTCGATAATGACACTGTTGTTTCATTTGCCAATGACACTGCACTTATCTTTACCGGTAAGGCCTTTTCAAAAGTATTGGTCCAAAATTTTTGAAAAGGCCCAAATGGGATTTGATAGGGTCAGAGAGTGGTTGGCCGATAATACTCTAGATGAGACAAAGTTTATGATTTATAGTATTAGGAACTACAGACTACCTGATCCTAAAGTGCATCAACTATTTGCTCATACATGTTTATCACCCCGGAATGATGTACAGACTTGTAACTGTCAAAATTTAAATTTAACTAAGACAATTAAATACTTAGGTGCAGCGGCGGCCTTACCCATTGCGAGGCTCCGGGCCTTTATAGGTCTTTGTGAAGTCCTTTGTCCTTCGAGAAAAGTATGTGATACGAAACTAGGTCTGGTTGTTTTATTTAGGTATTTGTTATGTTCACGAGAAATATTAATATTATACAAATAAATAAAATTTGAGTATATCTTATTTTACACTTTTTTTTTACAATTGATTATTTTATTTGTATAATTTAGTATTGGTAATTTAGTTCATTTGCAATTAAAATGCCAAAAATCGGGAAGATTTTGCAGCTTGCCGCTAGACAAAATGCCACTCATTGGTTGTTTAAAATTTGCTTGGGTTGTTACGCGAGGTCCCTACAAGAGCGAGGCCCCGGGCGATTGCCCTGTTCGCCACCCCCTAAGGCCGTCACTGCTTAGGTGTAACACTAGATACCAATTTGAATTTTAAAGCGCGTCGATATATTAACTATGCGTATTAGAAAGTTAATATACATTTCTAAGCAACTATGTTATATTACTAATACTAAAATTATGAAAATAACATACATGGCTCTATGCCAGTCAATTTTAACTTACTATATAACTTCGTGGGGTGGGACTACTAAAACCAACTTCATTAGTCTTGAAAGAGCTCAAAGAACCATACTGAAAGTATTAACCTTCAAGCCATTTCGCTATCCTACTCACGATCTTTATAAGTCACGCCAAGTTCTTACAGTGCGCCAGTTATTTTTCCTATCTACATTATTGAAACAACATTCACTTTCGACTTACCATCCTGACCTAATTACCCGAAGCCGCCGTTTAACACTAGTGCAAGGTAAACATTATGCGACGTTTGCTCAGAGATACTACGATTTTCTTGGGCCCTATTTTTATAAAACAAGGGTCACTTTCCTGACGAGCAACACATCCAGACCGGCTTATTTTTAAATTTAAGTGCATGACAATGCGGACATGCCTTGTCCAAAATACCAATGAGCACTTAATAGCAACTTAAAAATAATAATAAATTCACTGTGAGAATAAAATTAACATGAGAATTACATTGAAAAGTTAAAATGATATAATGACGTATAACAGTCAACGCTACGATCGAGACAAATAAAACACAAAAAAAAAATGGACAAAAACTGTAAATAGAGTGATAGAAAGGAGGCCGGCTTCGTCCTCATCCCTACTCCGTGATGTAACTGATCGATTGGTAATTGATCAGTTATCGACCGGTGAGAATTTATGATTAATTTAAATTAAGAAAAAAGATATAATTAAAGCAAATTGTAATTATAAACTATACATGAAAATTATATTCGATTGCCATCTTGCAACCCTATAACGGAATATAAAAATTGCGATTAAAAACAAGGGGTTGATCGTAAAAGGGTGAAAATTTGAAGTTGTATGTATTTTTCAATGCTAAATCATATTAAAATAAAAATACAAAATTTTGTCAAAAATATAAAAAAGAAATTTTTAGGGGTGGGTCACCCTTATCATTGTAAGGTATAAAAAATAGATGTTGGCCGATTCTCAGACTTACCCAATATGCACACAAAATTTCATGAAAATCGGTAAAGCCGTTTCGGAGGAGTTTGGTAACAAACACCGCGACACGAGAATTTTATATATTAGAAGACTAGCTGACCCCGTAAACGTTGTTTTACCACTTATTGCGAAATATAAAAATCGCGATTAAAATACAGGGGTTGATCGTAAAAGGGTGAAAATTTAAAGTTGTATGTATTTTTCAATGCTAAATCATAATAAAATAAAAAAAAAAAAAAAATTGTCAAAAAAATAAAAAAAATATATTTAAGGGTAGGTTACCCTTATCATTGAGAGGTATGAAAAATAGATGTTGGCCGATTCTCAGACCTAGCCAATATGCACAGAAAATTTCATGAAAATCGGTAAAGCCGTTTCGGAGGAGTTTGGTAACAAACACCGTGACACGAGAATTTTATATATTAGATAGGTATATATGTTAAATACAACATACAACAATTCCTTTCCCCTCGGGAAGAAAGCGTTTTGAGGGCATTGTCACAATCACAAAGGTGTATTAGTGTCAACTCCAGCCGGTGTATTATTATATGCTTGAACCACAGGTGTATGTCTCTTGTTTAATAAAATAATAGATATTTACTATTGTACTAGCTATTGCCCGCGGATTTTTTCTTTTTTACAACACAGGGGGCAAACGAGCATGCGGCTCACCTGATGGTAAGTGACTATCGCCGCCCATGATCACCCACAACACCAGCGGCATTGCAGGTGTGCTGCCGGCCTTTTAAAAAGGAATATACTCTTTTCTTGAAGGTTATGTTGTCGTATCGGTTCGGAAATACTGCTGCTGGAAGTTGATTCCAAAGAATGGTTATGCGTGGAAGAAAGTGCCTTGAAAAACGCACGGTGGAAGACCGCCACTCGTCCAGATGATTGGGATGAAACTTTAGTTTGTGGCGGGCGGATTCGGTCGCGAGTAAACCACAGGCGACGCGACGTTTACCACTTTCCGTCTAGTAGGCCGTCAGCTTGTTTGCCATTCTAAGCTATTCATTTTAATGGGGAGGGGGGAAGGGATTGTCAGTAATGGAGACTAAGGACCCTATTGCTAGCAATATACCCAACCAGATTGACCTCCCCGTGCTCCCCTTTTGGAAACCGTTCTGCTGAATTCCAGGTGCATTCATCACGGTGGGCTAACTGACCAGTCTTTTTCATCCTCACCTATCATCCTTCACTGGTGCCTCGCCAGCGTATACCGATAGCGCAGGCGGGGTTACCATTCAATTATTATCCATTAAAAAAAAAACTGTACAATAAAAAAATCAAATGGTCGTATGAAAGTCTGTGATTTTTAAAGTAAGAAGCATTAAATTTCTTTATTATTCCAGAATAATCAACAGAAACATCCAGATGTTTTATTTATCTTTGCCCAATACCGTGTCAGTCGTTTACTGTCCACTGCTGGACATAGGCCTCTTCATAAGGAGGGTTTTGCCAATAGTTGCCACGCTTCACAGGCGGGTTGGCAACCGCAGTTAGGATTTTGGTACTGTTTAAAGTGCGACGCTGCTGCCCATCCCTCGTCCTCCCTTAGTCGCCTCTTACGACACCCACGGAAATGGAAGGGGCAGGCCGAATGCCGGGGCATACACGGCGAAGTTATTAAGTTCTGGTAAAATATATTTAGGTTGTGTATTGACCCAAAAAAAAAAAAAAGAAGAATGGACAGATCTTCAGAAATACTGAATTATTATTATTATTTTTCAATTTTTACACAAATTCTCATCTCTTAAGAAGAGGAGATGGCAACTAATCCCCGGCAGAAGCACAGTCGGTAGGGGTTCGAGCCCCAGGGAGAGAAACCGGCGTACAATGCGGGCAGAATCTAAGAGCACCGCTCTCTGCATCTTTCCCGGGAATGAGCCGCCTCGGAATCCCAACCGTCTGAGATGTTGTTCCAGACTGGTTGGTTATTGTTATTATTATTTATTTCTAACCAGAAACTTGTATATGAAATTGCATGCTTCTAACTTTGAAAATCATGAATTTCCATACAACCGTTCACCCTTTATTTTACACCTTTAAGGGTGGAAGTTCCTAAAGTCCTTCTTTAACTGATAATTGCATAATAGAAGGCATTAAATGCCAAAATTTCATGTTACTATAAATACAATACGTCATAAATGTAACAATCTTGAAATCCTCACACGCTTGATCCTAAATGATCACGTACAGTGCGGTTTCAAAGGATTTTTTTTCCGCGAACACTCCGGCTGTGGTGTCTCTAGCTCTCTGTCGATCCTTTCCTTAGAGACTACAGTATGGGGTTCTTCAAAAAGGGCATATCAAAGTTTCTTCAGGGTTGGCAACGTGCACGTGACACCACTAGTATCGCAGGCGTCTATAGGCTACAGTGACCGTTTACCATCAGACGGGCTGTGTACTTGTTTACCAACATTGTGATATAAAAAAAATTCTCTGCTGAATCAATTCAAGTCATCGTCAATAAGCTATATTCAATCTATTTCAGTATTAGACCACCATAAATGAGAATTGTCGATGATTCCAGGCTTGCAAGCGGTATCGAACACTTTAGTCTTAGGAGAGATTTTGCCTCACTCTGCGTGTTCTACCGCTTGTACAACGGATTGTGCTCAGAGGAATTGTTCAATATGATGCCCACAGCCACTTTCTACCATCGTACGGCTCGTCATCGACAGGGAGTTCACCCTCATACCCTACAGCCTAAATGGTCGCGTACAACGCGGTTTCAGAGATGTTTTCTCCCACGAACACTCAGGTTGTGGAATGAGCTCCGTGCCGAGGTTTACCCAAGAGACTACAGCATGGGGTTCTTCAAAAGGGGGGGGTAAAGAGGTTTCTCCAGGGTCGGCAACACGCGCGTAATACCTCTGGTATTGGAGGTGTTCATAGGATCCGGTAACCGCTTACCATCAGGTGGGCCGTATGCTTGTTTGCCACCTCAGTGGTATAAAAAAAATATATTATGTTGATAAATACTAGTTTAATTCGACAGGACACAGCTTTTTATCGTGTATACCATTAAAAAAAGATCCTTTAAGCTTTACGTTGATGAAACAGTCGGAACAAACGATTTTATATATGTATTTATGTATGTAGATTAAAAAATAAAAAGGCGGTTGAACGCAAGAAAATAAAATAATGTCATCCTAAGGTCGAAAAACATACCGAAGCGTTGCATATAAATGCGGCAGCCGTTTTGAATTCAGTTATAAAGGAAAAGCGATACGTACAATGAAACAATTGACTTTAATAGTGCTTACTCTTTGCTTGACGGTGAGTTTTTCTTTCATTTTTTTTTTTATTTCTAATGCCAGCAACGACCAAACGTGAAGACGTAAAGAGCTAAAACTTTTTTTTACTGAAAGTTAATGGAATAGACGCGTGATTTTGGCATAGATTGTGTCCAATGGCCCTTCTTTTCCTGTAAGTGTATTAAAAGATGACCAAGGAAACTGAATGGTCGACGAATGGGCGGCAGCGTCCCTCTTAAAACCTCTGTGAACTCTAACTGAGGTTGTCAACCCGCCTGCTAAACGTGGCAATTACTGATAAAGCCGAACAGCTGATATTATGAGGATGTTGATTCTTGTCTAGTCATTTATAATTAAGAAATCCTTATGACGTTTTGTCCGTCCGTCCGTTTGTCTGTCACAGCGTTATATTTTAGCAAGTATTAATGTTATTAATTTGAAATCTGAAAAGTTTTACATATCAGTAGACCGTATATATTAAAATAAAAATAATTGAATTGTTATTTCTCTTTTTACTTGGTGCAATAAAGTGTAAATAAATAAATAAATAAATTGAAAAAAATATTTATATTCTTTATAAAAATATTTTTTTTTTCTACGAAAACCAAAAGACTTTTAGAAAAAATTTTTTCTTTGTAGAAACAAAGAAAACTAAATTAAAAATTGATCTTCTCGTCCCCTACCATTTCCCCCTTATTTCCGAAATTTCTGAAGCGAAGTATATGAAAAAAATACAAATTATGAAGGTATATGTAAATATTAAACAAACATTAAAACGATTTAACTAACTAGAACCGTTTTTGAGAAATTATCGAGAAACCTCCAAAAAATAACCTTTTTTTTATTCATCTTAGAATGGCAAACAAGCTAACGGCCCACCTGATGGAAAGTGGTAACCGTCGCCTATACACATGAGCAGTACCATAAATTTGACAGAGTATACTGTTTCGCCCATGATACCCCCCATGCGTTACCATTCCTGAGGCCTCTGTACCCTGTAAATTTGACCCTGATTTAACAAGCAAGAATGAATGGAGATGTCGGTAGGGGTCGCCTTAGATAAGCGTATGTCGACAAAATAGGCGACGTATTTGGCGTTCCACTGTTTCTGCCTGCCCTGATGGGAGACAGGCGTGACAGATATGTATGTATGTATATATATGGTATATTTATGTACAGAACCCTCGACTTGAACTCACACGAGTTCAGATTGCACATAAACGGTTTTTTTTTTTATTCTAAATGGAATTTTAGCTGAGAAAAATGGGCAAAAAACTCAGCTGTTGTTTTGTTTTTTTTTTTTTTTTTAAATAAAAATAGAATTTCACTGATTATAAATAGATGTGAATACGGTGCACTGCTCTCGATTATGTCAAGTAAAAATGTATCGAGCAAAGCTCGCCTTGCTATAATTCAAGGAGTACTGACACCAACACTCATGTATGGAAGCGAATCGTGGGTATGGCAGAAGAAGCATGAAAGTAAGATAAATGCTGTACAGATGAGAGCTTTGAGAAGTATGTGTGGTATTACTTTAAAAGATAGAGTAAGAAACAGTGTGATTAGAGAGAAGTGTGGACTGAATGTCGATGTAGTGACCAAAATCGAAAAAGGAATGTTGCGTTGGTTTGGTCATTTGGAGAGGATGGATGAAAGAAGAATTACGAAAGAGATTTATCGAGCAAGAATGAATGGAGATGTCGGTAGGGGCCGCCCTAGACGGACGTATGTCGACCAAATAGGCGACGTGCTGAAGAAGGGCCAAATTAAAAGTACCCGTAACCGACGAGCGTGTATGACAAGATTGATGAATGTGGAAGAAGCGAAAGAGGTTTGTTTGAATCGAAGCATTTGGCGTTCCATTGTTTCTGCCTACCCTAATGAAAGACAGGCGTGACAGATATGTATGTATGTATGTATGTGAATACGAAATATCACAAACAATATTTAGAATAATTTTGGTTTATATTTTTCACAGAATTGAACAGATGATGTGATATTTTTCAGGTGGCGTTATGTAATCCGGCACCTGGTAAGGGCTGCGATGACGGAGGAGATGGCAAGGGAGATGGTAAAGGAGGTGGCAAGGGAGACGGCAAGGGAGACGGCAAGGGAGACTGCAAGGGGGACGGCAAGGAAGACGGCAAGGGAGATGGCAAGGGAGACGGCAAGGGAGACGGCAAGGGAGACGGCAAGGGAGATGGCAAGGGAAATGGGGACGAATGTGGCAAGGGAGATGGGAAAGGAGACGGCAAAGGTGATGGGAAAGGAGACGGCAAGGGATCCGGTACTTCAGTCGATGTCTTAAGCAGTAAATATTTGTATTTTTTTATTTTTGTTTATACAAAAGTCGATTGCTTGGGTACCTCTGACCCATTCGTGTTTCAACCATGAAGCAGTTGTGTTTGCATGGCTGTGTTTCAGTTTGAAGGGCGGGTTATGGCGTGAATTTACTGGGTACAGAGGAATAACACCTAAGTCCTCAGGAATGGCAACGCATGGGGAGTACCATGGGCGAAACAGTATACTCTGTTATGTCCATGGTACTGCTCATGTCTATAGGCGACGGTTACCACTTTCCATCAGGTGCGCCTTGCTTAGCTTGTTTACCATTCTAAGTTGTATAAAAAAAAATTAATTAGGTTTTACTTGCATAAAAGAAGCTTATGGTGGTATGCTGGGTAGCAGTGTCCTTCTTAAAATATCACCAAAAGCCAAACTGCTGTTGCTAACCCGCCTACCAAGCGTAGGAACTACTGGCAAACTAGAGAGGCTATGTCCAACAGTGGAAAGTTAATGGCTAATACAAAAAATTGAAATTTTGAATGTTGCGTTAGAAAAAACCATAATTTGAATAGATCACTTACATATATATCAATATAAAACATTCTTCAGACTCTTGTAATGTAAATTGGACTCTCTTTTCCGCGCTTAGCCTCTCATTTGGGCCGTTGTGCGTATGAGTCGTGGCTACTACAGCCAACCTAGCTCCGCCCAGTACAGAATATTCCTGGGATCTTCATAGAACTCACGGAGCGACCTCACTATTTCGAGGAACTCTAAACGTTGAGGAGCCACTCAAGTTTGTCTCTTAAAAAGCCAGAAGTGAAAACAGTATCCAGTTTGATGCGGTTTCAACTCGTCTTTCAAACCGAAGCAGCATTGTCCAGCTTTTTAGCGGTAAAAAAGGACACGGGATAGAGGTGTTCTGAAGACTATCAGGGCCGGCTTTAGCCAATCTACTACCCGTGGTTAAATTACTAATGAGAAGCCTTACTGATACGCATCTTATGTGGTGCTTAGATTTCAATGTCCCCGAGTAATGCCTGACGATGCCTTCCCTTCCTCAACCAGTTCGATATATATCGTCCACGATAACATTGGATGCTCCTCCAAAATAAAAATAAAACTTAAAATGTGTGAATAAAAATATTAACAAGGTTTCGACCAAAAATATAACACATTTCTGGCCGGACTACCACTGGAGATGTATCCTCCGAAACACAAACAGAGGTCCACGTCTGTATACGGAACAAACACACGCATTGTAGGAAACAGTTAGAGGGGCGTGCCGTGTTAACGTAGACTTTTTTTTTTTCTGATGGGTGAAAATGGTATGGTAACCCCGCCTGCGTTAACGGGATACGCTGGCGGAGCACCAGTGAAGGGTGATAGATGAGAATGAAAACAGGCCAGTTAGCCCATCATGATGAATTCATCAGGAATTAACCATGATAGTTTCCAGGGGGAACCGCGATGAGGTCGACCTGGTTGGACATATTGCTAGCATGTTAACGTAGACTATGTTTACTATATAATATCTCGTCTGGTAACTGTCAATAATTAATGTTCTTTGTTCACAGAATTGGTTAATATTGGTAAAGTCAAGGTATAAATGGCGGTAAAATATTTCAAGTACGCTTGATCTTTTTAATGTTTGGAATACATTGGAATCCGTTCCGTGGTGCCATTATCCTAAAAGTAATATTATAATTTGATATTAGAGCAAACTAAATAAATAAAAATATTTTTTATTCAAATAAACGTAATTATAAGTTTTTTTTTTTTTTAATAATATTTCTATGAAATTTTCTATGAATCTACACCATTCAGTTTGAAGCGCAGTGTCAACTGACAAGAACGAGCAAGAAACTCAGCTGTCGTTATTTCCAATTAAAAGTTGATTTTACATATTATTATAATTATATTGAATTATAAATACATCTTAAAAGCATTAAAATAGAAATAATCATATGAATGTTTTATTTTTTTTTCTTTAAATAAATAAAAATCCTACCTGCAGTTGGTTTCAATTGAACTCGACGCAAATATAAACAAATTTATAATTTAAGTGAACATAAAACCGTCTGCCAATGTTCAATAGCAGTACAATTAATAAGTCAAATAATTGATTAAATGGTTCGATTAATTACTAATTTCATTTAGAAAGTATTTCTGTCATAAATGAACCATAAATTGATTATTTTTAATTTATTTTTGGTTTGCGTAAATACGACCACGTCTCCATTTACTGCAAGCGATTTACCAGAAAGAGACTTTGTACAAAAGTCGTTTGCTTCGGTACCTCTGTCCCATTCGTGTTTCTACCGTGAAGCAGTTGTGTTTGCATGGCTATGTTTCGGTTTGAAGGGTGGAATATGGCGTGAATTTACTGGGTACAGAGGAATAACACCTGAGTTCTCAGGAATGGCAAGGCATAAGGGGTATCATGGGCGAAACAGTATATTCTGTTATGTCCATGGTACTGCTCATGTGTATAGGCGACGGTTACCACTTTCCATCAGGTGGGCCGTCAGCTTGTTTGCCATTCTAAGTTGTATTAAAAAAAACTGACTCCCAATAAGGTATCGACGTAATATACATATCCTATCCTTGTTGTTTTATTTGTTCCAGGTTTTACTGCCTGAAAAAGTCCGTTTTTCAATAATAAAAAAACTAATCCTTGCTATACATAATTTTGTTTGACCCCTCTGCCGTAGATTATTTCGAAGAGAGATTTTTCTTTAGAATCCCTGATTCCCATATGTTTTTTTTATACAACTGACCTGTTTTCATTCTCATCTATCACCCTTTACTGGTGCTCCGCCAGCGTATCCCGTTAGCGCAGGCGGGGTTACCATACCATTTTCACCCATCAAAAAAAAAACGCTTGAGTAGGTATGATATAAGAAAAGATACTACGATACGAAAGAATTAGTTTTAATGTTATTCAATTATACTTTGGACACATGGTATAACTAAAAAAAATTAAACAAACAATTATTTTATAATTTTTATTAACATATTTCAAATAATATAAAAACATATAATAATACAAAATTTCCATCTTTGCATTTCATCCTGCATACCTACGGAATAATGGCTACCTGTATGCAATCGTTTTTACGACGTCTCTAGATACTTTTATTAACGTAATTAATTATAATAATTATTTATTAGGTGTAAAAAATTTAAAATAAAAAACAACAATGTTTTAATAGGTACTTTTCTCTTTTCGTTATCCTTTTAAAAAAAAAAAAAGATTGAATTTGTCTTTTCAAACAGGCTACAGCCATAAGCGATTCTGCCTTGTTTTTTTAGGTACCTATTTAATTTGAATAGTATGTTTTTTTTTATATAAAATGATAAAAATCATAGATAATACATTATTATTAAACTATAAGTACCTAGTCTGTATATGTGTATGTATCTATATATGACTAATACAATTATTCATAAATAAAAGAAGTATTGTATACTTTTTTTGATGATAAACAATAAATAAAATAAATATTCCAACAAATACATTTAAATTATCAAAGAAATCTCATGTCTGTGAATAATAAGGGATTTTATTGCAAATTTATCCGGGTGGGGGCGCCACTATTTTATAATGTAAACAAATTTAATCCTCGCTTTAGTCTGTAGCGATAAGTGGGAAACTGAAATATTACAGACTATATATTCCCGCCATTTTTTATTTTACTTTATCCATAGACTGTCAATGTTAATTTAGTGTTTACATTGTAAAATGGTGGCGCTACCTTCGCTACCATTGCGCAAGCATCCCTATTATCTTTTTTCCTGTCAGATATTCCTTTAGCATGGCACTACTTCTTCCTGACATGGGTTTTGGGGACCTTCGTCGCATGGTTCAGGCTGCGGTGGTCCATCGCAAGGAACGGTTTGTACCTCTACATATTCCACGCTTGGCTCCTCGCATGGCTCATTGCTTACTGGTACACTTCTTGGTCCTTCGCATGGTTCCTCGCATGGTTCCTGGCGTGGCTCCTCGCACGGCTCCTCACATGGTTCCTGACGTGGCTTCTCGCGTGGTTTTTCGCATGGTTCCTCGCACGGGTCCTCGCATGGTTCCTCTGATCCTGGTGCAGATTTCGGCCCTTCGTTGATCACGGCCACGTTACTCGCCTTCTTTCCGAGTGCTTTTTGTTTTATATCTGTTACAAAATTGTTATAAATATTTTATATATACGTAAATTGGTTTAGAAATAGTAACTGCTGAATTTCTTGTAAGTTTTTATCAGCAGGTAATGTAGTATTCAATACAAAGGTTGCCTGCAAGAGATCGCTCTTAGCGATAAGGTCGCCCATTCTTTTCTCACTGTGATTATTTCTTGTAATTGTTTGTATCTATAATAAGTTTACTATTGTAATCTTATGGAGGGAACAATAAAGAGTATCTATCTATCTATTAGAATAAAAAAAAAGAATTCAAAAAGAACTGTCTATGAATAAATTTATAAGGGTAAACAGTACCAAAAAAAAAATGTCTATGAACAAATCTCTTAAGCAAGACGCATCCTTGAGCGTACCAAAGTGTGGCAACTTGCTAATAAGGTGTTAATTTTTAAAAACAAACAATTTTCAATGTTTTCGACTGATTATTTAAAAATCAACTATAATAAAACGTTCATCGTACAATATTAATATTAAATCCCACTACCTATCCTTATAATCACTCAGTCCTCCTCATTTCCTACCAGTATTATGTGTAAGATTACCGTAAGATTGTAAACACCGTTAAATTACAATCTATCTCGCGAGATTGCAAACTGTCGAAAGATTGTGAACCGTCGCATACTGCTTACAATTTGAGGCATTATTTATCGGTACATTATAATCTATCGAAGTGAAACCGTCAAATTGTCAAATGGCGTAAGACGGAACGCATCTCGTGCGCTGATTGGCTGAGCGTCATGTACCCTGCTTTTGATGTGCAACTACGTAGTTATGCGTATATATGTATGTATGTATATATTTATATATATATATGTTTATTTATGTATATGTATATGACTATGCTGTCACATATATTGATTATTTTATATTATTTTTACAGATCTATTCCTTTAAAGCGCCACCTAGCTATTTATATCTTTAATTCCTTATACCCAAAAGGTTGTCTGGAAGAGATTGCTTAGCAATAAGACCGCCTTTTGTACTACACACCATACTTATCGAAAATTGTTCAACAAATCCTGTAAAATTGGTGCAATAAAGTGTTAGACAAATAAAATAATAATTCTAATTACGTAGTAAAATTTGTATTTTTATGGTAAAAATGTAGTTTTGAAATTCCGACGTAAAATATGAGGTAGTAATAGTTTTTAATGATTTAAACGAGATTCATATGTAACGTATGTTATGCATTATTGTTTTTAAATCACAGCCAGTGTAATTTGTGTTCTAACATTTTCGGAAATACTCACTATAATTGCTTGGCATGGCATGGCAACTGATTATCTGCAACATCAAAATTAACGTTAACTTAAAATTAAATACACTATCTTACACGTATACTCGTATAGGTATTTTAGTAAGTTCTCACCAGAGGGAGACTTTGTACGGAGTTTTTTTTTTGATGGCTGAAAATGGTATGGTAGCCCCGCCTGCGCTAACGGGATACGCTGGCGGAGCACCAGTGAAGGGTGATAGATGAGAATGAAAACAGGCCAGTTAGCCCATCATGATGAATTCATCAGGAATTAACCATGATAGTTTCCAGGGGACACCGCGAGGAGCTCGACCTGGTTGGGTATATTGCCAGCAACGGGACTCCCAGTCTCCACCACTAACAATCCCTTTCTCGCCTTTGTACGGAGTTGTTTCGGTTGGACGGTTTTTTTTTCTAATGGGTAAAAATGGCATGGTAATCCCGCCTGTGCTATCAGTAGTGAGAGGTGATAGGTGAGAATGAAAGAGCTGGCCAGTTAGCCCACCTACACACCAATACATCTGGAATACAGTACGATGGTTTCTACGGGGCTGCCACGTGGAGGTCGACCTGACAGGGTATTTTGCTAGCAATGGAACTGATAGTCCGCATTACTAACAATCCCTTCCCCCTGGTTCCTTGTGCTGTGAGTAGATGTCAAAAAAGTAAAGTTGGATGCAATTACTTTTTTGATGGCCAACTTTACTTTTTTTGACATACACTCAATAAAGCACAATCAGTTAATGAATCAACCAATAAATTCTCACTTTTCTTTTTCGAAAAGTGGCTGGATCTCAGCCGTAACTAAAATTTCCAAAGTTAGCTCTAATCTTTACACTTTTTGTCAAATTTTGGGAATACAGTAAAAATGTAACTGCAAGAGGTCTACCAGAACTAGTTAAATTTAAAAAGTGGTCTATACGAAAGAAGTCCGGGAACCTCTGGTTTAGGAGCTACGATGCCACAGATAGACACACAGATATGTTAAACTCATAACTTTACCAGAGGGAGACTTTGTACAAAAGTCATTTGCTTGTGCACCTCTGTCCCATCCGTGTTTCAACCGTAAAGCAGTCGTGTTTGCATTGCTGCGTTTCGGTTTGAAGGGTGGGATATGGCAGTGAATTTACAGGGTACAGAAGAATAACACCTGAGTCCTCGGGAATGGCAACGCATGGGGGGTATCATGGGCGAAACAGTGTACTCTGTTATGTCCATAGTACTGCTCATGTCTAGAAGCGTCGGTTACTACTTTCCATCAGGTGGGCCGTCAGCTTGTTTGCCATTCTAAGTTGTACAAAAAAAAAAACTCTTTTTGCGTATACAGTTAAAAAAGAGATCTAGAAGCGACTCACCAAACAAGCGAACAGAACAAGCACGATTTTCATTTTGACGTATTTGTACGGAGATTTGACGAATGTATGACAGGATTATGGATACCACTTCTTATATAGGTTGTAAATGTTATGCATAAAACGCGTCATTATCAGCCAATTACAATGCCACCGTGCAATCTATTTTGACAAGTGCTCTATTAACACATCCATTCATAAAATGAATATTAATCATCGATATAACAAAAGTATTGGGTTGTTTTTCACTGTTGTCACCTATTGTTTCATTGTAACTGTCGTTTATCGCAATTATTTACACATAATACAGATATCATCATCATCATCACCATGGTCATCACCGTATCAGCCTTTTACTGGCCACTACTGTACATAGCACAACGCGTTAAAACCGTATACCAATGCGGATAGCGACCAAAAACCTAAAGTCGCCCGACACTATATGATGTACCGGACGTCGATTTGCAAGAGATTGAGAGGGCTCTCAAAGAGCGTAACAACGGCAAGGCACCTGGGGAGGACGGAATTTTTTTAATGAATGATAATGGTATGGTAACCCCCGCTATCGGTATACGCTGACGGGGCACCAATGAGAGGTTATAGGTGAGAATGAAAAGGCAGGTCAGTTAGCCCATCGTGACGAATTCAACGATAAATTAGTCACGACGGTTTACAGGAGGAACCGCGTAGAGGTCGACCTGATAGGGTGTATTGATAGCATTGGGGTCTAACCTTTCTATTACTAACAATCCCTTCCCCCCGGGGAGGACGGAATTATAGCAGAGCTTCTGAGAGCGGGCGGAAAACCGGTACTTGTAGTCCTTCAGAAGCTATTTAATTTCGTCATCCATAACGGTGTTTTTTTTTTGATGGGTGAAAATGGTATAGTAACCCCGCCTGTAATTTGATACTAAATGGTAACCAGGGTCCGATGATGGAACTGCAAGGTGGCCATAGGAATTTTGTAATTAAACGAAGCAACCCCATCGAGTTTGGGCTCATTTAATTCGTCTTAACGAGTAATTTGATACTAGATGGTAACCGAAAAGAATATTTTTTTTAAAAGATGAAAATGGAATGGTAACCCCGCCCGCGCTATCGGTATACACCGACGAGGCACTAGTGGAAGATGATAGGTGAGAATGAATGCAGGTCAGTTGGCGCACCGTGATGAATTCGACAAGAATTAACCATGATAGTTTCCAGGGGGAACCGTGTGGAGGTCGACTTGAGACGGTCAATTGCTAGTAATGCGGCTATTTTACCCCATTACTGATTTATAACTTGTTCCTAGTTGGTTAATTTAATCTTCAACTTTTATATGTGCATCGTGTTGCAGCTCAGGGGTAGCCTTCGGCCACCCCAGCCGAACCTTAACCTACTGTCACTTTGTGTGGGTACTTTATAAAACTCGTTTGCATCTTGCAAATGTTTTCAGACGGTATTGTACATTATATATGCTTAAAACCAGTTTCACGCTAAAAAACAAAAAAAAAAAACAAAAAATGGCATCCAATATTTATAAATAAGAACGCGACGTTACAGATATTTTATTTCCTCCCGAATCGTTGGAATTTCTAACGATTAATATAAACCCAAAAAAAGGGACATGAAAATAAGGAATCTTAATTTTCACATAAAAATAAAAACCGACCACATTAGTGTTTTACTTGTTCGGCCAGCCGATTCTATAAAAGCCGTTTCACCATGCAAACGAGTCTTATAAAGTACCCACACAAAGTGACAGTAGGTTAAGGTTCGGCTGGGGTGGCCGAAGGCTACCCCTAAGTCGCAACATGATGCACATATAAAAGTTAAAGATTAACTTAACCGAATAGGAACAACTCTTGTCAAATAACCTTTTGTTTTTGGGAGGCCGCCGCCGAGTGAGCCAGAATCCGCGCAAACCAACTACTGATGATGTCACGCTTAACAGGAGGATTGGCAATCGCAGCTACACAGTGATGTTTAAAAAGGGACGATGCTGCCCATCCTTTGACCATTAGGTTCCCTTAGTCCCCTGTTAGGACACTCACGGGAAAAGAACAGGTGGGCACATTTTACGCCGGGACCACACCAAACAAGTTATAAATACGCTACACAGCGTTGTTGTGACAGAATAAACAGATGTGTCAACGATATTTTTTTGTTATGATATCATACATACGAGTACATACATATCTGTCACGCCTGTCGCCCATTAGGGTAGGCAGAAACATTGTAACGGACAAATGCTACGATTCAAACAGGCGTCATTCGATTATGGCTTGCTGTTCTTACATTTAAAGGCAACCACAGCATGCTTCGTGTTTAAAAAAATATTAAAATAGAATTAAATTATGAAACAATGAAATGGCATCAAATTAATAAAAATAATTTACATTCACCCGATGACAGCCAACAATTGAAATTAGTAAAATAAAAACAAAACATAATGGCGAGGTACATCAACTGTTTAATTTAGACATGAACACAGAGTGACTGTCAACATGAATATCAAGTTCAGGCTTGGTTTAGGATGGGCAGCAGCGTCCCTCTTAAAACATTTCTTAAAGCTTAACTGCGGTTGCCAACCCTCTGTCAGGCGTGGCAACAAAAAAAATTCCTTAAAGAGAGGGTTTAAGGTCCAGCAGTGGACAGTTAACGGTCGTTAAGTCTGACAGTCAGCTCTTGATTTTACCTTAGAGATATACCAGAGGGAGACTTTGTACAAAAGTCGATTGCTTGGGTACCTATGTCCCGTTCGTGTTTCAACCGTGAAGCAGCTGTGTTTGCATGGCTGTGTTTCGGTTTGAAGGGTGGGATATAGCGTGAATTTACAGGTTACAGAGGAATAACACCTGAGTCCTCAGGAATGGCAACGCATGGGAGGTATCATGGGCGAAACAGTATACTCTGTTATGTTCATTGTATTGCTCATGTCTATAGGCGACGGTTACCACTTTCCATCAGGTGGACCGTCAGCTTGTTAGATATTCTAAGTTGTCTAAAAAAAATAAAGAATCTGAATCTGACTACTAAGTTATTTTAGTCCTCTCTTACGATACCCACGTAAAAAGAAAGGGTAGGCTTTTTCTATGGGAGAACTATACGGCTCCAGATCCCAGGATATCCTAGTTTGAGGATCAGGCGGTTGATGTAATTATGTAGCATTATATTAATTTATGAATAAAATAAAGAAATAGTTTAAAATTCTTTATTGTTAAAAGATTCATTAGTATATATTACACATCCGGATTAAAAGTTCCTTAGAGCGGCTTTGATGCGAGTTCCGGATAGTCAGGAACTAGTCGAACATTCTCGACTATAAGTAAATTGTGTATTCCAAAAAAAAAAAACGACTTCAGTTATGGCAAAATCAGAAAGTAAACTATTGAACCGAATTTTAATAAAAGTTCTATGGGACCATGGGCAATGAGATGGTCAATGGGATCTAAAAGATCAGATAGAAATCGGATTTTCCAAATTGATTTATAACTGACGGAGTTATGAAGTAACAAATAATAAAAACACAACAAAATTGAAAATTTGATATCGGTTGAAAAAAGATTTTTTTTTAAAATGTTTTACTATTCAAAGTTTAGTAAGCGTACATTATATTTTAATATATAAACACCCGGATTGCGTCCTTTAGTCATGAGCGGCCATGATGCGAGTTCCGGATAGTCAGGAACTAGTCGAGCATTCTCGACTATAAGTAAATTATGTTCCACGAAATAAACCATTTATTTTGATTTAAAAACTAAACTAATAAACCAATTTTGATATAATTTCTATGAGACCAATATATAAGGATATTCTTACAGATAGAAAAGGAATTTTACAAATCGGTTTACAACTGCCAGAATAATCATGTAATTAATATTAAAATAAAATACAATTGTAGCTGGTCACACTTGAATTGAAAACTTTTTTTTTGAAGTCTTACGAATACATGTTAATCCGGGTTCCCTTTTAAAATTTAAAATGATTCAATTATCGATTGGATAATTAACAAGGTATTTTTTTTGGTTTGCTCTTGTGTTTTTTCGGTTTAGCCGGCTTCTCGCATGGATCCTGACAGCACGGAGACCCTGCACCTTGAGGCTCTGGTTGTCCCCCATCACTGATGATAGCGACATTGCTGGCAGACTCCTTGCCAATAGCTGTTTGTTTTATGTCTGAAGTAAAAATAAAAAATAAAAATTAAGCATAGATTAAGTATATTCTCTTTCTACGCTTCATACGCGTCCTTGAAATAAAAAATAACCATTTAGAAGTTTTCCACCAAAGTATGGCAACATTGTAATTAGTTGTCACTTTTAAAAGCTACCAAGATTAAAATTTTCCATAATTATTTTGAAAAGGCTCTGATACAGAATTAAAACGTAGTTAATCATGCAATAATTTTTTTTTAACTGTAATAATTTTTTTTATATGGTAGAAAAGTCTTTAAATATAGCAGTAGCAAAATTAATATGTATTTACCTATAGTATATAGTCATCATCATCACATCAGCCTTTAACTGTCCAATGCTGATCATATGCCCCCCCACCCCTCTAGGGAGGTTTTGCCAGTAGCTGCCACACTTGGCAGGCGGGTTGACAACCGCAGTTAGGCTTTTAGAGATGTTTTAAGATGTGTTACGTTGCTACGTATCTCTCAACCTCCCATAGTCGCCTCTTACGACACTCACGGAAAAGGAAGGGGTGGCCTATTCTATGCCGGGACCACACGGCAAAATGTACATATATACCTAAGTGTTTTGCTACTGAAGTATCAATTTTAGACCTGCCTTACTACCTAGGTATGTAGAAGCGCCTCGCTTCGCCCCACCTTGCCGTCGCTAACGGTGTACGGTGGCCGGGCATCAGTGGGGGATGATAGGCGAGAATGAAAAGGCAGGTCAGTTAGCCCATCGTGATGGGGGGGAAACGGATTGTTAGTAATGGAGACTAAGAATCCCATTGCTAGCAATATACCCAGCTAGGTCCACCTCCTCGCGGTTCCTCCTGGAAACTATAATGGTCAATTGCTGATGAACTCATCATGATAGGTCACTGGTCTGTTTTGATTCTCATCGATCACCCTTCACTGGTGCTCCGCCAGCGTATACCGTTAGCGCAGGCGGGGTTACCATATTATTTTCACTCATCAAAAAAGCCTATCGTGATGAATGTACCTGGAATTCAGCACGATGGTTTCCATGGGGAACCACGTGAAGTTTGACCTGATAAGGCTAAATTGCTAGCAATGGGAGTGGTCATTCCCATTACTAACAATCCCTTAAAGTTTGAAAAGTAGGTAGTGAAGTTACACGGTACGGAAGCATAACACCTGAGTCCTCAGGAATGGCAACGCATGGGGGGTATCATGGGCGAAACAGTATACTCTGTTATGTCCATGCAGAGTACTGCTCATGTCTATAGGCGACGGTTACCACTTTCCATCAGGAGGCACGTCGATTTATTTGCTAGTTAAACTAACTCACCATAGTCGTTTGGCCGACCGTTGCATACTAGAACCTGTAACAGAGAAGTTCTGGATTTATTTCTATAACTACAATTCTATAGTCCCACTGCTGGGAACTGGGGGATAAGGATTGTTTTGTATTTAGGTGTGTAGCATACTGTAGTTCTTTAATGAAGTTATTTTATGATATTTGGCGTGAATTTACTGAGTACAGAGAAATAACACCCGAGTCCTCAGGAATGGCAACGCATGGGAAGTAATCATGGGCAAAACAGTATAGGCATACTCTGTTATGTTCATGATACTACTTATGTCTATAGGCGACGGTTACCACTTTCGATCAGGTGGGCCGTCAGCTTGTTTGCCATTCTAAGTTGTATAAAAAAATATGATATTTTTGTATATGTAATTTATTGAATTATATTTTAACAATGAGCAAATATGTGAATGGAAGAGGTAAATTTATGTCGCCGATGGTTCGCGACGCAATAGAATTAATGCCATCGGTTCGCAGCGGTCCGTTCGTAACCACCCTTTGAGAACCACCGTAAGAACCCCACGGTGTGGTCCTGAAAGATATTAAAAAAAATTAAAGACCGAAATATCTTACCAACGACAAAACCAAACAAATCACGGCAAATCTCATCTCAGACGACTGGTCACTTCAAAGGCTGTTGTTTTAAAAATAACTTCTGGCCTGTTATACATTTCTTTTTATACTGAAATAATTTTATTTAACATGGTAATTATATTTTGTCCGACACATTATAATAACAATATTGTTGTTCTATGCCCGCTTTTGTGTTTCCAAGTGTTGTTTTGAATGTTGATACAATTACGTATTTATAAGTTTGAGTACATTGGGGATAGATTTACTTAAATTATTAGTATAATATTAGATACACCAGAGGGAGACTTTGTACAAAAGTCGTTTGCTTGAGTACCTCTGTTCCATTCGTGTTTCAACCGTAAAGCAGTTGTTTGCATGGCTGTGTTTCGGTTTGAAGGGTGGGATGTGGCGTGAATCTACTGGAGGAATAAAACCTGAGTCCTCAGGAATGGCAACGCATGGGGGGTATCATGGGTGAAACAGTATACTCTGTTATGTCCATGGTACTGCTCATGTCTATAGGCGACGGTTACCACTTTCCATCAGGTAGGCTGTCAGCTTGTTTGCCATTCTAAGTTGTATAAAAAAAATATTATTGGACCATTATATATAGATATTGTAATAAAAATATGTAGATACTGCTATATATTACGAACTCCTAATACTGATAGGCCGGAATAAAAAGTACAACTTTGTATTTATCCTTTTTTAAACACTTTCCTTTTTTTTACGCCATCTATTGTCAAGGAGCATTAGTAAGTTTACAATATTAATAACATTAAAATACTATACTTTTACATTTATTAACTATATAACATTAATAGAAATAACATTTGACATATGAACATAAACACTATGGTCATCGGACGATACTCCAGCAAGTTGGAGGCAAACACATCTAACTGTGAATATTGGCGCAAACAAGCTCACGGCCCACCTGATGGAAAGTGGTAACCGTCGCCTATAGACATGCACATAACAGAGTATACTGTTTCGACCATGATACCCCCCATGCGTTGCCGTTCCTGAGGACTCAGGTGTTATTCCTCTGTACCCAGTAAATTCACTGCCATATCCCACCCTTCAAACCGAAACACAGCCATGCAAACACAATTGCTTTACGATTCAATTGAAAGGCACATTTTGCCCCAACGTCCTATGTCGAATGGTATACAATTTATAATGCACACGCTATTCGTCATTGTATGATATCATACACAACGTACGTACGTCAGTGTTTCGACGCACAATTCCATGAGGGATCCATGAAATTTTACTTGACGTAATCTCGAGTGAGAAAAAATTTGTTCCGCAATAAACAACTGTTGTGCATTTAAATGTTGACGATAGATAGATAGATAGATAGATTATTTATTAACATTACTTACAACGTACAAACAACAATAGACATAGATAGACATTCACAGTGAAAAAAGATAAAGGAATACATATACGAAAATAAAAAAAAAAAAACAAAATGTATAAAAGAAGTAACGATTTTTTCCTCCATGCGTGTGCCTCAGTAACACGAAATAGTCATTATTATCTATTATATTATCTGTGGTCATAACACAGCTTTGCCTTCAAAAGAGTAAAACACTGATTTACCATTTTTACCATTTTCACCCATCAAAAAAAAACACAAATAACATACACATTAAATTTACGATATTAAGATTCGTCATTACACAATTTGTCAATACCTTTCTAACAATAATGACTTCAATTTTGTCGTAAAGATGTTTTAATCATTCAGTGACTTTAATTCTTTAGGTAGTAAGTAGCTTCACCACTGTCACTACATAGTATAAAACAAAATCGCTGTCGCTCTCTGTCCGTCCCTATGTATACTTAAATCTTTGAAACTACGATTTTTTTAAATAGATAGAGTGATTTAAGGTTTATATGTATAATATAATAATATTGCATAATATTTATTTATTTAACTCTTTATTGCACCATAAATAAAAATATACAATGACAAGTGAATAATTCAAGTGAAATACAGTAACATAAATACAGATTGAAATATACACATAAAGGTACAAGAGGCGGTGTTATCGCTAGGGCGATCTCTTACAGACAAGCTTTAGTTAAAGGAGAACAGATAGAAAAGGGCAAGTGGCGCAAGAGTGAATGAATAATTTTCGTGCATAAAATACAAAAACATGTAATGCACAAAAATATCAAATACATATAATTTATTAAACTACTTACTATAACAACTATATATACGTATATATATACACACACACATATATATATATATATATATATATATATATATATATATATATATATATATATATATATATATATATATATATATATATATATATATAACATACATACAAAATACATAAACATACACATATAAATACATACATAGCACACACAAGGAAATATGACTAATCTAGTCCAAAAATTACAAAGGAGTGGAAAAGAGTAACTACAGTGAAAGAAAATGTGATTTGACTTGTCCTTTAAACGAAACCAAGGATTGAGCACTCCGTATAGACGGTGGCAGCGAGTTCCATAGGCGCACTGCCTGAACGGAAAAGGATTTGGTGTAGTACACGGAGGTATGTGCTACATGGTCCTACACGGTTTTTTTGGAACGATGATAATGGAATGGTAATCCCGCCTGCGCTACCTGTATACGTTGGCGAAGCACCAGTGAGGTGATAAGTGAGAATGAAAGCAGATCAGCAGTATATTTTTTTTTTTACAATACACGGTGCAACCGAGCATGCAGCTCACCTAATGGTAAGTGACTACCGCCGCCCATGATCACCCACAACACCAGCGGCATTGCAGGTGTGCTTCTGAAACAGTATATTCTGTTATGTCCATGGTACTGCTCATGTCTATAGGCGACGGTTACCACTTTCCATCAGGTGGGCCGTCAGCTTATTTGCCATTCTAAGTTACATAAAAAAAAAATCAGAGACTTTATACAAAAGTCGACCTCTAAATACCCATATATGCTTATGCTGGGAAGCAGCTGTGTTACAGTTTGAATTTGGGATATGGCAGTTAAATTACAGGATACGGAGGCATTATTATGGTGTTAGATAGTCCTTGGGAAGGGCAAAAAATGAAGGGCACCATGCTCATGACAGTGCATTTTGTGATGACCACAGTGATTATGTTTGTGGGCGACGATTACAATGGTGTAAAGCGATGTTTCCCAACGTGGAGCCAACGCCCCACAGGGGGGCAATTAAAAATTGACTCGAAGCGATTTTACTCTCTTGCTCCGGGCAAGCAATTGAAATGCAATGCTACGAGTATATATCGGTGCCAAATTGAACAAAAAAAGTCAATAAAAAAATGCTGTAAATATTTATTAGGTATAATTTCGTTTGACGTTACCAAAATATCAACTGGGCGATTAGAGTCGTCAAGTAAACTTTGTCGGGAAAAATTATTATGGGGGGCATAAAAATTTTAGAAATGTTCAAGTGGGGCATGACACAGAGAAGGTTGGGAAACATTGGTGTAAAAACTTAGTGATCTCCTTAGGGGGTCGCGACCCATACTTTAAAAAACACTGTTCTACAGCATGGGTAGTTTCGATTCAACCATGCATATCTCCATTATTTACATGTTATTAAATATACATTACTTTATGTCGTAATGTTATCCATTTTATATCGTGTTTGTGAATATATAAAATAAATCATTATTAATACAAAATGACGTTCACTGTGAATATAAGCTATAAATTAAAACATATAATTGTTCATTTATACAAGAAGCTGTACAAATATGGTTATATTTTGCGTCAACATGTGGAAATACTTTGTTATATACTTATTATAAGTAGTTTATCAATTATACTGGCTACGTACTGTTCACTCAAAATGGCGGACATAAAATGTGTATTGTTTATTATAAATTTGGTGAGTGAATTCATTGTCTGTCAATGTCGTGTTTGAACTCGTTTTGTATATTGTTTGTTTTGTATTCTTTATATTAGATTATCTCTCTTGTGTAAGGTATTAATATAAATATTTAAACAAATAACCTATCGTTTTCAAAATGGCGCCCATTAAAATTTTAATTGGGTATTTATTAATTCTATTCGTCATACCAGCTGTTGCTGGACACGGAGGAGAATGTAAAGGATAAGCCGGACAGAAAAACTAACGAATGAGGAAGTCCTGAAAAGAGTGAACGAGAAAAGAGCATTAATAAAAGAGGCAAAATGCTGGGCCATCTTATACGACATGACGATTTTTTTAAGAGCATAGTAGAAGGAAAAATAGAGGGCCAAAGAGGAAAAGGAAGACCGAGGAATAACTACATGGGTTAGATAAAAGAAACACTAGGTGTCATGTCGTATAGGGAGGTCAAGGATATGGCCTGGGATAGAGCTGGCTGGAAGAAGATGCATGAATTAGTTGCACCGACAAGAGGAAAGTCTTAAATGAAAAAAAAAATCAGCTGTTAACTGTTTACTTCTAAATAGGCTTCCCTCTGTTAGGAAAGTTTGCCAATAATTGTCACGCTTGGCAGGCGGATTGGCAACCTCAGTTAGGCTTTGGTGATGTTTTAAGAGAGATATTGCTGTCCATTCGTCGATCATTAAGCTCTCCTAGTCGCTTCTTACAACACTCATGGGAAAGAAAGGGTTGGCTCATTACAGTACAGTACCCACGGCAAAGAAAGATTCTTGAGTGACGACCCCGCACAGGCATACCCAGTCTTAGACGACCTCACACTAGATGGAGCGACGACCTCAAATGTATTGCAGGGAGTCAACAGATGCAGACGTATCAGGACCATTCCTTATGGTGCTGTCCACCATAACGGATGCTATGATGGAGATGAAAAAATTAACACTAGACTCCGAACAGCAATTTAATAATTTTGTTGAAGACGTCTCGTTTAGAGGTGAAACACGTGTAGCAAAACGTGCGTGAACCAAATGACAATCGGAGATTGATGCCTAATAAGAAAGGTTGTGGAACTTCTGGTAGTAATAGTGGTGTTAAATCTTCAAGTGCTGGCAGTCGCACACATACAAATGGTAGCGGAATGAAACAAAATAATTCTAAGCAAATAACCAGTGATTGTCCACCGCTGAATATAAGCCTCCCACTTGAGGGTTTTGCCAGTAGTTGCCACTCTTGGCAGGCGAATTGGCAACCGCAGTAAGGCTTTAGAGATGTTTTAAGAGCAACGATGATGATGATTATAGTATAATTAATAAATGAATTAAGAATGTTTATTTATGTATATGTATATAAGTATATATAATAAGTAGGGATATATATTTACATTATAACATGTACCACATCTCTATATTTTAGAAATAATAGAATTTCATCGTGCCTCCAATCAAACTGTTTATAATTACTCCTCTCCATCCAAAGGTTGCCTGGAAGAGATCGCTCTTAGCGATAAGGTCGCCCATTGTTTCCTCGTTGTGATTATTTCTTGTAATTGTTTATATTTATAATAGGTTTACTATTGTAATCTATTTATCACAATTTCAGATCGCTCTCTGCAACGTCAGTGCGAAGCCTGGACTATTCGATTTTGTTGGTAAGTTTATTTTGTACAACCAGAAATCTGACTAATGTAAAAAAAAAAACGTAAAAAAATTGTAATTAGACGATATATGTATATGGGAGATATTTAAAAAAAAAAAGGAGCCATAAGTGTCAAGATGTCGAAATATTTTTTTAAATATTTTGTCCCGCTTTTTTTTATACCACTGAGGTGGCAAACAAGCATACGGCCCACCTGATGGTAAGCGATTACCGTAGCCTATGGACACCTGCAATACCAGAGGTATTACGCGCGCGTTGCCGACCCTGAAGAAACCTCTTTACCCCCCTTTTGAAGAACCCATGCTGTAGTTTCTTGGGAAAACCTCGGCGGGGAGCACATACCATAACCTGAGACATGTTTTTTTTAATGGATGATAATGGAATGGTAACCTCGCCTGTGCTGACGGTATACGCTGTCGGGGCACCAGTGAGGGATGATAATCGAGAATGAAAAAGGCAGGTCAATTAGCCCATCGTGAACAATACACTCAGAATTAAGCACGATGGTTTCCAAGGGGGAGCACGGGGAGGTCGACCTGGTTGGGTATATTGCTAGCAATAGGGTCCTTAGTCTCCATTACTGACAATCCCTTCCCCCCCCCCCCCCCACTGTGTACATGTTTGTTTTGGCATCACGCAAAAACTAGCAACGGATTGGTTGCTATTTGACACTTGTATTATTGAGGATCTAACCTAAAATCTAGTGTGTGAAATACATCTTAATACTCCATCTACGAGTACAAGCAATTTTTTTTTTTTTATTTATTTTACTCTATTCAAATTTCAAATGTAGAACGGCCACATTTGAAATTTGCGCGTACAGAGTATGTAGCGAACATAACGAAGCTTCGCAAAAACATGTCTAAGACTACGTATGCATCTATATTTTTAAGAGATAATAGAAAAAAAATATTACCAGAAAAACACATAACAAAAAATATAGTAATATTATATATTTTGGTCGTGTGGTCCCGGCATAGAATAAGCCACTCCTTCCTTTCCCGTGGGTGTTATAAGAAGCGACTAAGGGAGGGCGAGGGATGGACAACAACGTCTCTCTTAAAACATCTTCAAAGCCTAAATGCGGTTGCCAATCCACCTGCCAAGCATGGCAAATATTGGCAAACACCCCCCCCCCCCCCCATAGGAGGAGGCTTAAATTCAGCAGTGGACAGTTAAAGGCCGATATGATAATAAAACATAAAAAACATAATCGAAATGAGAACCTTCTTCTTTTTTGAAGTCGGTTATAAATTCACTACTTCATCTCTTACAGACCCATTCTTAGATAGTTCAGAAGAAAATCCAACAACACCACCGAATACAGATTTAGAAGACTTGTCAGCAATTAAGGATTTAGCGGAAAAAATATTTAAAGGATTAATCGTAAGTCCAATTAAAGGGGAGGAGATTCCAAAAACACCCGATTTCGAGAAGTTCTTGAAAGATCTAAATAAATTAACAACGCCAGCGCCAGGCAGCAAAACTACTCCGAAACCCGACACAACTACGGCCAGTTCAGGTACAACTACGCCGAGTTCTGACACCACAACGGCGAGTTCTGACACAACTACGGCGAGTTCAGGTACTACTACTGCAAGTCCTGAAACTACTACTGCGAGTTCTGACACAACTACGGCAAGTTCAGCGACTACTACCCCGGGTTCAGTTTCTACTACCCCATCTGGTAGTACAACTGAGTCTCCAGCGTCGACTACTCCATCATCACCGGGCAGTAAACCGAGCAAAAAACCAAAATCAAAATCGCCACTCGATTCTTCCATTGACGCCATACTAAATCCGTTTAAAAAAGTTGGCGAAGCCGTTGGGTCTTTCCTATAATATTCGAACAAGATAATCACTTTACTAATATAAAAAAGGACCAAAAACCAGTCAAACAAGAGTAATTTTTTGTTTATATATTCTTTTTAAACATAACATTCGCGCCTGTTTACAGTGTTGCCTGTATATCGATTAAAAACTTCCCACATCAGGTTGGTTTTTCAATATAAATTGAAGATTATTTTTATGATGTAATATAATAAACATATATACATATTATATACAAATTAATATCAAAATAGTAATATTTTTTAATGATTCTGACAACAAATATATACTTAGTGCCAATACAATATCAATCAAAGTCGACAAAAACATTATGAATTGTGATTATTTGTCATGCTAACTATACCCACTGCTATTCTTTCAAATATAAGCTTAAGAATTTTTTATTGTTTTTTTTTTTATTTTTAAACTTGTGGCAACCCTGTCTATTTGACAGTTGCGATTGCCGCGAAAAAGTTGTTATCGTATATATTAGGAGTGGCCGACTTGACTAGACTCAAGATCTACTGTTTACCGACGAAACCCTGTGCCATCTACCAATTACATACTTCTTGAAATCACAAATGAAACGACATAGTTCAGTACACAATTACGTAGTTTTTTTTTTGATAGGTGAAAATGGTATGGTAACCCCGCCTGCGCTAACGGGATACGCTGGCGGAGCACCAGTGAAGGGTGATAGATGAGAATGAAAACAGGCCAGTTAGCCCATCATGATGAATTCATCAGGAATTAACCATGATAGTTTCCAGGGGGAACCGCGAGGAGGTCTACCTGGTTGGGTATATTGCTAGCAATGGGATTCTCAGTCTCCATTACTAACAATCCCTTTCCCCCTAATTACGTAGTATTGTAGTATTGTTTTTATTTTATTAAGAGGGAAAAAGTAAAACCAAAACTGATTCTTAGTAACTACTTATTTATATTAGTGTATTTAAAAAAAGAAAAATTTCAATGTTACTTTACTATCTACAAGACGAAAACAGATCGACTTACTTACTTTACACAAATTAGTTCATTACCATATTCACTCGGCTTCTCCACTCTCTGCTTTGACCTTCAATATAAAAACTGTAACAAGGAGTTCTAAAACATTTGCACTCTGCGTTTATAAGAACAATACATCGTATTACAACCCGCTTATCCGTATGTGTCGTACTTTTAATGAGAATCTGGAAGTTTTTCATCTATCTTCAATACATTGCAACTAATGCATTTAATGCAATTGATTTATTATATCAATTAGTTCTAATTATCTATCTATCTATCCATTTAAGAGTTGCGCTCTTGTCGGTGGAGCTCTTGCCACTCACTACGATTTTCAGCGAGTCTCTTCACCTATTGATACGACACGACACCAACTCTTTCCTTGATCTGCCTGATGTAACTATGTCTCGGTCTCCCTCTCCCCCTCCTCCCTTCTATCTTACCTTCTATTATAATGTTCATAAGTTCGTCGTGTCGTATCAAGTGTCCTAACATTTTTCCCCTTCTGTCCTCAACAGTTCTAATAATTTGTCGTTTTTCCTTAACCTTAAGCAGGACCTCCTCATTGCTAGTTCTAATTATAATGATTTTTAATTATTTTTTTTCTATGTTTCTTTTATTAATATTTTCTTCTTTTTTTTTCGCTTTATCCTTACCACTCAGTTGAAATTATATCAAATTATACTCTGAACTATTTACATTATTTTTATTATACACACACCGCACAGACAATCACCAAAAATATTGCTCTTTTTATTTTATATTTATTTTAATTATTATTTTCACGTACCCTCAAATGGGTTAAAGCTGAAAATCAGTGTTTTGTTCCTTGAACAATGTTCCACGCTGAGCTTCCACCTTTTTGTATTGCTGCAGATCACACATAATAACACAATTTTATAAATCTTATGTTGTTTTATGTATTATCTATTCTTATGTACATGTTGTGTGTGATTAGTAACAAACAAATAAACGTTATATCTATCTATCTATATACTTATTGATGTATATGTAAAAAGATGTTTATAATAGACAGATAATTTATCTATGGTAAAACAATAAATATTGAATCTATGGCAAAAAAGAAATAAGAAATCTATGGTAGAACGAATATAATTGGGTTTGTTGTTTATTTGTTATAATGTTATATGGATTTGTGAAACAAGTTAAATTGCATTTTTCAAGAAATATAAAAAGACTGTTTGATTATTTAATTGTATTTTTATTCACACGGTGTCACGGACGGCCCGGACACTATTTATTTATTTAACTCTTTATTGCACCATAAATAAAAATGTACAATGACAAGTGAATAATTCAAATGAAATACAGTAACATAAATACAGATTGAAACATACACATAAAGGTACAAGAGGCGGTGTTATCGCTACACTTATATTGTAGATTTTATAGTCTGGTAGGTATTGCTATGGTAGTTTGTATTCATACAAATTTATTGTTTATATACCCAATTCAGAAAGTCGAAAAGAAACAGTTGATTTTCTTGCCCGTTCTTCATGACTGGCTTCATTCTGCGTTCCGAATGTGCGATGGAATCATAAAAAATTACTGTTCAAAAATGTATGTATGTAAATTAATATTTAATTTCTTTCCTTCTTTTGTGTTTCTTCATTTTGGAAATATGTATTAGTTTTATTGATAGAACACTCCTTTAAAAGAATGTTAAAATAGGAGTGGAATTCTTAAGTTTGTGCAAAGACATGCCTAAAAGCACATAATGTGCCTTATTTAATTCCCCCCCCCCCTCTCGTCTTCCAGAAAATAGTCTTAAATATGTATAGGTACATCTCGCTAAAGACATGCATATGCAGCAACAGCCGAGACGGCTCCAGCGACCAGCAAAAAGTGCTGATTTTTTTCTTTTTATTGTTATTTATGCATTTGTCAAACCCCCAGTTGTTCGTCCGGCAGGTCTTGAGTTCGTAGGTATTTGTCCTTCAGTTATTGATTCCGCAGGTTCTTGAGTTGTTTGCCTCGCAAGTGTTGATCCTGGAGATGGTCCCGCAGGTGTTGATCTTGCAGATGTTGGACCTTCAATTGTCGTTCTCGCATGCGTTTTTCTTGACCTTACATCAGTTGTCACTGCTATAGTTTCATTTGTATCAGGTACTTCAGGGATCTCATCCAGAATGGCTTTTAAAAACTTTTTAAAATAAAGTGTGTGGAGCAGTGTGAAGTCCTTGTGCTTCGGAATGTTCCCATTGAGGACGTCGTACGCGAATGATCTCAGTCTTTTATGGCTTTCATTTAAGGGGTCGCCGCCATGGTGTAGCAGCTCGGAGGGACTTGTTGACAGATCGATCAGGAAATGCTTGAATTTTGGTGAACTTAGTAACGGTTCCGCCGGTCTTGGCAATATAATTTTGCCCCTGATTATATCTTGAGCGTATTTGCCCAATTCAGCCAAATCATGATGCGAGATTACTGACGATTTATGGTCTTGTTTGTCGTTCAGTGTCACCGGCTCATCATCAGATATACTGTTCAGGTTGTGACTGCCTGCAATGGATAGACAATATTAAGTTATACATACTGGATATATACAGCGCCATCTAGATAAATAGATACATAGATATTTTATAATATTTTTTAATTATTTATGTTATCTCCCTTTTTATGTATATTTGTATATGTTGTAATTTGTGTGCTGTAAGTAATGCAAATAAATTATCTATATATCTATTTAGTGTCCAATAGGGACAGTAAATAGATATATAGAGGAAACAACAGGATAACAGAGGAATGGTAACCTCACCCGCGCTATCGGTTACACCGGCAGGGCACCAGTGAGGGATGATAGGTGAGGATGAAGCGAGTCAGGTAGGCCATCGTGGCGAATTCAACAGGAAATGTTCACGGTGGTTTCCAGGTAGAACCACGTGGAAGTCGACCTAATAGGGCATATTGCTAGCAATGGGGCTGTCAAACTCCATTGCTAGCAAGCCCTTTCCCCCTGTACCAAACACTAGGCAACCACACTCAGTCCATGTCTGACTTAGTTTGGAGTGTAGTGGTGATGCAGACTTTTCTTTATGTAACTTAATGTAACTTAATACTAAGTTCTTATATTAGTAATATTTTGTACTGTCTCTGTTATTTATTTATTTATTTATTTGATAATAAATGCATGTTTTTTTAATATTAAGTAATATTACAAGATATATCAGACAGCGCCATCTATCTAGTCTCAAACTGAGTCAAGCTTGTATTGTGTTTTTGGAGATAAAAATGGAATGGTAACCCCGCTAGCGCTATCGGTATACGCTGACGAAGTAACATTGAAAGTCTATAGTGACGCTGAATTAAGGTCAGTTGGTAGATCGTAGAGAATTCTCCGGGAATTAACTACTGCGGTTTCCAGGGTGTACCGCGTGGAGGTCGACCGGATATTGTATATTGCAATTTCCTTATCTCTAGACAAAGTATGATGACCTTATTTTTTGTTCGTCGGCATAGTGCGCAGTACAAAATATACCCAGGGTTGCCAGGAAAGCTTAGACAAGACCTATGTACGCTAATTCGCATGAACAAAGCATGGAGACATAGAAAATAGTAAAATGGAGTGCAACACTCACTAACACCATGGAATCTGCCCGTATTCAGTAATTCTCGATCACCATAAGCTCCGCTGTTGTATAACCCTCGTGCGGCAACCCTAGCGACCACCTGCAATAATATTATATTTATCTATTCATCTTCACGCCACCGCTCTTGCGGGGTAGACAGAGAAAATTGAGAGGCAAAGCAATTTTAGACTTGTAATGAATATTATTTACAATAATTACCATACCATGTCTATAGGCGACGGTTGCCACTTTCCATCAGGTGAGCCGTCAGCTTGTTTGCCATTCAATGTTGTATAAAAAAAACATATCAGCCTTTAACTGTCCACTGTTGAACATAAGCCTCCCCTTGGGGGGTCTGCCAGCAATTGCCACGCTTGGCACGCGGATTAGCAACCGCAGTTAGGCTTTGGAGATGTTTTAAGAGGGACGCTGCTGCCCATCCCTCGGCCTCCCTTAGTCGGCTCTTACGACACCCACGGGATAGGAAAGGGTGGTCTATTCTATGCCGGGACCACACGACGTCTAATTTCATTCTCATCATCATCATCATTCCAGCCATTATCCGTCCACTGCTGGACATAACCCTCCCCCCATAGACCGCCATAAAGAACGGTCCTGAGCCACCTGCATCCACTGACTGCCTGCAACGCATTTGAGATCGTCACTCCATCTAGTGGGGGGGGGTCGTCCTACACTGCGTTTACCCGTACGTGGTCGCCACTCAAGAACCTTTCTTCTCCATCAGCTGTCGGTTCTTCGAGCTATGTGACCAGCCCAATGCCACTTCAGCTTGCTTATCCTTCGGGCTATGTCGGTTATTTTGGTTCTTTTGCGGATATCCTCGTTTTGGATTCTATTACGCAAAAAGACTCCGAGCATAGCCCTTATTCTAAGGGGGGAAAGGGATTGTTAACAATGGAGTTTGACAGCCCCATTGCTAGCAATATGCCTTATTCACGTGGTTCCCCCTGGAAACCATTGTGAACAATTCTTGTTGAATTCGTCACGATGGACTAACTGACCTACTTCATCCTCACCTATCATCCTTCACTGGTGCCCCGCCGGTGTATACCGATGGCGCGGGCAAGGTTACCATTCCATTATCATCCATTAAAAAAAAAAGGCCCTTATTCTAATCATTATAAAATTGTTTTTGAAAATTGTCCGATAATTGCGACTTTGCCACATTTCGGTAAACAAAATATATTTGTTTATTTATTTATTTTATTTATTGTACCATTAAAAGAATAATATAAAGATAAATATATATTACACTTATAAAGTATATGAATGTTTTATTTTACTCTTAAATACTTTATTACATCACAAAAATAATGCATTTTATTAATAAAAAATAAACACAATATTTAACTCACCAAATAACTTATGCACGCGACTAACTTATAAAAATACATTATTCTTTTTTCACTTGTTTTCTACTTTTAAGGAGAAATATATGGGATATTCGACTATTTATAGTAGATTTAGTTAAATATTGACTTACTTATCCATTTTTAGAGTTCTGTAAACCGTAATGTTTAAGAATTCAGAAAACCTTTTCGTTTTCTATAACTGTATACATGTCTACCTAATTATTATTATAAGTGATAATTCTACATTTATCGAATTAAAAAAAAAAAAACGAGACTTTCATTTCGGTAGTATATATATTTTTTTGTTACCTCTGTTACCTCAGGATATACTTACTTACAGATTAGTTACATAGACATTCTAAAGTTTATTTTTTTAAATAAAATAACCAGTGTTGCCACAATTGAAGTAAGAAGTTTTTTCTTAGTGGAACAAAATCTACTTCCGTGACGTTGTAGAGAATTCTCAATGTAACAGTCGTGTTCGCACTTGATTAATTTTTAGCATGTTTACTCTCAAACTGTTTGAACAGGTGACTACGTGGCCCAAATTATAAGAATTTATTAGTATAATCGTAGATGTTTTTCATATATAATTGTAAAGAGAAGCGTTGATAATTAGATCACGTTTATATTAATTCAATTAGCTAACTTAAATTCAAATTTTTTTTTTGCAAACAAACTTAATTAGAAGCAATTTTAAATCGCCATTTTTGTAATCTACTACAGGTTTCGGAAGGTTGTTATATGTTGATAAAATCCCGCAAGAAACTATAATCTTAAGAACAACGAATTACATAGAAGGAATGATAAAATAAAAACTGTAAATCATACGGTCGCCTCCTTTCTTCTTATGTAAATACAATTAGTAAAAAGAGGACGAAAGATACACCATCAGTTGCTATTTCTCTCAATTCATAGCAGGCTAGTGTATAGAAAATGTGTACGTAAAAGTTTTGTTCGTTTACATTACTAGATTATATATTGGACACAGTTTATGTAGAAAGTATGCAAGCAGGTTGTATCTGAATTTGGTAGGGTTATACGTTTTTTGTACATTTGTCTGGAACGTGGAAAATAGCCTTAAATGAGTACGCCAATACTGTTAAGCTAAAAGGCAACAAACAAACTCAAATTTACAACATTAGTAAGGAGATTAGCTATTATTTTAATGGGTGATAATGGAATGGTAACCCTACCTGCGCTCTCAGTATACAACGGCGCGGCACCAGTGAAGGATGATAGATGAGGATGAAGCAGGTCAGTTAGCCCATCGTGACGAATTCAACAATTGTTCACGACGGTTTCCAGGGGGAACCACGTTGAGGTCGACCTAATAGGGCATATTGCTAGCAATGGGGATATCAAACTCCATTGCTAACAATCCCTCCCCCCGGAAATTAGCTATTGAAGTTGCTATTTCCTCGTGAAGCAAAATATAACTACTTTGAAACCAGCTTGATAGAAAGACATATTTCTCTTCAAGCAGACTTAGGATTGAGCATTTTTGAATAGCCATTTTTTTTATTACCACCCATTCGGAACGCAATTTGAGCCAAGAAGAACGGACAAGGAACTCAGCTGTTGCTTTTTTCAAAAAGTTTAATTGTATGAATAATGAATTTGTGTGAACAGAAACTGCTAAGCAATATAAGATCATACAATTTAAAATATATAGTATACAATTAAAGAAAAACAATAAAATAAATCGGTTGCAGTGACCAGAGCTGATCTCTACAGGTAGCACCCGTTCACGAGTATGACGGGTGAGACAGACATCATTGCTGTCAACCATATTTTAGGGAACTCAATAACTAGAGCCACCAGGGGGGAAAGGGATTGTTAGTAATGGAGACTGAGAATCCCATTGCTAGCAATATACCCAACTAAGTCGACCTCCTCGCGGTTGCCCCTAGAAACTATCATGGTTAATTCCTGATGAATTCATCACGATGGGCTAACTGGCCTGTTTTCATTCTCATCTATCATCCTTCACTGGTGCTCCGCCAGCGTATCCCGTTAGCGCAGGCGGGGTTACCGTACCATTTTCATCTATAAAAAAAATTAGGGCCACCACACCTGTCTGGACATTTTAGTGAGCCTGACTTAGTCATTAGACTTAACCGTGTGGTCCTGGCATAGAATAGGCCACCCCTTCCTTCCTCGTAGGTGTCGTAAGAGACGACTAAGGGGAGGCGAGGGATGGGATGGCCACTTTCTATCATCGTACGGCTCACCATCGACAGGGAGTTCACCCACATATCCTACAGCCTAAATGGTCGCGTACAACGCAGTTTCAGAATTGTTTTCTCCCACAAACACTCAGGTTATGGAATGAGATCCCTGCCAAGGTTTTCTCAAAAGACTACAGCATGGGGTTCTTTGAAAGAGAGATAAAGAGGTTTCTTCAGGGTCGGCACCGCGCGCAAAATACCCCTGGTAATACAGGCGTTTATAGGCTCCACTAACCACTTGCCATTAGGTGGGCCGTACGCTTGTTTGCCACCTCAATGGGATAAAGAAAATGGGCAGCAGCGTCCCTGTTCAAACACCTCCAACGCCTAACTACGGTTGCCAATCCGCCTGCCAAGCGTGGCAACTACTGGAAAAACCCACCAAGAGGGGGATTTTGTTCAGCAGTGGACAGTCAAAGGCGGATATTTTTTTTTATACAGCTTAGAATGGCAAACAAGCTGACGGCCCACCTGATGGAAAGTGGTATCCGTCGCCTATAGACATGAGCAGTACCGTGGACATAACAGAGTGTACTGTTTCGCCCATGATACCCCCCATGCGTTGCCATTCCTGATATGATGATTTACTCAAGGCATCCAAATACGTCATAGATCTGTTGCAAAATAAACAACCGAATTTCCGATTTACTCATGTTTTGTATATATATATATATATATATATATATATATATATATATATATATATATATATATATATATATATATATATATATATATATATATATATATATATATATATATATGTAACATATGTTATTATTGTAATGCGTATGTTTAATAATGACGTACGGTTGACGTCATTTGTAGGTATGTATATTGACAATACGAAAATGGCTCGATTGAAAACAATACAATTTAGAAACTCAAATATTATTTACGCATTATTAATTGGTACGCATTATGTGAACAAAAGGGAATTGTTTAAAAGACTAGTTCTTCCTCGCGACTTCGCGTGATCGGGATTTTTTTTTATGCAACTTAGAATGGCAAACAAGCTGACGGCCCACCTGATAGAAAGTGGTAACCGTCGCCTATAGACATGAGCAGTACCATGGACGTAACAGAGTATACTCTTTCGCCCACGATACCCCCCATGCGTTGCCATTCCTGAGGACTCAGATGTTATTCCTCTGTAACCAGTAAATTCACGCCATATCCCACCCTTCAAACCGAAACACAGTCATGCAAACACAACTGCTTTAAGGTTGAAACACGAATGGGACAGAGGTACCCATGCAATCGACTTTTGTACAAAGTCTCCCTCTGGGATATATCCAATGAGAGGGAATACCTCGCTGTGATCATTTCTTGTAATTGTTTATATCTATACTTATAATAAATGTGTAGAGAGGTCAATTCTGTACATGAAATATATTTCCAAAATAACTATCAGCGGGTGATTAGTGATCGATACTGATGCCAAAAATGCATTCGGTAAAATTTTTGTCTGTCTGTCTGTATATTCGTTATAGAAACAAAAACTACTCGACGGATTTTAACGAAACTTGGTACAATTATTCTTCATACTCCTGGCCAGGTTGTAGTACACTTTTCATCACGCTACGATCAATAGGAGCAGAGCAGTGAAGGGAAATGTGTGTGTTACATCAAAACCACTGAACCGTGAGAGAAGACATAGGCTACTTATTTTACGAAAAACGAAGGAAACGCGGACGAAGTCGCGGGCAATAGCTAGTCTATAGTAAGTTTACTATTGTAATCTTTTAGAAGGAAAGAAAAGCTTTTTATTACAAAAGATATCTAACAATACAAAACAAATGCTAGTGAATAAAAAATCTCTTATTGAGAACGTGTCTTTTTTTTTACAACGAGCATGCGACTCACTTGATGGTAAGTGACTACCGCCGCCCATGATCACCCACAACACCAGCGGCATTGCAGGTGTGCTGCCGGCCTTTTAAAAAGGAATGTGCTCTTTTCTTGAAGGTTATGTTGTCGTATCGGTTCGGAAATACTGCCGCTGGAAGTTGATTCCAAAGAATGGTTGTGCGTGGAAGAAAGTGCCTTGAAAAACGCTAGGTGGAGGACCGCCACTCGTCCAGATTTAGTTATGTCTGAAGTGCTTACGGCTCACTGACGCTAGTAAGAGTCTTTTCTAAAAGACTTACGAAAGACCAGCAGTATACGCTGACAGTATACACTGGCAGGGCACCAGTGAACAATGATAGGTGAAAATGAAGCCAGGTCGGTTGGCCTATCTCAACAAATTTCACAATAATTAATCACAATGGTTTCCAGGGGAAACCAAGGAGGTCGATCTGTCACGGTATGTTTTTTTTTTTACAACACAGGGGGCAAACGAGCATGCGGCTCACCTGATGGTAAGTGACCACCGCCGCCCATGATCACCCACAACACCTACGGCATTGCAGGTGTGCCGCCGGCCTTTTAAAAAGGAATATGCTCTTTTCTTGAAGGTTTATCAATAGTGATCGAGTTTAAAGCTCCAATTACTAACAATCCTTCTCCCGCGATAGGATATTTATTTATTTATTTATTTGACAATTACTCACCACACTTACAGTACCCCAAAACGTGTAGCGAGCCACGGGTTTATTTCACAAACTTAAAAATTTTGCACAACATTTTAAAAATATATCTATTTTGTCATTAAATATATCAATATCTGGGCTGCTGAGCAATCAGAGAATTGAGCAGAGAAATAGCCTGATAAGTGTCGATAGTAGTCTACAAGCACGCAATCGCATGCAGCGTTGGGGTGCGTACAAAGTACAACGGCTGAGAGTTGCAGGATTGTCTATTCTGCCGATGAGCAACCGATAATAGTGCATCAAATATATTGGTAGCAATGAATTTTTTATACCTCATTACTAACAATCCCTTTCCCCTCTACAAACTCGGACCAGCTGGCGCATTGTGACGAATTCAGCAAGGAATAACCACAATGGTTTCCAGAGGGAACCGCGTAGCTGTATTGTGGTAATACTGTAGCAACATACCCTCCCCTATCAGGTCGACCTCCACGTGGTACCCCCGTGCAAAACCAACGTGCCGAATTCCATGTGTATTCATCACGATAGGCTGACCTGCTTCATCCTCACCTATCATTCTTCACTGGTGCCCCGCCGGTGTATACCGATAGCGCGGGTGTGGTTAGGGGGCATCCATTAATTACGTGAGCTCAGAATAGGGGGGAGGGGTCTAATGAATTCTCACCAAATCTCATTTAAACCGAGGGGGGGGGGAGATAATCAAAAATCTCACGTCAACTTCAAAAAATATAAAATATTAAAGATATTACTAAAATATTAAAGATAAACGTAGACGTTTCCAGTGATTGTCTTCCTGCACTACTAGAAATCCCAGATGATATGTGTTCAATTATTTCGATTGAAAAAATACACGAGTCTCCATGGATTGAGTAAAAATTTAAAAGAAAGTGTTGTTTTTATGATTTTTACTTTGAGTTTTATTTAATTTAAATAAATAAATTATAGTATACCTGAACGATTTATTATTTTCCCGAATAATAAATATAAATTAAGATTAAAATATTTTTTGCGTCAATCTTACGTAGGGGGGGGGGGTTAAGGCAAATCTCACTAAATCTCACCTAAGGGGGGGGGGAGGAGTCTAAACTGATCGAAAAAGAGCTCACGTAATTAATGGATGCCCCCTTACCACTCCATTGTCACTAAGTGGGAGCAAACTGAGCAGTACAGGTGCGAACCGGCGGTGCTGATAGTTCACCAAGTACAGAAAGAAGGTACTGCTCATGTCTATAGGCGACGGTTACCACTTTCCATCAGGTGGGCCGTCAGCTTGTTTGCCATTCTAAGTTGTATAAAAAAAAAAGGAAATTAAAAGACGAATACTTGGGGAATTGTGGTTTATTAAATACGCTGATTGCATTCCGTTTCAACTTACAAACAATACTATACATTTCTTACATAAAAAAACAACCAAATCATGTATGAATAGGACCGATAGAGACCACTCTATGGTGTTTGGATCCACCATAGAATGGACCACACCTTCCTTCTCCACGGATATCGTAACTTACGACTCGTAAGAGGCGACTGCGGGAATTTCATGGTTGACAAATGGGAATTTAATGGTTACCATAAGCCAAACTACGGTCTCCTGCCTCGCCAAACGTGGCAACTACTGGTAAAGCTGCATAGTGGGGATTTATGTTCAGCAGTGGACAGTTACTGGCTGTTCCGAGGAGCGTCAGAGGCGGCTGTATCATATGTATATGGTGCAGGGTGTAAAAGCGTACACGGGCGTAAGGTTTTAGGTGGCGGTATATATATATATATATATATATATATATATATATATATATATATATATATATATATATATATAAAACTTCAAATCGGTTTACACCTGACGGAGTAATGAAGTAACAAACAGTAATCTAGCGGAAGATGCTCGGACACAATGCTCACGCTAATATAAATAAATTGTTACTAAGAATAATTTGCAATTTTATATTTTTTTATACAATAAAATAAAATAAAAACAATACTACAATACTACGTAATTGTGTACTGAACTATGTCGTTTCATTTGTGATTTCAAGAAGTATGTCATTGGTAGATGGCACAGGGTTTCGTCGGTAAACAGTAGATCTTGGGTCTAGTCAAGTCGGCCACCCTTGCCATAGAGGTATCTCTCGTGTTTCTACCAGGCACCTGTGCTTGCTTGCTGTTACAATTTGAAATGTGGGATATGACAGTGATATTAAACGATATGGTAGCATAACACGCTAGTCCTCAGGAATGGCAACGCACGAGGTGTATTATGAGCATCGCAGGATATCCTGTGACGCCCATGTCTATAGGCGACGGTTACCACTTTGGAAATGGTACATCATGATGATGGTATAATCCTTTGCAGGGACGTGCCATGTTATCGTAGACAGACTATAGTCATAATATTGCTGATTATCTGCAATGCACTCAACATGATTGCATTTACGTGCACTCTTGTACATTCATGTTTAAAATTTTTTTTTTATACAACTTAGAATGGCAAACAAGCTGACGGCCCACGTGATGGAAAATGGTAACCGTCGCCCATAGACATGAGCAGTACCGTGGACATAACAGAGTATACAGTTTCGCCTATGATACCCCCCATGCGTTGCCATTCCTGAGGACTCAGGTGTTATTCCTCTGTACCCAGTAAATTCACGTCATATCCCACCCTTCAAACCGAAACACAGCCATTCAAACACAACTGCTTCACGGTAGAAACACGAATGGGACAGAGGTACCCAAGCAATCGACTTCTGTACAAAGTCTCCCTCTGGTGAACTAGTAACTGTAATTAAGATATGTACAATATATACTACTATTGGGGTATTACATATACATCTTGTGATTTCATTGGTACGTTTATGGTTATATATTCTTCATCTGAAAAAAAAAAGAAAAAAAGACAAATATAGTCTATGATTAACAATAATTAATAATAAATAAGTGCCACATGAATTAGTATGTGAAATGTGAAATGTGAAAAGGACTCCATTTTCCGCGCTTAGCCTCTCACTTGGGCCATTGTGCGTATGAGTCGTGGCTACTACAGCCAACCTAGCTCCGTCCAGAAGCACAGAAGCTTCCTGAGATCTTTACAGGCCTCACGGAGCGACCTCACCATTCCGAGGATTTCTAAACGTTGATGGGCCACAGCCTCTCATTCCAGGATTACGTGAGCAGCCGTTTGTTCGGCGTCGAAACAGCCTCGACATAGAGGGCTGTCTGTGGCTCCTATTGTGTATAGATGTTTGTTTAATGAATTAGTATATAAGTAGGTGTCTTAAGAGGCGGCTAAGGGAACTTAATAGCAGATGGATGAGCATACGCGTCCCTCTTAAACATTACCGAAGCGTAACTGCGGTTGCCAAGCGTGGCAACTACTGCCAAAACTCCGCTTATGGCGAAGAGTCCCCTTGGAAACCATTCTGCTGAATTTTAGGTGTATTTTTTGGATCTACCTTTTCATCCTCACCTATCATCCCTCACTGGTGCCCCGCCAGCGTATACCGTCAGCACAGGCGAGGTTACCATTCCATTATCACCCATTAAAAAAAAACTCCAATCCTTATTCCTACCAACTTTTCGGTCTTTTTCATTCAATTCCGTGCATATTTCCATAACTTTTGTCTATGGCTAAATCCGGACATGTCTGCAGGATGGACAATAGTTGGTAGACAAAGAAAGTGTTAAGAGTTGATACCTCGAGAATAGCAAAAGGAAGAGAGATCGACCAAACAGACGGTGGGCAGACGAGCTAGTGATGGAAAATGGATCAGTGTGGATGAGGACAGCCCATAGTAAGCATATGTGGAAGGAAAGGGTGGAGGCCTTAGTCAAAAAGGCGACTATTGTAATTTAAAACTGTACAGTTTTTGTAAAAAACAATGATTCATAAAACATTAATTATGTTGGAGTAATAATAAATGGGTATTTTATTTATTCTTTTATAATACAGAGAGAAAAGGAGCATGCGTCTCACCTGATGGTAAGCGACTTTATAGGTGATAATGGAATGGTAACCCCGCCTGCGCTATCGGTATACACCGGCGGGGCACCAGTGAAGGATGATAGGTGAGGATGAAACAGGTCAGTTAGCCCATCGTGACGAATTCAACGCTGTCAAACTCCATTGCTAACAATCCCTTTCCCCCGATGTAAGTGACTACCGCCGCCCATGATCGCCCGCAATACCAGAGGCATTGCTGTGCTGCCGGCCTTTTAAAAAGGAATATGCTCTTCTCTTGAAGGGTATCATGTCGTTATTTATGAAGCCAGATCCATTAAATAAAAAAGAACTCACCTAACGCACTGTGAGAACCTTTCAACTTGAAAACGTGATGTTTCAGTAGGACATTATTGAAAAACTCCTCCCCGCACACGCACACGTGCCGCTTCCTGAGGGTCACTTTAGGCTCTATATGTTCACTTACATGCAACTGCATCTTATGTCGACTGAGACAGATCTCGCGGCATAGAATGCATATATGCACATTATTCCACAGCGGCAAACCTTTTATGGGGAACGGTGTTAGGAATTTCTTCTTCAACACCCCTTTGACAGGTATGTAATACCTTGCAAAGTCCCCTTGGTACGGGACTTTATACTTCTTATGGTGATTTATATGGGTTTGATAGTAATTCTCCCTCTTCGTGCTGTACTGGCAGATGTTGCAATAATAGTGTTTCATGTGCGATCTCAAGTGGACGGCCAGATCGCTGCGATTGATGCACTTTTCCAAACAGATCGGACATAGAGAGATGCTTTGCAGCTGATGCATCTCGGCGTGACCGTAGAGGAATTGAGGTGTGACCATTTTGAGGCATTTCGGACATTCTATGATCCTTTTCGTTGTCTTTGGCCAGTGTTTCCTCTGTATGTGCGAGGCTAGGAGGAGTTTATTGAAGAATATGTGGCAGCAATAGTCGCATATGTATATTTCGCGTTCCACGCGTACAGCGTTCTTTGAACTTAGTAGATGCTCTTCCTTGATGTGGTTATATAAGGTTTTCCTGTCAGGCTGCTCCCGTTTGCACGTCTGGAATAAAAAAAAACCGTTTCTTGATCACTTCTTATACTTACAATGACAAACATGTTAACAGTTTTAATTTTTACTTCCCATTGCATGTTTTATGGTTTATATGAGACAGGACCTATTGACCTACTCGGGAGAAGGGATTGTTAATTATGGGGAGGTTGGTCTCCATTGCTATCAATAATATACCATATCAGGTCGACCTCCACGCGGTTCCCCCTGGTTTATACGAGACAGGACCTACTGATCTACTCAAGAGAAGGGTTTGTTAATTATGGGGAGGTTGGTCTCCATTGCTATCAATAATACACCTTATCAGGTCAACCTCCACTTGGTTTCCCCTGGTAACCATCATATCTAATTTGTCCTTGAATTTGTTACAATGAGATGGACCTATATTTTCATTCTCATCAATCATCCCTCGTCAGTGTGTACAGAGAGCGCAGGTTCAGTTCCCTCTGTGTGTGTGTGTTTCCAAGTGGAAATTACATGGACTGTGGTCATGTGTAGATTTTTTTAAAGGATGATATTCAATTGGTAACCCCTTTGCTTGAGCATATGTGTCCCATTCGTGTTTCTACCGTGAAGCAGTTGTGTTTGCATGGCTGTGTTTCGGTATGAAGGGTGGGATATGGCGTGTATTTACAGGGTACAGAGGAATAACACCTGAGTCTTCAGGAATGGCAATGCATGGGAGGTATCATGGGCGAAACAGTATACTCTGTTATGTGCATGGTACTGCTCATGTCTATAGGCGACGGTTACCACTTTCCATCAGGTGGGCCGTCAGCTTGTTTGCCATTCTAAGTTGTATGAAAAAAATAAACGTAATCGTAACATATGTGACAGATCGTTTAGATGATAAAAAGCCTATGATGGTAGGAGGTGTTATACCATTTGGTTATACTTACTAATATTAAATGAAAGTGAGTTTGTTTGTTACCTAGAACATCTTAAATTCATTAAATTAGTTATAAACATACTATATGGGATAGAGAAGTACATAGTTTTTATTCTAGTCGCATGAGTAAAACTATATGTAAAAGCTAGTTTAAAAATATAAAACAGACAAAAAGTAATACATATTCACTTAATCTTTTTATCTTTGCTTTATTTTATGCAATATTATTTAAAAAAAAAGCACATTACACAGTATAGATGCATAACATGACAGTCCTCAAGAATGGCAATACATGAGGGGCAATATATTCATCACCATAGATTCGGTGATAATTACCGTACTATTCATGTCTATAAGTGATTGTATACTTTCCATCAGGTAGGGCATCAACTTGTTTGCCATTCAAAGTTGCATAAAAAAAAATACAGTAAAACTGTTTACTAATCGTGCCTAGTACAACAGGTCATGAAAAAAAAACGGGAGAACATCTCCTTTTTAAAAAATCGCAAAAAATAAAAGAAAATATTTCCTTTTTTAGAAGTCGCATAGAAAACGATAGCTAAGTACTTACAAAACAAACGATTTTGTTTTTATTATTCAATAAATTGCACAGTATATCCGTGTGGATGTATTGGCGGTGTATTTCTAATTCCGTTTCGCTGTCCCATCCACCTTCATCACACATATCACAGTAGTAATCTCCTTCATCATCATGGGGCGCGGATACATTGGTTTTCTCTTGAGGAACTCTATATACCTCTGAACGAAACATTTTGTTTATCTGAGATTTAATGTTCAATACGTCGACTTATCATGATTCTATTATATGTTGACGACATTTAAATTATTAAAATAGAAACAAATCTCTTTTTCTAGTAACTAGATAGATATACGTATAAAAAAAAATTAAAAAATGCATATACTAAAGGATACAAGTTTATATGACAAACAGGCATCCAATGTTGCTAATACATTTTTAAATTTTCGGGCTAAACCGAATTTTGTAAAGTCTGATTTTAATATAAATAACTGTAAATATTTTCTAATCTACTATTATTTTAAATTAATAAAGATATCAATATTATTTCCAACTGCTGCTGATGAAAAACCTAAAAAAATTATTCAGAAGAAAAGTTTTCGAAAATTTTTTCGAAATAGGCTAATCGATTATAAAAAGAGTTAGATCTGAAGAGGTGAGTTAACAATTAACGATGCACTATTTTACTAATACGATAACTATTTAATTAACTGACCAATTTATTCGGAGTATTCGAATTATTTGACTACTAATTTTATTAATTCAATTACTAATTTCATGCGACTATAAATTTCATTCCGTGACGTTTTTACTAAACGCTAAAATCATTTATTAGTAATTATTCATGTACGAGTCGGTTCGAACGTATCCGAGTCAACACGAAGAGACAGCCCGACCGCTTGGAATATCCTTTTTTCATTAATGGTTACGAGTGTTGCCATTTTAGTATATTTAGTAAAAAGTAGCACCTTTTGATACTTATCGATGAATATCAGTTCATATCGATGAATAGCAAGAACCATGGTGGGGAGAGCACTAATGAATTTTAGTTAATTTTTCAAGTTCATCAAATTTAGTAATATTATATTATTAATATAGCACATAAATTAGCTCCACTGGTATACGAACAAGTTAATTAATTAATTATATATTACATGTAAACTTTAATCATCCTTAACTATTTTAATTACAATTGTTGTTTACTCGTTGGTTGAAGTCTATTAAAAATAAAAATAATGAACTAAAAACGTTGTTTATTTCTTTGTGTTATATTACACAGAACATAAAATTTATACTTTTGTTTATTACAACGTAATTTAACAAAACATATATTATTTTAATATTAATAAAAAATGTAAGTGTAGCTTTGTTTTTTGATATGGCGCTATATTTCGACTATCATGCCGCCTATTAGAGATGTCCATATCCGCCTATTAAGGTAACATAGTTTAATATAAAAATGTTATTCTAACAACGATGTTCCAACTCTCGCAAGCCTAGCGCGAATAGAGCACGAAGCAAAAAAAAATCAAAGTGATGTCAGGGGTTGGGGGGAAAGGGATTGCTAGCAATGGAGTTTGACAGCCCCATTATTAGCAATATGCCTTATCAAGTCGACCTCCACGCAGTTCCCCCTGGAAACCGTCGTGATTAATTCTAGTGTTATTAGTCACGATGGGCTAACTGACCGGCCTTTTCATCGTCATCTGTCATCCATCACTGGTGCCCGTCAACGTATCCCGATAGCGCAGGCGGGGTTACCATGCCATTTTCACCAATTAAAAAAAAAAGGTCAATAGATGGAGTCAAACTTGCCATTTGTGAGAAAAAGAAGACTGAATAGTTTATTTCTATCCAGTAGACAGCCAAATAATAATTAATACATTTTAATTGCCTATTTGCATAATTCTAATTAAAAAATATTCATGGCTGTTGATCAGTTAAAAAAGTTATAAGAAAATCTAATAGTTTCCGGTCAATAGGCAAATTTCCTCATCAACAAATGAAAAAAGTCCAGAGTGCCAGTCATAAATAAATAAATTATAAAGCATATGTAGATGTACCAAAAGTTATTTATTTGTATTTTTAGTTACAGTTTAATTTCTGGATTGTTTAGTGATCACGGTTTGAAGATAATGTCACTTAGGTTTTTATTAATAAGCTCCTAAGACCAATTTAATTCGATAATATTTTACAATGTAAGAGTGACAAGGTTCTAAGTCGTGACGTCTCATGCGTATTAGCTTTACATATATATTACTTTCTAATCGTTTCAAAAATATAAAATTTAATAATATTGCGACTAATTACAGTTTATTTTGTATCATTATTAACTAGTTAACTTTAAATGTAACCTAATAAGTTATAAATGAAAACATTCGGTTTACAATTAACAATGCAATTTTGCATTTTTACCTATTAGTCTAATATCTAGGCCCTACGCTATTTCTCAATAGTACAATAATTTGCTCAGCTTTGCTTCTGAATAGTGGAAACATTAATATTCGAAGTAGATAACCTGTGTTTATGTTATATGGATTGCAAACGTAAGGTATGTGTATATAATTGTTATTTATGTCTGTTTAATTGAATGTCGTTTTACATCTGTAATAATCTGTTGTCTTTATGATATTAAATTGAGCACTGACCATGCTGAAACCAAATCTTGTAATGCTTCATTTTATCTACTATTTGTCTGTAATGCATAATACCTTAATGTAGATTCAACATGTTATCTTTAGGCATGAATTCATTGAATTTTTATGATATATTAATATACACAGATTGTACTTCCATTTGATTTTAGATTACGTCATTTTTTTTTTATAGATAGAGATTTAAGATAGAGTATTAAGTCTTATATTATTATATCTATATTTATTGCCCTAGATTTATCTTTAATTGATTGATATTATTCAATGACTACCTTGTTTGCTTGTAGATATGTTAATTAATTGTATAATTTAATGTTAAAAGATTAAATAATATAATTATTATAAATCTATACCTACCTACATGACAAATGATTGTTTATAAAATTTTATTAACATGTTTATTCTTTCCTATTTACTTATGTTATGTATAAAATTGTTTACTTACCAATTATTAACATAGAATCAAAAGTGCTGAGTTTAACAAAGCTGAATAGTTACAATATTTGCCAAAAAAGGATCTTTGGGAATTTACAATTTACGGTTTAAACAATACAGCACATGTCCAAAGTTCTATGCAATGTATAGGTTATATGTAACTGGATAGATGTTACACAAAATGAATTCAATATATTATTTAGTTATATAAAACAATTTTTGTTAATTATGCATGTCTTTTTTTTTATAATTATACTATTTACTTCAGTTAACAGATTTAATTGAGATGAACGGACAAAAACTGTGTTTTTTTTTTTTAATCTATCCATTAGTAATGAGATCTGACAGCCACATAGGTATATACACTATTAGGTTGACTTTCATGTGGTGTCCATTTTGGAAACCATTGTGGTTGTGGAAGAAGGGTTGCTAGCAATATACCCTATCGGGATGACCTCTATATAGTTCTCTGGTGGTTAATTCTTGTGTAAATCATCATGGAGGAGGTAACTGACCTGTTTCCATTCTTACTTATCATGTTGTTGATGCCCCATGAGTGTATACTGATAGTACCATCCCACTTTGTTAGTAATGGAGTTTGACAGCCCCATTGCTGGCAATATGCCTTATTAGGTCGACCTCCATCGTGAACAATTCTTGTTGAATTCGTCACGATGGGCTAACTGACCTGCTTCATCTTCACCTATCATCCTTCACTGGTGCCCTGCCAGTGTATACTGATAGCGCGGGTGGGATTACCATTCCATTATCATCCATTAAAAAAAAAGTACCATCCCACTCCCATCCAATAAAAGAAGCCATTATGTTTAATTCCTGATGAGTTATTCACAATGTGCCTCTAATTCTCACTGCTAGTATAAGTTGAATTCTCATACCATTTTCATCAATGTCATTGTGAAAAAAAAAAACTGTTTCCTAATTATTTGTTTTATCCATTTTTATTAATTTAAACTAATGCATATGCAGCGAAACTATATACATATGGTGGACACAACACTGGACGCTGTTCTCTACCAGTCAACCATTGGGCAAACCGAGAGATATGGCAGCATGTATATGTTTTTTATAAGCTTGGCAACCATTGGCAAAACCCCATAATAGCGAGATGCCTATTTTCATGGCTGATATGATGATATGGCCATGTGGTCTCAGCATTGAAAAGGCCACCCCTTCCTTTCTAGTGGGTGTTGTAAAAGAGAACTAAGGGACAGCTAGGGATGGGCAGCAGCGTCCCTCTTAAAATATCTCTAAAGCCTGACTGCGGTTGCCGATCCGCCTGCCAAGCATGGTAACTACCGGCAAAACTCCTCAAGGGGGAGGCTTATGTTCAGCAGTGGACAGTTAAAGGCTGATATGATGATATGGGCTATGCCATATAATTTTATAAGACTCACCTTTACTTAGTTTTAGATTTCTTTCAATAATAGTTTTAGAGTGCTTGTTGGGGCTAGCTCGCTTTTGTAGCGCTTCTAGCATGTTTGCCAATCTCGCATAGATGATTACTACGCTATAGATAGATAGATAGATAATTTATTTGCATCACTTACAGCACACAAACAGCAAAAGATACAAAAGCAATGTGAAAAAATATAAAAAATAGATACATGTACAAAAGTTAAAAAAACCAAAAACAAAATCAGAATGCATAAAATTAGTAAAAAATTTTTTCTTCTTCATGCGTGTGCCACAGCAATACAAAATGGCCACAACTCAGCTTTTTGCTTTGCGCTAAAAAAAGCAAAACACTGATATTCTGTTGTGGCCAAAAGTGAGCCGCGAAATACCACTAAATACATACTATAAGGAGAAAGAGAACTGCATCGTTGCTACACAGGGTTAGGACAAGCGTCAACAGCATTCTAAAAGTAATAGGCGAGAAATATAACTCGCCTATAATTGGGCATTTAATTCAGATGCTGTTCTAGTCGGCTGGCTCACATCTGAATGAAATGCTTTAATTAATTTGCTTTTATTTTTTTACTAACATAGTTTGTAAAGAAAACTGTTACTGACAAAATGGACCAAATTGTAGTCTGAGTAATAAAGTATATTATAATAAAGTATCTAAAACAGACGTGTAATTGATGTCCGTTATAGATACTTCATTACGTATTATGGATTGATTAATGTATTTACTCTTGAGTTCTCATGGCTCAGGACTGTACTGCCCATTGACATAAGCTAAATGCCAATTTTTTTTTTATTTTTTTTTCCCTTTTATCTGTCTGCAAACAGCCCTTTTTAGCCATCAAAAAATCTGTTGTATTACAAATTGTGGGCGTTAGGAGATGCATATCCAGAGAGATGTCACCTCGAACTAATTAAAGTTTTAAATGCTGGCTCCAGTCGTGATCTTTTTAATCTAGATTTAAGCAGTTATTTGTTGGATGCAAACATAACTTTATGGCCAGCTGGTTTTTATGACATTTTTTAGTCTGTTTTTCACAATTTTCAATATTTTTCACCTTATTTGGCAAAACATTTCTGTTTTGCCAAAGGTCGACTGGGAGAGATTGCTATGTAGTATTAAGTCCGCCTTTTGTACCAGACATTTTTTTGTAATGTGGTCAATAAAGAATGTGAGAAACCTATTCGAAAAGTGATGGAGAAACCACAAACAAGGGTTTTTTTTTTATTATGTTCGCAGCATGTCTTTCTGCTGTTATTACAAATATATTATTCCTACTTGGTGTGTCCAACAGGGCCCAATAATTAGACTTGTTTCAATATCTACCAACCATATTATGGAATACTAGCTAACCCAGCAAACGTTGTTTTGCCATATACATTATTTGGAGAATATTTTTTGTCCATTAAAAAAATATTGGGAAGGGTCACCCTTATCATTGAGGGGTATGAAAAATAGATGTTGGCCGATTCTCAGACCTACCCGATATGCACACAAAATTTCATAAAAATCGGTAAAGTCGTTTCGGAGGAGTTTGGTAACAAACACAGCGACACGAGAATTTTATATATTAGATTAAAAATTTAATAATATTTTTTTTTATACAACTTAGAATGGCAATCAAGCTGACGGCCCACCTGATGGAAAGTGGTAACCGTCGCCTATAGACATGAGCAGTACCGTGGACATAACAGAGTATACTGTTTCGACTATAAAGTTCCCTTAGTCGCCTCTTACGGCACCCACGGGATAGAAACGGCTGGCTGTTTTCTATGCTGGGATCGCATGGCGGATATATCCTGTGGTATTTATTTCTTATTATTACTAATTCCAGACCACCAGTATGTCGACGAAGTCGCAGAGGTCCGTGAAGCTGCCCGCCAAGGAAATGATCGTGACCAGGTACAAGTCGGCGCAGCAGAAGCGTCAGCTCCGCAACAAGGATCGCAGCATGAAGAGCATCACCCAGCTGCTCAAGTCGCCGACCTCCAAGACTGGACAGGTAAATAAACTCTCATGAGTATGGACTAGGCAAATTCGCAGCGAACTTTAAAAAAGGGGGAACACAAAACATCGTGGAAAGGTCGCAGTGTCATAGGTTTTTTTTTAAAAAAAGCTCGTCTTGCAATAATAATAATAGACTTGACATATTTAAGAGGAAGCTGGGCCCCATCCTTAAAATTGTCTGGTAAAAAGTACATATTGTTTTTTGTTTTGGTCCCGTGTGGTCCTGGCATAGAATGGGCCACCCGTTCCTTTCCCGTGGGTGTCGTAAGTGACGACTAAGGGATGGGTAGCAGTGTTCCTCTTAACACTTCACCAAAGCCTTCCTGCTGTTGCCAATTCGCCTTCTTTCTTATTCCTTATGTCCAACAGTGGACAATTAGTGGCTGATATAATGATGGCATGGAAAGGAAAAGGTTTATTAGTGATGGGGTGTAACAGCCCCATTGCTAGCAGTATATTAAGTCGACCTCCACGCGGTTTTCTCTGGAAGCCATCGTGGTTAATTCGTGGTGGATTCGTCATGATGGGCCAACTGATCTGCTTTCATTCTCACCTATTATCTTTGACTGATGCCCCGCCAACGTGTACCGATAGCGCAGGCGGGGTTACCATTATATTATCATAAATAAAAAAAAAAACCCTTCAAACCAAATCGCAGCCATGAGGGCACATCACTAGAGGGAGACTACAAAAGTCGATTGCTTGGGTACCTCTATCCCATTCGTGTTTCAACCGTGAAGCAGTTGTGTTTGCATGGTTGTGTTTCGGTTTGAAGGGTGCGATATGGCGTGAATTTACTGAGAACCGTAGCCATGAGAGCACATCTGCTTGATAGAAACCTGAGTGGTACAGAGGTGCCTATGCAGTAGATTTGTGCAAAGACCACCTTCTAAAAGTACTTTCTGTCGTTAATTCCAGCAGAGAAAACCAAGACTACCATCAAAGAAACCACAAAAGAGTCCAGAAACCCACGCCACTCCAGCACCGAAGAAATTGAATTTGGAAACCAAGGAATATATAACACCGACGGTGTTAAAGAAAAAGCCTAAACCGAAAAAAGTGTGGTTGAAACCGAATTATGAGATGAAGATGGTCGCTAGGACAAACAAGAGGAAACTGTGTACCCCGCAGCGAGGTAACTGCAGTTTGTACCCGATTTTCGAATTATTCTATCACTAGCGACCCGTCCCGGCTTCGCACGGGTGGACATTTTTACAACATTTTAAAAAGTGGTTACTGTGACATAACGATAATAGTTGGACATATAGTGTCGCGGAGTTTTTGTAGTTATTGATATTTTCTTCAATATTGTAGAACATAATTTTGTTCTATCACCAATAGTTTCCGCAGCGCACGCGACCAAAGATATTTTATAGCATTTTTTTAAACCTCGAGTTACATTACCAAAGTTTTAGTAAGGATCCCTAATCTTTTCTAGCAATAAATATAACCTATGTTACTCAGGGTGAATGTAGCTTTCTAATGGTGAGAGAATTTTTGAAATCGGCAAAGTAGTTTTTGAGTTTATTCATTACAAATATACAAACACACATACAAACATACAAATCTTTCCTCTTTATAATAATTAGTGTAGATTGGATGTCGACGGACTGTCTTATAGTCGGCTCGATTGTTCGTTTGTTTATATGTTCTGCAATTTCTATTAAAATAGAATATACAGCAGAGAATACGGTCACCCCATCCTTCCCACCTACAGCTAAAAGCTTAACTACTGGTAAACCCCCCTTATGTCTGATATAACAACAAAAAAGATGGGGAATAAGCGATCATATTGCTAAATAGCGACCTCTCCAAGTCAACATTTTTTTTTATTCAAGTTAGAATGACAAGCAAGCTGACGGCCCACCTGATGGAAAGTGGTAACCATCGCCTATAGACTTGAACAATACAGTTGGATCTTACAACATCCACGGGAAAGGAAGTGGTGGCCTATTCTATGCCGGGACCACACAGCTAATACTTACCAGAGGGAGACTTTGTACAAAAGTCGTTTGCTTGGCTACCTCTGTCCCATTCGTGTTTCTACCGTGAAGCAGTTGTGTTTGCATGGCTGTGTTTCGGTTTGAAGGGTGAGATATGGCAGTGAATTAACAGGGTACAGAGGAATAACACCTGAGTCCTCAGGAATGGCAACGCATGGGAGGTATCATGGGCGAAACATTATACTCTGTTATGTCCATGGCTCATGTCTATAGGCGACGGTTACCACTTTCCATCAGGTGGGCCGTCAGTTTGTTTGCCATTATAAGTTGTATAAAAAAAAAACTTAAGACCATATATTGATGGAAAAAGTAGATTTTTCAATTAATCGTTCTCTGATCGTCATGCCTAATCTATCTTATCTCTGTTTATCTCTGATAAATTTGGAAAAATTTATGATTTTTCAGAGCCACTGTCGCTTCCACTCAAGACGAATATCCGATGTCGGCCCATAGTTCAAAGTCCGGTATACTCGGAGCTGAGCATGCCAGAAGTGATCCAGCTGGTCGAGGACACTGGGCAGCTGGATGACGAGGACCTGATGGAGATACTGACCTGTCCGAGCCCTGTCTGGTGGGAGGACCCGCCCGAGCCGTGGTACACTGAGAGTGAGTTTAAATTCAACTAGTAAATTATAACGACGAGCGCCTTAGTAATGCAAACTACCAGTCGCATTGCTAGCAGTGTTGAGTACTCAGGTCGACCTCCACGTGGTCCCCTCTGGAAACCATCGTGTCGAATTCCAGGTGTATACATCACGATGGGCTAACTGACCTGCCTTTTCATCCTCACCTATTATCTCTCACTGGTGCCCCGCCAGCGTATACCATTAGCGCAGGCGGGGTTACCATTCCATTATCGTCCATTAAAAAAAACTATGAGCAGCGTGGTGGCAAACAAGCTGACGGCCTACCTGATGGAAACTGGTAAACATCGCCAATAGACATGAACAATACACTGCTATGCCCATGACAACAAAAGGGAGCATCCCTTAGATGACGCTTAAACATGCCTATACTTGTCAATTCCCTTATTTCTCTTATTCCCTTATTATATTTATATGCTTGTTTGCTTTCTTTATAGTCTTTCTTCTTGTAACAAGAATTGTCTTAAATTTCAGACCCAATACCGTCATCAAGGCGAATATCATCTCAAGACGAACCTCAGGACATTTTGAAAGTACCTGCAACAGATCTTGCGAGCACGCAGACTGTTAAACTCGACCCTAAGTATATTAGGAAAAGGTCGAACCTTGAAATGTTACTTGAGGATATAAGAAATAAAGCTAATAAAAAGGACACGTCCAAAGTGGAAGTTGCTGCAAACAATGATAAGAAGGAGAATGTGTCTAATGAAATTATTAACGATAATGAAAGCATGGCAGATCCCGTAGTTAGGAATTCTAAAAAAACACAATCCGAAAGCACTGAAGGGGACTTGTTTGACGTGAGTTTCCATGATGATATCCTTACAAACTTAGAAAACATTGAAATACCCATAGCAAATAGTGATAAACCTACAGAGTTGTTCGATGAATTTAATATAAATACAGAGACAAATGATAATGTAAATCATGAACCGGAAACACTACCACATTTGGAGTACGCCAACGATGTGGAATCTCATTTGAAAACGTCTATAATCCATAAACAGGGTCTCAGTTGGAAAGATTCAAGCGTAGTAGAAAGCCACGATAGCAGAGGGCGCCACCCTCAAACTAGCAGCAGTAGCGTAGTGCCGATGACGTTGCCACCTTTAAAAAAATACCCTTTAACTAATATTAAACGTTCGTTTGTCTCGCCCGTATCTATTAGAAGTTCAGATGACGCGTCGAGTGTTGACCAAGAAGCAGACACAATATCTGATACTAATATAAAATATTTGCTAGACGATGACGAGCAGACGACTAACAGTGATGACAAGAACGGTGACACATCACCCAAAGTCGACGAAGCCGAATTAATAGATGACACATCGAAAAAGATATTAGAAAAAATAAAACAATTCTTCAAAAAAAAGTCCAAAAGCAAAAACAATGGAGAAGCAGATTTAAGTGTACAGAAAACTGACTCGGCCAATGAGGCGGATAAAAAGAAATTTATTACGGTCTACAAAATAATGTCGGACGAGCACGACGATAGGAAATCGACAATATTACACAGCGATAAACAATCAAATGAGTCCAATATAGAAATCTCAAACGAACCAAAGGACGACAGTCCGAAAGATTTCGAAAGGGGTAAAAGTAAAATAAATTCTTTTTACAAAAAATGCAAAAGTATCAATAGAAGGAAAATTAACGAACTAAACACTTCGGATACTGGTGATAAAAAAGATAAAACTATTTATTTTTTTAATAAAATAAACGAGACGGATACGAATAGCGATTCGAAGACCATAGAGCCGAATGGAAGCGTGAAATATTGTTTTAAATGTTCGTCCATATTTGAAACGTCATTTTGTACGTATTGTAGTAAAAATAACGCTTTAGACAGTAACAAACAGTGTAATCACAAAACAGATAATACACTGCAAGAAATACAAACATGTACTCTGTGTGAAAAGTGACATAATGGAGAAAACTTTTTTTTAATCCATTTTTGAGGCTACGGCCGCTTTCGCTATTGCTGGTAAGCTGTTCTAATTTAAGAGGTTAGATATGGGAGTTACATTACTGGCTGCTGTGATTTGAGGTTTTGACTACAAGAGACGATTATAAGTGATCTCTCTGGTATCACGTGCAACTATAGACTGCTATAACCATAGATTATACGTATATCTTAGATTATATACATAGATAGAGTGTTGCTATAGAAATGCTTCGAGAAAAACGTATCAACTTTTTCATACAATTTTGCGTGATAAATATTTATGAGTGATTCCTTTATAACTTCTATGTTTACTTTGTCTTATAAAGTTTGCGTCTTTTTAATGCGTAAACACTCGTTTTATTTATTAAATAATACGTCAAGATACATTTTATGCGTAAATATATAGAATATTGATAAAAAAAAAATTAGTCGGCTAATTTGACAATTAGCTGACAAAAAGTTGACCAGTTTTTGAAGCTCGAAGCTCTATCTATATAATCTGAGACATATATAGCTATCTATGTAAAAACGTGTAATCCTTGATACCTATATAGGAGCGAATCGACCGACTTTCTTGCATACACATATGAGCTACTTTCCGTGAAGGTTGTCGGAGAGGCTGCATAATCATTTCCAAAATGCCCTGTCATTCCTGTGAAACTGCATAAACTTATTTCTATACAAAACTTGTAAAATAAGTAATGCCATACCACCGATAAATTTAAAATCTAGATTCTATTTTTAAATCGATTTTAAAAGTATTCCATATTTAAATTTTAAAACTGTTCCACTACCGAGATTAATGGTAATGAAAAACAAAATATATGACTATTTAAAAATGCTTTAATTTTAGTTTACTGGAATAATACTTTGTTTCTTTCTTTCTTTCTTTCTTTCTTTCTTTCTTTATCGATATTTAAGTTTCCCATTCGTGTTTCTACCGTGAAGCAGTTGTGTTTGCATGGCTGTGTTTCGGTTTAAAGGGTGGGATATGGCGTGAATTTACAAGGTACAGAGGAATAACACCTGAGTCCTCAGGAATGGCAACGCATGGGGGGTGTCATGGGCGAAACAGTATACTCTGTTATGTCCACGGTACTGCTCTTGTCTATAGGCGACGGTTACCACTTTCCATCAGGTGGGCCGTCAGCTTGTTTGTCATTCTAAGTTGTATATAAAAAAAAAAATATTTTGAAAATATAATGAAGTATCATGTTAGTGGTTACGTGGAGGCGGTAGTTAAAACAAAGTGTAATTATAAGACGATTTTTCCATAGAATCTCGACAACCATGCATCGTTTTCATTTACTCCGACAATTTTACTAATATAATAGAATTGTAACTCGACGGTGTCTGTACATAAAAGGTGTTTAAGTTAAATTTATCTTATCATCGTCATACCAGCCTTTAACTGTCCACTGCTGAACATAAGCCTCCCCCTTGGGGGGTTTTGCCAGTCGTTGCCACGCTTACAGGCAGATTGGCAACCGTTAATGCGGTTTTAGAGATGTTTTAAGAGGGACGCTGCTACTAATCCCTCGCCCTCCCCTTGTTGCCTCTTACGACACCCACGGTAAAGGAAGGGGTGGCCGATTCTATGCCGGGACCACATAGCCAAAATTTATATAAAAGGTCTTAATAAAGACCAGTAAATGTCAAGACAGTATTTTTTTTTTATAAAATTTTGTCTCTCTGTATATTTGTTTTGGAATCGGACAAAAACTACTGCATCGATTTGGATGCAGCTATCACAGTTGTGTTGCTGAAGCTCTGATTTAAAGTGGGGTGTATGATTTATCTCTACGCTATCTAGAAATGGTAAATTCCATTGATTTTCTTCTGAAATTCGCGCGTACGCAATAGACGAGATACGAGGGTTAGTAAAGATGAAATGTTTTTTCTTTTTTACTTGGTCTTTGTGCCGCTTCTGATCACGATGTATTGTATGTTATTCGGGTTGTTACATTGTTATTCCATTTTTACGCAACGTATTTACAATCTGATAATGTAATTATATTAAAAATCTAAAAGTGAGTTTAGTTTATTCATTATACACCGGATTTATACGATATACGATTGGCAATTATCAGGTGTTGCCAGGTCTAGTTAGAAAAAAGTCGGGAGAAATTGTGGCAATATACAAGGGTCATTTGAAAAGTTCTTAGCCTAACATGGTTAAAGTCATTGTTTTTTTTTTTATAACTACCCTCATTTTGTAGTTACATTATTTATCAACAAGTATGCACAGTTTAGTTTATTCACAGTAACTCATTGTTCGTTTACACGTGATACTGTAAGTCAAATAAAGCTATTTTTGAAAATGGATAAAATTGAACATCGTGCAGTGATAAAATACCTGAATTTGAAAGGTTTAACTCTAAAAGCTATACATGAAGACATGTCTGTTACTTTGGGTGTGTCCGCACCATCGTATGCGACTGTTAAAAACTGAGTGGCAGAGTTTAAACGCGGTCGTGAGACCATTCAAGATGAGCCCCGTAGTGGCCGGCCTTCGACTCCTTCCACTGATCAAAACAAAGAAAAAAATCTGTGATTTAATTTTATCTGATCGAAGATTGACTGTCGAGGAGATAGCTAAGATTGTAGGCATCTCGTCTGAGCGAACATATATAATTACTGATGAACACGAAGTGGTACACCACTAACAGTTCGAAAATGTGTCATATTTTCATCCATTCCTATCTCAGTTAATACCTTTACCTTGTATTATATTATATTTGGCTACGCCAATAATATTTCGTTTGTTTTTAACAAATTTAAACATTAATTTTAAATTATAATTACAGTTTAACGGTATAAATTTTAACGTTGACCTGGCAACACAGGCTTACAGATTGGCGCCAAAAATACACGGGCAAAGGAAAAAGTTTTAAAAGATCTGTAAAGATATCTCAAGAAGTTAATGATATCAAGAATGATTAATGAGTAATATTTGTTACTTACCATCATGTAGTATTATTTACTTCATTACAGTTCCTATTTTTCTGCAATTATGTATATCGGATATTGTAAATAAACGATGATTATGAAGGAAGTACTGGTGTTTTTTTTTCTCTAATGCAAGATGCCAAAGACAATGTTTCGTCACTGTCATCTTGTTGCATTTTTTCTTTTTAAAAATGAAGTTATATATAATAATGTTGTCCTAAAACTGTATCTATTTGCTGTAGTGTAGCCCTGGTTTTCCTATGAATAAATAAATAAACGACTGCAAAAAAGTGGAGGTGCCTACTCAATTCGGTTGTTATTTTTTTATCTACCTATGTTACCTCAGAACTTCGTTATTTTAGATTGGTCTCGTAGAAATTTTATTAAAGTTTTTAAATCCAAAATAACCAGAGGGAGACTTTGTACAAAAGTCGTTTGCTTGGGCGCATCTGTCCCCTTCGGTTTTCTACTGTGAAACAGTTGTATTTGCATGGCTGTGTTTAGATTTGAAGGGTGCGATATGGCGTGAATTTACTGGGTACAGAGGAATAACACCTGAGTCCTCAAGTATGGCAACGCATGAAGAATATCATGGGCGAAACAGTATATATAATAATGTCGATGGTACTGCCCATGTTTATAGGCGACTGTTACCACTTTCCGTAAGGTGGGCCGTCAGCTTGTTTGTCATTCTAAGATGCATTAAAAAAAACTGGATAGCCAAGATTGAATTCGATGTACTTTTTGTGAAAGAAAATCTTTTATTATATTATAAGAAGCCGGCAATTAATTCTACAGAGATAAATAATTCGTAAATTCTCTCTTCAATGGTTACCACTGCTAATACTACTTAAAATGGCCCACTAGAGAGGCGCCGATGAGGTGCTTGCCTAGGGCGCTCTTTTTTATACGCCTTTGGTTCAATTGAAACAAATTGTATAATACATTCTACTGTTACGGATATAGTGTTTTATTCGAGTAAAATACATTTTCAGAGATTGCAAAACAAATTTATTTTAATGTTTAGACAAAAATCTTATCTGGCATTCTCTTCCATACAGTATGTTGATTAGGTGCCTGTCTGAATCGCTAAGGTCGGTTCTGTGACCCATAGACAAAGTCTTTTGCCATAGATGGTCCTGAAAAAAAAATATGACGTTAGTTTTGGCGCGAACATATCACATACAGGGCCGTGCCTGACGGGCGTTCATTGCGTGCACCGCACGCAGGCGGCCGAAATTAAGAGGCGGCCAAATCGTTACAAGTTGTTTACTGGGCAAAAATACAATCGGTTTGTTTTCATTAAGATACGAAGTTTGATGCCCTGTGTATAATAATAAACATTAAAAATTAAAGTAGTTTTTTTTTAATGTTATCCTGGGGGCGGCCATACAGACTGGCACGCAGGCGGCCATATACCCAGGCACGGCCCTGATCACATAATGGCGTCGACTCTAGGCGTCATTTCTTTAAAACTCAGCTCTTAAATTAAAATTATCTATCACATTATCCTGACCAAACACAAGGACAATATGGTGCTTGAATGCGATCAATCGAAAAGAAAATGGTTTACTCTCAACAGTTGGCCAAACTATGCCAGCTCAATGAGTGCTTTTCACGGTATGTTTGAAGAAACCGAGGTTATAGGATTTTTTTTATGCTACTTAGAATGGCAAACAAGCTGACGGTCCACCTGGTGGAAAGTGGTAACCGTCGCCTATAGATATGAGCAGTACCATAGACATAACAGAGTATACTGTTTCACCCATGATACTCCCATGCGTTGCCATTCCTGAGGACTCAGGTGTTATTCCTCTGTACCTTGTAAATTCACGCCATATCCCACCCTTCAAACTGAAACACAGCCATGCAAACACAACTGCTTCACGGTTGAAACATGAATGGGACAGAGGTACCTCAGTAATCGACTTTTGTACAAAGTCTTTATCTGGTTGAAGGGAACACGACAAGAGAAAGGTCATTAAGAGGGATTTTTGGGTCTGATTGATTGATTGATGTCTAAAACAGTACTTACGACTATAGGAAAAGATATATTTGAGAATACATAATATGGCTATTTTGAATGGCTAACCCTCTTGAAAATAATCTTTAAACACGCCAATAGGTACTTTCAATGGGTGATAATGGAATGGTAATCCCACCTACGCTGACGGGGCACCAGTGAGGGATGGTAGGTGAGATGAAAAGGCAGATCAGTTAGCCCATTGTGATGTATACACCTGGAATTAAGCACGATGATTTCCAGGGGGGACCACGTGGAGGTTGACCTGATAGGGTATATTGCTGGCAATAGGACTGATAGTCCGCATTACTAACAATCCCTTTCTTCCCTCGCCAATAGGTACTGTGCTTCATAATTATCATTTTATCATCCGTTATCTGTTCATTGCTGAATAAGTCTCCCCCATAGACTGTCATAAGGAATAGGGCCGTTCCTTATGGCAGTTTAGCACTGGAAGGCTTTTGCCAGCAGTTGCCAAGCTTGGAAAGCGGGTTGGCAACCGCAGTTAAGTTTTGGTAATGAACGGTGTGGACTGCCGTACGGTGAGCGTGGACTGTAGGGGCGTTGGTTCAGGCTGGAGTGAAACACAGCGATTACTATTCTGAAGCTTCCGGTACCGTCTGAAGAGAGTATTTTTTCTTCTTGTCCTATTTCTTCTCGAGTGTAGTGCGTCGCTGCTCGGAAGCGAATGCCGCTCGACGGGAGGCGGCCTATCTTTATACCCGCCCGCTCGCACGATAACATTTCTAACTCGCGTTAGCGAATCTGTGCGAGCGGGACGGGGCGAGAGTGAACGAGACGCGTGTCTCTTCAGATCGGTACCCTATAGCGTCTATTTATTTATCACAATTTACAATTTCTTATTTGTTTTTACAATTTCTATTTCTATTCGCAGGTAATAATAACGACACGTAAAGAATGCTTTATTTGACTTACACTATAGGTATCTTAAATCTATGTAAAATCTATATAAAATAACAGTATACAAAAACGATTAAACTAGGGACTTAACAACTAACTATAAACATTGCTATAAATATCGCTATAATTACACATGTACAATAATGTCGCGAACATAATCTCCCGCCGCAGCTCTCGTAGCTGGAGTTAACTCGTGTTCGCGTCGCTCGATGTCGATGTGGCCAGTATGATCAACTTCTTAGTGGGTCGCCGTAGGATGCCCTTGTTTGTCCGCATGTCGACCGCTCGGATCTCGCCGTCTGGTCCAGGGTAGGTCGCCACCACCACGCCTCGCGGCCACGTGTTGCGAGGCAAGGTCCCATCAGCTATTAGGACCAGGTCGTCCATTTCGATGGCTCCGTGTGTAGCTCGGGGCTCCCGCCGGTGTTGTAACTCGGGTAGGTACTCCTTCACCCACCGGTTCCAGAAGCAGTCAGCTAGCCTCTGGCTGGCACGCCACTCCTTGTGTCCCGCCGCGTCGCTCTCTGTGAAGCTGCCTGGCAGTGGGACGCGCGATGGACCGCCCAATATGAAGTGATTGGGGGTTAGGGCGCTGTCGTCGTCTGCCGATGTTGACACGTGGGTTAGCGGTCGGCTGTTGAGGGTGTGCTCGACCTCGACCAGTAGAGTGTGGAGGACCTCTTCCTTGGGGGCCCGCTCGTTCAACGTAGCGGCTAGTGCGGTCTTCACGCTACGCACCAACCGTTCCCAAGCACCTCCCATGAAGGGTGCGCTCGGAGGAATGTAGCGCCACCGGATGAAATGAACTGATGACTCTTCTTGGATGGCTTCCTCGGCTGCTTTCTTCAGTTCGACGTCAGCACCTTTGAGGTTGGTGCCTTGGTCGGACCATAGCTCAGTGGGACACCCTCTGCGGCTTATGTAGCGCCGCAGGGCCATTATGGCGGAGTCCGTGCTGAGGCTGCCGGCGATTTCTAGATGGACTGCGCGCGTCGTTAGGCAGGTGAAGAGCACTCCGTATCGTTTCTGGTGAGTGCGGCCCACTGTCACGGTCATAGGCCCGATGTAGTCTAGGCCGGTGAACGTGAACGGTCGCTGATGATGCGCCAGCCTGCTCTGTGGATGGTTGCCCGTTGATGGCTGCGCCGGTCTTGCTCTTCGTAGGCGGCACAGCTGACACCTCTTCAGTTCACTGCGGACGGCGTGTCGTAGGCGCAACACCCACAAGTGTTGTCGCACCTCGTTCGTGGTGATCTCGAAGCCGCCGTGGTGAAGTTTCCGATGCACCCATGCGATGTATAGGCGCACCCAGGCGTGGTTTCCGTCGACGATGGGGGCTCTCGTTGCTCGGCTGACAGATCGGCGGCGGCTGCTATTCTCGATCGAAGTCGCAGAATGTCGTCGTTGTCTATGACGACCGACAGCTGTATGAGTCGACTGGATGACGGCAGCTGTTTCCCTTGTTTCAATACTGCGATTTCGTCGCCGAACGCCTCTTGTTGTATCGCGCGAATCCATAGTCGTCGCGCGCGATCGAGGTAGTGTGTGTCTATGGGGATGAAACACACAGATGGACTATTGCTGTTCTTGATTTTCATCTTCGTCTTCTCTCTATCGACTTTCTTCGTGCGGGTCCAAGTGGGGTCGGCGCTCTCTTTCTTCTTGTTTCTCTTTCGGATGGCGGTGCAGCGTTGACTGGTCGGTCGCAGGAGGTCGATGAACTGCAATACCCGTGCTGAACTGCGAACAAGTTTCAACCAATTAGAAAAACGTGACGGATCGGGTAATGCTATGGACAACTGCGTCGCGTTCTGTAGCTTGTGTACGCGTTCTTCTCCCGTTTCCACTTGACTATCGTCGCTCGAACTATCTTCACGCGGCCACTGCTCTTCGGGGAGGTACAGGAAGTCCGGCCCACGGAACCACCTATGCCGCGAGCCGAAGTCCGTCGGTGGGTCGCGTGTGGCGTCGTCTGCTACGTTGTGCCGCGTCGGTATCCACCTCCACTCGTTCGTCTTCGTTTCTTCGACGATCTCGGCAACTCTATGCGCGACGAACGGCTTGTATGCGCGAGGACCGGTGCGTAGCCATGCGAGCACGGTGCGTGAGTCCGACCAGTATACTCGGCGAGCGGGCTTCAGGTCGTGTTCTTCGATTGCCGTGCGTGATAGGCGACACCCGAGGACGGCCGCTTGCAGCTCCAGTCGCGGTATCGTGGTGAGTGTGGCCACTCGTCCCTTTGCCGCGATCAGCGACACGTGGACCTCGCCGGTCGCGCTTACGGCCCGCCAGTACACGGCACAGGCGTACGCGTCCGAGCTGGCGTCGACGAATGTATGCAGCTCCGCTGTATCGGCCGTGGCTACCTCCGGGTAGCACCGCGGCACCTCCAGCGCGGACAGCCGTCGCACGTGGTCCATCCAGCTCCGCCAGGCGTCCGCTTCCCGTGGTTGCAGCTCGGTGTCCCAGTCGATACCGGTACGCCACGTCTCCTGCAATATCTTCTTCGCCTGTATGGTGATGGGAGTGGCGAGGCCCAGTGGATCGAACAGCGACATGATCGCTCGTAGCGCTTCCCTCTTCGTCGGCGTCTGTTCCCCGCTGGCTATCTGTGGCGGAAGCTTGTGACCGTTGAAGTTGAAGCCTAAGGTGTCTTCAGAAGGTCGCCATACCATCCCCAGTATCTTCTCCGCGTCGAGTTGTACCACGCTGTCCCCGCCGGTGTCGGAGAACGCGGCGCGCACTTGATGCGAGTTCGACGCCCACCGTTGGAGATAGTAGTTGGCTCGACCGTGGATCTGTGCGACCTGTCTTGAGACGCGTACGGCTTGCTCTTCCGTGTCGAAGCTGGCGAGGTAGTCGTCGACGTAGTGGTTCATGACCACCGCCGTTGCTGCCTCCGGGAACTCTTCCTTGTACTGTTCTGCGTTCTTCTTCTTGACGTAGATCGCTGTACACGGTGACGATGTTGCGCCGAATATGACACTCTTCATCCTATATTCCACAGGTGGACCCTCTCGTCGATCTCCTCGCCACAGGAACCGTTGCATGTCCCTATCTTCTTCCCGTATGGTGACCCGCATGAACATGTCCTTTATGTCCGCCGTGACTGCCACCCGTCGTTGCCGGAACCGCATGAGGACCCCCGGTAGCGATTGAAGTAAGTCGGGGCCCGGCAGCAGCATGTCGTTCAAACTGATGCCCTTCGTCTTGGCTGCTGCGTCGTGCACGATCCGCAGTTTCCCCGGTTTCTGCGGGTTGATGACGGCGAAGTGTGGCAGGTACCACACCCGTTGGGAACTCCGTGGCGGGGCGACTTCGGCATACCCGTTCTTGAGTAGCGTGTCCATTTGTTGTTCATATCTCTTCTTAATTTCTTCATTCTTGTCGAGTTTCCTTTCGACCAGTTGGAGACGTCGCATTGCCGATTCATAGTTGTCCGGCGGCACAGGGTTGTCCTTCTTCCATAATAACCCCGTCTCGTATCCTCCCGCCGGTAACGGACGAGTTTTCTCTTCTAAAATGCGTAGGGCGCGACGTTCCTCTTCGTTGTAGGACCTCTTCGGTGCGATCCCCAGCGATTCGAGCGCGAAATGTTGCTTCATCATTTCTTCCATCGATTGTTCCTCTTCATGTGTCGTCACTATGTGGCTGATTCTGTGCACCTGCTGTCTTGTCCTGCCGCGACTCGTACCGTGCAGTACCCATTCCAGGTCGGTGAGTGATGCGACCGGCTGCGTGTCGGATCCTCTTCTTACTTCGTGGGCCAGCAGTAGGTGCCAGTTGTCTTGCCCCAACAGTACCGTCGGTTTGCCCTCTTCATAGACCAATTCCCTCTCTATGTCCCGTAGATGTGGACAGCCCTTGATGACGCTGCGTGGTACCGACTGCGGTGATAACTGCAGTTTGTTCATCGTCCGTGCCCCCACTGTGTATTCTTGTGAATTCCGCCCGCGGATCTTGAAGTGAACACGCGTCGATTGAGCTGCGTTGATCCGTGCCCCGGCCACACCTTCCATGTAGAATGGTGCGGGGGGACCCGTAGCACCGATTCGCTCCGCCACCGTCGTCTCGATGATGGTGCAAGTCGACCCGTCGTCCAGTAGTGCGTAGGTGTCGCACGTTCCCGTGGGACCGGTGACTCGTATCGGCAGGATCTTCAGGAACGCGATCTTGTCGTTTTCCTTGCCGATGCGGCGACTGCGGCGGACTTGTCCTCGACGACGTGCGTTGTCACTTCATTCTCCGGCTGTTGTCGCGTGGTGTGCAGCAGAGGGTGATGAGTCTGCGTGCACTCATCTACTCCACATTTCTTGCTCTTGCAGGCGTGGCGAAATCTTCTCACTTTGAGGCAACGGAAACACAGCCTATGAGTCTTCGCTAGCTCCCACCTCGCCGATGTGTCCGCTTCCTTCATCGTCTTGCAGTCCGATGGAGCGTGTCCCTCTCGTCGACACATCGGGCACGGTGGTGTAGCGGGTTTCTCCTGCGTCGTGTATGTCTTCGCCGTCTTCCTAGGAGCGGACTCCCGCCGGTCTTCGGACGGTATCTCCTCGGCGGGGGCGAAGTTTCCACATCGTGCGGCGGTCCTTTGCAGGAACTGAGAGAGTGTTATGAGGTCCGGTTGTCCCTCCGGTTGGTCGTTGGCGAAATCGTAGTACTTGAAGCGTAGTACCGACGGCATCTTCTCTGTGACGTTTCTTACTATTTCTTCGTTGTAGAGGTAGTGACTCTTGTTCAGCGCTCGTATCGTGGCGACGACGTTCTGCACCTTGCTCGCGAAGAGGCAGACGTCTCTTGCGTTGTCCGAGAGTCGTGGTAGCGCGCGGAGTTTGTTCAGTTCGGCTGTGACGAGTGCTCCAGGGCGGCCGAACCTCGCGGCTAACATCTTCATCACTTCTTCTGCGGTCGTAGACCCGACGAATAGGGAGCGTGCCGCGTCCTTTGCGGCCCCCTTCAAACTTCTGCGCAGTCTTGCTAGGTTCTCTTGTTCTGTGTGTTGACTTGCGCTTTCTTCATAGGCCATCTTCCATGGTAACCACTCGCTCGACGATCCATTGAAGACTGGCAACTCGGTGACTCTTGACGCTGTGGAGGGCAGTATGTTGCGAGCGGCCATCTGCATGGCGCCGCAAACTCATTACAATCGATGCCCACCTTCAGCACCGGTTCTTCTTTCTTCATCGACTGCATCGCTGCTGCTATCGTAGGAATGGCGGCATGTGGGTCAACGTGGCGTGCGTGGTCCCGGTGAAGTGCGTCGCTGCTCGGCTGTGGCGGCGGCGCTCTCGAATCCTCTTCAACGGGTCTCGATGGGACGAACCCCTGACGCTTGCCGGTGACTTCTTCTATCTCTGGTACATGCGGCTCCATCGTGAGTGCCAGCGTGCTTCGATGAACCCAATCCGACGTTCGTTCTCTTCTGACGGTAGCGTCGTCGTCTTCTATTTCCTCGTCGTCCTCCGATTCGGCTTCCAGGGCGGCGACACGTGCAGCAGCCAATTCCACCTCCTTTCGAAGTAGCTCCTCCCGTGCCTTGGCCAGAGCCTTCTTTTTCTGCGAGGCCGTGGTGCGAACCGTGTGTGCCGTGCCGTGCTTCGGTTCCTTCTTCCTTGCTGTCTCCTCTGTCGTTCCTGTGGCTTCGGTAGTCTCCGTGGCTCCTGTGGTCGTCGTATCGCCGGACGTGTTCGTAGTCGATGTGGTGGCGGCGGTAGACGACGTGGCAGCGACAGATGACGTTCTGACAGCCGCAGACGACGTGGTGGCAGCAACGGACGGCGTGGCAGCGACGGACAGCGTTCCGGCGGCCGTAGTCGACGTGGTGGCGGCGGACGTTGTGGCTTCGGTGACGGCGATTTTCTGCTGCGACGACTTCATGTTTCTCGTAGTCGGCATTTCAGCGATCCGGCTTCAGAATGGTCTTCCTCCAGCGATCCGGCTTCTCGATGTACCAACGGTGTTCCTCCAGCAATCCGGCTTCTCGAAGGACCACGATGAACGGTGTGGACTGCCGTACGGTGAGCGTGGACTGTAGGGGCGTTGGTTCAGGCTGGAGTGAAACACAGCGATTACTATTCTGAAGCCTCCGGTACCGTCTGAAGAGAGTATTTTTTCTTCTTGTCCTATTTCTTCTCGAGTGTAGTGCGTCGCTGCTCGGAAGCGAATGCCGCTCGACGGGAGGCGGCCTATCTTTATACCCGCCCGCTCGCACGATAACATTTCTAACTCGCGTTAGCGAATCTGTGCGAGCGGGACGGGGCGAGAGTGAACGAGACGCGTGTCTCTTCTAGAGATGGGCAATCCACCTGGGTGGGTTTAAAGTCTGGTGGGTAAAAACCGGGTGTTTTGGGTTTATTGGGTTTAAACCCCATAAACACCCAAATTTTTGGGTGTTTATGATTTTGTACTTCATCATCGTCATCTCAGCCGCAAGACGTCCACTATACTGGACATAGACAATATTATTATGCAGCCTACAGAATAAAAAACTTTTAATTTGATTTTGAGTTTATTAAGAAAGAGATGAAAGTAAAATGTAAAACTACAGTCAATCACTGTCAGATTCAGAGTTATTACAAGCGATGAATTGTATAGGTTCGATAGGCTCTATTTCGTCTAAACTGTTATGTTCATTTACTTGCTCAATGAAAGCTTCTAAGGTATTTTCTTCATTAAACTGAATGTCCTCGCATTCAGCTTTATGTTTAAGATTCCAGTTATAACAAATGAATGAAATTTTTTCAGTTCTTTCAGTTGTAAGTCGATTTCTTTTGTTATTATGTATGTAGCCTTGGATACTAAAGGAACGCTCAGTGGCTGCCGAAGTACAGGGAGCTGATAGAATACGAATCGCTACTTTGCTTAACTCAGTGGAACCACAAATACCTTTCCACCATATTAGGGGCTCAATGCTATCTAATGAGCTCCATACAAATCCTCTGGCCCAAAAGTTTTCTTTAGCTTTATAACACGCCAAATCTGCCATTACATTTGACAAACTTAAGTGTTGGCTTAAATTGTAGATAAACTCCATACCCTTAAGTTCTTCCTCTTGAGTAAGTTCGACTCCTAGAGTCCTGGGGTCTAGAATATATGCTGCAAAATGTATTGGCCTCATTGCCATATTGCATCTTGAAGATACTGATGTTAGAATCTGCTGTTTGCTTTCTTCGCTCAATGTCGAAATCTCATTTAATGCAAAACGTATCTTAGCTTGTACATCTCTAAATGTAATGTATGTGCGATGCAAACGATTCTGGTCGCTCTCTAAGTAAAATATGCTTTCAGTGACTGGTTCCAAAATACTTATACATTCCCCTGTCTTCGTCCAGAAATCATCACTTAGAATTAAATCTTTAATATCTCTTGAAATTACCACATCTTCTCTAACTGTTAATATTTGCAAAGCTATCTTATTTGCTTTCAAACTTTTTAACGAAGTAACATGACTTCCCCATCTTGTAGCACAAGGCAATTTTAGTGTTTGTGTAGAATCTTCACCCTGCCTTGATTTTATCAACAAGGAACTTAATCGTTGACTCCTTTTAACAGTTTTTATTATATTTATGGCTTGCATAATAAACACAGTTACTTCTTGTATCTTTACAATATCTTGGCACAACAAGTTAAGGATATGTGCACAGCAACCGAGAGGAACAACATGTGGATATTTGAGTTTTGTTAATTCGAATGCCTTTTGTATATTTCTAGCGTTATCGCCAATAAGTACAAGAAACTTATTTGCTCCATACACTTTCATTACTTTTTCAACTTCTTGGCTAAGGTATTCACTAGTGTGAGGATTACTTTCTGTATTCAAACTTTTAACGTATGCAGGTTGAGGTTTTGATATAAGAAAGTTTATTATTCCTTCATTTCTTAAATTAGACCAGCCATCGCACTGAAGGTGTAAGTAACTACAAGCATTTAGTTCCTCATTTAACTCAAAACGCATTTCTCTATATATTTTATCTAAGTATTTTGTCGCTAAAGCTTTACGTGAAGGTATTTTAAATTTTGGTTGCAATTTTTCGAAAAATTGTATCCATAAAGGATGTTGCACCATCGATAATGGCGTCCCTGTTACAAATATAGCTCTCGCTAATTCTGTTTTTATATGATCATCGGTGTCTTGAAACTCAGCATTTATTGTAGTGTTAGCAGACGACGAGGGGCTTATAAAAGAATCATTTGTCTCTATCTCTGACAGTCCAGACATTTTGGTTTTGGACGAGCTATCTTTTATAAGTTTCATAGAGTCTTTTAATGTTTCTGGAGATTTTGGACAAGTGATAAGATGTTGAAGCATTTTGGCAGCATTACTGAATTTGTAGACCTTATTACAAAGCTTGCAAGAAACAGACTTGTTTGGTAAAGTACGGTAGTGCTCCCATATGCGTAAATCTTTAGGTCTCCCCATTGAACCTAAAAAAATGAACGATGATTAGTTGGTCTGACGAAAATTCAACAATAGAGTGCCTATTTTTTTACAATGATTATTTCTTGTTATTTACAATAAATTTATTAAAAAAATAATAAAATAAATACAAAAAACCTTTGTAAAATTACATCTCCTCGGAGGATTAAACGCAGACGCTAGTTTATTATCGTATTGTTCTGTATTTTTCTCAGCAACTTCTTTAATTCGATTAGGTACTTACGCATATTATGTTAAAAATAAATATCTAGTACACATCTTAGGCTATCCACCATTATTATCCAATGACGACTCTCAGCTAACTATGCACTATCATCCAAAATAAACGTGTATGGAAAATTTTATCCCAGTCGGTTGAGGATTGAGGATAATTGCATCAACATACGAACATACCTACATACTTTTATTTACATAACGCAAGCTAAATAAAAGCTTGTAATAATACATCTAATTTTAAGTTAAAATTGTTAAGTGATCATGATATAATTGTATCATTCAAAAATCCACTTACCTTTAATTATTTCTTGTTAAGTATAAATATTATTTCAAATCTGCTCCCTTAATATGCACTTTTTTACTGCTTTTCCTACCTAACACGTTACCAGGAAGTCACGTTACCAGAGTCAGAGTAATAGTGAACACGTTTGACAGTGATTGTCGTCGCCTCATATTCAGCGTCGACGAATAGGGGAATCCCCAGTCATAATGTATTGCATGCGTGGCGGTCTTACTTCAAATCCATAAACAAAGAGATAATTACAGAACTCGATACTAGATGGCGCTGTTTTTGTTTGAAGAAAGTTTGCGGGCTAAAATACATAGAATTTCATCAATGACTTCCACAAAGAACAACATTTCTGTTTTTTCTAAGTCCGTATCTCTTCCGTATATTTCATAAGATATAAGCTTGGGCTACATTGTTATGCAACGTGATTTTGTCGCTGTCTTGCTAGCAGGGTTGACAGATATACGATTTAAATCGTACTCATACTATTATTTGTCTATTTTTTAATGTACGATCGTAAAGATTATGATCGTAATTCGCACAAAAACATACGACTTTTTGGTTACCTGGCAACATTTTTATTATGAAACGAACATGCTCACATCATCAGTCACATGCAACAATTTATTGGGGATTTCCCCTTCACATCTGGCAGTCCTGCTTGCTAGAATATAGGTAAGTCAGCCACAGTTACTGACGATCGATATTTAAAGGGTATTGTTTTTGTGCTAAATATTTCATAAAAACGTTATTTAATACTTTGTGGATTATTAATTTAGTTGATAATCACTGGAAGTAAAATGGATGCTAATTTGAGAGATCAAGATCTTCGTATAAAACAGTTAATAAAAGAAAATCTACGTAAGTACTCTTTTTATACCTAGGTAGGTAAGGTATAATAAACACAAAAGGTACTTAGATCGCGTGTGTTCGAAGCATTTATTCTAATAAATTTAATTTAAAATTGTAGAAAGAAAAAAATGTCTGCCAAGCCGTAGCCGAAGCCGATCTCCAAATATATTTGGCGATAGTGAGACCCAGTGTCCAGATGATTTACCCAGCGTCGTCGCAACGAAGAAAAAAAACGAGGATAAAGTAAAAGAAAATTTACTGAAAGAAGAAACAAACTGTTCTAAATGCTTAATTTATGGAGAAGAGGATAAAAGAAATGAGTATTTCGGACTGTTAGTGGCTCAAGAATTTAAATATATACGGCCATGTGTGCGAACGAGGTGTTATGAAGAAATTTTAAAGTATCTACGGGAAGCAAAAGGCCAACATGTTGATCAACTGCAACATGAAAACACTGAAAATTAATTACTTTCATTTTATTATATATAGATTTTTAAAATTTCCTGAAATATTATTAGTTAACGTTTTATTTAATATTGTAGAATTGATCAATACAATTTATAAAAATAATTTATTGGTATTACTTACATATTTTCAAAAAAATACGTAAAAACCTATTTTTTTGGGTGATTATGGGAGTTTATGGGTGTTTATTGGGTTTTTACCAAAGCACCGGGTTTAAACCCGGTGCTTTGCCCATCTGTACTTGCGTTATGTAAATAAAAGTATGTAGGTATGTTCGTATGTTGATGCAATTATCCTCAATCCTCAACCGACTGGGATAAAATTTTCCATACACGTTTATTTTGGATGATAGTGCATAGTTAGCTGAGAGTCGTCATTGGATAATAATGGTGGATAGCCTAAGATGTGTACTAGATATTTATTTTTAACATAATATGCGTAAGTACCTAATCGAATTAAAGAAGTTGCTGAGAAAAATACAGAACAATACGATAATAAACTAGCGTCTGCGTTTAATCCTCCGAGGAGATGTAATTTTACAAAGGTTTTTTGTATTTATTTTATTATTTTTTTAATAAATTTATTGTAAATAACAAGAAATAATCATTGTAAAAAAATAGGCACTCTATTGTTGAATTTTCGTCAGACCAACTAATCATCGTTCATTTTTTTAGGTTCAATGGGGAGACCTAAAGATTTACGCATATGGGAGCACTACCGTACTTTACCAAACAAGTCTGTTTCTTGCAAGCTTTGTAATAAGGTCTACAAATTCAGTAATGCTGCCAAAATGCTTCAACATCTTATCACTTGTCCAAAATCTCCAGAAACATTAAAAGACTCTATGAAACTTATAAAAGATAGCTCGTCCAAAACCAAAATGTCTGGACTGTCAGAGATAGAGACAAATGATTCTTTTATAAGCCCCTCGTCGTCTGCTAACACTACAATAAATGCTGAGTTTCAAGACACCGATGATCATATAAAAACAGAATTAGCGAGAGCTATATTTGTAACAGGGACGCCATTATCGATGGTGCAACATCCTTTATGGATACAATTTTTCGAAAAATTGCAACCAAAATTTAGAATACCTTCACGTAAAGCTTTAGCGACAAAATACTTAGATAAAATATATAGAGAAATGCGTTTTGAGTTAAATGAGGAACTAAATGCTTGTAGTTACTTACACCTTCAGTGCGATGGCTGGTCTAATTTAAGAAATGAAGGAATAATAAACTTTCTTATATCAAAACCTCAACCTGCATACGTTAAAAGTTTGAATACAGAAAGTAATCCTCACACTAGTGAATACCTTAGCCAAGAAGTTGAAAAAGTAATGAAAGTGTATGGAGCAAATAAGTTTCTTGTACTTATTGGCGATAACGCTAGAAATATACAAAAGGCATTCGAATTAACAAAACTCAAATATCCACATGTTGTTCCTCTCGGTTGCTGTGCACATATCCTTAACTTGTTGTGCCAAGATATTGTAAAGATACAAGAAGTAACTGTGTTTATTATGCAAGCCATAAATATAATAAAAACTGTTAAAAGGAGTCAACGATTAAGTTCCTTGTTGATAAAATCAAGGCAGGGTGAAGATTCTACACAAACACTAAAATTGCCTTGTGCTACAAGATGGGGAAGTCATGTTACTTCGTTAAAAAGTTTGAAAGCAAATAAGATAGCTTTGCAAATATTAACAGTTAGAGAAGATGTGGTAATTTCAAGAGATATTAAAGATTTAATTCTAAGTGATGATTTCTGGACGAAGACAGGGGAATGTATAAGTATTTTGGAACCAGTCACTGAAAGCATATTTTACTTAGAGAGCGACCAGAATCGTTTGCATCGCACATACATTACATTTAGAGATGTACAAGCTAAGATACGTTTTGCATTAAATGAGATTTCGACATTGAGCGAAGAAAGCAAACAGCAGATTCTAACATCAGTATCTTCAAGATGCAATATGGCAATGAGGCCAATACATTTTGCAGCATATATTCTAGACCCCAGGACTCTAGGAGTCGAACTTACTCAAGAGGAAGAACTTAAGGGTATGGAGTTTATCTACAATTTAAGCCAACACTTAAGTTTGTCAAATGTAATGGCAGATTTGGCGTGTTATAAAGCTAAAGAAAACTTTTGGGCCAGAGGATTTGTATGGAGCTCATTAGATAGCATTGAGCCCCTAATATGGTGGAAAGGTATTTGTGGTTCCACTGAGTTAAGCAAAGTAGCGATTCGTATTCTATCAGCTCCCTGTACTTCGGCAGCCACTGAGCGTTCCTTTAGTATCCAAGGCTACATACATAATAACAAAAGAAATCGACTTACAACTGAAAGAACTGAAAAAATTTCATTCATTTGTTATAACTGGAATCTTAAACATAAAGCTGAATGCGAGGACATTCAGTTTAATGAAGAAAATACCTTAGAAGCTTTCATTGAGCAAGTAAATGAACATAACAGTTTAGACGAAATAGAGCCTATCGAACCTATACAATTCATCGCTTGTAATAACTCTGAATCTGACAGTGATTGACTGTAGTTTTACATTTTACTTTCATCTCTTTCTTAATAAACTCAAAATCAAATTAAAAGTTTTTTATTCTGTAGGCTGCATAATAATATTGTCTATGTCCAGTATAGTGGACGTCTTGCGGCTGAGATGACGATGATGAAGTACAAAATCATAAACACCCAAAAATTTGGGTGTTTATGGGGTTTAAACCCAATAAACCCAAAACACCCGGTTTTTACCCACCAGACTTTAAACCCACCCAGGTGGATTGCCCATCTCTAATAATTACACATGTACAATAATGTCGCGAACAGGTAATGTTCTAAGAGGAACGCTGCTGCCCATCCTTCGACCTAAACGACTAACGATAAGTTCCCTTAGTCACCTTTTACAACACTCACGGGAAAGGATGGTTCATTCTATGCCGGGACCACATGACAAATGCTTATGAATCATGTACTGGACAGGTTCCACAGTGTAGGGAGAGGTTTCTTCAGGGTCGGCAACGCGCGCGTAATACCCCTGGTATTGCAGGCGTTCATAGGCTACGGTAATTACATACCATCAGGTGGGCCGTATGCTTGATTGCCACCTCAGTGGTCCATTCTATGCTGGGACCACACGGTAAATGCTTATGATTCATATACCTACAGGTTACGCAGTGTAGAAAGTGGTCTTTGTACAACTGGCACACCCATTCTATGTCGGGACCACACGATAAATGCTTATGAATCATGTACATGGACAGGTTCCACAGTGTACGGAGTGGTCTCTGTACAGCTGTCACACTCATTCTATGTCGGGACCATACGACAAATACTTATGAATCATATACCTACAGGTTCCATAGTGTAGGGAGAGGTCTCTGCACAGCTGTCACATCCATTCTATGCCGGGACCACACGACAAATACTTATGAGTCATATACCTACAGGTTCCATAGTGTAGGGAGAGGTCTCTGCACAGCTGTCACACCCATTCTATGCTGGGACCACACGACAAATGCTTATGAATTGTACCTGGACAGGTTCCACAGTATAGGGAGAGGTCTCTGTACAGCTGCCACACAGGTAGTTTGCTGGTGCGTGGGTGGCGCTTGTGAAGTCGTAGGGGATCTGTTGCAGCCAGGCAGACATCGGTGCCTTCTCTAAGTAGTGCTCCTTGCCTGGAAAAATTACAGTGGTTTTTTACTCCGTCGGGCTCTTGTCACCGCAGGCGTGCCTGCCATTTTAGAACCTCCTGGTTTGATACGTGACGACGGCAAGAGACCTGACGGGATGTCCTTGGTACCTTGGAAGATGGGACGTCCGCTTGTATGGGACTTCACCTGCGTCGACACGGTGGCGCCGTCTCACCTTCCAAGTACATCCAAGAGGGCAGGTGCCGCCGCAACGCACCAGGAGACTATCAAGCGCCGTAAATATTCATCCCTTGGAAATAGATATATATTTGCGGCGTTTGGAGTTGAAACTCTGGGTCCATGGGGCCCTGAGGCCATGAATCTTTTCAAAGAGATTTCACGCCGGCTGGTAGAAACCACTGGCGACCAGAAGGCTGGCCTATACTTTGGTCAACGCATTTCCATAGCTATTCAGCGTGGAAATGCAGCAAGTCTCCTAGGTACCCTACCAGCTGGCAGTGATCTTAAGGAAATTTTTTATGTTTAACTATTTAAATTTTATTCCATTACAATCAAACCTAATAAGTTATTTTATGTGTAATTAAATAAATATAGTCCACCCTTGCTCACAACATTTATAAATACATTATTTTATATGTAATTTACAAGTGCAATAAAGAATATACGGGTATATAATTTCAGACACACGTACCCTTCTCGACACGTTTCCAGTTGATAGCAACATAATTGTCTCTGTCGAAGCGGTTGGACATCATGGGGACGCCCAAGACACGTGTCAACATGTTGAGAGCGTGCGCGGTGTGGCCCGGTGCACCTTGCGACATTGACTCCAATCGGACTGTCTGCAAAAACAATATTAATTTATATATTAATTTTAATTTATATATATATATATATATATATATATATATATATATATATGATAGGGTATATTGCTAGCAATGGAGTTTGACAGCCCCATTGCTAACAATATGCCTTATTCTATGTTCATCTTCTATATTCCATTCTATGGCTGCGCGTAGATTGCAATGACCATCCCCGCATCTATGCGTGCCTATACAGGTCCCACAGCGGTAACACTGGAACCGACCAACTCATTGAGCACGTCCAAATGGCTATAGATTCCCTGCTTGAGCAGATTCCTTCCGCTGAAGTCGTGATTGTTGGCGACTTTAATGCCCACCATGCCGAATGGCTTGGTTCGCGTACAACCGACTATGCGGGAAGATCTGTTCATGACTTTGCTTTGGCTTATGGTCTGACACAGCTTGTTTCCTCGCCTACGCGAATCCCTGATGTGTTGGACCATTCACCTTCACTGCTGGACCTTCTGCTGACCACCCACCCAGACAACTATGTGATCTCCGTCGAAGCCCCGCTTGGATCGTCGGATCACTGTTTGGTGCGGAGCGAAGTGCCTCTTACGAGTCCGACTCCACCTCGTTCTACGGGTAGACGTCGCATTTGGCACTACAGGTCGGCAGATTGGGATGAGATGCGGATTTTTTTCGCATCTTACCCATGGAGGCAGGTTTGCTTCACACTGGATGATCCCGACGCCATTGCCGATTCCATTGCTGATGTGGTGCTTCAGGGAATGGAATTATTTATTCCTAACTCTGTGGTGCCCGTCGGCGGGAAATCCCGGCCCTGGTATGGAGCCTCCTGTAGAACAGCATCTCGTCTGAAACAGGAGTGCTTCCAAACCTGGGCTAAAGGTGTGGCGTCGCGAGATCCTAACACCAGTGCTCTTAAAAAGAAGTATAACTCTGCCTCTAGGTCTTTCAAAAGAGTTATAGCCACAGCGAAGTCAGAGCATATTAGTAGAATTGGCAAGAGATTGGCTAGTTTGCCCTCTGGGACTCGAGCTTTCTGGTCTCTTGCCAAAGCTGCACAAGGGAATTTCTGTAAGTCATCTTTTCCACCTTTGCGCAGGGAGGATGACTCGTTGGCCCAGAACGCTAAAGAAAAGGCCGATCTTCTTGGATCCATCTTTGCGTCAAACTCGACATTGGATGACGGGGAGAAACCACCACCGACCATCACGTGTTGTAGGAGCTCTATGCCTGACATTAAATTCACGCATAGCTCAGTGCGTAGAGCACTTTTCTCCCTCGAAATCCATAAGTCGAGTGGGCCTGATGGTATTCCTCCAATTGTGCTTAGGACGTGCGCACCAGAGTTGGCTCCGGTTCTTACGCGTCTTTTTCGGCTTAGCTACTCATCGGGCATAGTCCCAAAGTTTTGGAAGACTGCTCTGGTGCATCCGATCCCTAAAAAGGGAGATCGCTCAGATCCAGCTAACTATAGGCCCATAGCTATCACTTCCTTATTCTCGAAGGTTATGGAATCCATCATTAACCGTCAACTGCTCCGGTACCTAGAAGAGCACCAGCTGATCTGTGATCGCCAGTACGGCTTTCGACAGGGACGTTCGGCCGGTGATCTTTTAGCTTACTTAACACACCGATGGGCAGTGGCAATCGAGAGTAAGGGAGAGGCCTTAGCAGTTAGTCTGGATATTGCGAAGGCCTTTGATCGGGTGTGGCATAGAGCGCTGCTTTCAAAGCTACCTTCATTTGGGTTGCCTGCGAGACTGTGCATTTGGGTCGCCAGTTTTCTCAAGGAACGTAGCATTAAGGTCGTAGTCGACGGTGCATGCTCTGATTTAAAACCTTTGAATGCTGGTGTCCCGCAAGGCTGTGTACTATCTCCGACTCTGTTTCTTCTGCATATCAATGATATGTTACAGATAAGTAATATTCATTGCTATGCGGACGACAGTACAGGAGATACATTATATACCGGTCATGCAAAGATCTCGCGGGCACATACCGATGAGTGCCGGAATAGACTTGTGTCTGAAATCGAAACTTCACTCCATCAAGTTTCGATCTGGGGTGAACAAAATCTTGTCCAATTTAACCCCAAAAAAGACACAAGTCTGCGCGTTTACCGCAAAAAAGACGCCGTTTGTCGTATCTCCTCACTTTCAGGGCACTTCCCTTGATAAAAAGTCAAGTCTAGGAATTCTGGGCGTTGATATATCTTGCGACGTCCAGTTTTGCGGTCATCTGGAGGAGAAGGCTAAGATAGCTTCCAAAAAGTTAGGAGTGCTCAATAGGGTGAGACGATATTTCATGCCAGAACACCGCCTGAAATTATATAAAGCCCAAGTCAGGCCGCATATGGAATACTGTTCTCACCTGTGGGCAGGAGCGCCACAGTACCAACTACCTTCCGTTAGACCGCATTCAAAGTCGGGCGGCTCGAATTATCGATAGTCAACGCCTTACTGTCCGGCTTGACCCATTGAAACTGCGCAGAGATGTTGCATCTCTGTGCATCTTCTACCGAATTTATCATGGGGAGTGTTCTGAGGAATTGTTCGGATTGATACCTGCTGCTGATTTTCACCACCGTACAACCCGCCACAAACTAAAGTTTCATCCCAATCATCTGGACGAGTGGCGGTCTTCCACCGTGCGTTTTTCAAGGCACTTTCTTCCACGCACAACCATTCTTTGGAATCAACTTCCAGCAGCAGTATTTCCGAACCGATACGACAACATAACCTTCAAGAAAAGAGTATATTCCTTTTAAAAGGCCGGCAGCACACCTGCAATGCCGCTGGTGTTGTGGGTGATCATGGGCGGCGGTAGTCACTTACCATCAGGTGAGCCGCATGCTCGTTTGCCCCCTGTGTTGTAAAAAAAAAAAAAAAAAAAATATTATGTCGACCTCCACGTGGTTCCCCTGGAAACCATCGTGAACAATTCTTGTTGAATTCATCACGATGGGCTAACTGACCTACTTAATCCTCACCTATCATTCTTCACTGGTGCCCCGCCGGTGTATACGGATAGCGCTGGTGGGGTTACCATTTATCATCCATTCTCATCCATTTTAAAAAAAGTGCTTTTCATGTCTATAGACGATGGTTGCCATTTTCCATCAGGCGGTCTCTCCACTTGTTTGCCATTCCAATTTAACAATAAGCACTCACCTGATTTCCTGTCATGAAGCCAAGGTTCGGCATGTCCTCCCCTTCGCTGCCGAACCACACCAGATTCCTCGGAGTCAGAACATCATCAGAGGAATCCTCTTGGAAAAGCACGCAAGTCGACAGTTCTATAGACGCCATAGCATGCTTGAGGAATGCAAACATTGGTTTATTCCCTATTAAGAAATAAGAATTTTTTATAATGAAAATACACTATCAGCATTTTAGCCACTATCCGTCCACTCCTAGACATAAGCCTCCCCCATAGCCTGCCATAAAGAACGGTCCTGAACCACCTGCATCCACTGACTCCCTGCAATGCATCTTAGGTCGTCACTCCATCTAATGGGGGGTCGTCCTACATCTAAAAAGTTTTTTTCTCCGTCGGTTTTCGGTTCGTCGAGCTATGTGAAAAATACACTCAATATTCTATTAATCTTCACGTCGTGTACTTTGCGAGGTGGGCAGAGAGAGCTGAGTACCATTGTCCAGCATATTAACATAGGTCCCTTAACTAATGCATGTTAATATGGGGGTCGATTCTGAAGCAATTGCCTGACCAATTGGTCTGACACATAGTTACCCCAATTGCGTGATCTTCAAGCTAGGACTCTGTGTTGTGAGGAACCGGGCGACGTGTATCTTGGCGCATAGTCGAGATCACCTAGTCTTGCGTCAAATCAGAAAAGTTCAATTTCTAAATTGTCCTGACCGGGAATAGAATCCAGGAGCTTATTTACGCAAAGCACTGTGCCACAGAAAGAGTTTGTTATTTTAATAGTTTAGCAAAAGTATTATAGTAGGTTTCCCCTTCGATCCTGGAATGGGCCAACCCTTCCTTTGCCGTGGATGTCGTAAGAGACGACTAAGAGAGCTTTATGGTCGAGGAATGGACAGCAGTGTTTCTCTTAAAACATCACTATGTCTAACTGCGGTTACCAATTCATCTGCCAAGCGTGGCAACTACTGGAAAGCTCCCTTTATGGGAGAGACCTATGTACAGCAGTGGACGATATTTTATAAGGAGCTTGTTATAGTAGATACCTATCAAGTATTACGACACACTCTCAACGGCGATCGGATCGGACCACCTAGCATGACGCAAGAAGGTGCGCTACCGAGAAAGACACCTGCGTCCAGTCAGCATTTCAATTTCCGCAGCAAAAATGCCCATTTCCTTTATGTTTGATTTCATATAACTTCACTTACGGATCACACATCGATCTGAACACACTTATTATTGTAATAATTAATTTAAGAATTAAATTTAGTTATATTTATAAAATTGGCTTTTTTTTGGGTCTTCTGCCAGCGACTTCAATAACTCGCTATTGATTTTTTAAATAAAATTAACAAATATTAAAAAGAAAAAACTTAAAGTTCTTTTAAGCAACTTAGAATGGCAAACGAGCTGACGGTCCACCTGATGGGAAGTGGTAACCGTCGCCTATAGACATGAGCTGTACCATGGACATAACAGAGTATACTGTTTCGCCAATGATTACCCCCCATGCGTTGGTATTCCTGAGGACTCGGGTATTATTCCTCTGTACCCTGTAAATTAATAAATACCGTGTAAATGTTTAAATGGATAAAACTCACTTAATTGCCCTTCAATTCCGTACATAACTATACCCAGAGGCCATAATTTGTTCTCGTAATATTCAAGATTAGCTCTGGTCAGATGCAAAGATGCACCAAAATCCTGACTTGTTAACCCTGGCCGTTGAGAGAGGGCGCCACATTCGAAGTGGTAGTGCGCGTTAATGTAGTTACGGTCTGCGGGCGTCAGAAGGGAAAGGCGGGTATGGTCTTCCTTCTAGAACGGAAAAAGAAGATGAACCAGGATGCTTCTTAATAGGAGATTGTTAAAGTCATTTGTCAATGTTGGTATACGCTGGCGGGATACCAATAAGTATTGATAAATGATAAAACAGGTCAGTTGGGCGAAGGATTGTTGGTAATGAGGACTATCAGTCACAATGCTAGCAATATACCCTGTCGGGTCGACCTCCACGTGGTCGTCCCTGGAAATGATCGTGCTGAATTCCAGGTGTATTCATCACGATGGGCTAATGCCTTTTCATCCTCAACTATCATCGCTCACTGGTGCCCCGCCAGCGTATACCGTTAGCGCAGGCGGGGTTACCATACCATTGTTATCCATTTTTAAAAACCGCGAAGGTTTCCATGGGGAACCGCATGGAGTTCGACCTGATAGGGTATATTGCTAGCAATGGGGCTGTTTTTTTTCTTTTTTTTTGATGGATGATAATGGAATGGTAACCCCACCCGCGCTATCGGTATACACCGGCGGGGCACCAGTGAAAGATGATAGGTGAGGATGAAGTAGGTCAGTTAGCTCATCGTGACGAATTCAAAAAGAATTGTTCACGATGGTTTCCAGGGGGAACCACGTGAAGGTCGACCTAATAAGGCATATTGCCAGCAATGGGGCTGTCAAACTCCATTGCTAACAATCCCTTTCCCCCCCCAATGGGGCTGTTAGACCTCATTATAAAAAAAAAAAGATCATAAAATACGTAAGTACCTTCTCTTGGAACTTTTTAATTAGGTCGTAGCTGTTTATCGGTGAATCTGGAAGAAAATATTTAAAGAAAATAACGTAGATAATAAAAAAAAAAAACACTGACCACCTGATGGTAAGCTGCAATTATTTGTATAAAAAAAAGATGACTGACATTGTCTGTCCGTAACGTCTAATAATAAAAATTACAACATAAAACTTGAAGAATTCGAGGTGAAATAAAATCAATAGTCTTGAAAAAGAAAGCAATGTTTATGTAACCAATTTATGTTGAAATTTTTACAGGAACACATACACACGCACGCGCACGCGCACGCGCAGGTATAGGTAAATAGATAGATATTGAATAAAATGAATATAAATTAAAAAAATAAATAAATAAAAATATTAAAGATACCAATTAATAGATTTTTTATTTGTACTGTTATTGGACACCGGCGGACTATCCTATGGTACAGTAATAACACAGACGGCAAACGAGCATGCGGCTCACCTGATGGTTTATTTATTTATTTATCCAAAACACAAACCAGAGTGAGACTTTGTACAAAAGTCGATTGCTTGGGTTCCTACCTCTACCCCATTCGTGTTTCTATCGCGAAGCAGTTGTGTTTACATAGCTGTGTTTCGGTTTCAAGGGTGGGACATAGCTATAGCGTGAATTTACAGCATAGCTATAGCGTGAATTTACAAGGAATAACACCTGAGTCCTCGGGAATGGCAGCGCATGGGGGGTGTCATTGGCGAGACAGTTTACTCTGTTATGTCCATGGTACAATATTTATTTTTTGTTTTATTTTTTGGATAAATGGTAACCGACTACCACCGTACATAAGCATCCGTAACACCTCAGGAATAGCAGGTGTGCTGCCGGCATTTTAAAAAGAAATATGCTATTTTTTTGGAGTTTTCAATGCTGCATCTGTTCGGATATACCGCTGCTGGGAGTGCTATATTCATGTTAATTCCCTTGTGTGGTAGACAGAGAAGATTACTAAGTTTTTTTTCAGTTCTATTGTGACTACCCTGCCCAGTCTATAATAGTTACTTACCGCTTGGCTCAATGCTAGCTCTGAGCATGTCCACTACGATTCTAGAAATTTCCTTCTCATCGATGCATTTGTAGCCAATTGGCATTTCCTGTAAGGTAACAGATATATTAAAAAAAACTGTTTACTTGTAAAGGCTTTTACATCGCGTCAGGTCTTGACTGTGTAATTTAAATGCGTGTAAACGACGCAAAAGTTTAATATTAACGTTTTTTTTTTATGCAACTTCGTATGGCAAACAAGCTGTCGGTCCACCTGATGGAAAGTGGTAACCGTCGCCTGTACAGTGAGCATAGACATGAGCAGTACTATGGACATAACAGAGTATACTATTTTGCTAATGATACCTCCCACACGTTGCCATTCCTGAGGACTTAGGTGTTATTCCTCTGCACCCTGTAAATTCACTGCTGTATCCCACCCGAAATATAGCCATGCTTCAACTGCTTCACGGTAGAAACACGAATAGGACAGAGGTGCGCAAGCAAACGACTTTTGTACAAAGTCTCCCTCTGGTAAATTATAATTATTTGTAATTTGTTAAAGAAAAGATGCGTACAACGATTGCTTTAGAGTAGTCGTAGTGCTTCGGGGGGCAGTTCTTGCTTTTGTATGGATTATTTACATAGAGGATCTTGTCTTGCTCGCTGGCCGTGTAGTTGGCGGGCGAGTTGAAGAATTTAACACAAATTTCCTTTTGAAGCTGTGTGAACGTCGATATAATCACGTCTTGAGAGTGTATATCTGTCAATGGGATAAATCATGGGATAATACTGTTGTGTATCTTTGATGTTGGGAGCAGGTTATTGAAGTAAAAACAACAGGAGTATATCTATAATGTATGTATTTTATTAAGACTTACAGAGACGCGTCCGGCATGATCGGCGCTTGCGAAAGGAGGGGACGAGAGAGAGATATATATCTATTATTTTTGCTCATTCGCGTTTCATTACACACAACAATCTTGTTTATCTATGGTTGAGAAAAAAGGAAAAAGGTCATCTGTGACAGAGATCGAAGGAGGAACAAAAGATTGACCTGTCAGATTTATAATAAATAAAACTATGGTACAAAATAATTATGATTCTTTTAATAATAATAATAACAATTTTTATTTCAGAAATGAAAGAAAGAAAGAAATAATTTATTCGACGAAGCACGCGGCCCACACAGTAGCGCACAAAACAAGAACAAAAGAAATCAAAACGAAACAAACAAAAGAAAATAATAATTGTATACAAATTGAAAGCAATTAAATTATAATAATAATAAATAAACAAACAAACAAACAAACAGTAGGATAACTCTTGAATCCAACATCGATCTCAATCCAAATCTATTGCTAATGACAATTGAATACTGCACACATAATCATTTCAGACTTTTTTGGTCCATTAAATATTTGTTAGTAACAATATTCTTAATAAATAAAACAAAAATTAAACAATACCTCTGGTATTGCAGGCGTTCATAGGCTACGGTAACCGCTTACCATCAGGTGGGCAGTATTCTTGTTTACCACCTCAGTGGTATAAAAAAAAGGCTACTGGCTAAACCTCCCTTGTGGGGGGGAGGGTTGTTAGTAATAGAGTCTAATAAGCCCATTGCTAGCACAATGCACCATGCATGTGGTTAATATTTGAATTCGTCACGATGGGCTAACTGACCTGCCTTTTCATCCTCACCTATCATCCCTCACTTTTTCATTTCATTAAAGGCCTCATTATCGGGGAGGGCTACTAATAGTAGGGGGGGGATTGTTAGTATTGCAGGCTACCAGTCCCATTGCTAGCAATATACCCTGTCAGGTCGATCTCCACGTGGCCCCCCCTGGAAACCACCGTGCTGATTTCAAGGTGTATCCAGGCCAATTAGCCTATCATGATGAATTCATCAGGAATTAACCATGATAGTTTCCAGGGGGAACCGCGAGGAGGTCGACCTGGTTGGATATATTGCTAGCAATGGGATTCTCAGTCTCCATTACTAACAATCCCTTTCCCCCCATTCCAGGTGTATTCATCACGATGGGCTATGCATCACCTGCTCTTTAATTTTTACCTATCACCCCTCACTGGTGCCCCACCAGTGTATACCGTTAGCACAGGCGGGGTTACCATTCCATTATCATCCATATAAAAAAAATATTTTCAACAAATAATAAAAAATAGAACTAATACAAAAATGGTGCCTACCATAATCTTTCTTATTTATCGCGTAGTGTACCACGCCTTTTGGCCACAATCTACAATGCACATACTTTATCACTAGTAATAAAATAACCCGCAATGGTCGATTCATTGTTCAAGTATTTTGTAATACTAGAAACCTACTCTAAAACAAGCATTATTAGTTAACCGCGACTTCGCTTGCGTGACTAGTTTTATTGAACTAGGTGTTATCTTGGTTATTTGAATAGAATTCCGTCATACTCGTGAACGGGTGCTTCTAGTAGAGGCTGTACAAGGATATTGTGATTGACTGTAGTTTGGTAGTTTTATTTTTTAATCAAGTCAGTTAGCCCATCGTGACAAATTTAACAAGAATTTATCATAGTTTATAGTTATGGGGTGGACTATTTTAGACCCCATCATAAATAATCCATTTCTCCCCTTGTTCATGTCTATAGGCGACAGTTAACTTTTTTTTTATACAACTTAGAATGGCACACAGGCTGACGGCCCACCTGATGGAAAGTGGTAACCGTCGCCTATAGACATGAGCAGTACCATGGACATAACAGAGTATACTGTTACGCCCATGATACCACCCATGCGTTGCCATTCCTGAGGACTCAGGTGTTATTTCTCTGTACCCAATAAATTCACGCCATATCCCACCCTTCAAACCGAAACACAGTCATGCAAACACAACTGCTTCACTGTAGAAACACGAATGGGACAGAGGTGGCCAAGCAATCGACTTTTGTACAGTCTCCCTCTGGTAAACTTTCCATCAGTTGGACAGACGACAAAAGTGAAAAGTTTAGTATTGGACAAAATCGAATCGTGTTTATGAATCAGAAAATTGGATTTTACATTTTATTACCTGTTTGCTGGAAGGTAATTTTTTTATACCACTGAGGTGGCAAACAAGCATACGGCCCACCTGATGGTAAGTGGTTACCGTAGCTTATGAACGCCTGCAATACCAGAGGTATTACGCGCGCGTTGCCGACCCTGAAGAAACCTCTTTAGTCCTTTTTTGAAGAACCCCATGCTGTAGTCTCTTGGGAAAACCTCGGCAGAGAGCTTATTCCACAACCTGAGTGTTCGTGGGAGGAAACATCTCTGAAACCGCGCAATACGCGACCATTGAGGCTGTAGGACATGATAATTTCTTGCATCCTCAATAATATTATGTGGAAGTGGGTTCGTTTGTTACTTCCTTCTACAGCATCTTAACGCTTTTATCGCTTCTATCAAGGAACGTAACTTAAGGTCATCTGATCTCTCGTACGAGGGAGAGGGGGATCTCGGGGCGGACACCGTTACCCGGAGGGGAAGGGACTGTTACCAATGCGGACTACCAGTCCTATTGCTAGCCATATATCCTGTCAGGTCGACTTGCACGCGGTTCCCCCTGGAAACCATCGTGTAGATGGATTCTAGATGTATTCATCACGATGGGCTAATTGAAATGCTACATACTTACGTTCATCTATAGACACAAGCATATGCTTAAATACACACACACACAGACACACCAACACACACATATACACACTCGCACGCGCTCACGCACACACCCACACAAATCATGCACTTACGTGTACCCAAACTCACATGGAGGGGGAAAAGGGATTGTTAGTAATGGAGACTAAGAATTCCATTGCTAGCAATATACCCAACCAGGTCGACCTCCTCGCAATTCCCCCTGGAAACTATCATGGTTAATTTTTGATGAATTCATCATGATGGGCTAACTGGCCTGTTTTCATTCTCATCTATCACCCTTCACTAGTGCCCCGCCAGCGTATCCCGTTAGCGCAGGCGGGGTTGCCATACCATTTTCAATCTTCAAAAAAAAAATATTAGTCCAATAACGAATATGTTAAGTCTGTTATCCAAAAAATAACATGGGATTTTTTTTTATTTATACAACTTAGAATGGCAAACAAGCTGACGGCCCACCTGGTGGAAAGTGGTAACCGTCGCCTATAGACATGATCAGTACCATGGACATAACAGAGTATACTGTTTCGCCCATGATACCCCCCATGCGTTGCCATTCCTGAGGACTCAGGTGTTATTCCTCTGTACCCTGTAAATCCACGCCATATCCCACCCTTCAAACCGAAACACAGTCATGCAAACACAACTGCTTCACTGTAGAAACACAAATGGGACAGAGGTGGCCAAGCGAACGACTTTTGTACAGTCTCCCTCTGGTCTGGATAACAGACTAACATATTCGAAAATAGATATCCGACCCTCATGGGTGATATCGAAATGGGTGATGACCATTTTTCCTTCATCAATTATCAAGGAAACCCAATTTAACTGTATTTTATTTATATTTCTTTCTATTGTTATTTTCAATGAGGACACACGCGTTAAGGAAGGGAAAGAAGGGAGATTGTTAGTTTATATATTTTGTTTTTTTTTTTTTTTTATTTTGTGCCTTTTTATTTTCATTCTTTTATCTCTTTTACTGTGTATTATGTGTATGTTTGTATTGTAATTTGTGTGCTGTAAGTGATGTAAATAAAGTATCTATATATATATATATATATATATATATATATATATATATATATATATATATATATATATATATATATATATATATATATATATAATTATTTGGACATACATAATTGATAAACTTTTACTTAACATGTGCTAAGACAAAATTTGCATGCCTTTAGATAAGGCGAAATGTGTAGTTCAGTTACCATTTTAAGACCTTTGTACCACATTTCGAGCAAATAAATTATTCTTATTCTTATATATATATATATATATATATATATATATATATATATATATATATATATATATATATATATATATAGATATCGGATACGTAACCATACCATACCTAGTGCATAGTTCTGAGTTGTAGTTTTACATGTAACTTATTCTGTGATTAACATTTTTTAATTCAATTCACTCATAATTTATTTTTATTATTTACTTAATTTTCTCGCACTGTACATATGTTAGCAAATCTGGCACCCTCACTAAAGGCTCAAATAAGAGCAAATTTACCGTTGGTGATGGCGTCCAGCAACTACTCTGATCTATGGAGCTTTTTTAATGTGGACTGATGGGAGGGGTGGTAGGGACCAGAAGGACGGGACATCCCTAGTAGGGATGTCCCGTCCCAGGCCTCTGGCTCTCTACATATGTTAAAATAAATGCTGTGAATACCTATAATAGGCGTGTGCATTAATATTGTATTGTATTTAATGTTTGTTACACCTATATGTTACAATGCAATATGCTGTTGATGTTCCTTAAATAAATAAATAAATATTAGTTTGGTAGCAGAGCACTGTTAAAATAATTCTCTAAAAATATTGATAAATATCAAATTGTTTTTGACAATTGACAGAGAACTGTTCACCCCAAAGCTTGACTGGTAGAGAACGCTACCAGCATTTTGTAGCATATTTTCTTCTAGCCAACAAAGTTATTCAAAATAAACAAAAATTGCCACTTTGCTCCACATCGATGAGCTAAAATGATGAACACTCTTAAATGACTAGTTCGCTATTATTTATTATATATTTATATATTTTTCCTATTCACTATTTGTATTATTATTTTATCACAGAGTGTTTGACGCGAGCAACGCCGCGTGTTACAATTAATCTTATACACAACCTTAGCACTAAGAACAATCTTCTTTCTTGAGGTACAAAATGAAACTCGCAGTGTGCTGTAGAATTTAAGTCAAATTCCATACATTATATTACATTGCATACATTTAATAAACATCTAACAATGTTTAGAAATCCAAACTATATGTTAAAGTTACTATCGGGGACATAGGAGACATTCAATTTCATTCAATCCTGTTGCCAACTTCTCGTCTTCAACAATTTCTAATGATCAATTTTCTATTTGTTTTAAATGTATGATGAATAAAAAAGGGGCCAATTCTGAGGCTGTGTTGCCATTACATAGTTACCTATTAATAACTGTGTTCCACAAAAAAATTTGGTACAATTTCAATTGTGGTAAAACTAGTTATTTCGTTTAAAACTAAACTATTAAACGGAACCGATTTAATAGTTTAGTTTTAAATATATAATAAAAATCCTATAGGACCAATCTGTAAAAAAAAAAGAGGCGAATAAGTGAAATTAACAGTCAAGGAACAGGTAGCAACGTCCTTCTAAAAACAAAACCAACTAAGTGTGGTTGCCACTACCACCACAGTGAAGGCTGTATATAAGCAAGCTCTCTATAAGCAACATTCTTTATATTTTATTTATTCTACTCAGCTTAGTTAGTAAAAGAAATAAGTAAAAATATTTTCCAGATAGTAAGTTTTTTTTTTTTATACAACTTAGAATGGCAAACAAGCTGACGGTCCACCTTATGGAAAGTGGTAACCGTCGCCTATAGACATGAGCAGTACCGTGGACATAACAGAGTATACTGTTTCGCCCATGATACCCCCCATGCGTTGCCATTCCTGAGGACTCAGGTGTTATTCCACTGTACCCTGTATTTTTATACTACTTTTTTGTCCCTATAAGAAACTTTTCCCAATAAGAAATCTTTCTATTGAAATAGGATCAAATGAGATGCTTATATAGAGCGTTCAATGTACAAGCAAAACACCCGATTATGTGGGAGACCTACGTTCAGCAGTGGACTGTAAATGCTTGGTATGTCAAAGACAACTATTCTATGTACTATAATAAACTAAAAATACGATAATTTTGTCTTAAATCTATTAAAAAATTAGTTCATATTGTTCCTTACAATAAATATTTGTAATTCGCTGTAATATCAAAATTGGGACTTTTATTATTAGACATAGATTTAATGACTTCTTAGAATCGGCCCCAATATTCATGCTGACGCTATCGGATCATTCCTATCAGTGTTGCCTACTCATCGTTGGCTATCGACAGTTCGAATTGGGTGAATCAATTTCATCGAGAAGGGATTGTTAGTAATGCAAGCTACCAGTCCCGTTGCTAGCAAAAAAAACCCTGTTAAATCGACCTCCAAGTAATCCCCATTGGAAACCATCGTGCTGAATTCCTGGTGTATTCATCACGATGGGCTAACTGGCCTGCCTTTTCATTCTGAATTGGCAAATTGAGTGCTGAAGGTCTACCATGACATGTATTCCGAAATTTCAGGTCCGAGTGAATCCCAAATTAGATGATAAAATTACATGATATATATATATATATATATATATATATATATATATATATATATATATATATATATATATATAATTTTAGCATTTTTAATACATTTAAATATATTAAAAATGCTAAAATATCGTTCCTATGGATTTTTATGGTTTACGACGACCATGTAAAGCTTCGTTTACTAAGTAGATTTCGGTGTGAACAAAAAGACAATATTGAGTTCGAAACTTCGATATTTCATGGTAGAACCCCTGAACGGTTAACACTAGACTCCGAGCAGCGATCTTTTGAATATAATTCCAAGCGATAATATCGACACGTCAATTGGTATTTACAGCTTGATTATTAGGCAACACTGGTCCCTACGTCCCGGATCATTCGAAACCTCACATATAGACAAAGTTGAAACGGCATAAACTTTGCGAGAGAGACGATATGATGGGTCCATAGCCCTGCGCGTTGTCGTACAGTTCGAACAGTGGCGCCGCCACCAGCTTGTAGTTCTTGGGCACGGCGAACAGTGCTCTATCCTGGAGTTGGACTAGGAACAGTCTCTTGTGCTCCTTTGGTTTGGTTATGTGCGGTGGGATGTACGGGTACTGGGGCGGTTCGAAGTTCGGGCGCCACCAATTGCCTGAAACAGTTTTCAAAATATATTAGAGGTTTTTTTTTTTTGGGTGAAAATAGCATGGTAACCCCGCCTGCGCTATCGGTATACACCTGGAGGGGCACCAGTGAGAGATGATAGGTGAGCATGAAAACAGATCATTTAATCCATTGTGATGAATTCAAGAAGTATTAATCACAATGAATTCGAAGGAGAACCGCGTGGAGGTCAACTTGACAATTACTGCTGCTGACTGCAAATACTGACTACTTGCTAATAATGGGGCGTTTAGTCTACATTATTAACGATCCCCCGGTTTGAAGGGTGGGATATGGCGTGAATTTACAGGGTACAGAGGAATAACACCTGAGTCCTCAGGAATGGCAACGCATGGGGGGTATCATGGGCGAAAATGTAATGTAATGTAAATAGGACTCTATTTTCCGCGCTTAGCCTCTCATTTGGGCCGTTGTGCGTATGAGTCGTGGCTAGTGCAGCCAACCTAGCTCCGCCCAGAAGCACAGAAGCTTCCTGGGATCTTCACAGGCCTCACGGAGCGACCTTACCGTTCCGAGGATTTTTAAACGTTGATGAGCCACAGCTTCACATTCCAAGATTACGTGAGCAGCCGTTTCTTCGGCGTCGAAACAGCCTCGACATAGAGGGCTGTCTGTGGTCCCTATGTATCATAGCAGCGAAGCAGTACACTCTGTTATGTCCATGGCACTGCTCATGTCTATAGGCGACAATTATCACTTTCCATCAGGTGGACCATCAGTTTGTTTGCCATTCTAAGTTGTATAAAAAAAAAACTTACCTATGGTGTCTTCTATGAGCCACTCCTGCTTGACACCGTCCTGTCGGCCCAGGGTCTCTGTTAATAACCTCTTCAGACCTTCGATTTCATCCTGAAAATTAATTTTTTTTCAGCATTTCATCATACAACCAGTTATAAAGTCATGAGCGGACTGTTTGTGTGAAAAGTTGATGGGTGAGCTCTGTCCCTCCAGTGAAGATATCATATCCTAAGTTTCCTTTTTTTTAAATACTTCATGGTCAAGTGAGGCCTTAGATATTTAGTTTAGTTTATTTTTTATTTGGAACACAAACAGTACAATTAACAGATAAAAAAATAAATAAATAATGAATACTTAGTAACCAATAAATTTTCCACAAATAAAAATATTTATATTTTTTTGATCATTTGTACATGATAATTCTATGCACTTATACATATGTATATATATTTATCTATTTATTTATTTACATATTTATTCACAATAGTATTTGTTGTATTTATATTATTTTCACCAATACCTTTCCTGCACTGGTTTACCCAAATGAAATTATTTTCTCTCTAACTACACTGGGTTGGTTGGCTGGAAGAGATCTCTTTCAGAGATAAGTCCTCCCTTGCTAACAAGTTGTTCAACTAATCGTCGCATGTATTGTTCAAGTGCAACAAAGAATATATATTAAGGTTCCAAATACAGCAATAAATTAAAAAAAAATACTATTATCTAATTGACTTCTGACTACCCTTCTTTTATTTAGAAGATTCGTTATATTCGCTATTTTGCGCATATAACGAACACACACATTGTATTTTATCTATATTTCTTTTTTCTTTTTTTTATTATTTTTTTTCAGTGGTATTTCGCGGCTCACATTTGGCCACAACGGAATATCAGTGTTTTGCTCTTTTTAGGGCAAAGCAAAAAGCTGAGTTGTGGCCATTTTGTATTACTGCCTGCGCTAACGGGATACGCTGGCGGAGCACCAGTGAAGGGTGATAGATGAGAATGAAAACAGGAAGACCAAAAATTCATTTTATAATTTTATGCATTCTGATTTTGTTTTACTTTTTTTTATTTTTTGTGAAGAAAAAACAATTGTTACTAATTTTATGCATTCTGATTTTGGTTTTGGGTTTTTTTTTTTTTATTTTTTTTTTTATTTTTTTTCACTTTGCATTTGTGTCTTTTGCTGTTTGTGTGCTGTAAGTAATGCAAATAAATTATCTATCGATCTATCTAAAAAAGCATCTTAGGCTTTTTTTTTTAAAGGGTGATAATGGAATGGTAATCTCATCCGCGCTATCGGTATACACCGGCTGGGATCCAGTGAAGGATGATGGGTGAGGATGAAGCAGGTCAGTTAGCCCATCGTGACAAATTCAACAAGAATTGTTCACGATGGTTTCAGGGGGAACCACGTGGAGGTCGACCTAATTGGGCATATTGTCAAACTCCATTGCTAACAATCCCTTTCCCCCTAATACTAAGGTGCAACTATCATATTGAATTCTTTATATTATTTCTAATTATTGTTAATATAATATTAGCCGTGTGGTCCCGGCATAGAATAAGTCACTCCTTCCTTTCCCGTGGGTGTCGTAAAAGGCGACTAAGGGAGCACGAGGGATAGGCAGCAGCGTCCCTCTTAAAACAAAGCCTACGCCTAACTGCAGTTGCCAATCCGCCAAGTCAAACTACAGTTGCCAAGCATGGCAACTGTAGTTGCCAGTTGGGGGCTTATGTCCAGCAGTGGACAATTAAAGGCTGATACAATGACGATGATGACTATTAATATAATAAGATACCAGAGAATGACTACTAAAGTCGATTGCTTGGGTACCTCTGTCTCATTCGTGTTTCTACCGTGAAGCAGTTGTGTTTGCATGGCTGCGTTTCGGTTTGAAGGGTGGGATATGGCAGTGAATATACAGGGTACAGAGGAATAACACCTGAGTGTTCAGGAATGGCAACACATGGGAGGTATCATGGGCGAAACAGTATACTCTGTTATGTCCACAGTACTGCTCATGTCTATAGGCGACGGTTACCTCTTTCCACCAGGTGGGCCGTCAGCTTGTTTAATGTATCCATATTCCTACAATACATGATTTGAATTTAAAAATCGTTGAATATATCTTCATACAATACAAACTCACCTCTCCAGGGTTCAGCTCTCCACCGGGCAATTTGAAGAACGCAGTTCCAAGCTGCAACAGCAGTACATGTGGTAGACCGTGCTCATGCACCAGGAGAACACCTTCCACTGACCTGAACATACATTTATTTGATCAATCAACCATTCAGTGAAAGACTGTATTAGGAAGGACAGTTTTTTTTTATAGATAACTAGCAGCTTGGTATGTGCTTCGCTACATATAAAGTGAAATAATAGAAAAAAAAAAATTAAGATCAATATCGCTTACAATTTGCTTTAATCGAAACACATCCAAAATGAAATGACCTCATGAATGACACAACAACACGCTTGTACTGTCAACACTGAAAAAAGTTTCAATTTGACAGCACAATCCACAATATAAATAGTGCACCACCTATCCTTCGTCTTTTTCTCTCAACATCCTATACCCAAAGGTCTGTCTGGAAGAGGTTGCTTAGCCATAAGGCTGCCTGTGTATTGCTTATTATTAATATTTATTGTATGTATTACTTTTTACTTAGAGCAATAAAGTGTAAAATAAATAAATGAAACAAAAAATGACTCGCTGACCAGGCAAATGTTTTTCCATATAAATTAGGAATACGGACACCCCAATGAATGAATGATATAATAATATTATTATATACAGTGGATTTCATTTAATATCACCTTGGTTGTAGCGACCATTTGCTTATAGCAACATTAACTCTAAGTCCTTTGAATTTAAAGCATACTTTAGTACAAAATTCATGTAGGTTTAGCAACTTTGGATGTAACGCCGAGATTGGGTGTAGCGACTGTTTTTAATGAATCATTTGTAATAAATTCCTAAAAATCCCATGCTGATATTGCAATCGAAGTTGGCCGCTAAAGAGACACCAAGATTTCTTTCTTTCACAAACATTCCTAACCTCTTGTGTACATCCAAACAGATGGTCAGCAAATATGGAGACCTTTACTTATTGTTTATAGATATCAGCTAAGTAGGTAGGGAAGAGTGTACGTTTCGGAGTTGAATTAATGGTCCAGTTACAAAGTGATATTCTGAGTAGCAATTGAATTTAAACTTTTGGATAAGTATGACTGTCTCAACGCACATTCACTGTTAAAGAAAAGGGGGAAATCATTTCAAAATTGAAAAACGGCGAAAACAATGCTGATTTGTGCCAAGAAAAAACTATACATGTGTAGGTGTCTGTATCTCTTTACCTTTGCCTGTAACGACTTCTGGATATGACGAAAATAGAGTGGTTCATCGTCGTTATACCCAAAATCCACTGTATATCTATTTTCGTATATCTATATTGTTTACCTAAAACTATGATTGTGTGCCTGCTAATATGGAAAGTTTACAATAAACACACCTCAATTTAACACCAACTTTAAAAGTATGTAAAAACATAACCTCTTACCTTCTCATGCCAATTTTCGCGAATTCCTCTCGCATCCGTTGAAATCTTGCAGGCACCGACGCGTCTTTTTCAAACAGCGGCTCTTTTGTACCAAATGTATAATTTGTTAGTGGATATAAATTAATTGATCTATTCAAAGTCAAGCTCGGATTATTTTGACTATTTTGATGCTGTATGCCGGGCCTTGGCCACTGTTTATTGCCGGGACCGCCTTGAACTGCAGTCATTGTGTACAATTTACAAACAATTATTTAACTTTAAAATCTTATAAGTCAATTTTAATATAGCTCTAAATTAAAATAGGAGTTGTCTCCACTCACTACACTTATAGTAGCGTCGTTAAAGCCAAACAATCGCCATTATGGATAGTGTTTCCAAATTAGAATAAGACATTCGGGCTAATAAGTACGAAAAAAAATATATACATAAAAATTTTACTTATTCAATACAGTGTTTTGGATAATATTTAAACATATAAATATGTGATGGTATAGATGTGAGCTTGATGATATTTATATATACATTCAGAAGGAGTGAGAGAAAGAAACATTTAGTACGAGATTGTACAATTAATAACATATACAGTAAATAATTCCAGATATAATAAGTCGCGATATAAAATATTGTTCGGTAAAATTGCTAAGACAATAATATTGTCAAGAACGTCACTGTTTAATTTTCTTGCTACTATGTAGGTTTGAAAGAGGTTGGTAGCCTACGAACAAAATTTATATAAAACTATGAACAATAAAAAAAATACAAAAATATAAAAATACTGTAAGCTTATTTGTAACTTTTGTGGCATAAAAAATTGTTATATTATTTATCATAATTAATGACATGTAGATATTTTATTTGTAAGTAAAGAAATTATGTGACGCATTTTAATTTGTAGTTAGCAAGTGATATCAGTCAAAAATAGCTAAATTAGTTTAAAGGGTTTAAGATGGCAACATTGGTTTCTAACCATAGATAACAAGTTTTGTAGTTGTTTGTATATCTTTGCCTTACTTGAGATACAGACGGTTTAGATGTATCTAATCTGTGATGTGTTACTGTCAAATCAAAGTTTAATGATCAAAATTTATTTAAATCAAATAGATATTTTGAATAAATATATTATATTTATTATTGTTTGCTTTCAATCATGTCACAACAATTAGAATTATTAACTGAAAATCCGTCCCAGTGGGCTACAGTTATGTTTATCACACCGGATATTCAGAAAAAAGAAATAAAACCATTTGTTGTTTGTAAGTTTATATTTTTCTTACAAATTTGTTTGCGAACTGCGAACATATTATTTTTTTTAGATAGTTACTATATAATTGTTGAAAATATTATTGTTTTTAATGTGTTGCGGCAAATTAATTAAAATATATTTACTTGCTACTTTGTGTGATCGAGATATATCCACTTAAGGGGACGAATGCCTTACACTTACCCTACAGACTAAATGGTCGCGTTCAACGCAGTTTCAGAAATGTGTTCTCCCACGAACACTCCGGTTTTAGAACGAGCTGCCGAGATTTTCCCAAGAAACTACAGCATAGGATTCTTCAAAAGGGGGGTAAAGAGGTTTTCAGGGCCTGCAACGCGCGCGTTGCCGCTTACCTTCAGGTGGGCCGTATGCTTCTTTGCAACCTCGATGGTATAAAACAATAAAAACAAATACTAATTTGTTCTTCTTTATCTCATATAATATGTGTATACCAAAATTATTAAATATAAATACCATAAAGAAATACAAAATTAGGTTTTCGTCTATAATGCAAACTAAAACAATGTGTATTTCTGCTTTACAGTGGCTTTGAAGGAACTGGAAGGTAATCCAGACAGCAGAACTTCGAGTCTAATGAATGCAGACAAATTTTCAGCAGTTCGGTCTGTGGTGAGGCATGTGGCAAGATCGCGCTCTGCTACCAAGGAGTCCTGGTATGAGGAAGATGTAAGAGCCTTTCTAGAAGGATTAAGGTAAGAGGCTAAATTGGTAATGTTTTTTACTACTTGACTTTGTTATATTAACCTACATTAGTGGCATGGTAAGTTTAATATTTTAATGGGTGATAGTGGAATGGTAGCCCTGCCCGTGCTATCAGAAGTGGTAACTGTCACCAATAGACATGAGCAGTACCATGGACATAACAGAGTTTATGCTGTTTCGCCCGTGATACACCCCATGCATTGCCATTCCTGAGGACTCAGGTGATTCCTCTGTACTCTGTAAATGCACTGCCATATCTCACCCTTCAAACCGGGGGGGGGGAAGGGATTGTTAGCAATGGAGTTTGACAGCCCAATTGTCTTATTAGATTAACCTCCACATGGTTCCCACAATTCGTCACAATGGGCTAACTGACCTACTTCATCCTCACCTATCATCATTCACTGGTGCCCCGCCTGTGTATACCGATAGTGCGAGTGGGGCTACCATTACATTGTCATCCATTAAAAAATACCCTTCAAACTAGAACATGTATTTGTGTTTTTCTGGCAGTAAATAATTTTCTTTTCTATTCTATATAAAAACTAAACGATCTAATGAACTTTGTATTACATGTAATGCCATCTATTAAAAGTATTTCAAAGTAGCGAGAGAGGAAGGGAGAGGAACTAAATAGTGTAAAGGTTAAAACACTCATTAAAATTGTCATTATAATTCCAGGTTTAATGCGGACTGTGTCACTGAATTAACCTCATTGCTGTGTTTGGATAAAATGTATGACAATATACCAACCCACTTACGAGTGAAGCCGGGTCTCGTGAGTTTACAGTGGAAGATAGATATCTCCTTAGGGTATGCATCATTTTATTATGGAATTTATTACACTTGGCTAATTTTAAAGTGCCAATTCTATAAACTTATTTCTGTTTATTTGATTAGAATAATTTTGTTTAATTTCGAAACCGAATTTTTGTTTTATGTGTTGTTAAAAATGTATAGCTTTGTGCTTTTGCCTACTCTCAGTCTATGGTAATAACAATAGTACATTACTGCAGCGGCCAGCAACTGAGGCATTGATGGACGAACGTGCAAATGTGGGCCGAGGTGTAGCCGAGGCACACATACGTGAGTCCATCAATGCCTAGTTGTGGCCAAGGCTTGTATAGTACTTTTCTCAAATAATGCGCGGAAATGAAAAACACAATTTTACTTTTTAAGTTCAATGACGAATAACAAACAATAATAATTTTTCACGCGCCATAATGTTCATTTGTTTTTTTTACAATAAACAGCTTTCTATTTGCAAGCCAAATCGAAATTTAAATAAAACCTTTTAATAATTACGTCTTTGGTAGCCATGTTTCGAAGTAAAAGGTCATTCCATTTTTAAATTACAGGACAGATATGAGTTTACATAGTAATTTATCTAACGGCAAAACACGACAGATATGGATTCTCATACAACTTTTACCGGCCGTTGCCCGCATGTAACTGGCCAGTACGGCAATTTTGATTTATCTCGAAGAAGATTGTCAAAATAATGCTCACATTTCTAAGCATGTTTGAGAAAATGTAATATATAGATCTTGTCTGTGGGAAATAAGTGTGTGACAAACACTTGAAGGTTTACCACCACTAATACTACCACATTGGGGAGAAAGGGATTTTACCATATTAGCTATCAAGGTCGACCTCCTCGCGGTTCTCTGGAAACTATCATGGTTAATTCCTGATGAATTCATCATGATGGGCTAACTGGCCTGTTTTCATTCTCATCTATCACCCTTCACTGGTGCTCCGCCAGCGTATCCCGTTAACGCAGGCGGGGATATCATACCATTTTCACTCATCAAAAAAAAAAAATACTACCACATTTTACCATATTAGCTATCAATCTCCGACTGCACCCGGGTCATTTTTCCATGCCAACAAAAAATTTAATTTTTCTAATTTTCAGATAGTTCTCACTTTAGTTTAGTTTGTCACGTTAGTCACAGAGAACTAATGGGTAAAAAGTCATAGACATAATGTACCGAGTACGCGGACGAAGTAGCGGGTGTAAAACTAGTATTATATTTATAAATTTTTGTATAAATTTCTCGTACAGTTTGCTTCAATAATACCTTTAACATTTTACAGTCAAGCCAACATATCGTCAGAGAACGCCGACTCGCAACGAGCAAACGAGATTATGCGGAGAGATACACACATTATACTAATATTAACGCTGACAAACGGACAAACAAACACGTACAGGATGTCTATAAGCAAATTCCACGAGCTGAGATACACTGTGGCGTGCGCGTTGAAGAGTATGATCGTGTTGGAGAAAAGAAAGTGTATGAGAAAGGAATGACACAGGTCCTCGTGGGGGTAGTGCGTTGAAATAAATGTGTCAATAGAACTTAACGAGTGTTTATAACCAAGTCTGGCAATATGGCAATTAGCTGTCAATTTTCAAAACAATTGGACATTTTAATATAGACAGCAGCTAATGATTAAGGGTCTCAAATTGGTCACGAAACTAATCGAGCTATTTCGATCTAATTACACGCAAGTTTAACTGATAGTAAACAAATTAATTCTTGAAGGAGCTAGTTTCTGAAATAAAGAAAGAAAGAAATATTTATAGCTTAATTTCTTACTTAACTAAAAAAATATATTTAATAATAAACAAAAAGGAAACGAGAAGCACTAAAATAGCTCAGCACTCAGCTGTATGTCATGTTTTTTTAAATACAGCCGATTATTAAATTCTAGATAAAATTTATATCAGAGGGAGACTACAAAAGTTTGCTGGGGCACCTCTGTCCCATTTGTGTTTCTACCGTGAAGCAGTTGTGTTTGCATGGCTGTGTTTCAGTTTGAAGGGTGGGATATGGCGTGAATTTACAGGGCACAGAGGAATAACACCAGAGTCCTCACATATGGCAACGCATGGGGGGTATCATGGACGAAACAGTATACTCTGTTATGTCCATGGTACAGCTCATGTCTATAGGCGACGGTTACCACTTTTCAGAAGGTAGACCGTCAGTTTGGCATTCTAATATTAAAAATAACAAGATTAGGTTATTTAAATTATAACAAAATTGTCAATTCTTATTTCTTTATTTTGTTACATACATAAAATGTATTAAGTCTTTGTAAAGTGATATTTGTATGGCCGTGCGATAGGAATGGGCAATATATGGCAATATCTATATACTTTAGTTACAATATGTATATATTGGTCCAATAACGAATATGTTAAGTCTGTTATCTAAAAAATAATATCGGATAACAGACTTTTAACATATTCGAAAATAGAATGTGAAAAAGACTATTTTCCGCGCTTAGCCTCTCATTTGGGCCGTTGTGCGTTTGAGTCGTGGCTAGTGCAGCCAACCTAGCTCCGCCCAGAAGCGCAGAAGCTTCCTGGGATCTTCACAGGCCTCACGGAGCGACCTCACCGTTCCGAGGATTTCTAAACGTTGATGCGCCACAGCCTCACATTCCAGGATTACGTGAGCAGCCGTTTGTTCGGCGTCGAAACAGCCTCGACATAGAGGGCTGTCTGTGGCTATTCGAAAATAGATATCCGACCGATATGGGTGATATCGAAATGGGTGATGACCTTTTCACCGCTATTAATGCCCAGAGGAATTCAATATATAAATATTGAATCAGTATCCATATTACTCATGCCTACCGTATGTTCCCGGCATAGAATGGGCCACCCCTTCCTTTCCCTTGGTAGTCGAGGAAGGTGACTGAGGGAACTTAATGATCAAGGGATGGGCAGCAGCGTCCTTCTTAAAACATCTGTAAAAGCCTAACTGCGGTTGCCAGGGGGAAAGGGATTGTTAGTAATGGAAACTAAAAATCCCATTGCTAGCAATATACTCAACTATGCATCTTAGTATTTGGGGGAAAGGGATTGTTAGCAATGGAGTTTGATAGCCTCGTTGCTAGCAATATGCCCTATTAGGTCGACCTCCTCGCTGTTCCCCCTGGAAACTATCATGGTTAATTACTGATGAATTCATCATGATGGGCTAACTGGCCTGTTTTCATTCTCATCTATCACCCTTCACTGGTGCTCCGCCAGCGTATTCCATTAGCGCAGGCGGGTTACCATTCCATTTTCATCCACCAAACAAAAAACTGCGGTTGCTAACTCTTATGCCAAGCGTGGCAACTATTGGCAAAACCCTCCAATAGAGGGAGGCTCATGTTTAGCAGTCAACTGCTGGTATGGTGATGAAAGTGATACTTCAGAACTACTAGATAAGAGAGCTTTGTTAAAAACTATGTAGTTTGCATATTTTTGCAGTGGATGTAATAAATAAATAAATAAATAAATTTTAATGAAATATTGATATTATAAATTGTTAATGTTAAAAAAAAACATAAATTATTGTTCACATTATAATTATAGTCTATTTTGTATTAAAAAAAAAATATTAAAAACAACGTGATGAAGTTTTTTTTTTTTGTTTTTGGTCGATCACGATCGATTACTGACACGCATGAATATATACTACTGTTTCATTCTAATTATTTACAGTGGCGTCTCGACATGCGAGTTTAGTTCGTTCCGTAACCTTGTTCGTATCTCAGCAATTTTCCCCATTGAAATCCCATTAATCGGTACTCCCAAAAAACCACTTTAGTTGTTTTTGTTAAGCGTTAGCCTGAGGTGGGAGAAACTGTTAGACACCAACATCCACTCCGCATGTTGGGGGGGGGGGGGGGTCGTGTGTAGCGGTGTAGTATGCTATCCCTCGCATCTCAAGTCTTGTTCTCATCTCGAGGCAAAATATCGCTCGCTCGGGCGGCTGATGTCTCAATACACTTGTATATTAGGGCACTCCTATATCGAGGTACAACTGTACAAGTAAATATATTTTTTACTGAACTAAGTGTTACCATGCGTAAGTCCATATTATTGATTATTTGATTAAAATTATTTCTTTTAATTCCGCTACCATTAGTATGTATACTGGCAACACTTGTAGATCGACCAACACTATTACCACTAGACGTTCCACAATCTTTCATATTAAACGTCAATCGTCGACTGTCATTTTGTCCAGAGGGAGACTGTACAAAAGTCGATTGCTCGGGTACCTCTGTTCCATTCGTGTTTCAACCGTGAAGCAGTTGTTTGCATGGCTGTTTCGGTTTGAAGGGTGGGATATGGCGTGAATTTACTGGGTACAGAGGAATAACACCTGTGTCCTCAGGAATGGCAACGCATGGGGGGTATTATGGGCGAAACAGTATACTCTGTTATGTCCATGGTACTGGTGGTCTACCATAAAATTAAATTTCGAAATTTCGGGCTCAATTTCGTGTTTTTATTCGTATCAAAATCGTGCCAGTAAATGGAGCTTAACATTTCGTTCATCATAAATCCTATCCTAATAGTCCAAAGGAACGATATTCTAACATTCTTAATAATTTTAAACAGCATGTATTATGTAATTTTAACATAAAATTTCTGTTTCGTTCGTTCCCGAAATTTCGGAAAATACTTCATGGTAGGCCCTCTACTCATGTGTATAGGCGACGGTTACCACTTACCATCAGGTGGGCCGTCAGCTTGTTTGCCATTCTAAGTTGTATAAAAAATAAAAACGTTTTGCGACACGTGTTGCACCAGTAAACGAGGCATCTTCAGGCAAATTACTGGATCGCTGCTTGAAGCCCAGTGTTGGCCGTTCGGCGTCCAAACTGCGAAAGGTACAAGCTCTGCTGTTTGTTCTGTTATGTAATTATTCCTCGGTGTCCTGTCTGTTTGGAACAGTATAGTTGTCGTCTTTCTGTAACAAAATAAACAAATAAAAATTCCGTATGGTCCCGGCATAGAATAGGCCACCCCCGGGGGGACAAGGAATTGTTAGTAATGCGGATTATCAGTTCCAGAAGGTCGACTTCCTCGTTGAAAACAATCGTGATTGATTTACTCGTTAGATTCACATCACGGTAGGCTAACTGGCGTGCTTCATTCTCACCTGTCATTCCTCACTGGTCCCCCGTCAGCGTATGCCGATAGCGCAGGCGGGGTTGCCGTTCCATTGTGATCCATCAAAAAAAAAAATAGGCCAACCCCTCCTTTCCCGTGGGTATCGTAAGAGGCCACTAAGGGAGGGCGAGGGATGGGCTGTAGAGTCCCTCGTAAAAAATTTCGAAGCCTAACTGCGGATGGCAAACGTAGCTAAACGTACGTACGTAAATATTAATACGAATGGCCGAATTCGTCTTAAACGGACTTTCACTGTGCCTTTTTATAGAAACAATATTTCTTTAAACACCATACCAAAACGGCCCCCAGTTATTATCCCCGAAATAATGTAATATTCAGAAATCTCTTAAATAATTTTGTTTTGGTTTTTTATGTGACTTTCTTTATGTTTATTTTTATGTTTAAATTTTTCACTGATAGTTGCAACCTAATAGCTTTGTTGCAGTCGCATTTATTATTGGATCGTGCTGTGTAACTGCGGAGCAGAATTTAAGTTTTTATTTGGATGTTAAAAAAAAAAAAAATGAGTCTCCAGCAGAGATTTTCATCATTATTTACAAATCAAAAGCACACAGACTGCCATAAAGAACGGTCCTGAGCCACCTGCGTCCACCGACTACCTGCAACACATTTCAGATCGTCACTCCATCTAGTGGGGGGTCGTCCTACACTGCGTTTACCCATCGCTTGTCGGTTCTTCGAGCCATGTGACCAGCCCATCGCCAAGGGCTATTAGTGTTAATTAGTACCTACCTGAGACGAGTGTGTCCGCGCGGCGGTGCATGTATACGTGGCTGCGTGTGTGTCTGGCGAGTCCAAGCGCGCGTCCTGAAAACGATATATTAAATCCTTACGAATTAGTGTGACAAGCCCTACCAATCGGTGCGTGTAGTGACCACGGGGGGGGGGGTTTCCGCTCTCTTTACAAATAACAACTATTTTACCTACCTACCTATCAATAGAAACAACGAAATGTTATTAAACCCTATTATAATATGTTCCTTTCATGAAGGTCACGATGTCGTATCGGTTCGGTAACACTGCCGCTGGGAGTTGGTGCCAGAGAGTGGTTGTGCGTGGAGTGTGAAGACAGCGCACGTGCTAGCTAGTGCTAGTGTTTGCTGAGATCGATTCTATTACGTTTCTGTTAGCGTACTGACCGCCGGCCGGCCGCCGCGGTGTCCGCCGCCGGCCGCCGCGGGCCCGCGCGTCCGCCGCGGACACGAGCCGCACTCCTGTCTGTGCGACACACGTACACCAAACATTATAAAAGCTTATTTAAGATATTGTTGCTATCAGATTGTTTAATAAATTTTAAAGAAGCTTTTATTGTAATATAAAATAATATTATAATAAAATAATGTAAAATTTATAATTAAATTATCATGGCAATGACAGTCATTGTAAACTTTTTTTTTATACAACTTAGAATGGCAAACAAGCTGACCGCCCACCTGATGATAAGTGGTAACCGTCGCCTATACACATGAGCAGTACCATGCACATAACAGAGTATACTGTTTCGCCCATAATACCCCCCATGCGTTGCCATTCCTGAGGACTCAGGTGTTATTCCTCTGTACCCTGTAAATTCACACCATATCCCACCCTTCAAACCGAAACACAGCCATGCAAACACAACTGCTTCACGGTTGAAACACGAATGGGACATAGGTGGCCAAGCAATTGACTTTTGTACAAAGTCTCCCTCTAGTAAACTATGGGTATATACCTGAAAATACAACATTTATTATTATTATTACATAATCCGCCATGTTGTGGTGGCAGCCCCTTTTAAAGATGTCATTTATTTTATAGTTAAATACTCTTCAAGCCCTTTCATTTGATACCTATATTAACGAGGTTAACAAACTATACACCATCCGCCATCTTGTGACGGAGGCCATTTTGAAATTATTACAATATTACCATTACAGTGTTGCCTCTATTATTATATTGTTGCCAGTGTTAGAATAGATATAAAATACCTCAATGGTAAAAATATTCTTTTTTGATTACTGACAGTCTATTGTAATTTATTTATTTATGTCTTGTTTATTAATAAAACTTGAAGACCGATATATTTTTCGTGTTTTATATTATTTTATTAAGCTTTCTCTAACAGCCAAAACTGAAGGTTATTATAGATGAACAAGAAAACTATATAAAGAAGGAAAAATAAAATAAAAAATGAAACAGTACACTCTGTTATATCCATGGTACTGCTCATGTCTATAGGCGACGGTTACCACTTTCCATCAAGTGGGCCGTCAGCTTGTTTGCCATTCTAAGCTGTATAAAAAAAGTAATAATTGGCCATACTCACTGGTAAGAGGACGCATCTCGATGTCTTTTCGCTTTCTTGAAGTGTAGCCTTAAATTATCCTGAAAAAAAAAAAAAACTTGTAAATTAAACACATATTTATCACGCCTAACTCGCATTAGTGTAGGCAGAAACATTGTTACGCAAAAAACTTCGATTCAAACAGACCTCTTTCGCTTCCTCCACATTTATCAATCTTTTCATACACGCTCGCCGGTTACGGGCACTTTTAATTTGGCCCTTCTTCAGCACGTCGCCTGTTTAGTCGAAATACAATCAATAAAAAAATTTATAATACAATACATTTTTAAACCTCTTTCTTTTTTCTCTCTATTCCTATCTTTTGCCTTTTATTGGTACTTTTTGCTTCAGTCGTAGATATTTTTCCGCTTTATTTTCTTTTTTCCTAATTAATTTTCTTCTTGTCTCATGGTTGACTGGTAGAGAACGCCATTAGGCGTGAAGTCCGCCAGATGTACACTCACTTATATAATTGTGCAGTGAAGTTTAAATAAATAAACAATGAAAATGATAATTATTATAGTACAATAATAATAAAATAGATTCAGTAGTTTAGTTTTTAAATCAATATAACTGGTGTTGCCACAATTGAAGTCGGTGATCGAAAATCTATTTATATGTTCCGTATAAAAAAAAAAAAAATATATAAACACTCACCCTGGATTTAAATTTGATATCGCATTCCACACAGTAGTAGTCCTTCCGCACGTGAACAGCCTGTATATGCTGGTGCAGCATCGACGGATATATGAACATCCTGTTGCAGTGCTCGCATTGCAGCCGTTTCGATTTGTCGTGACGCCTGTTCATGAATTATGAAATGAAATTAATTAAATTAAATAAATTAAATTAAATGAAATAAATAAAATGAAATAAATTAAATGAAATAAATTAAATGAAATAAATTAAATGAAATAAATTAAATGAAATAAATTAAATGAAATAAATTAAATGAAATAAATTAAATGAAATAAATAAAATGAAATAAATTAAATGAAATAAATGAAATGAAATAAATGAAATGAAATAAAATGAAATGAAATTAGTTTATTTGCATTAAACAGTTTAAAATTATTACAAACGCCAACTTGCTACTATTTTGACACCTGCCTTAAGAGATATAGGCAAGCAAATATTTTACATTTTACGAAAAAAAAAGCGGGAAACAAAATTAAAATTCAATTATGGCATTTAAATTGTCCTTACATATTAAAAGTCTATAGTACATCATGTCATTTATATATATATATATATCTTTACATAAGTAATACCAGGTCACTCAGAAAGTATTGCGAGAAAAAGTTTTTATGTACGTGAGACTGGCCGGTTATAATTTATTTAAAAATATGATTACTTATAAGTAAAAATAGGTACGTTCTAAATTCAAAATTTCCCGCCACATTTTTTGCGAGCTAATTAAAATTACCGCGTCTCATTGGAAAATGGATTTGCGTCGAGAACATTTTCGCGCTGTGATTTTTACGATTTTAAATGTCGCCTGAAACCGGACGAATCGTACGATAGACTTCAAATGACATTCTTGGAAGAAGGCCCTTCTAAGGTTAAATGTTTGTATGTTTTACTAGTGACCGCCACGACCTCGTGACGGGCGGACAGACAAATAATTTTACTGAACTAGATTTTATCTTGCAGAATTACATATCACTGGTTATTTTTTTAGATTTTTTTCGTATGTGTGCAACTGCCAACACTCGAAGATCGACCGCCACTATTACTACCAGAAGTTCTACAACCTTCCATTTTAGCCATCAAACTCCGACGGCCATTTTATTCACACACGTTTTGCGACGCGTGTTGGCCCCTTCAGAACAGCCAGACATGAGCCAATTCTGAATTGTTCATTTCGTAAGATGGTTTGGGAATCGAACCCGGGACATTTTTTACCAAAATCAACATGTCCACATAAATTAAATTGCTTTATTTATATATTTGAATTATTAAGGCATTCCCTATTCCTTGACTGTACCCTTCAGATAGTACCTATGGGATATATACATGTAGTATGACTACATGTGGGATCACTTACGTGGTATGGACCCGCAGAGTCTCAACAGCCGTGGCATACGAGCCGCTGCATTGTATATATGTACATGTAATATGACTACATGTGGGATCACTCACGTGGTATGGACCCGCAGAGTCTCAACAGCCGTGGCATACGAGTCGCTGCATTGTATATATGTACATGTAGTATGACTACATGTGGAATCACTCACGTGGTATGGACTCGCAGCGTCTCGACGTTAAGGAACAGCTTCCCGCAGCGCGGACAGGACAGTTTCTCGCGAGGGCCGTGGGAGCGCGCGTGGCGCTGCATCACGGTGCGTTTACTGACATGCACATAGAGTTACACTCTCTTTAGAATCTATTAAGGTTTGCCTGTCATAAGATGCGACTAGAGAAATATAATTGTTAAGGAATGGGTAGCAATTTTTACCAGAGGGAAACTTTGTACAAAAGTCGTTTGCTTGTGCACCTCTGTTCCATTCATGTTTCTACCGTGGAGCAGTTGTGTTTGCATGGCTGTGTATCGGTTTGAACGGTGGGATATGGCGTGAATTTACAGGGTACAGAGGAATAACATCTGAGTCCTCAGGAATGGCAACGCATGGGCATGGGCGAAACAGTATACTCTGTTATGTCCACGGTACTGCTCATGTCTTTAGGCGACGGTTACCACTTTCCATTAGGTGGACCGTCAGCTTGTTTGCCATTCTGAGTTGTATAAAAAAAAGCAATGTCCCTCTAAAAAACACCACCAAAGTCAAATGCGGTCGCCAACCCAGAGGGAGACTTTGTACAAGAGTCGTTTGCTTGAGTACCTCTGTTCCATTCATGTTTCTACCGTGGAGCAGTTGTGTTTGCATGGCTGTGTTTCGGTTTGAAGGGTGGGATATGGCAGTGAATTTACTGAGTACAGAGTAGAGTTGTCACTTATAGATATAGCCTACTGTTTATCACAATGATGATTTATGATTAAAATAAATAAGCGAACGTGAGCTTGTTTACCCTTCTAAGTATCGTAAACAAGTATCCGTGTGCAAGTAATTTGCAAAACCCGTTCGGTTTATACAAAACTAGCTTCTACCCGCGACTTGGTCCGCGAGCCAGTATAAAAAGTATCCTATAGCCGTGTCCTTGTCGTCAGCCTGTCCGTTATGTGATGTCGTGCTGTGTCGCTGAAGCTGAGAGCGGTGTCGTACTGCGTGGTGTAGGCGCAGCGGCGGCAGGCGTAGAGCGCGGCGCGTGCGGCGTGCGCGAGCGCGTGGTGCTCGAGCACGTGCTGCCGCGAGCCGCGCCGCAGCGCGCACACCTTGCACGCGTACCTGCCGCCACCACCGTGGACGGTCACTTTTTTTTTTATACAACTTAGAATGGCAAACAAGCTGACGGCCCACCTGATGGAAGGTGGTAACCGTCGCCTATACACATGAGCAGTACCATGGACATAACAGAGTATACTGTTTCGCCCATGATACTCTCCATGCGTTGCCATTTCCGAACTCTCAGGTGTTATTACTCTGTACCCTGTAAATTCATTCCCATATCGCACCCTTCAAACCGAAACACAGCCATGCAAACACAACTGCTTCACGGTTGAAACACGAATGGGACAAAAGTATGCAAGCAATCGACTTTTGTACAAAATCTCCCTCTGGTTTATAAAAACGTCGTCCGTTTATAAAAAAAATCGTTTGCTCGGCCACCTCTGTCCCATTCGTGTTTCAACCGTGAAGCAGTTGTGTTTGCATGGCTGTGTTTCGGTTTAAAGGGTGGGATATGGCGTGAATTTACAGGGTACAGAGGAATAACACCTGAGAATTCGGAAATGGCAAGGCATGGAGAGTATCATGGGCGAAACAGTATACTCTGTTATGTCCATGGTACTGCTCATGTCTATAGGCGACGATTAGTACTTTCCATCAAGTGGGCCGTCAGCTTGTTTGCCATTTTAAGTTGCATAAAAAAACAAAACCTAATATATATTAAAAAGAAAATAAGGATATATATTTATATATTTACATTAATACATGTATTACATCTCTATATGTATTTAAAATTAACAAAATTTTTCATTGTGCCTCCCACCAAACTGTTTATAACTACTCCTCTCAATCCAAAGGTTGCCTGCAAGAGATCGCTCTTAGCGATAAGGTCGCCCATTGTTGTCTCACTGTGATTATTTCTTGTAATTGTTTGTATCTATAATAAGTTTACTATTGTAATCTTATGGAGGAAACAATAGAGAGTATCTATATAAAGTATATTTGTTATTCATATATATTTATTTGTTTATATATGTAATTTTAATATGTATGTATTAACAGTAATTACTAGTACCGCATTCGAGTATTCTGCCACTTCCCTACGGTTGACTGGGAGAGAATGCTTTTAGCATTAAGTCCGCCATGTACACATATATTTACTAATGAATAAATAAATATAGTACATTACTGCAGCGGCCAGCAAATGAGGCATTGATGAACGAACGTCCAAAAGTGGGCCGAGGCGTAGCCGAGGCACACATACGTGAGTCCATCAATACCTAGTTGTGGCCAAGGCTTGTATAGTACTTTTCTCAAACAATGCGCGGAAATCAAAAACACTATTTTACTTTTTAAGTTCAATGACGAATAACGAACAATAATAATTTTACACGCGCCATAATGTTCTTTCGTTTTTTTTTTTCAATAAACAGCTTTCTATTTGCAAGCTAGTTCGAAATTTAAATAAAACCTTGTATTAGTTACCTCCTTGGTAGCCAAATTTCGAAGTAAAAGGTCATTCCATTTTTAAATTACAGGACAGATATGAGTTTACATAGTAATTTATCTGGCTTCAAAACACGACAGATATGGATTTTCATACAACTTTTGCCGGCCGCTGCCCGCATGCATCTGGCCAGTACGGCAATTTTGATTTATCACGAAGAAGATTGTCAAAATAATGCTCACATTTGTAAGCATGTTTGAGAAAAAGTAGATACCTTGTAGTATGCGACTTCATGTGTCCGCGCAGCGACACCACGCTGGGACAGTACTGTGTGCATATCTCGCACAAAAATGTACCGTTTTCCTGTTGAACAAAAAAGATTACTTAAAAACAACTATTTTTTTCCTCTTCTTAAAGCGGAAAAAAATTAGTTAAGAAAAGCCATTCCCAAAAGTGTAGCTGCTTGCCAGAAATATCAACATTAAAGGGTCTGACTTATTTATGAAGAGATTATTTTTAAAAATCAAGGGTCTTTAAAAAAAAAAAAAACAGAATAGAATAGAAATAATATTTAATCAAAAAAACTTGTTTACATGCTCTTTTGTATCGTTATCTTTTATGATTGTACTGCTGGGTCCAGAATGTTGTACCATATTACCAGAGGACGGGGAGAGACTTTGTACAAAGTCGTTTGCTTGTGCACCTCTGTCCCATTCGTGTTTTAACCGTGAAGCAGTTGTGTTTGCATGGCTGTGTTTCGATTTGAAGGGTGGGATATGTCAGTGAATTCCTTCCTCCTTAAGGGATTTTTTTTGGATTAAAATGGTATGGTAACCCAGTCTGCACTGTCGCTATATGCTGGCGAGGCACCAGTGAGGGTAAAAACAGGTCTGTTAGCCCATCGTGACAAATTCAAAAAGAATTAATCACGATGGTTTCCAGGGGCAATCGCGTGGTTGACCTGATAATTAATATACTAATATATTGATAGCAATGGGGACTAATCTCCCCATTACTAACAATCCCTTCCCCCTGTATAAGGGGTATTTTTTTAATAGGTGAAAATAGAATGGTAACCCCGCCCACGCGTATGTTGCTAGTAACAGGGCTGGTAGACCCCATTACTTTCCCTTTCCCTCTTCCTTGGAGGATTGTGCCAGTAAGCTGTTTGGCAGGTGCATTGGCAACCGCAGTTAGGCTTTGGCTATGTTTTAACAGGGACACTGTTGACCAGCCCTCGACCAATAAGCTCCCTTAGTCGCCTCTTACGACATCCACGGGAAAGGAAGGGGTGGCCTATTCTATGCTGTCGTCAGGCAAATTTCATTACAGCAGTATAGGCCATATACAAACCTGTGAGTGCTTCACCATGTGACTCCTCAGTACATCCTCGAAATTGAACCCCTTGACACATTTCTCGCACTTGAACAACGTCCTCTGGTACTCCACCGTTTTGGATCTCTCCTGCATCTCTTGTAACACCTGTGGAGAACCAATACACAGGGTGATACCACCATATCAGCCATTAACTGTGCACTGCTGAACATAGGCTGCCCCCATAGGGGGAGTTTTGCCAGTAGTTGCCAGTTTTGCTAGCAATTACTACACGCGAGTCCTCAGGAATGGCAACGCATGGGGGGTATCATGGGCGAAACAGTATACTCCGTTATGTCCACGGTACTGCTCGTGTCTATAGGCGACGGTTACCACTTTCCATCAGGTGGGCCGTCAGCTTGTTTGTCATTCTAAGTTATATAAAAAAAAGTTGCCACACTTGGCAAGCATATTTGCACCAGCAATCAAGCTTTGGTGATGTTTCAATTGGGATGTTTCCGCCCATTTCCGGCCATTAAGTTCCTTTAGTCGCCTCTTACGACACCCACGGGTAAGGAAGGGGTGGCCCATTCTATGCCGGGGCCAAAAGGCTAACAGGGTGATATGCAGAGTGGATATGCAGTGTAAAATATACAGGATAGATATAAAGGATGTATATACAGGATCGAAAATACAGGATGGATGGACATACGGGGTAATCCCGCCTGCCTCTTCCTCTGGAAACCATTGTGCTTAATGATTTATGAATTGGTCATGATAGGTCTTCTTTATTTTAATGGGTGAAGATAGAATAGTAACCCCGCCTGCGCTATCGGTATACGCTGACGGGGCACCAGCGAGGGATGATAGGTGAAAACGAAAAAGCAGGTCAGTTAGCCCATCGTGATGAATACACATGGAGTTGAGCACGATGGTTTCCAGGGGGAATCACGTGAAGACAACAGTGTATATTGCTAGCAATAACTGCGGTCAGGGTGGGGGGGGTTATCATTCCATGTTCACCCATGAAACCAGAGGGAGACTTTGTACAAAAGTCGATTGCTTGGGTACCTCTGTCCCATTTGTGTTCCAACCGTGAAGCAGTTGTGTTTGCATGACTGTGTTTCGGTTTGAAGGGTGGGATATGGCGTGAATTTACTGGGTACAGAGAAATAACACCTGAGTCCTCAGGAATGGCAACGCATGGGGGGTATCATGGGTGAAACAGTATAGTCTGCTACGTCCATGGTACTGCTCATGTCTATAGGCGACGGTTACCACTTTCCATCAGGTGGGCCGTCAGCTTGTTTGTCATTCTAAGTTGCATAAAAAAAAAAATGAAAACAAAATATCTAATGGAAAGAAAAAGACAAACCTGTTCTTTCGTTAACTTGATGACTACATACTCGTCTGTTTCTTGGACCATCCTAGATGTAAATCCCTCTTTGACAACCTTCTGCCTCCTGGGTTTGGCTGGTACTGGCATCGGATTCTCTCTACTTAAGTCCAGATCAGCAACTTGACTAGATTCGGTTAACTCTTGCTCTATCTTTATAGGAATTTCTTGTTCGATCTCTAATTCTGTGACCTGAAATAGACATATTTTCGTATTGATGAAAAAAGAAACTATTAACAATAGAGGGCGCCACTGTCACACGAGTAGTAGTAGCATCAGAAATTTTTTAGCCGTGTGATCCCGGCATAGAATGGGCCAATTGACTTGATTTCATACTCGCCATCTCACTAGTGCCCTGCCAGTGTATACAAGAGAGTGTATACCAGAGGGAGACTTTGTACAAAAGTCGATTGCTTGGGTACCTCTGTCCCATTAGTGTTTCAACCGTGAAGCAGTTGTGTTTGCATGGCTGTGTTTCGGTCTGAAGGGTGGGATATGGCGTGAATTTACTGGGTACAGAGGAATAACAACCGTGTCCTCAGGAATGGCAACGCATGGGTGGTATCATGGGCGAAACAGTATACTCTATTATGTCCATGGTACTGCTCATGTCTATAGGCGACGGTTACCACTTTCCATCAGGTGGGCCGTCAGCTTGTTTGCCATTCTAAGTTGTATAAAAAAAAATACAAATAGCGCAGGCGATTCGAAAAGAAAAAACCACTTACCTCATTTTTTAACTTTTTCCTCTTCTTTTTTCTGACTTTTTCCTTTTTTACATCACCGTTGAGAAAATTTGATAACGGCACATCATCATTGTCAAAATCATCATCGTTTAAGTCCCAATTTGGGCCAATGTAGTGATAAACTGGTGGTGTACATTTGAAATGATATAATGATTTGTCATTCACTAGATTTGGTTTTATATCCTGAAAGCCAATCTTTAATGCTTAGTCTTATTTTTTTCATTACTTCTTCATTTAATTCACTAAACATTATTATCACGCCACGCCATTTTTTTTTTATTATTGGATGAAAATGGTATGGTAACCCCGCCTGCGCTAACGGGATACGCTGGCGGAGCACCAGTGAAGGGTGATAGGTGAGACTGAAAACAGGCCAGTTAGCCCATCATGATGAATTCATCAGGAATTAATCATGATAGTTTCCAGGAGGAACCGCGAGGAGGTCGACCTGGTTGGGTATATTGCTAGCAATGGGATTCCCAGTCTCCATTACTAACAATCCCTTTCCCCCACGCCACGCCATTAACTGTCCACTGCTGATCAGACTACCCCAAACAGGGGAGTTTTGCCCGAAGTTGTTACGCTTGGCAAACGGGTCGGCATGGGGGGAAAGGGATTGTTAGCAATGGAGTTTGACAGCCCCATTGCTAGCAATATGCCCTATTAGGTCGCCCTCCACGTGGTTCCCTCTGGAAACCATCATGAACAATTCTTGTTGAATTCGTCACGATGGACTAACTGACCTACTTCATCCTCACCTATCATCCTTCACTGGTGTCCCGCCGGTGTATACCAATAGCGCGGGTGGGGTTACCATTCCATTATCATCCATTAAAAAAAAAGGGTCGGCAACGACAGTTAAGCTTTGGTGATGTTTTAAAAGGGACTCTGTTGCCCATCCCTCGAGTATTAAACTCCCTGATCGCCTATTTTAACACCCATGGGAAGGAGAGGATGGCCCGTTCCATGATGGGACCACATAGCAATACACTAATTATCATATCTACTGACAATAATCAGCACTCCATTTATATTGTATTGTGAGTGGGCAGCCAACCCTATAAAAACCGGGTAGTCTTTTTTTTATACCACTGTGGTGGCAAACAAACATACGGCCCACCTGATGGTAAGCGGTTACCGTAGCCTATGAACGGCTGCAATACCAGAGACATTACGCGCGCGTTGCCGACCCTGAAGAAACCTCTTTACCCCCTTTTGAAGAAGTTCGTAGCATTAGTCCTTTTCGTTCGCCAACTCTCGAGGAGAGCAGACGGTGTGTGTGACGTGTTTTGCTGTAATCGGTTTATTATTTTTCAATTACTTAAAATTGGTGATTTGTTCGATTTATTATTTAAATATCTTTATAGAATTGTTATAATTTTGTAATAAAAAGTATTAAATAATTTGTTTGTTGTTACCGTCTTTTTTTTTTTTAATTATTTTCCACTACTGATGCTAAAAATATAATAATAATTAAATTGGTCACAAACAGATCTAAAAAACCTACAACGCACCGTGAACACGCACCTTACTAAATATAGGAAACATCGCCCTAAATCATCCATCCAAAGGCTCTTTCTGCCACGACACGAAGGAGGAAGAGGAGTGATAGATATCCAAAACCTACATAACAAACAAATAGCTACCCTTAGACAATACTTCCACACTAAATCTCAACAGTCATTAATCCACAAATATGTTACAGAAACAGACAAAAAACTCACACCACTCAACCTGTGCGACAGACAAACTCAAACCAACGAGCAACTGACTAATTTAGAACAGAAAATCGCAACATGGACTGGAAAATCATTACACGGAAGACACCGATCCAACCTTTGCCATCCACACGTCGACAAAGATAAGTCGAACGAATGGTTAAAGAGAGGCGAACTGTTTCCCGAGACTGAAGGGTTCATGCTTGCGATACAAGATGAGGTAATAGCCACCCGTAATTACAAAAAACATATTATAAAAGATCCGAACCAGACCACCGACTTATGCAGACACTGCAATAGTGCAGCAGAAACTATTCAGCATATAACTGGATCCTGTAAGAGTATTGTGCAAACGGACTACAAACATAGACATGATCAGGTAGCTTCAATAATTCACCAACAACTTGCTTACAAATATGATTTTATAAGAAAAAAACAGCCTTACTATAAAATACAAGCCTGAAACTGTTCTAGACAATCAAAAGTGTAAGCTTTACTGGGATAGGACTATACTTACAGACAAAACGATACACTACAACAGACCGGATTACTTCATGACAAAAACAGTAACACAATATACCTCATAGACATCGCTATCCCTAACACACATAATCTCCAAACTACCATCTCAGATAAACTTGCGAAGTACCAGGATCTTGCAATAGCAGTGAAAACACAATGGCAAGCCCATACAGTACATATTGTACCCATTGTTCTATCTTCCACCGGCATTATCCCAAAGACTCTAAGTAATAGCCTACAGACACTAAATATTCACACTAATCAAACATACCTACTACAAAAGGCCACTATCTTAAATATCTGCCATATTAGCAGAAAATTCCTCACCTCGTCTACTATTACATCTTCCTACTCTGAAACCTCTCCTACACTTGGTTAAGGCCCGTGTCGGTGAGTAAACCTTCGTCCATGTGAAGAAGAGAAAGAAAAACAAAAACAAATAATAATAATTTATTTGGAACAAAAACATTGGTTACAATATTATTGAAAAACGATGGTATCCGCCGAAATATAAAACTGTGTCGCGAATGTCAACGCCCTCCTCCTCATTGCGGGATTCCAAAACAGACCAATTTAAACGTAGCTAGTAAGCTAGTGGTAGCTAGTTGCATCAACGGAGACATTTTTGTTATATATAGCATACAATACTAATAAATTACAATAATTGAAAAAAATTAAAATTTAAAAGCAGTAGCATACATGTTAAAAAAAAAAAAGTGTGCGTGAGTGCGTGCGTGCGTGCGTGCGTGCGTGCATGCGTGCGTGCGTGCGTGCGTGTGTGTGTGTGTGAATTTGATTGAATATTGAAATGAATATATTCCCAAATGGCGTAACATTTACAATATTTGTAGTAGTGTATTACGTAAGTCCTCAAAATTGTTTTATTTCTTTTCGTCATCAACAGACGAGTATCATGTATATGTATATCACAACTACGGGTCATAGAGATATCTTCATCATCATTATTAAATAATAAGCTTTGTTATTATCATTTATTTAATTTCCTATAGATAGATAGATACTGTTTATTGTTTCCTCCATAAGATTACAATAGTAAACTTATTATAAATATAAACAATTACAAGAAATGATCACAGTGAGACAACAATGGGCGACCTTATCGCTAAGAGCGATCTCTTGCAGGCAACCTTTGGATGGAGAGGAGCAGTTATAAATAGTTTGACTGGAGGCACGAAACTCTGTTCATTACTTAATACTTTAATGACCAGGAATTCCCCGTCATGGTTGAAATTTTTGGAATTAAACTAAAAGTGTGATAAAAACCTAAATACAAAGAGAATTGTATGGTTATAAATGCTTTGTAATCCAAACTGTGTTGCCCATCGTGGTAGGAGGACGTACCTACACTTATACATGGTAGGAGACATGTTAACTCCTCACCAGTCAGTAAAGTGTTGTTTGATACAATATTAATAAATACCGGTTCGTGCAGTAATAGTCCATAATATATTTAACAGTTTTAGTTTTATTTTAAAATAAATATATTAAATATAATATAGTAGTCAAGTATAGTGTCACACAGAGGGCGTCACAACCGAGCGATTAATATCCAATTTGCAGGGTAGTATTGTAACCGTTCCGTTGTAATAATTTACACGGCCTACCCACTACGTTTACGCCGATCCACCATTGTCTAGACATGTATCAGTGTTAAGAATATGTCTATTGAGTAAATATTTTATAATTTTTTACTATAAGAATAATAATAAGTTATTTGCTCGAAATGTGGTACAAAGGTCTTAAATGGTAACTCGAGCTACACATTTCGCCTTATCTAAAGGCATGCAAATTTTGTCTTAGCACATGTTAAGTAAAAATTTATCAATTATGTATGTCCAAATAAGTATTAACAAGTGTTAATACTGTAAATGTAGAGATATAATAATAATTGATTTACCAATAGTCTTCCCAAACCAAACCAGAGACTCAATTAGATAGATAGATAGATAATTTATTTGCATTACTTACTTACAGCACACAAATTACAACATACATACACAAAATAAAAGCGAGATAACATAAATGATAAAAAAAAAAATACATAAAGCTAAATACAATTTTCGTTTGTGCGTGTGCCATAGCAATACAAAATGGCCAAAACTCAGTTTATTGCTTCGCCCTCAAAAGAGCAAAGCACTGATATTCTGTTGCGGACAAAGGGAATAGGGTAACAATGAAACAAATAATTCTTCCATAGAGTACAGGACTACTGTCTCCTATAGTATTACCATTTACCTGGTACGAATGCTGCTTTAACAGGACGCTGGCATCTTGACACTGTTTCACAAACTTTGTTATCTTTTCGAGTAAGAAACCACAATTTTGACAAGTATATATTGCTTCGTAACTGCTATTCATCTGAAATTAAAAAATAGAAATTAACTTAAATTTATATTAAAGTTTTTTATTAGCCATATGGTCCCAGCATAGAATAGTTCGTTCCTTCTATTCTATGCTATCCTAGGCTTTATTTTTCCATACTTTTTAATACATTTTATTATTAATATCAACAGAATATCAGCGCTCTGCTCTTTTGAGGGCGAAGCAATAAACTGAGTTGTGGCCATTTTGTATTGCTATGGCACACTCGCAAACGAAAGTTGCATTTGGTTTTATGTATTTTTTTGCCATTTATGTTATCTCGCTTTTCTTTTTGTGTATGTATGTTGTAATTTGTGTGCTGTAAGTAATGCAAATAAAATTATCTATCTATCTATCTATTTTATTTTATTTTTCACATTTTGGACAGTTTTTAAGTTCACAGGAATATCATTTAAAATTTTCTAACCCAGTGTTTACAGCAAAAATCTTTCATAAATCACAAACTTTGTACTTGGTTTCTGATAGTGATATTAGTTATCACTGTTTTGTTTTTTTTTCTTCATACTATGGCACACGCATGAAGAAAAAACTATAAGGAAATTGTTGTTTTATACATTTTGCTTTTTGTTTTTTTTTTTCATTCTTTTATCTCTTTTACTGTGTATTATGTGTATGTTTATATTGTAATTTGTGTGCTGTAAGTAATGTAAATAAATTATCTATCTATCTATGGATGTTTGATTGTTTTTTCCACTGTTTAAGATTATTATCTGCTTAGCTGAATGTCGGGATTGTTTACTGTTACAATACCTGAAACGGAAACCAGTAATGCTTTCTTCAGTGTCCAGTAATGGATTTTTTTTTTACAACTTAGAATGGCAAACAAGCTGACGGCCCACCTGATGGAAAGTGGTAATCGTCACCTATATACACGAACAGTACCATGGACATAACAGAGTATACTGTTTCGTCCATGATACCCCCCATGCGTTGCCATTCCTGAGGACTCAGGTGTTATTCCTCTGTACCCAGTAAATTCATGCGATATCCCACCCTTCAAACCGAAACACAGCCATGCAAACACAACTGCTTCATGGTAGAAACACGAATGGGACAGAGGTACCCAAGTAATCGTCTTTTGTACAAAGTCTCCCTCTGGTTAATGGGTGAAAAAAGATAATCATCTCTCACTGGTGCATTGTTAACATATACAGATAAGATGACGTGTAGAGATGATGGTATCATTTTGTTATTATAAGTTTAAATATTTTGCACAGTATATTTGGCGCTACAGATATGAACGTATGTACCAGAGGGAGACTTTGTACAAAATTCAATTGCTTGGGTACCTCTGTCTCATTCGTGTTTCAACTGTGAAGCAATTGTGTTTGCATGGCTGTGTTTCGATTTGAAGGATGGGATATTACAGAGGAATAACACCTGAGTCTTCAGGAATGGCAACGCATGGGGTGTATCATGGGCGAAACAGTATACTCTGTTATGTCCATGGTACTGCTCATGTATACAGGCGACGGTTACCACTTTCCATCAGGTGGGCCGTCAGCTTGTTTGCCATTCTAAGATGTATAAAAAAAAACGTAAATTGTATTTAATTCTTTTATAATAATAATACGCCAGATATATATGTAATTTGCTAAAAATAATAATAATAATAAATTTTTGGCAGAATAATAAGACTATTACAACTATTCCAGTTACTAGACAAAAAAAAATTACATTAATTCAGCATCCAATTTTGACTTAATAAATTTAAAAAAAAATTATAGTATTACATAGAAATACTTATTTCTGGATTTTAAGTCACTTTCCTTGCAATAAAACAAGGAGAAATATTGTAAATTTACAGTGAATGAAGACGCCGGCCGGTAATGGAATTTAAAAAAAATAAACATACTAACCTCGTTCAATATAAGTTTGTAAGTATTTGTTTCTTCATAAGTCATTATGCGTAAGTTGTCTCCGGTGGTAAGGCAAGCCCGGCATAGCTTCATCACATTTTCAATGCTAAAGTTATGTGACATTTTAAATAACAAAATACTAAAGTTTGTAGATTCGAATCATAATAAACAAAATCATCAAATAAACAAATGACAGTGCAGTGTTGCTAGATAAAATAGACCGGAGTGGCCAAAAATTGAATCTTCAGTAGCTAAGGTATTCAAAATTTTTTGCATTATAGCCTAAACTCGTTTAATGACTTAACTGTACGTCATGTACTAGTGCTCGATACAAATTTATTAAATTAAATATTGAGAGGCAAAAATAAAGATAATTTGTGTACTATTAAATGTGTAGATATTTCGCCAAATACATTTTACTTCCTGCTATCTTCTATTAAAGCCATATAAAAATTGCCAAAATTATCATAATTCCGCTACAAATATTTTTTGTAGTCTAAAATTGCTGACATTTTTTCCGAGATAAGTGTGTGGTGTAATATTGGTCATCATATTATGCATATTCCCTTAAAGTGTAAATCGTGACTGGTCGCCAATCGCAAGTTTTAGTCGCGTTTACACTCTTCGGGATAACCTAAAAAGCAAAAATTGACAAATCTGGCAGCACTGTGACAGAGCTCCTTTTTTTTAATCAATCAAATTATAACTACTGACATTAAGTGACATTTTAGGTGACATTGACGAGTTCTCATTTTGCCAGACATTAAACATATTTGACATTATTTTAAAGCCCCGATTTGGCCCCAATGGAGCGATAATTTAAAAAAAAAGAAGACAACATAAAGGCAAAGATTTCGAATTGAATAAATGGAACGTATAATCCATAATTACTTTCATAAAACTGTGATTATATTTTTAATCAATACGGTAGTATATTTTATTGATTTTATTATTACCATAAAGAAAGTTAAATATTGACAAATTCACTTCATCAATCAATATCTTCTTTAATCTATACATTAGCCTGCTATGATTTGAGAAAAATAGCTACTGATAGTATATCTTTTGTCTTCTTTTTGCATAAGAAGATAGGGCCAATCCGCCTGTCAAGAATAAAATCACAGGGATTTTTTTAATGGTCAAAGATAGGGGAGAAAGGGATTGTTAGTAATGGAGACTGAGAATCCTATTGTCAGCAATATATCCAACCAGGTCGACCTCCTCGCAGTTCTCCCTGAAAACTACCATGGTTAATTCCTGATGAATTCATCATGATTGGCTAACTGGCCTGTTTTCATTTTCATCTATCAGCCTTCACTGGTGCTCCGCCAGCGTATCCCGTTAGCGCAGGCGGGGTTACCATACTATTTTCACCCATCAAAAAAAATGGTCAAAGATATAGTATGGTATGGATAGATATGGTACATCCGCTTATGTTAACAGTATACAATGATATGGGAAGAGTTTGGGATGAAATAATGTGGACAAAATCTCTAGTGGTCTATTGGCCTATCGTGATGAATTCACCAGGTATTACGTACGATGGTTTCCAGGAGGGAACAGCGTGCAATCAGTAGCAATCCCTTCTAGAACTTATTAAAAGGGAGGGGGTATTAAAATTAAAAATACCTCCATTATTGATAATTTTATTGCTACTGTATATTACTTCTTTAAGTAGAGGCTAGGGGGAAGAAGGGATTGTTAGTAATGGGGAGGTTAGACCCTATTGCCACCAATATACCCTATCAGGTCGACCTCCACGCGGTCCCTCCTGGAAACCATCGTGACTAATTTATCGTTGAATTCGTCACGATGGGCCAACTGACCTGCCTTTTCATGCTCAGTTATCATCCCTCATTGGTGCCCCGCCGGTGTATACCGATAGCGCAGGTGGGGTAATCATTCCATTATCATTCATTAAAAAAAAAACTTTAGGTGAATTTTTTTATTTTGCTTCTCACTAATATAATAAAATTGTAACTACACATTAAGACTATTCTAAAGTTGCGTATATTTATCTATCTATATCTATTTAATCTATGTAGATATCAAAGATTTCGGAATCCTTAATCAGCAGCCTAAAACGACGCCATCTTTAATTTTTATCCATAGACAACTTTAGCTACTTTTTTGTAAAAGCCTCGTCGCTTCTCTAAATCCTGTCTCACTGGCTCCATGAACTGTCCCGAAGTGAATAGAATTGGTAGCCTCTCCAGCAAAGAGGATCCGAGGGTTCCCGGAGGAGTCGGTGATCGGTTCAGCTAAGTCTGATCTGGCGGTTGGGTACTGAGGGGTCAGAAGGTTGTCGTAAGTATATGTACCGCGTGTGTACGGATTTGTGTGCCAGTAGGTCCTGCGAAAAAAATATTAATTAAAAAAAAATCAGTCGTAAAACGGCACGTCTTTTTAATTATTTTTTTTTTATAATATTGATAATTTGTAGATATTATTTTTAGGTTATAAGAAATATTTTTCTAACATTTTTTTTATTTCAAATTATTTTTATTAACATATTAACATATTAATAAAATGTCTGTTTCTTGCGCTGTTTTACATGAAAAAGAATGAATATACATGGGCATATGAACATACACTCCTGTGTATGCTCAAGGTGTGTAAAAAATATTTATTAAAAAAACCGCATCAAAATCCGTTGCATATTTTTAAAGATCTATGCATACATAGGAACAGATAGACGGGAAGCAACTTTGTTTTATACTATGTAGTGAAATTAGCATAGTGTAAGGAGTATTTATTTATATTGCGTTGTTCGTAAGCATTTAAGGGTATCTACTATGGACGCCATACTGTTTTTAAACATAATCTCTATAATCTGTGTGCCATATACACACCACATAATGGCTGTATATTTTTTTTATGTTTGTCACCTCATAACTCCGTCAGTTGTAAACCGATTTGGAATATTCTTTTTTTATCTAAAAGGATATACTTACAGATTGGTCCCGAAGAAGTTTTATCAAAATCACTTCAAAATAGTTTAGTTTTGAAATCAAAATGACTGGTGTTGCCACGATTGAAATCGTTTTTTTGTAAAACGCAAAATCTTTGGGACTTTAAAAAAAAAATTCGTTTCTTCTTCTCATTTAAGAGTCTTATCGAGGCATTAATTCATGCATCCCTTTCCAGCCAGATCTAGTCCAGGCCGTATCTTTGACCTCCCTATACAATATGACATCTAATGTTTCCTTTATCTGTCCCATTTAGTTATTTCTTAGTATTCCATTTATTTTATTTTTTGTTATAAATAATAATAATATAATTTCCATTCACAAAGTTAAAATCCGTTATTGGCTGTATTTATCATTGTTAATCAGTATGTAAGTTATTTCGTGAAAGAGTTTAAAAAAAATAAAACCATAGACAATGGATGATTGAATGACGGACAAATGATTGAATGACAGACAACACAAACCTTAACATAGCTACAGGTTCTGGTATAGTCGTGTTGATGTGTGGGCCTATGAACTTTCGGAGTAATTCTGTAACTTTTCTCTTCACCAAATCATCAGGTAGTGTTTCTATCTAAAAAAAAATTCTTTAATAAGTATTTTTTCGTGATGTCGACATATGAGGGGTATTATGGGTGTAGGGGACAATCAGTAAAATTTTTGTCTATCTGTCTGTCTGTCTGTATGTTCGTTATAGAAACAAAAACTACTCGACGGATTTTAACGAAACTTGGTACAATAATTCTTCATACTCCTGGACAGATTATAGTATATTTTTCATCACGCCACGATCAATAGGAGCAGAGCAGTGAAGGGAAATGTTGGGAAAACGGGAGAAGTTACTCCATTTTTAAGCTTCTTTCGCGTTTGCAGCCTTAATGGCCACTTTTAAAAATGTAAAAATGTCCACCCGTGCGACGCCGGGACGGACCGCTAGTTATATTAATAAATAGTAACATGTTTTTCGTGTCCTGTATGTGATGCAACCAAGGAAACTTAATGACCGAGAAATACGCAGCAGCGTCCCTCTAATAATATCACCAAAGCCTAGTTTCGGTGGCTAATCCGCTTGCTAAGCGTAGCAACAACTTTTTTTTTTTTATAACACAGGAGGCAAACGAGCATGCGCCTCACCTGATGGTAAGTGACTATCGCCGCCCATGATCACCCACAACACTAACGGCATTGTAGGTGCGTTGCCGGCCTTTTAAAATGGAATGTGCTCTTTTCTCGAAGGTTATGTTGTCGTATCGGTTCGGAAATACTGCTGCTGGAAGTTGATTTCAAAGAGTGGTTGTGCGTGGGAGAAAGTGCCTTGACAACTGGCATATATATCGTCATTATATCAGCCTTTAGCTGTCCACTGCGAAATATAAGCTTCCCCATTGGGGTCTTGCCGGTAATTGCTACGCTTGGCAGTCGGATTGGCAACCGCAGTTAGGCTTTAGAGATGTTTTAAGAGGGATACTGCTGTCCATCCCTCGCCATCTTTTAGTCGCCTCTAACAAGATCCATGGGAAAGGAAGGGGTGGCCTATTCTATATATATATATAATGGTAACCCTCTCTGTGCTATCGGTATACAGAGGGGAAAGGGTTTGTTAGTTATAAGGTCTAATAGCCTCGTTGCTATAATCATCATGGTTAATTCTAGTCGAATTCATCATAGTGAGCTAACTGACCTGCATTCATTCTCACCTGTCATCTTCCACTGGTGCCTCGTCCGTGTATACCGATAGTACGGGCGGGGTTACCATACCATTTTCACCCATTAAAAAAAAAGCTATCGCTGTACGTTGGCAGGACACCAGTGAGACATGATAGGTGAGGATGAAACAAATCAGTTGGATTTATTTCAACCGCATGGCGTTGGAACTGATAGCATGTATATATTTTTTTTATACAACTTAGAATGGCAAACAATTTGACGGCCCACCTGATGGAAAGTGGTAACCGTCGCCTATAGACATGAGCCGTACCGTGGACATAACAGAGTATACTGTTTCGCTCATGATACCTCCCGTGCGTTGCCCTTCCTGAGAACTCAGGTGTTATTCCTCTGTCATCACTAACAATCCCTCCCTATATCTTGGTATTACTATGGGTGCATTCACCATAAAATCACTAACCAACTTCGCCGTATTCCCACAACTCCAAAATACCAATGAATTGGTGTTGCCCATGGTTTCCGATGCATTTGTAACATTATACAACCATTTGTCTTCATCAGGTAATTTTTGTTCTTCCTCTAGAGTCCAAATGAATCCAAACGCATTGCTCTGCGGCCACCACTTTTCTGAATATAGTAATACTATTTTTCCCACTACACCTATCGACATTTTGTCTATGGCTGTCGTCTTCTCTTCATTTAAATGTGGTAAAAACAGAGTTTCGTGTCTGATAAAAAAAGAAAGAAATTTTTATTTATCACCCTCAAATTAGTAGAAGCTAAGCATAGACAGTTCATCTTTCTTGTAACCTAAGATAGAGCACACTCTCACATCCATGGCTGTATACGATTATGGTCTATGTCACTATTAAAAAGTGTAACATATTTTATCTCTCTCTGTTCGCTCCGCCTTGTTAAACTTTCCATGTGTATTTCTCTATTAAAATACGCTCATCCAGGAATTTATTATCTATATAGAATGAAAAAAAGAAATATTTTTATTTAAATAAACTTAAATTTAAACATTTTTGAAGAGTTCTTTTTTATGATTCTGTAATTTCACCGCCCATTCGAAACGTAATTTCAGCTAAAAGCGGACAAGAAATTAGCTGTTGTATTTTTCAAAACATATATATTCTAGTAACAAATTTTTCCACATTGGGAAAGGCAAAGGAACTAAAACCATTGTATTCTTATATTACTTTTTTCTATAATGACAATCTGCCGCCATTTCTACAACCATTTCCGTTAGTGTCATGTATAACAGGTTTTTAAATCGAAAATTATTCTTTTTCTACAAATCATATTCAAAGCACACTTCAATCATAAGATAGATAGATAGATAATTTATTTGCATTACTTACTTACAGCACACAAATTACAACATACATACACAAAATAAAAGCGAGATAACATAAATGATTAAAAAAAATACATAAAGCTAAATAAAATTTTTCGTTTGTGCGTGTGCCATAGCAACACAAAATGGCCACAACTCAGTTTATTGCTTCGCCCTCGAAAGAGCAAAGTACTGATATTCTGTTGTGGCCAAAGGGAATAGGGTAACGCATTGTGTTGTCATCATAATATTTATTTAAACTACAGCTGTTCAATTTAAACTAAATGCTCACCGTTCTCGCTATTTTTTCCGTCGTTTTTCATACTTATATATGTTATAAATAGTTTATATATGTTGATATATTGGACACAGTTTATGTAGACAGTACGCGAGCAGGTTGTATCTGAATTTGGTAGGGTTATACGGCCGTATAACATTTTCTATGCTGCCTGCTATGAATTGAGAAAAAATAGCAACTGATGGTGTATCTTTCGTCGTCTCTTTACTAATTATATTTACATAAGAAGAAAGGTGGCAACCATATGATTTAGAATTTTTATTTTATCATTCCTTCTATGTTATTCCTTGTTCTTATGTTACAATGCAGGAAACAGAGAAAGATTAAAAAAAAAATCTATCTTAACTAATAAACACTTGTTTATGCTATAAATCACAGATTAAGAATAGAGTTTACAGCTAACACGTGCCATGTTTTATCTATACCTTTCTTTTAAAACTCCAAGTGAGACGGTGATTATGACATTGTCTGCTGTATATGTACTACCATCCTTGCATCTCACTTCCACTTTCTTCGTAGGATCCTGGGACCAGGTGATTTTTGTCACTTCCTTCTTCAATTCGATATCAAGCGTCGGAAGACCCGAGCCGTTGTTGTGTTTGTTCTGAAAGTGTTTAAAAACATTTATATCGTTTACTAGCTGTTTCGAGGGATGGGTAGCAGCGTCCCTTTTAAAATATCACCAAGGCCCAACTACGGTTACAAACCCGCCTTCCAGGCGTGGCAACGAATGGCAAAATCACATAACTCGAAGAACCGGCAACCGATGGGGAGGAAATGTTCTTGACTGACGACCCCGTACGGGCAAACGTAGTATAGGACGACCATTTTCGCACTAAATATACAGGGTGCAGAGGAATAACATCTGAGTCATCAGGAATGGCATCGTATGGGGGGTATCATGGGCGAAACAGTATACTCTGTTATGTCCACGGTACTGCTCATGTCTATAGGCGACGGCTATCACTTTCCATCAGGTGGGCTGACAGCTTGTTTGCCTGATATTTCTAAGTAGCATAAAAAAATGGAGTGAGAACCTCAAATACATTGCAGTGTGTCAGTGGATGCAGGTGGGTCAGGACCATTAGTTGTGGCAGTCTATGGGGGAGGCCTATGTGGACAGTGGACACATAATGGCTGAGATGATGAATGGATGAACTTAAATACTGTTCAAACGATAATTCTTACACCTATAGAATGTTACAGAGGATGTTAGGTGCATATTGGATATTAGAACTTGAATAACAATAGCAAAACAGATCAATGATAACAAAAAAAAAAACATATATTTTCATTTTTTTTTACACACCTTAGAATGGCAAACAAGCTGACGGCCCACCTGATGAAAGTGGTAACCGTCGCCTATAGACATGAGCAGTACCATGGACATAACAGAGTATACTGTTATGTCCACACCCATGATACCCCCCATGCGTTGTCATTCCTGAGGACTCAGGTGTTATTCCTCTATACCCAGTAAATTCACGCCATATCCCACCCTTCAAATCGAAACACAGCCATGCAAACACAATTGCTTCACGGTTGAAACACGAATGGGACAGAAGTACCCAAGCAATCGACTTTTGTACAAAGTCTCCCTCTGGTAAAACATATACAAAAATAATTCGAAATAAATTTATAAAAACTTTCATTTGGAGCATAACATTTTATAGGTGTGAAATATGGACAATGATGCAAAAGGAAAGAAAGATGCTCGAGGCATTCGAAACGTGGACATGGAGGAGAATGGAAAGGATAAGCTGGGCAGAAAAACTAACGAATGAGAAAGTCCTGAAAAGAGTGAACGAGAAAAGAACATTAATAAAAACAATAGGGAATAGAACAACGTGTGACGCAATATTGTTTTTTTATTTAATTAAAAAACAAGGGAATTAACGTCTCGCAAGTTGGCAACTCTTTTCGTATATGTTTCACGGGGAATCCCACGACTGTATTGCACGTCATTTTAATTAATTTATTTAACTCTTTATTGCATTAAAAACATAAAATAAACAATGGCATATAAACAACTCAACTGAAATACAGTAGCACGGATTACAGGTCAAAATATACATGGGTCAATATTTGAAAATCGGCCGAAACAGGTCCCCATAATTATTTTGCACCTTTAATATAATATTTGAACTTGATAATATGTCCATACTGTAGTACTATAACTTGTTTATACATCCACACACTTTGGTCACTTGATGTTTGATTTTCATATACCAAAAAAAAAAATAAAAAAGTTCCAGATGTCATATTTCCTGCCGGGTGAATTTTCCATTCTAAGGAGTTTGTTTAGTAATAACTTGGGGATTTAGTAATAAATTATAAAAGCTTGACAATTTTTAAATTATATACTAATTAATCTAAAACTATTCAGTGTTTTGCTAAACATAATATTATATTAAACTTAAAATTTTTCATCTATAATTAAAGCGAACGGTCAGGACGTCATTAGTCTCGTCTAAATTTAAAATTGAATTTGCCGCACTTGTACATGCCGTGATAAACAAAATAGTGAATTCTCAATATACTCCGTGTTAGTGGTTGGTGGGGAGAAAAACGCCATGTCGACAGTTGCTTTGGTGATCTAGACGGATTTTCACGTGTTCTTGCGTATTGTTGATACACTTTGTCATTTTCCTGTGAAGCTATTATTAAGTGAAATGTAAGTAAATCGTTTAAGTTTTCATAATACATTTTCATAAGTTAAGGTATAATTCGAATCACCTGATGAGTTTTTAATTATATTAGTTATTAGAATAAATAAAAAATAATATGCGCGTTTCTGTCATTTTCCTGTGGCCATTTTCCTGTTATTTGCATGACAGACAAATGACTATATGACAGGAAAATGACTATACAAGGTAAGTCAATTTTTTAATTTATTTGAATTTTGTTTCAGTATGCAATAATTATAGCTTCAATAAGAAAAAACGAGAAGAAGTGTTAAAGGGAAAGCAGAATTGGAGAAAATAAAATATCAACGGATTAAAAAATATTATAAAAAAAGAAACAGCTGGAAGAAAAGAAAAAAGACTACTGTTAGCTAAACAGCGAAGGGTAAAATTAGAAGTATCTATTGCAGAATTAACTCCTCGGTGTAAAAGATTGAAAAAAAAAATAGTGGCGAGAAAATATAGCGAAATATAGAGAAAAGAAAAAATCTTTCGGTGACTGCTTCAGTTTTTGAACACACAATTACACTACAATCTAATAATGATGACTCCAGTCATACTCGAAGAGTTACCAATTACAGATGGACGGAAAATAAAAGGCTACAGGAGGTCCGAAAGAGATAGACGTGAAAAACATCTACAGTTAAAGGAAAAACACACAATTATAAATAATTTAAAAGATCAGCTAAAGAAATATCAAAAAATAGTTTCTAGCATGGAGTTGAAGCTGCAGCGTCCACAGCAGCAATAAAACATTCCACATCACACGAATATTGTTCATCAATATTCTGCTATAAAGAAATTTAAAGATAAGATGTGACATTTTTAAAGTTTTTAGTAATGATGTTGAACTGTTTGAAATTGATGATAATGGCTATGATCCATCAATTGAGGATATTATTTCAAAGTTTCTTCAACCGTCTTTATTACTCAAAGGCAAACATATTTTTTACAAATTCCCAAATCCTGTAACGTTTTCGAGAAATAACTCTTTTTTCTTGCATTGCTCTTTTTTCTTGCATTGCTCTTTTTTCTTGCATTGCTTTATTTTTCTTGCCTATTTTTTATCTTTTTTTAAAAGTTTTATTTCATATTTATTTTTAAAACATAAAATATTATTTCTAACTTTATCAGTATTGTTAAGTTGAAAACATGTAAACCAAGCATATTACTTACACTTAATCATTTTTAAGCTTCTTCTAACTTAAGACTGATTAAAAAATCGGTATTTAAATTGGATGAATAAGAATTAGGGATAAGGTGGATGAGACACTTATATCTTTACTTTAAGAAGAATTAATTTCATTTTGTGAAATTAAGTTTTAACTTATAAATTGAAAAATATTACTTATTTGTTAATTAATTCAGTAAGTTTCAAGTTTTAATGAGTCTGGTCAAATATGTTACTAACCAAATATAGGTTACATTAATATAATTTTATATTATTGGAAATGTTAAGAGGAGAAATTTAATATTGTTTCTATTACATTGGTTATTCTTGATTTCATAATAAATATGATAATTCATAATAGTGATATTTTTTTTATCTCTCAATCAGTTTAGTTTTAATAATAAACTAACTAAACTAAATAACTAATGTTTCATTTCATTATCCTGTCACTAGTGTCATTTTCCTGGTCTATAACTTTACAAATATTGCTCTAAAATCCCTTAATTCCAATAAAGTGCATGGATTCGACAGTTTTAGGTAAATTTTAACTTGACTCTATTATAAAATATCATTCGTATATGAATTACAACAAAAAAATATAATTAAAATATTGTAGTCGATTTCGGCCGATTATCAAATATTGACCCACATATAAAGGTACAAGAGGCGGTGTTATCGCTAGGGCGATATCTTACAGACAACCTTTGGTTAAAGGACAACAGATAGAAGTGGGTAGGTGACGCAAGAGTGATTTTTTATTTTGTTTCCGTCGTCAGTATTTTTTTTAATGGGTGATAATGGAATGGTGACCTCACCCGTGCTATCGGTATACACCGGCGGGGCACCAGTGAAGGATGATAGGTGAGGATTAAGTAGGTCAGTTAGCTCATCATGACGAATTGAACAAGAATTGTTCATGATGGTTTCCAGGGGGAACCACGAGGAGGTCGACCTAATAAGGCATATTGCTAGCAATGGGGCTGTCTAACTCCATTGCTAAAAATCTCTTTCCCCCTCCATTGTCAGTATTCGTTAGTGTTTTTTTTTAATGGATGATAATGGAAAGGTAACCCCGTCTGCGCTATCGATATACGCTGCACCAGTGATAGATGAGGATGAAGGCAGGCCAGTCGGCACATCGTGAAGAATTTAACATGAATTAACCACAATGGTTTCCAGGGAGAACCGCGTGGCGATCGACCTGATAGGGTGTTTTGCTAACAATATGGCCGTTCCAAACCATTTCTAATAATCCCTTCACCTTCTATTCGTTAGTGTTGTAACTTTGAGGTAAAAATGGTCGCTCGGGTGTTATGTTCATAGGTATGTGAGAGGGTTCAAAACAATGTTACAGCGTGTTACATAGGGGGGGGGGGGGGAAGGGAGGGCTGAATATCTTCGAAAATTACGTTGCTACTAATACTTGGACGTTATAAAATAAGAGATTATAAATAAAGAGCTCACCAGCAGAACATCGAAGAACGTTTTATAACCAAGCCTGTGCCAGCTCATGTACTGGTTACCCTCCAGCTCTTCATACTCCGAAGCGGTGGTGGTCTCATTCCAGCATGTTGTACCTTCGTTGGAGTCGACCATCGTATCAATAAAGTGGAGGTATTGATTTAAAAACTCCTTGTCCATTAATACAGACGGATGTTTCTCTTTTAAATAGTCGAATACTCTGAAAATATTAAAAAAAATGATTAGAAGACTGTCATCATTGTGTTCTCTTTTATTTGATATTTATATGTTGTATTTAACATGTATATATGTATATATATTCTTATTTATGTAGGTTTATATTAATATATATGTATTATAATTGTATCTTTCAAATATTAATACATATGCCACTATGTTAGGTTGACTGGAAGAGATCTCTTTTAGAGATAAGTTCGCGTTTGCTAACATTGTTATTAACTTATTGTTGTTACTGTATGTTTTAGTGCAATAAAGAATATATATAAAATATAGAAATTTTGGAATAGAATAGATTAGAGATGAAATATACATATAATCATTATATATCTGTCACGCCTGTCTCCCATTAGGGTAGGCAGAAACAATGGAACGCCAAATGCTTCGATTCAAACAAACCTCTTTCGCTTCTTTCACATTCATCAATCTTTTCATACACGCTCGCCGGAAATATAATATACCAGTAATCATCGTCATCATCATCATAATGTCAGCCATCATCTGTCCACTGTCGGACATAGCCCTCCCCCATCTTATCTTATATTCGCGTATGGGGTCAGCTAAGCCGTTGCACGTCGACCCGTCGGGATCTTTTGTGTTTCCCCCTGCCTTATACCATCATTTCATTAGATCCTTTGTGTTACCTTAACGATATCCCGCGGTTTAAGCCTCCCCCATAGCTTGCCATACGCTCCTAAGTCACCTGCATCCACTGACTCCCTGCAACGTGTTTGAGGTAGTCACTCCATCTAGCAGAGGGTCGTTCCTTCCCCAAAAGGAAAGTTTTACCAGTAGTTTGCACGCTTGGCAGGCAGGTTGGAAACCAGAATTAGACTTTGGTGATATAAGATATGGTGGAGTTCCCTGCCGAGGTTTTCCCAAGAGACTACAGCATGGGGTTCTTCAAAAGGGGGGGTAAAGAGGTTTCTTCAGGATCGGCAACGCGCGTATACGTATACGCCTCTGGTATTGCAGGCGTTCATAGGCTACGGTCACCGCTTACCATCAGGTGGGCCGTATGCTTGCTTGCCACCTCAGTGGTATAAAAAATTTTTAAGAGAGACGCTGCTGCCCATCCTTTGACAATTAAGTTCCCTTAGTCGCCTCTTGCGACATAACGAGAAATGAAAGGGTGGATTATTCTACGCCGGGACTATACAACAGTAAGATTTGACCTATACAAACTAACTAACATATATTGCAAGTTAAATAATGAAAGACTGTAAAAAAGAAAGGTGATAATCATCGTTGTTTACCTGTCAGTGATGAACTGCCCCAAAGGAAGTGGTTCAGAAGGCGTTTCACCTTGTACCTGTAAATTAATATTTAAAAAAACCACTACGACTCCACTTATATAAAGGTAGATGGAGAAAATGACAGCAAAAAAATAGGTAAATGATTTTTTTATGGTACAAAGAATGGCAAAAGCCGACGGCCTGATGGTAATTGGTAATGGGGTGGATGGGCGCCTATAAACATGACCAGTGAACCGTGGACAGAATATTAATAGGGTTTTGATAGATAGATAGATACTCTTTATTGTTTCCTCCATAAGATTACAATAGTAAACTTATTATAGATACAAACAATTACAAGAAATGATCACAATGAGAAAACAATGGGCGACCTTATCGCTAAGAGCGATCTCTTGCAGGCAACCTTTGGATGGAGAGGAGTAATTATAAATAGTTTTGAATAATTATAATATAGTGTTATGATACATGATATATATATATATATATATATATATATATATATATATATATATATATATATATATATATATATATATATATATATATAGGCCTACTAACCTTTCTGATGAAACATTATTTTTTCAAATCGATTTATAAATTATAGAGTTTTGTTCAATTTGAGGGGTGAAGAGTTTTCTTCAGGGTCGGCAACGCGCGCGTAATACCTCTGGTATTGCAGGCGTTCATAGGCTACAGTAACCACTTACCATCAGGTGGGCCGTATGCTTATATATAAAAAAAAAGTGAAATATTATGTGTGCACTTACTTTTAATGCGTAATTGATTAGTTCCATAAACAAAACGCCGTCCACTTCTTTACCTTTAAATCTGAAAAAAAAATGCAATGAATCTAGGAATACTCTCTAGCGCCACCTGCCCACTTCTATCTGTTCTCCTTTAACCAAAGGTTGTCTGTAAGAGATTGCTGAGATACATTTCAATCTGTATTTATGTTACTGTATTTCACTTGAATTGTTCAATTGTCATTGTATATTTTTGTTTATGGTGCAATAAAGAGTTAAATAAATAATACGCGCTTCTTGATGCCGTTAAAAGACTACCGACTAAACCGTCTTTCAAAAAAAGCGTTCACGCTCACTTTTTATCTTTATCCGAGCAGTAAGTGCTTTATATTATTCTCAATTTCGTGTATAATATAGTATATATCATATATGTGTAAGTATATTTGTTATTCATATATATTTATTCGTTTATATATGTAATTTTAGTATGTATGTATATCAATAATTACTAGTACCGCATTCGAGTATTCTGACACTTGCCTATGGTTGACTGGGAGAGAATGCTTCTAGCATTAAGTCCGCCATGTACACATATCGTCACCTCTATGGCAAATTTACGAATCTGCAGTTTTATCAAATTTGACATTTCTTTAAAAATCTACATTTTGCGTCATACTACTTGTTGCGGCTTATTCTCAAATTTCTATCTCTAACGGTTAGAGAAATCGAGTAGCTTGAATCTCCATATTTATTTGATATACCCAGAGTAAACTTACTTGGCATATTTTTATAGTATTTTCTATAATAAACACTTTTATTTGAAAATTTCAATAATTATTTTATCAATTTTTCAATCCTAATTTAGCTATTTTACATGAATGATTGCTATAGCGTTGTTATTTAAACTGAAGTTTTCTCCAAAACACGTGATTTATACCTTGGTATATTTACGAAAGTGGCACTTTCGTTAGTTTGCCAGATATTAAAGTAAATGATTTTCTTTGGCAACTTACGAAACTGCCACTTTCGTAGATTTGCTGTTGTATAACTCAATACCTGGGAACTCTCATGTATGAAGGTGCAAAGTAACGAATATGCATTTATTTCTGATACTTGTAATATAGTTATAATTAATTAAGCGCATTCAATAAAAAACAGGATTTTAAAACTAAAATGTTAGCATGATCTTTTACAGTAGTCTTCTGTCAAAAGTTATTTGCATTCTAATGTTTCAAAACGTTCCCCTGTAAAATGTATCTTTTTCAGTTTCGTAAGTTTACCATAGAGGTGACGATATATGTACTGTTTGCGCTTGAAGCTGAGAAGTTCTTGACGAAATAAAATACTTGTCCTTAAGTTTTATAATAAATTAAAATAAATGAATATATAAAAAAATAAAAATAAAATACTTTTATTAAAACTTCTGTAATGTCTAATCTTGAACAGTACTAATGAATATATGAAAAAATAAAATAAAATACTCTATGATTACATCAACATCATCATGTCTCCACTGAATATAGGATATGACTTGAATATAGGATATGACTTTAATATAGGACTCCCACTTAAGGGGTTTTGCCAGTAGTTGCCACTCTTGGCGGGCAGATTAGTTACCTTTTAATTCCTGTCTCTTATCATAATAATAATATTTATTGCCATTCTTTACAAATACAGTACAATAATTACAACGTGCAACTTAGAATGGCAAACAAGCTGACGGCCCACCCGATGGAAAGTGGTAACCGTCGCCTATAGACATGAGCAGTACCATGGACATAACAGAGTATACTGTTTCGCCCATGATACCTCTCCCATGCGTTGCCATTCCTCAGGACTCAGGTGTTATTCCTCTGTACCCTGTAAATTCACTGCCAATGTAATGCCTGTAAATATACCCAACCAGGTCGACCTCCTCGCGGTTCCCCCTGGAAACTTTCATCTTATAATATATAATAACTCTTTATAATAGAATAAAGAACCTACGTCACAAGCTTTCACCTATAATAATGAAGTGGATGTAACAAATTTCAACATTAGAGGGCGCCACCCTCACACGAGTTGTAGTACGTACCCATAATATAATTTCGGCTCGAAATCTTGTGGTAAAACTGTGAAATTATTCTGTAACGCTAGCTCGTACACACGACTGGACTTGGTGCCGTGGATCCTGTACAATATTATTCAATCTATCAACCGAGCAAAGGATATAAATAAATAAATAAATAAATAAACGCCAAAATAAATAAATAATTCATGAGCGTTCATCACGTAGTACGGCAATGCCGTACTCGTCTGCCAATTTTCGTAAACAATCCAACAATTTCTGATCGATTATTTAAACAGTTTTTTTTTTTTTTTTTTTATACAATAGAAAAAACTTTTTAAGAAAAAACTTTTGAACCTATTTTGATAAAACATAATCTACAAGTATTATATATTATTTCAGATAAAAAATTAACCTGTTGAGACAAAAAAGGCCCCATTGCTAGCAATATACACGGTTTTTTTGTGATGAGTGAAAATGGTATGGTAACCGCGCCTGCGCTAACGGGATACGCTGACGGAGCACCAGTGAAGGGTGATAGATGAGAATGAAAACAGGCCAGTTGGCCTATCATGATGAATTCATCAGGAAATTAACCATGATAGTTTCCAGGGGGAACTGCGAGGAGGTCGACCTGGTTGGGTATATTGCAAGCAATGGGATTCTCAGTCTCCATTACTAACAATCCCTTTCCCCCTCAATATACACGGTCAGGTAGACCACTCCACGCAGCGTCCCTTGGAAACCGTCGTGGTAAATCCCATTTAATTTCAACATGGTGGGCTAACTTACCTCTTTTCATATGTATACCTAATAGCGCAGGCGGAGCTACCGTTCCATTACCATTATTAAAAAAATTACCTTTGACTTACCATTCAGCGCCGAGTTCCATTATGCCGTCCCCAAATGGCACGGTGTGCACCCTACCCCCCACTCGGTCCTGCGCCTCCAGCGCCAGCACCCTGCGGCCGGCGCGCGCCAGGGTCGAAGCCGCAGTGGTCCCGGCTGACCCCAGCCCGATGACTATCGTATCGTAATCTTTTGAACTATAGACAACACACGTTACAGTCATTTTAAACTGACTTTACAAAAAAAGAACATACACAATTCGAGATTTGAAATGGTTTCTCAATTCGTTTAATTTATTTCGATTATGTTATGCCATTCACCAGAAGAAACTGCACAAAAGTTGCTTGCACGAGTACCTCTGTCTGTCCCCACTCGTATTTATGCCGTGAAACATATATCAAAACGATTTGCCTCGAATTTAAATATCGAGAAATGTATCGAATGTTATTATGCAAATCACTAAAATTAGTAGTAACCAATGGTTAGCTGGTAGAGAATGCCATATGGCATTAAGCTCGCCATTTGTACAAAACTTTATTGTGCAGTAAAGAATAAATAAATAAATAAATAAATATTAGAACAAATTAAACATTTAAATATGGAGTACTTTAAAAATTAAAAATAGAATCCAAGACTGATGTTTGCAAGGATAATTGACTGGACCAATATATACATATTGTAACTAAAGTATATAGATATTGCCATATATTGCCCATTCCTATCACACGGCCATACAAATATCACTTTACAAAGACTTAATACATTTTATGTATGTAACAAAATAAAGAAATAAGAATTGACAATTTTGTTATAATTTAAATAACCTAATCTTGTTTTTATTTTTAATATTAGAATGCCAAACGAGCTGACGGTCTACCTTCTGAAAAATGGTAACCGTCGCCTATAGACATGAGCTGTACCATGGACATAGGCTGAATAATTTCATTAAAAAACATAATATCATTAAAGACGATCAATTTGGATTTCAAGAGGGCAAATCCACGACACTGGCATGCTACAATTTAGTTAAAGATATCTGTGAAGGTATCCAAAATACCTACAGTAGCAATATGTCAAAATACCCCTAGTAAAACATGACTTACTAATATTAAAATTAGAAAATTTAGGAATCAGAGGAATATCATTGGTTTAAAAGTTATTTATAATAGAAGACAATGCATAGAATTGACAAATACAATCAATAATGAAAGAGTAGTAACACGTTCCCAATTTAAAATTTCTCTGTTACTATTTCTTCTATATATAAATGATCTTCAGATTGCTATATCTATGTAAATGTAAAGACTTGGACACTTTCAAAAATGACCACAAAAAATAATTTAAAAATTAATTCAAACAAAAATAAAAAACAGCCATGACCTAAATATAAAACACAATTGCTTTTTTAGGTATTTAAAATTAATGAAACGTTTACAGTAGAAACACGAATTGAGACAAAGGTGCCCAAGCAAACGACTTTTGTACAAAGTGTCCCTCTGGCTTCTATTCCTCTTAATAAGAGTCTTTGTAATGTTTTTAAACGTCTCCCATGTACCAGTATGGTCTATTTGCAATTTTGTTATATTACTAATATTATACGCGCGGGGGGAAGGGATTGTTAATAATGGGGTCTAATGGACCCATTGCTAGTAATATACCTTATCAGGTCGACCTCCAAGCGATCCCCCCTGGAAACCATCGTGGTTAATTCTAGTGGAATTTTTCACGATGGGCCAACAGTAAATTCACTGCCATATCCCACCCTTCAAACCGAAACACAGCCATGCAAACACAACTGCTTCACGGTAGAAACACGAATGCTTTCATCGTCATCTATCATCCTTCACTGGTGCCCCGCCAGCGTATACCGATAGCGCAGATGGGGTAACCATTCCATTATCACCCATTAAAAAAAATATATATTATATGCGTTCTGATGTAGTTATTTATGTTCATCAAGAAATTAGCTCCCTGCCGAGGTTTTCCCTACACACTACAGTATGGGGTTATTAAAAAACGATTTAGGTTTTAAGGTAAAATTAATGAATTAAATCCCAACCAGTTCCTACTTACCTGCCCCCTATACTTGCTGTCTGAGTATACCCTATAATTAAATACAGTAAACCAACTATCAGTCTAAACGCCATCTCGGTTTAAATCAAACTGGTATATATTATATGAAGCATGTAATGGCCACGGTTAACCTTTGCGAACTTGTGACATTAATTCAATGACAAATCTATGATTATAATACTATCTTTTACCCGCGAACTCGTCCGCGTGACCGATATATTTTCACTGACCGGAATAAAGAGTCTCTTTCACCAACTTTGACAGTTTTGTACAGTAATGTAGCGACGCGCGACTTTACCAATCCAACTATTAATTATACGATTGAGCAAATTGTTTGGATTATTCGAATGGTTCTCAAATAATTCGACTACTAATGTTGGTCATTCGAATACTAATTGCATCCGACCGCTAATGTCGTCCAACCGCTAATATCGTCCGACCGCTAATATCGTCCGACCGCTAATGTCGTCCGACCGCTAATGTCGTCCAACCGCTAATATCGTCCGACCGCTAATATCGTCCGACCGCTAATGTCGTCCGACCGCTAATGTCGTCCGACCGCTAATGTCGTCCGACCGCTAATGTCGTCCGACCGCTAATATCGTCGTCCCGACCGCTAATGTCGTCCCACTACTAATTTTAATCATTATCCGTTCAATCCTTAAAGGCCGATGTGATGATGATGATGATTCACTGTGAAATTCGTTCTTTCGAGTATATTCATAAAAAAATGTATTGTTTTATTTTTAAATTTAACCTTATAATTTCTCGCACATATATAACTAGCTTATTAGGATTTTGGAAGTTTCATCCCCTTAGGGGTTGAATTATAGAAATATCTACTCTGTATAAAGAACCTAGCTGCAAAACTTCAAGATTATAGATTCAGCGGTTTGGGCTGTGCGTTTGTATATGTGTGAGTATATAATCAGTATGCAATATATAGGTATATTGTACAGTGGTTTTAATGGGTGATAATGAAATGGTAACCCCACCTGCGCTAACGGTATACACCGGTGGGGCACCAGTGAAGGATGATAGGTGAGGATGAAGCAGGTCAGTTAGCCCATCGTGACGAATTCAACAAGAATTGTTCACGATGGTTTCCAGGGGGAACCATTTGGCGGACGACCTAATAGGGCAAATTGCTAACAATGGGGCTGTCAAACTCCATTGCTAACAATCCCTTTCCCCCCATTGTACAGTGGTACCTCGATATACGGGTGGCCTAATATACGAGTGTTTTGAGACACGAGATGCCGAGCGAGCGATATTTTGTGTCGAGATGCGGGCAAGGTTTGAGATGCGAGGGATCGCATACTACACCGCTGCAAACGAGCCCCACATACACGGGCTGGATGTTGGTGTCTAACAATTTCTCCTACCTCAGACTAACACTTAACAAAAACAACTGAGGTGGTTTTTTGGGAGTACGGATTAATGGCATTTCAATTAATTTCAACGGGGAAAAATTGCTTTGAGATACGAACAATTTGACATACGAGCGAGGTTACGGAATGAATTATACTCGTGTTACTGAGACATCACTGTATTCATTAACTATACATGTAATTATTAATCGATATTTTAATTCATATTTCTTTACAAAACATTAAGTTTCACTAATAAAACATTCATTTGAAATGGCGCTCCCAATTTGGATTTCAATCTACATAATTGTTCTGATAAACCGTATAATTGTCAAGGGACATAATTACAATGTTTTGGGAAATTGAAATGTTTTTAATGCAATATATAGATATATATATATATTTAATTTATGATTGTAAAACTTCATAGAGCATCCAACAATATGGACGCCCCCGATAGAGTTAAAGTTATTACTGAATACAACGTAATGTACAATAGCATATATTTTTGGCTTGTGCGAGCGGTCGGTTTCTGCAGGATTAAAGTTTTCAAGGCGCAGGTCGTGGATACGTCCACATCTAACAAGGTCTACGGTTGCGTACTCATTTTTGCTGGATTAATTGCGTCCATAAGTATATTGTACACAGGGGTCATAGTTGAACAAGTGTTCACAGTGGCAGAAGGTCTAATATGTGCCCAGATCACAATAGTGTTCGTATCCATACTAGCAGACATAACGTTTTTCAAGGATTCCAAAGATTTCGTGAACGGATTTGTCGATATAGATGTAGTATTGGGGGTAGATGCGACAAAGTTCATGAGGGAGCCGCTAAAGAAAATCCATTACATCGTCATAATGAGCGTTATTGTTTTCGAGATTGTTTTTGTGGTATTATTTTACTTTGTATTCGATTTAAACGTCGAAAACCACATAGCCACATCTATTTTCTTCACCCTGGCGTTGTCAATGATATTCGATGCCAACTATGCGTACGTTTCTTATTCTTTTTTAAACATGCGCTTGAAATATTTGAACCTATCGATTATGAAGTATTCAAATATGAATCCGGAATATATGCCCGACGTGTTTCTCATCGATGGCATCTTCTGGATGAGGAGATACAATGACCTCGTGACGTTTCACAATAGAGCACGTATCGGAGACTACCTCGATGGTTTCAAGCTGGTTTTTAATCAAATACGCCGCTTGGAGCGCTGCTACAGGCTTCTGGTAAGTGTCTTCTTTGTTTACAATTTAAGAACGCCTATACCTTAGCTTAGCTCGCCGTGTGGTACCAGCATAGAATGTGCCACCCCTTCCTTTTTCGTGGGTGTAGTAAGAGGCGACTAAAAGAACTTAATGGTCAAAAGATGGGCAGCAGTGTTCCCTTACAACATCATCAAAGCCTAGCTGTGGTTGTCAACCTACTTACCAAGCATTGCTACTAATAGCAAACCCCTACTTTTTGGGGAGATCTATATGCAGGAGTGTACAGTTAACGGCTGATGTGAAGATATCTTAGTTTAGTGAAGTGTGGCAACCCAATAATCTGGGAGGAAAGGGATTGGTAGTGTTGGAGACTGAGAATCCCATTGCTAGCCATATACCCAACTAGGTCGACCTCCTCGCGGTTCCCCCTGGAAACTGTCATGGTTAATTCCTGATGAATTCATCATGATGGGCTAACTGGCCTGTTTTCATTCTCATCTATCACCTTTCACTGGTGATCCGTCAGCGTATCCCGTTAGCCCAGGTGGAGTTACCATTCTATTTTCACCCATAAAACAAAAAACCAATAAACTTGGTGGGGGGGGGGGGGGCTCAAGGATTGATCGAAGGTAAGGACTAATTTATCGTTGAGTTTGTCACGATGGGCGGTATAAAAAAAAAGTCGCCACGTTTTACAGGCGGATTGGCAGCCGCAGTCAGGCTTTGGTGATGTTTTAAAAGGGACGCTGCTGCCCATCCCTCGGCCTCCCTTAGTCGACTCTTGCGGCACCCACGGGAGAGGAAGGGGTGGCCCATTCTATGCCGGGACCATACGGCGATTTGACTGACGAAATTTAACATTAATTACAGGTGTTCCTGTCAATCGTATCTGTTCTTATTGGTTCCGTGTCGGTGATGCAAGCTGTCATTCTGCAGAATACGAAGGTATTATATTTTATTATTTATTTTATTTATTTATTTCAAGTAAACAATTACATAGACAATACATATTCTTAGTGCTGCGAAACTGCATTGCAGTTTGTCTGCAGCTTTGCGCTCTTGTACATACAGCTTTTTAAACAATTATAAACTTATATCTTTATACACACATATACACAGATATACATATATACACATACATATACATACAGACACACATGCATATACTATAATACTAAGTGGACGTTACTGTTATGTGAGTGTGTACTCACACCAGTAACATCCACTTCATCCACAACATTCACCATCCAAATTATATCTAATACTGTTGTATAAAAAAATTTTTGACTTTTCTTTTAAAATATTTTATGTATTTATTATGTAAGTAGGTAGGTAGATAGATAGATAGATAGATAGATAGATAGATAGATAGATAATTTATTTGCATTACTTACTTACAGCACACAAATTACAACATACATACACAAAAAAAGGCGAGATAAAATAAATGATAAAAAAAAATACATAAAGCTAAATACAATTTTCGTTTGTGAGTGTGCCATAGCAATACAAAATGGCCACAACTCAGTTTATTGCTTCGCCCTCAAAAGAGCAGAGCACTGATATTCTGTCGCGGCCAAAGGGGATAGGGTAACAATGAAACAATACTACCAGATTATCCGTACAAGAAAAAGATAGATATACAGTAAACAGACAGATATGACAGTCTATCTAGCAGACATTATATTTAGGTGTTATATTTATGTTTCCGGCATATGTTAATATTTCATTTAATTATTTGTTTATGTATTGATTAGTTATTTATACTCGGAGTATTTGTATGAGTATTTATTGCAATTTAGCTTTCCACTGACGCTAAACATGTTTTCCAACTGTATCGGGTTGACTGGAAGAGATCTGTGTCAGAGATAAGTCCACCCTTGCTGACAATATTTATAAATGCATTAACAATGTAATTTACAAGTGCAATAAATATATATATATATATATATATATATATATATATATATATATATATATATATATATATATATATATATGTGTGTATATATACATATATATATCTAATATATAAAATTCTCGTGTCACGGTGTTTGTTACCAAACTCCTCCGAAACGGCTTTACCGATTTTTATGAAATTTTGTGTGCATATTGGGTAGGTCTGAGAATCGGCCAACATCTATTTTTCATACCCCTCAATCATAAGGATGACCCACCCCTAATTTTTTTTTTATTATGACATTTTTTTTATTTTTATTTTATTATTACTAAGCATTGAAAAATACATACAAATTCAAATTTTCACGCTTTTACGATCAACGCCTGTTTTTTAATCGCGATTTTTATATGCCGCAAGCAGAGTTGTCGCAAGATGACAATCAAATATATATGTTTATGTGTGTAGGTTTATTATAATTACGTATTAATGTTATATTTATTATTTATGTACTATTATTATTTACATATGTAGGTGTATACAATTATTTTTATTGTATTATCTTTTATATATATATATTTATATATATATATATATATATATATATATATATATATATATATATATATATATATATATATATATATATATATATATATATATATATATATATATATATATATATATATATATTCAATTTTTTACTGCCTTTATTTAATTTTGTACGGTTATTACCCTTGTACATTCTACAGTTTTCTTTCAGCTTCCCAAAGGTCGACTGTAAGAGATCCCTCTATGGGATAAGTCCGCCATTGTATATATATCAAATCTTTTAATGTATTCAGTATGAATTATGTACAATAAAGATTTTACAATACCCAAAGAGGGTTGACGTCAGGCAGGTGGCCGGTCGTAAAACTAAAAAAACCATTTTGTAATATGAATAAAATCATATTATGCCGACCCCAAATGATTGGGATAAGGGTAGGAAGATGATGAAAGATTTTACAATACAAAGATTTGGGGAGAAAGGGATTGTTAGTAATGGAGACTGAGAATCCCATTGCTAGCAATAAAACCAACCAGGTCGACCTACTCGCGGTTCTCCCTGGAAACTATCACGGTTAATTCCTGATGAATTCATCATGACGGGCTAACTGGCCTGTTTTCATTCTCATCTATCACCCTTCACTGGTGCTCCGCCAGCGTATCCCGTTAGCGCAGGCGGAGTCACCATACCATTTTCACCCATAAGAAAAAAAAATACAAAGATTTACAATAAACTCCTTTTCGCAGGAAATCAACATGATCCGCAAGATCATCGTGTCAGTATGGTTTGTTACGCCGCTGCTTCTGCTGACGGTGTTCAGTTTACTATACGATGGGTTGCTACGTTTGCTGGAGCAGACGAAAATTATCTGCACTTACGCGCAATTGAAACCTACCAATTCTGGTAAGTTGATTTCAAATCGTCCTCTGCTTGAATACCTTTATGTATTATTATTTATATTATATACGTATATTTATGTAATATAATATCTTATTTTAATATATAAATGATATTTAGAATATTTTGCATCTTTTTTTATTCCTTTTTTGTATTTTTCTTTTTTATATACAACTGTAACTATGTCTCGGGGGACCGAGACATAGTTACATCAGGCAGATCAAGGAAGGAGTTGGTGTCGTGTCGTATCAAGAGGTGAAGAGGCTCGCTGAAAATCGTAGTGAGTGGCAAGAGCTCCACCGACAAGAGTGCAGCTCTTAAATGGATAGATAGATCATACAACTTAGAATGGCAAACAAGCTGACGGCCCTGATGGAAAGTGGTAACCGTCGCCTATAGACATGAGCAGTACCATGCACATAATAGAGTATACTGTTTCCCCTATGAGACCCCCTATGCGTTGCCATTCCTGAGGACTCAGGTGTTATTCTTCTGTACCCAGTAAATTCACGCCATATCCCACCCTTCAAATCGAAACACAGCCATGCAAACACAACTGCTTAACGGTTGAAGCAATCGACTTTTGTACAAAGTCTCCCTCTGGTAATTTATCGTGTCTGACTTGCGCCATCTACCTTTCTCTCTGTACTTATCCATTCTTTACGCCAGGTTATCTGTAAGAGATTGCTTCTAGTGATAAGGCCGCCTTTTGTATATGCACATTCTGTATAAATACTCCTTGTATACATCTCTACTGTGCGCAATAAAGAGTTTATTATTATTACCTTTTTTATACCACTGAGATCGCAAAGAAGCATACGTCCCACCTGGTAAGCCGTTACCGTAGCCTATGGGCGCTTGCAACACTAGGGGTGTCACGTGCTCGTTGCCGATCCTGAGGAAACCTTAATGTAACCTTTTTGAAGAACCCCTTCACTAGAGAGAATTCCTATGAAACCTCACTGTACGTGACCATTTTAGCTCAAAAGTCTGAGGATGAATTCCCTGTCGATGGCGAACGGTGTGATTTTAAAAAGGGGCTTTGGGCGTCTCAGTTCAATATATGTCTGCCATAAAGCCGAGCTCGCATGGTTATGACTCGGTTTGAAAGATGGCATTTTATTTTTATTATTATCATATCAGCCGTTTACTGTCCACTGTTGGACATAGGCTTCCCCCATAGAGGAGGTGTTGCCAATAGTTGCCACGCTCGGCAGGCGAGTCGGCAACCGCAGTTGTGCTTTGGTCATGTTTTAAGAGGAAGGCTGCTACTCAACCTTCGACCATTAAATCCCTTTAGTCGCCTTTTACAACACCCATGGAAAGGGAAGGGATTACCCATTCTATACTTAAACCACACGACATGAAAGACGAGATAATGGAGTGAAATTACAAGGTACGGAGATATAACATCATGAGTCTCAGAAATCGCAGCGTATAAGGAGTACCATGACTGTCACAGTATATTCTGTGACGTCCACGATGCTGTTCATGTCGATATGCTGATCACTTTCCATCGGGTCCATGCCGTCAGCATTTTTGTCATGTCATCATGTTGTATTAAAAACAAATCCGACATCTGTTTGAAAATTCTTTATTGTGACGCAAAATCTTTATTAATTATGAGTGATAAATGGATGAGTGACTATGAATGAGTGATCGAATGGATGAGAATATAGAATGAAAGAGTAATTAAAAATGATGAGGAGTGACTATAGAATGAATAAGTAATTAAAAATGATGAGGAGTGACTATAGAATGAATGAGTAATTAAAAATGATGAGGAGTGACTATAGAATGAATGAGTAATTAAAAATGATGAGAAGTGACTATAGAATGAATAAGTAATTAAGAATGATGAGGAGTGACTATAGAATGAATAAGTAATTAAGAATGATGAGGAGTGACTATAGAATGAATAAGTACTTAAGAATGATGAGGAGTGACTATAGAATGAATAAGTAATTAAGAATGATGAGGAGTGACTATAGAATGAATAAGTACTTAAGAATGATGAGGAGTGACTATAGAATGAATGAGTAATTAAAAATGATGAGAAGTGACTATAGAATGAATGAGTAATTAAAAATGATGAGGAGTGACTATAGAATGAATAAGTAATTAAAAATGATGAGGAGTGACTATAGAATGAATAAGTACTTAAGAATGATGAGGAGTGACTATAGAATGAATAAGTAATTAAGAATGATGAGGAGTGACTATAGAATGAATAAGTACTTAAGAATGATGAGGAGTGACTATAGAATGAATAAGTAATTAAGAATGATGAGGAGTGACTATAGAATGAATAAGTAATTAAGAATGATGAGGAGTGACTATAGAATGAATGAGTAATTAAAAATGATGAGGTGTGACTATAGAATGAATATGTAAATTAAAGAATGAGTGAGTGAATAAGAAATGAATGGATGAGTAAGTGAGTGAGTTTTAATCAATAAATTTTTGTATAAATGATTCCAAAAATAAATCTAAGAATAAATGAATAACCAAGTGACTATAGAATAATTGTGTGATTAAATTGTTGAGTTGAGACATTATAGAATAAATTATTGATGAATGGATTATTGAATGGCTATAGAATGAATGAATGATTGAATGGATGAGTGATTATAGAAGAATAAGAAGGTATTAATTAATGAGTGAGTTAATAAGAAAATGAATGGATGATTGAGTGAGTTTTAATCAATAAATATTTGAATAATGATTCCAAAAATAAATCTAAGAATAAATGAATAATCAAATAAACGAATGAATGATTGAAGAAACAAATTAATGAATAAGTGAGTGTACGATTTATCAAATGGATGAAGTAGGGGGAAAGGGATTGTTAGTAATGGAGACTGAGAATCCCATTGCTAGCAATATACCCAACCAGCTCGACCTCCTCGCGGTTCTCCCTGGAAACTATCATGGTTAATTCCTGATGAATTCATCATGATGCGCTAACTGGCCTGTGTTCATTCTCATCTATCACCCTTCACTGGTGCTCCGCCAGCGTATCCGGGACAGCGCAGGCGGGGTTACCATACCATTTTCACCCATCAAAGAAAAAAAATAGATGAAGTAACAAATGAACGAATGTCCCAATTATCCGAAAAATGTTTTCAGATGCCGTCTTCAAGCTGACGAAACGTATCTACGAGATTCTGCAGAACCAAGAGCCGCGCATGTCTGTCTACAATATGTTTCTATTCGATACGGGCTTCATGCTTAAACTAGCCGCTTCGATCCTGGTCTACATAACAGTCCAAGTTCAATACACGCTGTACAAACGTAAATACGACGTAGCCACCACATAACTCTTTCTAATGCTTATCTTTGTTCGCGCGCTTCTTGAATTTTATATATTTTTCGTAATAATAATTTATTCTTATTAATAATATGCTAATTCAATGATAATAATAATAATAATCGGTAACTAGTGCTAAATTCATTTCCCTTGATCCTATCCTATCCAATCACCGTCGTCGTCTTTACCTCCGAGTTACAACAACCAGTGAGGACGCCGGAAGATTATAAGAAACTTCAGAGCTGTCTTCAATCCTAACCGTCAATGTGACCTCCGCAATCAACGTGCAATTACGTGTATAAAACAAATATTAATAACATTGTTGTGCTGTAAACTGTAAACGTTTAAAGCGTTGCCGCTTTCGTAATTTGAAGTGCTGTGTTAATAGACAAGATTTTAGTGTGTGTACATTGGTGACAAAGTGACGGAAGGAATCAAGGCGCCTGCACAGGACATCGTATGATAGCCCACGACAAGACGGTGAGTCCTTATATCCTTTTCGTTATACCTGCCACACCTAGATTTGTCTCCTATAAAACCCACCAATCTTTTTGTGTAACCGTAGAGCAGGGGTTCCTTAAACTTATTTTGTCTACCGCCCACTTTGAGAATAAATTATTTTTTAGCGCCCCCCCTTTTTTTAACTACTTAAAAACCACTATTACTTCAAGATCAACAAATCACCCCCCAAGCCTATACACAATACCCCCATTTTTTTCTGGTTCTCTTACCGCCCCTCTTTAGGTCGGCAGCGGCCACAAGGGGGCGTTATCGTCCACTTTAGGAAATACTTCCGTAGAGTCTCACATCCCTACTTGATCTGCCCGACATCGAAAACTAAAATTGCGTGAAAGTTTTAAATATACTGCCACGAAACGCTGGAACAATTTACCTTCTCCGATTTTCAGTTCTATTTCAGTTGTCGTCTTTTTAAAAAATCGTTTATAAACACATTTGATTCATGTAGGTACAAAAACTGTGAACTAAGCAGAGAAATTATAGCTGAAGAAAATTGCTGTATTTTTTTTTAATGGATGATAATGCAATGATAATCCCACCCGCGCTATCGGTATACACCGGCGGGGCACCAGTGAGGGATGATAGGTGAGGATGAAGCAGGTCAGTTAGCCCATCGTGACGAATTGAACAAGAATTGTTCACGATGGTTTCCAGGGGGAAACACGTGGAGGACGACCTAATAGGGCATATTGCTAGCAATGGGGCTGTCAAAGTCCATTGCTAACAATCCCTTTCCCCCCAAAAAGTTGTTGTATTTATCTTTTTGTATCGTATATCGTTGTTGAACATAGGTAAAGGCAGTACAGAGTAGCAACTTGAGGCACAATTAAATATGCGAGACCGATTTTGTGAAATACTAGTGCCTGCAGTAGGTTTTGGAAAGAACCGTTTTACTAGTCACCAGTGCTCCGTCTTCATGGACTACACAAATATAAAGCAACCAATTAGTGATAACAATAAAGTGATATAAATTTCTAGAACAAACATAACATTAATCCTTATTAAAATTATAAATAATTAAGTTAAAATTATTTACAAAGTGCAGTTAAATATAACACCTGAGTCCTTAGGAATGGCAACGCATGGGCGAAGCAGTGTACTCTGTTATGTCCATGACAGTGCTCATGTCTATAGGCGACGGTTACCACTTTCCATCAGGTGGGCCGTCAGCTTGTTTGCCATTCTAAGTTGTATAAAAAAAAATAGGTTTTGTTCAATAAGTGTATTAAAAGATTAATCCAATATTTTTTCAATATCTTATTATAACATACCAGAGGGAGACTTTGTACAAAAGTCGTTTGCTTGGGTACCTCTGTCTCATTCGTGTTTCAACCGTGAATCAGTTGTGTTTGCATGGCTGTGTTTCGGTTTGAAGAGTGGGATATGGCGTGAATTTACAGGGTACAGAGGAATAACACCTGAGTCCTGAGGAATGGCAACGCATGGGGGGTATCATAGGCGAAACAGTACACTCTGTTATGTCCATGCTACTGCTCATGTCTATAGGCGACGGTTACCACTTTCCATCAGGTGGGCCGTCAGCTTGTTTGCCATTCTAAGTTGTATAAAAAAAGATGTCCATTCCCATAAAAGACACTTCGGAATAGCAAGTTTGTATTTCTATCTAGTGTTATGATTATTGAGAGCGCTGTTTTTAAGAAACAGTTGAAGATTCCTGCGTATATATACAAAATGTTTATTTATTTTATTTTATTTATTTCTAATTAGGCACACCAACAGTATTATACATGGAATTAATTAACATTTGTTTGTGTAGCATGCTGACATGCATACCTGTAGCAGGCGTACACAACATTGACTACAGATTACATGCATATAAATGTCGCAATATAATTAATTAAATTTATATTTACATATGTTTTATTACAAAATTCAATACAAATATAAAGCAAGACTAGGCAGTACCATCAAATCTACATGGTCTTCAGTGCCTTAAAAAGAATGCCTGCTTAAAAAGACGCATATACTTATACCTCGCTGTATTTTTATTAGACTGTATTTATAGAATATTTATTTATTTTACTTTATTTATTTATTTTAATCAAACACACTTTAACAGTAATTTGACAGCCGCTAAAGTTTACACAAATGTAATACAAGTGAAGGAAACACAAAATTAAACAACAGTAAATTAAACAAAACTAAATTAAACAAATTAAACAAAAGTAAATTAAACAAAACTAAATTAAACAATACTAAATTAGACAAATTAAACAAAACTAAATTAAACAATAGTAAATTAAACAAATTAAACAATAGTAAATTAAACAAATTAAACAATACTAAATTATACAAATTAAACAATACTAAATTAATTAAATTAAACAATACTATTAAAAACTAAAAGCAATATTGACAATAATAATTCTCAGATGTTAACAGAACCATTAATTTTTTTTTGAGAACAACACATTATTTGAGAATAATAAATGTATAACTATTAAAAAAAGTAAAAATAGAAAATGAATTTAAATTAAAAAAAAAATAGTGAATAAAAGCACTGATTATAAATTACAATTGATATATTTTTCAAATATCTATTATACAGCTAACAATAACGTATACAAAATGGCCGACTAGTTTATACATATAATATAAAAAATACATTTTATTTCTGATTACTCTTTCTCACTTTTCGGTAATAATTTTAAAGCTTCTCTATAACCGGTTTCGCTGGCGCCGTGAACTGTACCAAAGTGGTTTGGACTCGTCGCCTCCCCAGCGAAAAGGACCCTCGGTCTACCGGAGGAGTCGGTGAGGGGTGCACCCAGGTCTTCCCTCGCTGTGGGGTACTGCGGGGCTAGTACGTTGTCGTACGTGTAGCTACCTCGAGTGAACGGGTTCGAGTGCCAGGATGATCTAAAAAGAACAACAAAATATGACATCAGCAGTGATTCCCTTTTTTTTAATGGATGATAATGGAATGGTAACCCCGCCTGCGCTATCGATATACGCTGACGGGGCACCAATGAGGGATGACAGGTGACGATGAAAGCAGGTCAGTTAGCCAATAGTGAAGAATTCCACTAGAATTAACCACAATGGTTTCCAGTGGGAACCGCGTGGAGGTCGACATGACATACACTCTTTATTACTAAGTACTGTATTACCCTGTAAAATAAAGTTTCTTTCTTTTTTTCTTTCTTTCTTTCAATGTGTCAGCTAGACTCCATTACTAACAACATCTTTCCCCTCAACATGATTCACCGGTTTACACACTAACCCTCCTTCCAATGGATGCGTTCGATAATCTAGAAACCAAACTTTACGTAAAAAAGTCAAAATAAAATGTATTTAATTAAGCTTAAACAAAACTCTTTTATCTTATATTTTCTAATTCTACTGTAGTTTCATATTGTATACCTAATTAATTAAATAATATAGTAGGTTTTTTTTTTTTTTGACTGAAAACATGGTGGCCTGTGCAAACGAGCATGCTGGTGGGGCACCAGTGATGGTATAGATGAGAATGAAAACCGCATTGCAGGTGATGGATTCATCTGGAATTATTCATGATAGTTTCCAGGGGAAACCGCGAGGAGGTCGACCTGGTTGGGTATATTGCTAGATTCTGAGGTGTTATTTATCTAAGTTTAAAATTAAAATTTTAATTTAATATCACGGATTCATTCATTTTCAAAATTTCTATTCTGAAGACCAGATTTAACTAAATTTCTAAAATATTTAAATATATATATATATATATATATAATTTATACAACTTAGCTGGCAAACAAGCTGACGGCACCTGACGTGAAGTGGTAACCGTAGATAGATGAGAATGAAAACAGAGTATACTGTTTCGCCCATCATGATGGATTCATCTGGGATTATTCATGATAGTTTCCGGGGAAACACAGCCATGCAAACAGAACTGAGGTCGAAACACTGGTTGGGTATATTTTATACAGATTCTGTAAATTATTATTATGTTATTTATCTAAGTTTAAAATTAAAATTTTAATTTAATATCACAGCTTCATTCATTTTCAAAATTTCTATTCTGAAGACCAGATTTAACAATATTTCTAAAAAAAAATATCTAGACGCTATAGTTTTTAAAATATACAATACCTCACAATTGCTGTAGGTTCTGGTATAGTCACGTTACGGCCCATAAACTTGCGCAGTAGCTGCAGACATTTCTGTTCGACTTGGTCGTCGGACAATGACTCCACCTAGAAAATTAATAGTTCCCTTAATTTTTTTTTAATGGGTTAATTTTAAAATGGAATGGTGTCAGCGCAGGTGGAGTTACCATTCCATTAACATCCATTAAAAAAAAAATCCGCCTGCCAAAGCCACTACTGGCAAAATCCCTCTTATACGGGAGGAGTTCAACAGTGGGCAACTAACGGCTGACATGAGGGGGGAAAAGGATTGTTAGTAATGGAGACCAAAAAACCCATTGCTAGCAATATACCTAACCAGGTCGACCTCCACGCGGTTCCCCCTGGAAACTATCATGGTTTATTCCTGATGAATCCATCATGATGGGCTAACTGGCCTGTTTTCATTCTCATCTATCGCCCTTCACTGGTGCTCCGCCAGCGTATCCCGTTAGCGCAGGCGGGGTTACCATACCATTTTCATCCAACAAAAAAAACGGTTATCAGAGCACAAAAGTCGTCAACATGCAGTCGCATGCACCTTTGTCCTACTCGTGTTTCTTTCGTGACACAAAGAAACACAAGTAGGACTCATAACACCTGAGTCCTCAAGAATGGCAACGCATGGGTGGTATCATGGGCGAAACAGTATACTCTGTTATGTCCATGGTACTGCTCATGTGTATAGGCGACGGTTACCGCTTTCCATCAGATGGGCCGTCAGCTTGTTTGCCATTCTAAAATGCATAAAAAAAGACGGTAGCCAGAATTAGAACCTTATGCCATTGATATACTGACCAATATCGCGGGTCTTCCGCTTATCCAAAAAGTAACCGTATTCGAAGCGCCCATAGGTGTGGTGATCTGTGAAATGTTACTTATCCATTTCTCGTCGTCGGCTAAGTTTTTAATGTCCTCTCTATTCCAAATGAAATCAAATTCCTGTCCTTCTGGCCACCAGACGTGCGGGAAGAGTAAAACTATTTTATGTTTGACGCCTATAGATATTTTTTCTATTGCTGTCCTTTTCTCTCCGTTAAGCTGCGGCGAGAATAAAGTTTCGTGCCTGGAAACGTCATTTAAAATTAAGATTTTGTTTATGGAATGCAAATACATTGAAATACAACAAGCCAAGTTATAATGTATAAAGGAGTAGATGATTTCTTCAAGCAATGTAATGTTTGCATATCAAATGCATATCAGAGGAATAACACCCGAGTCCTCAGAAATGGTAACGCATGGGGGGTATCATGGGCGAAACAGTATACGAGTACTCTGTTATGTCCACGGTACTGCTCATGTGTATAGGCGACGGTTACCACTTTCCATCAGGTGGGCCGTCAGCTTGTTTGCCATTCTAAGTTGTATAAAAAAAATCATTGCGTGTAAAAAATATTTTTTAACACACTTAACTCTTATTTGAAAAAAAAAACCAACAGCTGTGTTTTTTGCTCTTTTTTCACAGCTGAAATTAAATTTAGAACTGAGCAGTAGATTAAAAAATGACTATTCAAAAAAGCTTATTATTAAATTACTTGCTTACTTAAATAAAGCTATCTGTTCTCCTTTAACTAAAGCTTGTCTGTAAGAGATCGCCCTAGCGATAACACCGCCTCTTGTACCTTTATGTGTATATTTCAATCTGTATTTACGTTACTGTATTTCACTTGAATTATTCACTTGTCTTTGTATATTTTTATTTATGGTGCAATAAAGAGTTAAATAAATAAATATCATTTTTGAAATATTTTTACTAAAAGGACATGTTCTACAAGAGATCTGTTCAGCTACCTTTGCCTCACTCGTATTTCTACTAAGAAGTAATGACGCTTGCATGGTTGTTTTACGGTATAAAGGGATATGAAAGTGAAATTACAGCTTATGGAGGCATAACACCATAGTCCTCAGGCACAGTAACCCTTATGGTTACCATAGATATCACAGTGCATTTTATGATGGCTAAGATGTTCATGTATATAGACAAATTCTACTACTTTCCATCAGGCGAGCCGTCAGCTTACTGTAAGTACTGTGATAAATGATAGGATTTATTCGCCTATTGGCTCATTATCATATGAATACACATCTGCTTGATGCGAAATAAAATCTTCTCCAAGATCCAAGATGTCTGATAGATACGAAGATATCATCCCCATTCTAAATAAATATCTTTAAAAGCTATGTGTCGATGTAAAATCTCATCATCCACAGATATTTTACTAGTTTTAAAAAAGATAAATAAGATACCTACTAGTCAAATATTACGTATTTTTTACGATTGAAATCTCTCTTTTTTATTACTCTGTATTTTATAAAAAAAATACTACGTACGTTTCTTTTAATACTCCGAGCGACACGGTGACTATGACGTTGTCGGCCGTGTAGGTGGCGCCGTCGGCGGTGGTCACCGTCACGTTGCCGTCCGCCGCCCGCGACCACGCCACCCGCGTCACCTCCGTGCTCAACTTTATGTCCAGTGTCGGCAGCCCTGGCCCGTTGTTGTACTTGTTCTGGAAACGAAATTAATCTTATGATCTTGTCATTCCCCCATCTCTAATCCTACGACCTTGTCATTCCGTTACCTCTGCTCTTACGACCTTGTCATTCCCTTACCTCTAATCTTACGACCTTGTTATTCCCCCACCTTTAATCTCACGACCTTGTCATTTCGCCACCTCTAATCTTACGTCCTTCTCATTCCGTCACCTCTAATCTTACGACCTTGTCATTCCGCCACCTCTAATCTTACGACCTTGTCATTTCGCCACCTCTAATCTTATGACCTTGTCATTCTGCCACTTCTAATCTTACGACCTTGTCATTCCGCCACCTCTAATCCTACGACCTTGTCATTCCGCTATCTCTAATCTTACGACCTTGTCATATTATATCTCAGTTACTATTATAGAATGTACCAAATTGTTACTTACCAACAAAATCTCAAAAAATGTCCTGTATCCATATCTGTGCCAGCTCATGTACGGATGACCTTCCACGTTCCGGAATTGGCAATTCGAGGACATGTCATTCCAGCTGTATGCCGCTTCGTAATCGGATATGTATAGGTCTAAAAAGTTCTGAAACTCATCTATGAAGTCGCGGTCTGAAAGGAGCGACGGATATTTCTGTTCTAAGTAATGATGTATCCTGAAAAAATATAGGGATATTAAATAAATAAATTGGTATCACACCTCCTCTTTACCTCCCTTTTGAGAAACCCCATGCTGTAGTCTCTTGGGAAAACCTCGGCAGGGAGCTCATTCCACAACCTGAGTGTTCGTGGGAGGAAACATTTCTGAAATCGCGCAGTACGCGACCATTGAGTTAAATTGCTTAAGTAAATTTTCATTTTAATATAAACTGATAAACTTCGAAATATCACAGTTTTTTTTATTTATTTATCTATCTATCTATCTATCCATTTAAGAGCTGCGCTCTTGTCGGTGGAGCTCTTGCCACTCACTACGATTGTCAGCGAGTCTCTTCACCTCTTGATACGACACGACACCAACTCCTTCCTTGATCTGCCTGATGTAACTGTGCCTCGGTCTCCCTCTCCCCCTCCTCCCTTCTATCTTACCTTCTATTATAATGTTCATAAGTTCGTCGTGTCGTATCAAGTGTCCCAACATTTTTCCCCATCTGTCCTCAAAATCAATTTATTTAAATATAAATAAATTAAGTGTAGTACTGCTATTGCTTAAGTTACATATATATATATATACTACTTGCATACACCCACTCTAACTCGCCTACCTTGATTTAGAATTATTTAGGAGTTTGTATAATAAAAATTCGTTATTGGCTATATATTTATAAGAGACTTAGCATGTAAGTTATTTTTGAAGAGCTGTGGATTTTTGTATTAATAAATAAATATTTTATTTATTATATTACTAGCTGACTCAGCAAACGTTGTTTTACCATATACGTTATTTCTAGAACTATACATGAAAACTTATCCTACTACAATTATTATATTCGATCGCCATCTTGCAAGCCTATTGCGGCATATAAAAATCGCGATTAAAAAAACAGGGGTTGATCGTAAAAGCGTGAAAATTCGAATTTGTACGTATTTTTCAATGCTAAATCATATTTAAATAAAAATTAAAAATTTTGTCAAAAAAATATAAAGAAAAATTCTGGGGGTGGGTCACCCTTATCATTGAGGGGTATAAAAAAATAGATGTCGGCCGATTCTCAGACCTAGCCAATATGCACACAAAATTTCATGAAAATCGGTAAAGTCGTTTCGGAGGAGTTTGGTAACAAACACCGCGACACGAGAATTTTATATATTAGATTTGACATAAAGTCCTCTTGTTATTATTTATAATAGAGAACGATGTCATTCCATAAAAGTGGCTCACAAATTTATATTTGTAAATCACCGTGTCTTGGTAATCTCATATGGACTCCCGCGATACAGGCTCGAATATTGCGGGCTCCAATGTTCTCACATTGTAAATATCTTATATTTAATAAATAAACAAATAAAAAATAAATAAACTAACCTGTCAGTTAAATAAGATCCCATTGGCAGCGGTACAAGCGGTGACGCGTGAAAAAACTGAAAAAAATCAGCAACAATAGGTTCACTTAGGCACATTTTTAATGGATGATAATGGAATGGTTACCATGCCTGCGCCATTGATATACACTGGTGGAGTTCGGCCTGATAAGAACTGTATTTCATTTCAACGGGAAAATTCGAACCTTTAATAAGGTTCGAAATTAATTTCAGAAGAAAATCAGAGCTGCAATTTAATGCTAAGTTGGTTGCCTTTTCATCTTAGAGGCACATGAAACCATTTTTTTCTGCCAGGTTTGTTCGACAAAGCCGTTTTTTTTTTTCACGCAGAAAAACACTGTAATGTAACACTGCGACTTTTCCTTTATCTTTCGTGTTCGCCCTTTTTTAAAGTTCGCTGCTAATTCCTATAAGTGATAGGAATTTTAAGATGTTCTTTGTAGCGACGTTTTTTATCTCCTCAGGATATAGAGCGGTGTTTCCCAACGTAAGGCCCACGCCCCACGGGGTGGCAATTTGATAGTTAAGGAGGGGCAATTAAAAAATGGACTCGAAGCGATTTTAATCCTCTTGCTCCGGGCCATTTAAATGCAATGCTACGAGTAGATATCGGTGCCAAATTTAACATAAAAAGCAAATAAAAAAAAAATTGTAAATATTTATTAGGTAAAATTTCGTTTGACGTTACCAAAATATTAACTGGGCGATTAGAGTCGTCAAGTAAACTTTGTCGGGAAATATTATGTATAAAAATTTTAGAAATGTTCAAGTGGGGCATGGCACGAAAAAGGTTGGGAAACACTGATATAGAGCGCGTTTTCCAAAGGAGATATATCGTTTATGTATGAATGGTCTACAGCGACACATGCAGTGCTGCGACATCTATTTATATATTACATAATTTATTAAAATTATATATAGAATTAATAAATAAACCGTTACCTGCGACAAGTAATTGAACAGCTCTTTCATCAATGCACTTTTGGGTTCCTCGCCATCAGATCTGTAGAACGCCAGCTCGAAATACTGCGGCAGCACCGTCACGTTGTTCTGGACGGCCGCGTCGTACACTCTGTTGGGGTTGGTGCCGTGGATCCTGGGCATAACACCAGTTACATTCATATGTGACCAGTCCTCATAGACAAGTGGTAATCGAAGCTGTCTTTTCTTAATGGGTAAAAATGGAATGGTAACCTCTTCGCCATTATCACTTTACACATCAGTGAAAGATGATGCAGTAGGGATGAAAGCTGGCTCTTGTCAGGTCAACAGCAGACGAAACCCGTCGTGATCAATTCCACAAGTATTAATTAGTTATTGACCACTGTTAGAACATAAGAACAAGTACACTCAAATTTCCCGCGCTCTCCCTTTCCATTCAATCTGTCAGCGAACGCGACCAATCAGAGCTGCCCAATATGACAACATTCGAGAAAAAACAAATAGCATCGATGGCGGCCGTTTCGCGCGTTCACAACAAAATAATCATATCTAAAATGCTTCAGTTTGGTATTCATACAAATTTATGGCTAAAAGTGAACCTAAGACGATCGACAACCCGTACACTCGTGGGCAGCTCCAGGCAGACTACAACAAGAATATTCCGTAAGTATACCTTTCTACATCTTGTCTGTACTTGTTCACTTGTGCCGGTATTTTACAGCAGTAATAAAGCCCTATTTTAAGTTTCTACAGTCCACTTAAATCAATTTTCATGCCAACCATACTACAGTTTCAGGATTCTCTTTTCTTTTTTTTTTATAAAATAGGAGGCAAAGGAATATGCGGCTCACCTGACGGTAAGCGACTATCACTGCTCTTGAGTACGCGTAATACTAGAAGAATTGCAGGTGTGCTGCCGGCGTTTTGGAAAACAATATATTTTTTTCTTGAAATGTGTATACTGGGTGTAAGAACACGTTAAACTCACAGTTTGGAATCAACTCGTGTATAGTAGAAAGCGAGTACTCATCCAGATATGCAGAATGGAACTCTATTTAGTGGTGGATTGTACGTAGATGAAATTCAGCAGCAGATATCAAACCGAACAATTCCCCAGAACATTCTCATTTGATATGCTGTAAAAATGTGAGACTCACCATTCAGCGCCGAGTTCCACGACGCCGTCCCCAAACGGCACGGTGTGCACCCTGCCCCCCACTCGGTCCTGCGCCTCCAGCGCCAGCACCCTGCGGCCGGCGCGCGCCAGGGTCGACGCCGCAGTGGTCCCGGCTGACCCCAGCCCGATGACTATCGTATCGTAGGACTGGCTGTTGGAGCTGTAAATTGGGATAATTTTATGCAAGATTAGTCGTTATGGGTTTAGTAAGTCGAAAACTTAGGAGGAGCCGATTAGACTTTAGTGATATTTTTAGAAGGACGCTGCTGTCTATTCTTCGGCCATTAAGTTCCCTTAGTCGCTTCTTACGACACCCACGAGAAAGGAAGACACCATGTTGTGGGTGACCATGGGCGGCGGTAGTCACCTACCATCAGGTGAGCCGCATGCTCGTTTGCCCCCTGTGTTGTAAAAAAAAAACACGGGAAAAAACAAAACTGATAAATAAACTTCTTATTTATTTATTTATTATTATATTTTATTTATTTACGCATTCATGTACATAATATATTTAACATTTGATAATCCCATGTTCATTCACGATAATCCCCGAAACCGCTTAACCCATTTTAATGAAATTTGTAAATATGTGTAGTTTGCGCCAACTTGAGAGATAGGACAGTCAACCAATCACGGTCATTTTGCCTCTCCTAAGAGAGTCGAAATGACGCGAGACCTAGGGAGTGAGGTGTGGACTTCAACTCTTCTTTCTTCTAATTTTTAACATATTCAAAAATAGATATCCGACCGATATTGTAATGAAACCTTTCGACATCAGTGTCCAGAGGAACCTAATATATAGATATCAGATACCATATTACCCATGCCTAGCTTCACAGGCAAGTTGCACCTCGAGCATAACTCTGAAAGCTTGTGTCAAGTTGCGTCACTCGCGTATGACGCAAGAGGTCGCCGCGCGCTCGGCTCACAGTCAGCCGGCGGCCGAGCGGTGGCGGTCGAAACTGACTGTTTACTGACATTGCATCGCGAGATAATTGTTACTAACAATCTGTCAATAGAGGCCTCATTCCTAGTCATATATATAGGTCAATTAGACATGAGGCATTGATGATTTTTTAAGAGACACGCTGCTGCTCCTTAGTCGCCTTTTGCGACACTCATGGGAAATCAAGGAGTGAATTATTCCATACCTGGCAAGCCATATATAATTTAATTAAAAAAAAATTAAAGACCAATTGACGCAAGCAACGCCAGGGTGGATCGTTAATAAGAAGACAGGCAGATAAACCGTCCATTAACACTATTAGATAATAACTTATCGTTAATTTAAAACAATTTTGCGACACCCAAACAAATGGTTCAAGGACCATTGTTGATAGCACATCTTTTTGTCTTTGCTAGTAGGTAACAATTTGGTTTGCCAACTGCAACAGGAATAGAAGTGTGTAATCTAATGTTTTTCTTTCCTATTTAAATTGTAACGCCGCTTTATTTATTACGCTATTAGTTTACATGAATAAAGTACTAGTAAAAGATTATAGGGAAAAATTTACACCTCGTGATGAATGCCCCAGGAATTCTGAAGGAGTTAATATGGAAACCGATCTGTCTAAGGAGTAACGACGCCATATCTAACAATAAAATCGCTAATCTCCATTACTATCAATCCCTTCCCTACTTTATTCCTTTTATCATCACCACATCATCATATTAGCTGTTAACTCCAGATCATACAGGCCTCCCCCACAAAAAGGAGTTTTGCCAGTATTTGCCACGCTTGGTAAGCGGATAGGCAACCACAGTTAGCTTTTGGTGATGTTTTAAGAGAGATGCTTTTGCCCATCAATCGACCACTAAGCTCCCTAAGTCGCCTCTTACTACACCCACGGAAAAGGTACGGATGGCCCATTCTATTCCAGGACCACACGGGATTTATTAAATAGTTTAACTTTATTTCATTTTTAGGATCTCTAAAAAGGCCCCATGATAATATTTTATCCTAAACATGCAGGCAAAGCCGTGTGTTGTGACTAGTGAGGTATATAACAGGACTTACGCGTGTGGGACGCTGGCGGCCCACGCCGCTCCGCACAGCGCTACAGCGAAAAACACTGTATAACTCATCTCGGTCGACTGAAGCTGCGACATCTCGCGGTGACCTTTATAATAAGCAGATCCCCGATTATCTATCTTACAAACTGTTTGCGATAGTCGAAAACTACACAAAAAATACTTTAATATATTTACTTCAGGATTATAAGTGATTACCGAGCGATGGTACTGCCTCTGTAGAGCGATTTAAGAACTAAAATTACTAATATGAATGTCTTTTGTTATTATATCACAAATGGCGCTATTTATCAAAGAAATATACATTTTAAAATGCCCAGCAACTAGAAGGCATTACCATTTTTTTATTGTTTAGTAATTATTAACGAAATGTTCAAACAGTCTTTACAATAACAGGGAATTATTCTCTATCTAGTTATTAGGTGCCATAATCTAGAGTGCAATAAAAAGTATAAGTGCCTATTGTATGTTTTTTTATTTTTTTTTTAAGGACCTTTACGGTAAACAATGTAATCACATCATTTATTTTGTTTCTTAATTTATCAGAGACTGTAAAGGGCTAATTAATAAATGTTTCTTATTGTATTAAAGAATTTAATTCGTTTAATAAAGGAAAGCTACACAACTAAGACTATATTCTAAACTAGCTTTTGCCCGCTACTTCGCACGCGTGGATTTTAGAAATAGGAAAACCAATAGTAGACCATTCTCAGATAACATACTAATATAAAACATATAGCTACGAGAGTTTGAGTTACACTTCCAGGAATACATATGTGACAATCTAATTTGGTGCAGTAAATTTTGAGCGGTGCCGCAACAAACATACGCACAGTTAGACAAAGTTTCTAAAAAATATTACTGTGCCTTCTATTGATTTATTTATTTATTTATAGGATTACCAACATAAGATACAGCTAAACATTTCAATACAATACACTGGTGGATTAGATCTAACTGTACTTACATTTATAGGCGACCACAGCGTGCCTTGTGTTTGATAAACATTAAAATAGAATTAAATTATTAAATGTCATTAAATAAATAAAGATATTAACAATATGAATAATAATATAATATAAATAATAGAAATTGTATATAAATTATTATAAATTATAAATAAATATAATATAATGGCGAGGTACATCAACATTTTAATTTAGCCATGAACACAGAGTGACTATCGTTGTGAATATCAAGTGGTAGGTTTTATTTATTTTTTACCAATATGGCGACCGCGTAAGAGTAAACGCAGTGTAGGACTATTCCCCACTAGATGGAGTGACGAACTTTCTATCCAACGCCATCTAGTATTCTCTTGTCTAATTTTGTTTAATGACCTTAATGTTTGTCCCAAGACACCACGCCGGCATACACAGAGCAACAGTGTATGCCGGCTGCAAACCCAGCGACCCGGAGGTCGTCGCCTCCGGAGTAGAAGCCGGGGTACTGGGGTACGCCCCGAGGCCCCTACCTCGCCCGCCCACACATCATCTGGCGGGCAAAGAGAAGCCCCTGTTGTTATTGTTAAAGTATGTCCCATGTACAGACATCGACCAGTTACAATTTTATTACATTAGTAAAATTATCAATTGTGTTTATAAACAAATTCATGACGTATAACAAACCATTATGTCATAGCATTAATTATGTAATTGATAATGTATTATCTATTTACTTGATAAGTACATAAAAATCATGTGTCTTCGTATATGATCACGCCAATCTTCGAAGCCGCTCGACTGATTTTAAATTAAATTTCATTAATCTAAAACAAAGTTTCGAGTCAACTCCATCTTGGAATATTGGATAGATAGATACTCTTTATTGTTCCCTCCATAACATTACAATAGTAAACTTATTGGGGGGAAAGGGATTGTTAGTAATAGAGACTGAGAATCCTACTGCTAGCAATATACCCAACCAGGTCGACCTCCTCGCGGTTCTCCCTGGAATCTATCATGGTTAATTCCTGATGAATTCATCATGATAAGCTAACTGGCCTGTTTTCATTCTCATCTATCACCCTTCACTGGTGCTCCGCCAGCGTATCCCGTTAGCGCTGGCGGGGTTACCATACCATTTTCACCCAAAAAAAAATAGTAAACTTATTATAAACACAAACAATTACAAGAAAATATTACACTGAGAGAACAATGGGCGGCCTTATCGCTAAGAGGGATCTCTTCCAGACAAGTTTTGGATGAAGAAGAGATTGACTGGAGACATGAAATTAAGTCGTTTATCTAAGGTATTTTCCCCAACGAATGCTCAGGTTATGGAATGAGCTCCCTGTCGAGGTTTTACCAAGAGACTACACCTCTTTACCTTCCTATTAAAGAACCCCATGGGGTTCTTTAATAGGAAGGTAAAGAGGTTTCTTCAGGGTCGGCAACGCGCGCGTAATACCTCTGGCATTGCAGGCGTTTATAGGCTACGGTAACCACTTACCAGGTGGACCGTATGCTTGTTTGCCACTTCAGTGGATTAAATAGTCGACGGTTACCACTTTCCATCAGGTGGGCCGTCAGCTTGTTTGCCATTCTAAGTTGTATATATATAATATATATATATATATATAATATATATATATATATATATATATATATATATATATATATATATATATATATATATATATATATATATTTTCTTTTTTAAATATACCATCGAGACTTGACGCGATGTAAAAGCCTTCACAGGTAAATAGTACATATATACCTGCTTTTTTTATTGCTGACGTGTATTTAAAATATATCGAAACAATGCGAAAGTTTAAAATTATTCTGCTATTGGGTTTTTTTTTTTAAATATTATTTTATCCTTTTTTTGTATATGTCTCTATCTATGTTTGTTATTATTGGTGTGTTGTAAGTAATGCAAATAAATTATCTATCTTGGAATCTATCTAAAAAAAAACATTTAATGAAACTACCAAAATTTCTTAATTTTATTTATTTATTTATTTACAAGATTAAATTATTATTAAAGACTACAAGGTTATATATACATTTTTATACAAAATAAAATGGCGACCAAACTCTAAATAAAGACTGTAAACGTAAAGAGCCTCTGAACTGCAGTGAGAGTGTAACAGACATAAAAAAACACATTTTAACATACAAAACGGGCCACTAAATTATACATTTTACATCAAACAAATTTTTAAGTATCAATGATATAAAAAAAATACAAAGAACTGTAAAAAAAACACGGCGCGTCAGCTGTGGAATTATATGTATTACTATCTCAGCAGTTGTGTTTGCATGGCTGTGTTTCGGTTTGAAGGGTGCGATATGACGTGAATTTACAGGTCACAGAGGAATAACACCTGAGTCCTCGGGAATGGCAACGCATGGGGGTATCATGGGCGAAACAGTATGTGTGTGTACTGTTATGTCCATGGTACTGCTCATGTGTATAGGCGACGGTTACCACTTTCCATCGGGTGGGTCGTCAGCTTGTTCGCCATTCTAAGTTGTATAAAAAAAAACTCACAATCTCAACACTTTATTTTCCATCGATTCTTATTCAGGAAAAATGTTCAGTTCTGCTAGAAGAATATAATATACTATATTTCTTAATAAAATATAATAAAAAGAGTACATTATATCAGTCATCTAGTGTACATAAGCTTCCCCCAAAAGGGGGTTGTGATAGTAGTTGCCACGCTTGGCAGGCGAGTTGGCAACCGCAGTTAATATTTACTGATGTTTTAACAGGGACACTGTTGTTCATCCCTCGATCATTAAGTTCCCTTAGTCGCCTCTTACGACATTCAGGGGAAAGGAAGGGGTGGCCTATTCTATGCCGGGACCACACGGCAACCTTAATCTCTTTAGTGTGACTGTAATAGCCTGTTAGCTTCCCTGTAACCGCTCTCACTAGCGCCGTGGACCGTCGAGAAGTGGGTTGGGTTCGTCGCCTCCCCAGCGAAAAGGACCCTTGGTCTACCGGAGGAGTCGGTGAGGGGTGCACCCAGGTCTTCCCTCACTGTGGGGTACTGCGGGGATATTACGTTATCGTATGTGAGGCCACCTCGCGTGTACGGATTCGAGTGCCAGTTTGATCTAAAAAAATAACAAAAAATGTGACATCGACAGTAATTCATCGGTTTAAATACTGACTCTCCTTCCGCTAATTGCGGATCCAATTCCCTAAAATTCAAATTTTCTATTCGTGAATGTTTGTTTGTATAATTTTGCAGGTTTTTGGTGTAAAAGAAAAAAAATATTTAGAACGTAGACAGATCTACATGTGGGATTAGCTGCTTAAATACAAAATATTAATATTTATAAAAAAAAATTAAACGTATATAAATAAAAATCAATTGTCGAATATAAGTAAGTGCATCAATTCAGAAAGGCTGTACATATTTGGTTAATCCTTTTATCGTTTTGTTTATAATGCATAGATAGATAGACACTCTTTATTGTTTCCTCCAAAAGATTACAATAGGAAACTTATTATAAATAGAAGCAAACAATTAATTAACTAATTACAAGAACAAGTATTTTATAAAAAAAAAATTGAAAAATCGTACAGAAATATAACAAATTAGATTTTAAAAAGCACGCTCATATGAAGCCGGAATTTGTTATAATAAATATTTCTATAACACTTGCCTAAATAACAAAATATTAAAAATATACAATACCTCACGAAGGCTATAGGTTCTGGAATAGTCACATTACGCCCCATAAACCTTCGCAGTAGCTGCAGACATTTCTGTTTGACCAGGTCGTCGGGCAATGACTCTACCTAGAAAATCAACAACTTCCTTTATAATCAGTCTCAATAATCAGCCGACATGACAAGTGCTAACTAAGTAAACAGATATTTTAATAGAACTGAGAATTAATAAAGCATACTTTTGAATTAATGGGAAATGTTTATCGCAACTTAGAAATATTTATTCGACATTTCACATAGAAATACAAAATAGAACAAACATTTATTAATCTAAGTAAGGTATTCAGGCAGGCGACTTTGCACATCTTACAAAATACATCTTACCCGAGGGAGATTTTTTACCAAAGTCGTTTGCTTGTGCACCTCTGTCCTATTCGTGTTTCTACCGTGAAGCAGTTGTGTTTGCATGGCTGTGTTTCGGTTTGAAGGCTGAGATGTGGCAGTGAATTTACAGAGTATAGAGGAATAACACCTGAGTACTCAGGAATGGCAACGTATAAGGGGTATCATGGGTGAAACCGTATTATCTGTTATGTCCATAGTACTGCTCATGTCTATAGGCGACGGTTACCACTTTCCATCAGGTGGGCCGTCAGCTCGTTTGCCATTCTAACTTGTATAAAAAAATATGCTACTATCTATATAGATGCCTGTATATACGGTGAATTAGTCAAAACTAAAATTTTAAGAGATCCATAGTATTTTTGTTCTTTCGTGTTGTATGGTCCCGGCATAGAATGAGCCACCTTTCCCGTGGGTGTCGTAAGAAACGACAAAGGGGACTTAATGGTCGAGGAATGAGCAGCAGTGTTCCTCTTAAGACACCACCAAATCCTAATTGCAGGTTGACAACCCGCCTACTAAGCAACTACTAGCAAATCAAAGCCCTCACCCCTTATGGGGGAGAGCTTGTATTCAGCAAATGATAGTTATCGGCTAATATAATGATGATGATGATGTCGAAAGTGATGACCTAAAACCTATAAAATCTTGTTTTTTTTAACGATTCCTTTTTTTTATATACTAACCAATATGGCCGGCTCTCCGCAGATCGGAATCGTAATCGCATTTGATGTACCCATAGGAGTAATTATCTCCACAATTTCACTCAGCCATTTTTCGTCGTCGGCCAAGTTTTTTATGTCCTCTTTATTCCAAATGAAGTCGAACTCTTGACCCTTTGGCCACCACGCGTGTGGGAAGAGGAAGACTATTTTATGCTTGTTGCCCATAGATATTTTGTCTATGGCCGTTCTTTTTTCTTGATTCAGCTGCGGCGAGAACAGAGTTTCGTGTCTGCAAATGTTAATGAAAGTTAAATTTATGTTTATGACTGGAATATATTCACTGACTGAAAAAAGAAGTAGCCTATGCCCTTTCCCATCTCATATAATAACATGTATATTAAATTTTATATACATGTTACTATATGAGACGGATCTGAACAAGAATTGCTAGCAATAGAGACCATCGGAGGCAGTTTTTTTTTTTTTTTCTTTTGTGGCGTTCACCCCGATATTAGGGTATTTTGCCATCGGAGGCAGTTGGAGGAGGCCTTCGCTAATAAGCAAACAGATAACAGCAATTATATAAATAATTTGTTAAATAAAAAAAGAAAATGTTGTCTGAATAAAGGCTTATATTAGGTATTATTGTATATATCAAATTTTATAGTGATCGGTTAAGCCGTTGGCGTTATGAGGTAATCAACAAACAAACTCACTTTCCCATTTAGATAGTATAGTAATAAGGTCCATCAATTATCTAAGGTTTTAATTTCATAATACAATATTATAATTTAGCCAAACATGAAGTAATTTAATACGACTAAAGTCTCTTTTATTGTGAACGAGTTTTTGTAAAAAATACTGTAATATTACCTCTCCTTCAGTACTCCTAACGACACAGTGACTATGACGTTGTCGGCCGTGTAGGTGGCGCCGTCGGCGGTGGTCACCGTCACGTTGCCGTCCGCCGCCCGCGACCACGCCACCCTAGTCACCTCCGTGCTCAATTTTATGTCCAGTGTCGGCAGCCCTGGCCCGTTGTTGTATGTGTTCTAGAAAGAAATCTCTAATTTTACGACCTTGTCATTCCGTCGTCTCTAATCTTATGACCTTGTCATTTCGCCGTCTCTACTCTTACGACCTTGTCATTTCGTCATCTCTACTCTTACGACCTTGTCATTCCGTCATCTCTAATCTTACGACCTTGTCATTCCGCCGTCTCTACTCTTACGAGCTTGTCATTCCGCCGTCTCTACTCTTACGAGCTTGTCATTCCGCCGTCTCTACTCTTACGACCTTGTCATTCCGCCGTCTCTACTCTTACGACCTTGTCATTCCGCCGTCTCTACTCTTACGAGCTTGTCATACCGTCGTCTCTACTTATACGACCTTGTCATTCCGCCGTCTCTACTCTTACGACCTTGTCATACCGTCGTCTCTACTTATACGACCTTAACATTTCGCCGTCTCTACTCTTACGACCTTGCTATTCTGTCATCTCTAATCCTATGACTTTGCCATTTTATTGCTCTATTGTCGTTATAATATTTATCAAATTGTTACTTACCAATAAAACCTCAAAGAATGTCTTATATCCATGCCTGTGCCAGCTAACGTATGGATGACCTTCCACCTTCAGGAACTTGCAGTTTGAGGAGAGATCATTCCAAGTGGTGAGCGCTTCGTATTCGGATATATACAGGTCTACGAAGCGCAGGAACTCATCTATAAAGTCCTGGTCTGCAAGCACTGCCGGGTGCCTCTCTTTCAAGTATTCATATATCCTGAAGATTATGAAATTCATGGAACGTAGGTTAACTCAATAATTTATTTAGGTACCAACTCATTCACTTACGCATTTAATTCATGAGATCGTGATGTATTTTTTTAAAAAGCTTTATTGATGGAATGGTCATACGAAAGATACTTAAAGGAATTATTAGTAACGAGAGGTCATATCCTTTTTTTTTAATGGTTGATAATGGAACGGTAACCGTATACGCCTGCGCTAACGGTATACGCTGGCGGGGTACCAGGGAAATATGATCGGTGAAGATGAAAGGGCAAGTCAGTTGGCCCATCGTGATGAATACACCTGGAGTTTAGCACGACGGTTTCCAGGGGGAGCCACGTGGAAGACAACAGGACAGTGTATATTGCTAGCGATGGGACTGGTAGTCCGCATTTCTGTCAATCCCCTCCCCCCTCCTGTTCTGCCCCTCCCCTCTTTCCACTATAGACCGTTAGGTCTCATTAGGTATTACCAATATAACTTATCGGGTCGAACTCCACGATGTTTAGTCATGGCTAATTTCTACTGAATTCGTTATGATAAGCCATACGCTCTGACTTCACCCTCACCTTCATTCCTCATTGGTGTGGCAAGAATACACCAATAATGCAGATATTACTGGGTACAGAGGAATAACACCTAAATCGTCAGGAATGGCAACGCATGGGGGGTATCATGGGCGAAACAGTGTTATGTCCACGGTACTGTTCATGTCTATAGGCGACGGTTACCACTTTCCATCAGGTGGGCCGTCAGTTTGTTTGCCATTTTAAGTTGTATAAAAAAATAAAAAGTTTCCCTTGCCAATTTTTGTTAATATAATATATTCTTTGTAAAATTTACAAATGTAGATCTTTTGACTGACCTCTGTGTTATATATTGGCCCATTGGTTGCGGCGTGGGTGGCGATCCGTGAAAGAACTGTAAAAAAAAAACAATCAATTATTTATTACATTTCTTTTAAACCATAAAGACGGCAAACAATCATACAGCCCGTCTGATGGTAAACGGTCACTGTAGACTATGGACGACTGCAACGCTAACGGTGTCACGTGCACGTTGCCGACTCTGAAAAAAGCTTAATATACCCTTTTTGAAGAACCCCATACTGTACTTTATATTATTCTCAATTTCGTGTATAATATAGTATATGTCATATATGTGTAAGTATATTTGTTATTTATATATATTTATTCGTTTATGTATGTAATTTTAGTATGTATGTATATCAATAATTACTAGTACGGCATTCGAGTATTCTGACACTTCCCTACGGTTGACTGGGAGAGAATGCTTTTAGCATTAAGTCCGCCATGTACACATATTTGTACTAATGAATAAATAAATAAATAAATAATCTCTAGGGAAAACCTCGGGAACTCATTCCAAAGCCTGAGCGTTTGCGGGAGAGAATTCCTTTGAAACCGCACTGTACGTGATCATTTAGATTCAAGTGTGTGAGAATTAATTCCCTTACACGTATATGTGTAGTTGATTTTTCTATTATTTATTTATTTATTTATTTATTTATTGGAAAACGTACAGCTGAATGATAATCAATACGTAATCAAAGCCTTACTGCGGTTGCCAATCCGCCTGCCAAGCGTGGCAACTACTGGCAAAACCGGGGGGGTTTTGCCAGTAAAGGTAAGGCTTATGTTCAGCAGTGGACAGCAATATAATAATGATGATGATGAAGTTTGACAGGACAAGAATGGGTTTTATATATTCCAGTTACACGGACGATGTCATTGGTAAAAGTTAATTTATTATAAAGTTACCTGCGAAGAAAATTTAAACAGTTCTTTCATCAACGCAGTGTTGGGCTCCCCGCCGTCTGATCTGTAAAACGCCAGCTCGAAGTCCTGCGGCAGCAGCGTCACGTTGTTCTGGACGGCCGCGTCGTACACTCTGTTGGGGCTGGTGCCGTGGATCCTGGGCGCAATGTCAAGGTTGGAGTTTACTCGCCATCGAATTTGTATTTAGTAAGCAAAAAACAGGCTCACCATTCAGCGCCGAGTTCCACGACGCCGTCCCCGAACGGCACGGTGTGCACCCTGCCGCCCACTCGGTCCTGCGCCTCCAGCGCCAGCACCCTGCGGCCGGCGCGCGCCAGGGTCGACGCCGCAGTGGTCCCGGCTGACCCCAGCCCGATGACTATCGTATCGTAGGACTGGCTGTTGGAGCTGCAAATTAGGATGTTAAAATAGGTACACAAAGATTTTGACACCCTTGGTAGTGCGGGGGAAAGGAATTATTAGTAACAGAGTTTAAAAGCAATATCAGGTTGACCTTCACGCGATTCCTCCTGGAAACCATCATGATTAATTATTGTTGAATCCATCTCGATGGGCTAACTGCCCTGCTTTCATCCTCACCTATCATCTCTCACTGGTGCCCCGCCAGCGTGTACCGAGAGCACAGGCGGGGTTACCATTCCATTATCATTAACTAAAAACACCCTTGATGGAGCAGCGGTTTAACGCGCCGCCTTATCTTCCAATGGTCACGATTTCCATTCCCGCACAACGCAAACATTTGTTATTCTTGTATATATATGTCTGTTTATATTGGTCTAGGTGTTTTCTGTACATAATGATGGATAGCTAGATACTCTTTATTGTTTCCTCCAAAAGATTACAATATAATAAAATAAAATTAAATTAATAATAAAATTACAAAAAGCTTCTCTTTTCTTCGAATGTGACAAAACCAGTTATTTGGGTTAAAAAATTAAACTACTGAAACGATTTTAATAAAATTCCCATAGGACCAATGTCTAAATATATTCTTTTTGATAAAAAAATAATTTTCCAAATAGGTATACAACTGACAGAGTTATGAAGTAACAAAATTAAAAGAAATACATACAACCGAATTTAGACCCTTTAAAATTAACCCTTTGAAATTAGAATTTATTTTTTCACAATTTTCATTATTACCAATGGTTATAATTAGATGAATTAACTTTATATAACATCAACATTCTATATGTAGCACTAAAAATTTAGCTGAACTAACATTATACTATGTAATGAGGGTTGAGCGCTGTTGTCTGAGATACAAGCTTTATAACCTAGTTCAGACACAGATGTTTAAACTGATCCAAATGTACAAATGAATTCGTACTTACTTTTACTGTAACTTCCAGTGCTGAGTTTGTTACAATCATGGTTATGCAATAAAGTTATTATTATTATCAGAATAACAAAAATAGAAAAACATATAAAAAAAAAAACAAAAGGAATGTAGCAGTGTTTGTGCAAAGTACCTAACTCGGCATATGTCGCAGTTTCATATCTGAAGCTACGACACTGATTTTCAGTAGGCCCTAAATACGTAACTCACGGACACGTGTGTGCAAGAGATGTTGTGTATAAATATATAAGAATAATATATAAAACAGTGATAAATATATATGATATAATGATTTTTTTTATACAAATACTAAATATAGGAACAATACACCACAACTGCAGTGTCCCCCCCCCCATTCCATTCCCACATAGGTCTCTTATTCCTCTTATTTACCAATTTCCTTTACGCATTTCCAACGTTCCCTTCCTTTTTTCTTCAATCTTTTCCTCCAAACCGTAGGTGGCGGGAACCACCAACAAATGCATTCCCAAAGAGGGTTGACATCAGGCAGGCGGCCGGTCGTAAAACTATAAGCTAAATCTTTTTGTAATATGGATAAAATCATATTACGTCGACCACAAATAATAAATGGGATAAGGGTAGCAAGACGATGATGCCTTAATGGGGCGAGTTATATATACCATAACGCATTAACATAATTCTGGAGGGGGGAAAGGGATTGTTAGTAATGGGGTCTAATGAGCCCATTGCTAGTAATATACCCTATCAGGTTCCAGGCGGTTCCCTCTGGAAACCATCGTGGTTAATTCTAGTGGAATTCGTCACGATGGGCCAACTGACCTGCTTTCATCTTCATCTATCATTACTCACTGGTGCCCCGCCAGCGTATACCGATGGCGCAGGCGGGGTTGCCATCCCATTATCACCCATTAAAAGAAAAAACATAATTCTGGAAACTCGAGTCAAAGTTGCGTCATATACAGAGATTAATATACGAACAATACCTAAAGTTTTACCTACATTCAATTATGTAGTATGACGCAACAGTTCCTCATGTGTCTGTCAGACAGTCAGGCGCTGGCTGTGTGATCTTTCTAGTTTAATTTTATCTACTGTTATACATAGACAGATACTCTTTACTGTTTCCTCCATAAGATTACAATAGTAAACTTATTATAAATACAAACAATTACAAGGAAATATTACACTGAGAGAACAATGGGCGGCCTTATCGCTGAGAGCGATCTCTTCAAGACAAGATTTGGATGAAGAATAGATTGACTGGAGACACGAAATTAGGTTGTTTATCTAAGGTATTTTCCCCAACGAATGATCAGGTTATGGAATGAGCTCCCTGTCGAGGTTTTACCAAGAGACTACAGCGTGGGGTTCTTTAATAGGAAGGCAAAGAGGTTTCTTCAGGGTCGTCAACGCAGTGAGAAAACAATTTGACAATTAAATTTCTATTTACAATTTTATTATATTTCATACATTATTATACGAGTATTACATTGTTCTCTCACTGTGATTATTTCTTGTAATTGTTTGTATCTATAATAAGTTTACTATTGTAATCTTATGGAGGGAACAATAAAGAGTATCTATCTATCTATGTAGACGAAGTCTGTATTTTTTTTAAGCAACTTAGAATAGCAAACAAGCTGACGGGTCCACCTGATGGAAAGTGGTAACCATCGTAATTTCTAATCCGGCCAACAGGGGGGAAGGAATTGTTAGTAATGGCGAGGTTAGTCCCCATCGCTATCAATATACCTTATCAGGTCGACCTCCACGCGGTTCCCCCCGGAAATCATCGTGGCTAATTTATCGTTGAATTCGTCACGATGGGCTCACTGACCTGCCTTTTCATCATCACCAATCATCATTCACGGGTGCCCCGCCAGTGTAAACCGATAGCTACCATTACTATTCCATTACCATCAATAAAAAAAAACCAGCCGCATCAAACTGTGTAAAATTACATTTACACTAATTTCCCGGTAAAAAAAACAAAGTCGCTTCCCGCCGTCTGTACGCAACGGATTTAATTGCTGTTTTCATCAATAGATAGAGTGATTCAAGAGGAACGTATATTACATATAGTTTAACATGATCAGAAACATATGTTAGAGTACATACACGCATTTATCAAATCATTATAAATCCTGGAAAATAATGAGGTATATAACAGGACTTACGCGTGTGGGACGCTGGCGGCCCACGCCGCTCCGCACAGCGCTACAGCGAGCAGCGCTCTGTAACTCATCTCGGTCGACTGAAGCTGCGACATCTCGCGGCTATCTTTATAATAAGCAGATCACCGATTACCTATCTCGCAAATACTTTGCGATAGTTGAAAATTACACAATATACACTGTCATATCTTCATTTTGGTCCTATAAACGATTAGCGAGCGATGGTGCTGCCTCTGGAGAGCGATTTAGGAACTGAAGACGACTTTAAAGATATCTTTTCTATCCTCTAAAAAAGCTGCAGGGAAAAGACCTAGGAAAACTTCTTCTTTACTAATCTTCTCCAAATATAATACGGATGCGGATTACAGATATTGTTGAGAGAGAAGGATTGTTAGTAACCTTAGAGCCTAGATTGCTTCAGAGATGTTTCCTCCCACGAATGCTTAGGTTATGGAATGAGCTAGCTATCGAGGTTTTTTCAAGAGACTAAAGCGTAGGGTTCTTCAATAAAAGGATAAAGAGGTTTCTTCAGGGTCGGCAACGTGCGCGTTATGTACCTGGTATTGCAAGCATTCATAGACTACGGTAACTGCTTACCATCAGATGGACTGTATGCTTGCCACCTCAGTGGTATAAAAAAAATGGGAACGGATGGATAAGGAGGATTGTTACTCCTCATTGCTAGCAGTTACCCTGTCAAGTTGATCACCATACAACTTCTCCTGGAAACCACCGTTAATTACAAGTTCTCCACGATGGGCCAACTGTCCTGACATTTATGGGAGGAAAGGGATTGTTAGTAATGGAGACTGAGAATCCCAGTGCTAGCAATATACCCAACCAGGTCGACCTCCTCGCGGTTCTACCTGGAAAATATCATGGTTAATTCCTGATGAATTCATCATGATGGGCTAACTGGCCTGTTTTCATTCTCATCTATCACCCTTCACTGGTGCTCCGCCAGCGTAACCCGTTAGCGCAGGCGGGGGCACCATACCAGTTTCACCCATCAAAAAAAAACTGTCCTGACATCATCCTCATTGCTACTCATCTCACGTGCTACTGGTGCCCCGCCACTGTATACCATTAGCATAAGCGGGAGCACACGTCATCTTCATCTGTAAACAAAGGGTGTCAGCTACGCATATCATCTGTATTTCACGCCATAATCATGACTCATACGTCACGCACCTATCTGTATTGTTTTTATAAGTTCAACTTACCTAATTATTTGTTTATAATGATGAAATAACTTGACCATTTGATCCTAGCATAGGATAGGCCACCCTTTCCTTTCCCGTGGTTACGTAAGAGGCGACTAAAGGAACTTAACGGTGGAGATATGGGCTGTGGCGTCTCTCTTAAAGCATCTCTAAAGTCTAACTGCGGTTGCTAACCTGTTCGCCAAGCGTGGTAACTACTGGCAAAATCCCATAATAGGAGGCCCATGTCCAGCAGTGGACAGTTAACAGCTGACATTTTTTTAAACAACTTAGAATGGCAAACAAACTGACGGCCCACTTGATGGAAAGTGATAACTGTCGCCTATAGACGTTACCGTGGACATAACAGAGTATATTGTTTCGCCCATGATACCCCCCATGCGTTGCCAATCCTGAGGACTCAGGTTTTATTCCTCTGTACCCTGTAAGTTCACTGTCATATCCCACCCCTCAAACCGAAACAGCCATGCAAACACAACTGCTTCACGGTAGAAACACGAATGGTACAGAGGTACCCAAGCAATCGACTTTTGTACAAAGTCTCCCTCTGGTGACAATGATATTATCAAAATGGACTCTTATCACTTTCTAATACCTTTATTATTACTCTGTTATTAATTTCTCACTAGTTCTTTATAAAAGACTCATACCTACGTACTCTCAGATATGTCTTTATCTATAGTTAAAAGTCCTAATTTTTATTTTGAGATGGACAGTTGACAATTCAGAGGCCACGCCCCCACCCTCCTTGGGTACGCCTATGTGAATGATGCAATGTAAAGAGAGAGATCGTCATTTTCCAACCTGGGAGCTTTTTGCTGCCGCGTAAATACAATCAATTTTACAGAGTACTTACTAGATTTATCGTACTTATATAATAAAATTAGTACCTTATATATATATATATATATATATATATATATATATATATATATATATATATATATATATATATATATATTTTTTAATAATACAAAAACATCACGACCATGAAAGATATTAAAAAAAAGTTTTTAATAAGATTTCATCATCATCTTGCTACCCGTGTCCCAATTATTATTTGGGGTCGGCGTAATTTATTTTTTTTCCTATAAACAAAAAGATTTGGCTCACAGTTTTACGACCGGCCGCCTGCCTGACGTCCATCCTCTTTGGAAAATTAATAACGGTTAAAGAAGTCAAATTAATATTTTTTTTTTTTAGAAATATCGTCTCTCTGTATGTGTGTTCCAATATTAGGAAAAATTTACTACACCGAATTGGATGCGATATTCACAGATGTATCCCTTGATTTATATAGCCATGTTGTTCCGATATAGAATGCCCCAGCCCTTCCGTACCCTTGGGTGTCGTAAGAGACGACTATGGGAAAGGGATACTTTGTACAAAAGTTGTTTGCTTGGGCACCTCTGTCCCATTCGTATTTCTACCGTGAAGCAGTTGTGTTTGCATGGCTGTGTTTCGGTTTAAAGGGTGGGATATGACAGTGAATTTACAGGGTACAGAGGAATAACACCCGAGTCCTGAGGAATGGCAACGTATAGGGCGTATCGTACGTATCATGGGCGAAACAGTATACTCTGTTATGTCCATGGTACTGCTCATGTCTATAGGCGACGGTTACCACTTTCCATTAGGTGGGCCGTCAGCTTGTTTGCCATTCTAAGTTGTATAAAAACTATCAGTCGTTAACCGTCCACTGCTGAACATAAGCCTCCCCTAAAAGAGGGATTTTGCCGGTAATTACCATGCTTGGCAGGCTTGTTGGCAACCGCAGTTAGGCTTAAGAGAGACGCTGCTGCCCATCCTTATACTATTACCTAAACCTTAGTCGCCTCTTACGACACTTACGGTAAAAGAAAAGGTGGCCTATTCTATGCCGGGACCATACTTACAAGCCTTAAAACTGTTAAATTTTAAAACAATTCTAATAAGTCTCCTGATTTCATCCTCACCTATTCTTCACTGGTGCTCCGCTATACCCAAGCCAATAACGCCAGCGAGTATGCTATACCATTTTCATTCATTAAAATAAAGCCTCGCATTGCTTGAATTAATTTCTTTTAACCAAGACAACAGGTGCGAGTGACGCCGCGGTTAATCTATAGTTTAATATCTACTCTGTGCCTGAACGCATGCTTTCAAACATATAAAGGTGACCGCGAGATGTCGCAGCTTCAGTCGACCGAGATGAGTTACAGAGCGCTGCTCGCTGTAGCGCTGTGCGGAGCGGCGTGGGCCGCCAGCGTCCCACACGCGTAAGTCCTGTTATATACCTCACTAGTCACAACACACGGCTTTGCCTGCATGTTTAGAATCCTGTTATTCTAGTACAGCGTCCACTATACGTATAATTCAGAACAATTTGTATCTGTTTCTTGACAAACATTATTTTTTAACTTAGTGCTAATATTCGCGTTGGAGGGGAAGGGGATTGTTAGTAATGGGGTCAAATATCCCCATTACTAACAATATACCCTATCAGGTCGACCTCTACTTGGTTCCCTCTGGAAACCATCGTATTAAATTCGTCAAGATTGGCTAACTGACCCGCTTTCATCCTCATCAGTCATCTTTCACTGGTGTCCCGCCAGTGTATACCGATAGCGCGGGCGAGGTTACCATACCATTATCACCTATTAAAAAAAATATTCGCGTAGAGCCCTATAGTTTTTAATAGGTGAAAATGGCATGGTAACCCCACCTGCATTATCAGTATACACCGGCTGGGCACCAGTGAAAGACGATAGGTGAGGATGAAACAGCCCATCGTGACGAGTTCAACAAGAATTGTTCACGATGGTTTCCAGGGGGAACCACGTGAACGTCGACCTAATAGGGCACATTGCTAGCAATGAAGCTGTCAAACTCCATTGCCAACAATCTCTTTCCCCAAGAGCCCTATAGAGTCAAGAAATTGTCTTTGTTATACATGAAAGTCTCTTAACCGGCTTACCAGATATCTTCTCACTCCTTCCAAAATACGGAGCCAGCGGCCAATAATTTTTAAACGTTCCTAAACAGCTTGGCATAGTCTTTTATTTCGCGTCTTGTTTCTCTTTCAATTATATACTTTTTTTTTATACGACTTAGAGTGACAAATAAGCTGAAGGCCCACCTGATGGAAAGTGGTAACCGTTGCCTGTAGACATGAGCAGTATCATGCACATAACAGTACACACATATACCCCCCATGCGTTGCCATTCCTGAGGACTGAGATGTTATTCCTCTGTACCCTGTAAATTCACGCTATATCCCACCCTTCAAACCGAAACACAGCCATGCAAACACGACTGCTTCACGGTAGAAATACGAATGGGACAGAGGTGGCCAAGCATTTGACTTTTGTACAAAGTCTCCCTCTGGTTTTTTGGAATTGGCAGCAGCGCTCCTCTTAAAATATCACCAAAGCCTAACTGCGGTTACCAACCCTCCTGCCAAACGTAGCAACTACTGACAAAACACCCCAACGGGTGATTAATGTCCAGCAGTGAAGAGACGTTTAATATGATGATATTTGGTTGCCTCTTACATCCTGAGTTTAAAATAAAGTTTTTGTTTAATGTATAATAATGGAATAATAACCCCGGCTGCACTATCTATTAACGCTGGTGAGTCGGGGGGAAGGGATTGTTAGTAATGCGGACTACCAGTCCCATTGCTAGCAATATACACTGTCAGGTCGACCTCCCCTTGAAATAGGTAGTTTCCCCTAGAAATCATCGTGCTGAATTCCAAATAGGCTAACTGTTCTGATTATTCATCCTCGCCTATCATCCCTCACTGGTGCCCCGACAGCGTATACCGTCAGCGCAGGCATGGTTACTATTACATTATCATCTATTAAAAAAAAATACTGGTGAGTCACCAGTGAGGAACGATAGGTGAGGATCAAAGCAGGTCAGTAAGCACATTGTAACGAATTCCCGCCAAATCAGATTAGAGCTTATACGTGAGTGTCCTATCTATCTTTCCCGCTCTAAAATAGTTATGTTTTCTCTTTAACATTGCTAATCTATGTATGTACTTTACAGTCTAAATTTTCACCTAATTTCGGCTAATGTAAAGAGTCCTCTGGCAAAATAAAAAAAAAAACGAACTAGAAACATAGAGCAACATTAAGTAACTTTTTTTTTATAACCACGTAACCAAATTCTTACTTATTGGCACAGATAAGGGAATGTGTACTATCAACAATGCTTGACCTGTGTTATTTTTTTTTGTAGCTACCACAGTTACCTAGTTGTTTTAAATTATCATTGTTTATAATTAATTAATAATTATTTATCTTTATATCTACTTGTTTTTAATACACAGATAATGAAACGAAATGGTTAGTAACACCAACTTTGTTATCGGTATACGCTAGCGGGGCAACCATGCCATTCTAAGTTGTATAAAAAAAAGTTTCCATTTATTATTATTTCAGCCGTTAACTGTCCACTGCTGGACATAGCCTCCCCATAAGCGTAGTTTGGCCAGTAGTTGCCACGCTTTTCAGGTAGATTGGCAACTGCAGATTGGATTTTGGTGATATTTTAAGAAGGACGCTGCTGCCCGTTCCACAACCACCGACTCCCTCAATCACCACTTACAACACCCAAAAGAAAGGAAGGGATGGTCCATTTTATGCTTAAACATAACGACTAATCTTGCATATAATTATCCCAATTTACAGCTCCAACAGCCAGTCCTACGATACGATAGTCATCGGGCTGGGGTCAGCCGGCGCCACTGCGGCGTCGACCCTGGCGCGCGCCGGCCGCAGGGTGCTGGCGCTGGAGGCGCAGGACCGAGTGGGCGGCAGGGTGCACACCGTGCCGTTCGGGGACGGCGTCGTGGAACTCGGCGCTGAATGGTGAGGCTGTTATATGAATTGTAATAAAGAAATGGAAGCTTGATTGGTAGAAAGTGGCAACTGTCGCCAATAGACAGGAACTAGAGTATATATATCATGGGATACACAATTACATCCTTTGTATCACTCAATTAATTACTCTTTAGAACTAAGGCAGAGATAAAACGTGTCCATTTTTCTTCAAAAATCAAAAACACGACTGCCCTGATATTTTTTTTTTCTACAACTTAGAATGGCAAACAAGCAGACAATCCATCTGATGGAAAGTGGTAACCGTCGCCTATAGACATGAGCAGTACTATGGACACAACAGAGTATACTGTTTCGTCCATGATACGCCCCATGCGTTGCCATTCCTGAGGACTTAGGTGTTATTCCTCTGTACCCAGTAAATTCTCGCCATATCCCACCCTTCAAATCGAAACACAGCCATACAAACACAACTGCTTCACGGTAGAAACACGAATGGGACAGAAGTGGCCAAGCAAACGACTTGTGTACAAAGTTTCCCTCTGTATGCATTTGTATTTACTACTGTAATCTTTTGGAGGTACAATAAAAAGTATCTATCTATCTATCTATATTCCCCCTTGAAATAGTCAGAGGCGTTAGTCAACTGTGATGGACCAGACGTACCCAAGCAATCGACTTTTGTACAAAGTCTCCCGAACGGTCTAAAGTTTCACAAATAACGGAATATTAAAAAAAAAACGAAATATAGCCAAAGTCAGGATGCTGTAAGGATTCTAATAATATCTTTTACTTCCGAATCTGTTCAGGCATTTAGAAGTTATGATGCAGTAAAGAAATTTATGTCTAATAAGTGCATGAACCCTAAAAACGTTACATTCCTTTTTTGGGCAGTTCTGTAAAAGAAAAATCATACCTAAGTGTCCTGAACTTTTCCATTCGTGCTGAAGAGCCTTCCTCTCCGCTTCCATTCACTTTTAAGGCACAAATTTGATGACAAGTAATGTAAACTCCAACCTTGACATTGCGCCCAGGATCCACGGCACCAGCCCCAACAGAGTGTACGACGCGGCCGTCCAGAACAACGTGACGCTGCTGCCGCAGGACTTCGAGCTGGCGTTCTACAGATCGGACGGCAGGGAGCCCAACACTGCGTTGATAAATGAACTATTCAACTATTTAACGCAGGTATTTATTTATTGATTGTAAACGATATATATTATAATATGTGAATGTCGCAGCTAAAAGCTGGTAATCGAATAAATTTAATTACTATATATATATATATATATATATATATATATATATATATATATATATATATATATATATATATATATATATTTAAGAAAATTAAATTAAAAAGTGATAATAGAAGGGTAAGATGATAGGTGAGGATGAAGCAGATCAGTTGGCCCATCGTGACGAATTCAACAAGAATTGTTCTCTAATGGTTTCCTGAGGGAACTACGTGGAGGTCGACCTAATAGGGCATATTGCTAGCAATGAAGCTGTCAAACTCCATTGCCAACAATCTCTTTCCCCAAATAATTTGTTTTGTTTACTAGATAAATTTCTTTTATACCTATAATACAATTCATTTCAGTATTTCCACGCAGTAGCGCCCACACCACAACCTATGGGGCAGTACGTGACACAGAGGTTAGTTTACAGATCTTTATTTTGATATCTACATCGGTGTTTCCTAACGTGGGGCGTGAGCCCCAACAACACACACACATGGGATGGTAACCCCGCCCGCGCTATAGGTATACACCGGCGGGGCACCAGTGATAAATGATAGGTAAGAATGAAGCGGGCCAGTTAGCCCATCGTGACGAATTCAACAAAAATTGTTCACGATGGTTTACAGGAGGAACCATGTGGAGGTCGACCTGATAAGTTGTATTACTAGCAATAGATTCATTAGACCCCTTTACTAACAATCCCTTTCCCCCGATGAGTCAATATTCAAATGCATTTATATAAAACTTACTGAGTAAATGAGTGTGTGTATAAATGAGTGCGACAATGAACGAACAAGAGAGTGAGTTTTCGAACATGTAAATTAGTAACATGTGAGTAAGTAATCATACATGTGAGTGAGTAATGACTCACTCACATGTATGATCACATGTTTAATGAAACATGCGAGCGACTAAATTTATGAATATGAATGTAAATAAATTATTTATATATTTAGTTACCCACCGACAATAACATGTATTTATTACACTTCAGGCTACACGAGTACTTGAGAGAAAAGCACCCGTCAGTCCTCTCGGACCAGGACTTCATTGACGAGTTCCTGCGTTTTGTAAACCTGTTTATATCCGGATACGAAGCGACCACCAGCTGGAACGACCTCACCTCCAACTGCAGGTTCAGGAATGTGGAAGGTCATCCGTACGTGAGCTGGAACAGGCATGGATATAGGACATTCTTTGAGATTTTGTTGGTAAGTAATAATTTGGTATTATTACAATGACAAGGCCTGAAAAGAGTGAATGAGAAACAAAAATTAATTAAAACAATAGAGAATAGAAGAGGCAAAATGCTGGACTACCTGACTTTTGCCAGAGGGAGACTGTACAAAAGTCGATTGCTTGAGTACCTCTGTCCCATTCGTGTTTCAACCGTGAAGCAGTTGTGTTTGCATGGCTGTGTTTCGGTTTGAAGGGTGGGATATGGCGTGAATTTACTGGGTACAGACGAATAACACCTGAGTCCTCAGGTATGGCAACGTATGGGGGGTATCATGGGCGAAACAGTATACTCTGTTATGTCCATGGTACTGCTCATGTTTATAGGCGACGATTACCACTTTCCATCAGGTGGGCCGTCAGCTTGTTTGGCATTCTAAGTTGCATAAAAAAAAAACAACCTTATACTACATGACGATTTTTTAAGAGCATAGTAGATGGAAAAATAGAAGGCAAAAAAAAAAAGGGGAAGACCAAGGAATAACTACATGGGACAGATAAAAGAAACACTAGGTGTCATGTCGTATAGGGAGGTCAAGGATATGGCCTGGGATAGAGCTGGCTGGAGGAAGATGCATGAATTAGTTGCACCGACAGGAGGAAACTCTTAGGAGGCTTATGTCCAGCAGTGGACGAATAGTGGCTGAAATGCTGATGATGAAAACTAAGCATGACAAAAGTGTAATAATTTCGACTCCAGAACAAGTACAACAACGGGCCAGGGCTGCCGACACTGGACATAAAGTTGAGCACGGAGGTGACGAGGGTGGCGTGGTCGCGGGCGGCGGACGGCAACGTGACGGTGACCACCGCCGACGGCGCCACCTACACGGCCGACAACGTCATAGTCACCGTGTCGATTGGAGTGCTGCAGGCAACGTATGTGATATTTTTATTACGTGATTTTATGTTATTTCATTCACAAGGTGATTAATTTATGACAAATATTGCAAGCTGCCGTGGGATGCCAATCTTGACAAGCATTGGCCACTTCTTCCCTTCCCGTAGATGTTGTAAGATACCACGGTAACTTAATAGTTGATCAAAACCTAACTGCGGTTGCTAATCCGCTTGCCAAGTCTGGCAAGTACTGGCGATACCCTCCACGCATGAAAAAAGGAAATTGTTGTTTTATATATTTTGCTTGTTGGTTTTTTTATTGGTTTTTTTTTTTGTTTTTCTTTCTTTTATCTCTTTTACTGTGTTAATACATAGAAAAATGTATATGTTTGTATTGTAATTTGTGTGATGTAAGTAATGTAAAAAAACTATCTATCTATCTAATAATATAATCATTAAAATTTCCAGACATGAAACTTTATTCTCGCCAGAGCTAGATCAAGACAGAAGGGCGATTATAAACAATATATCTATGGGGTTGCTACATAAAATAATTTTACGTTTCCCGCACGTGTGGTGGCCAGAGAGGCAACATTTCATTTTCATATGGAGTAAAGAGGACGCAAGCAATTTAGCCGAAGACGAACAATGGTTGGATGATGTGGAGGGCATAACAAGTCCTATGGGCACTTCTAATGCCATTACGCTATGGCTTAGTGGAGATACCGCGAGACTGGTTAGTCTACCTATGTGTTTTTAAACGACATGAAATTCCATGAAGATTTAAAGTCGATTGCTTGAGTACCTCTGTACCATTCGTGTTTTAACCGTGAAGCAGCTGTGTTTCGGTTTGAAGGGTGGGATATGGCAGTGAATTTATAGGGTACAGAGGAATAACACCTGAGTCCTCAGGAATGGCAACGCATGGGGGGGTATCATGGGCGAAACAGTATACTCTGTTATGTCCACGGTACTGCTTATGTTTATAGGCGACAGTTAGCACTTTCCATCAGGTGGGCCGTCAGCTTGTTTGCCATTCTAAGTTATATAAAAAAACAAATAAAAAAACCTGATTTAAGGAAGCTGTTAATTTTCCAGGTGGAGTCACTACCCGACGACGTGGTCCAACAGAAATCTTTACAGCTACTGCGAAGATTTTTGGGCCGTAACACGACTGTGCCAGAACCTACTGGTATCGTAAGGTATTGTGTGAACTAAGCAATCTAGATATTTTATGTAGAATTATTATTACTCAAATATATTTCTTTTTCCTGCGACGATAATGGAATGGTAATCCCGCTTGAGTTATCGGTATACACTAGTGGGCCACCAGTGAAGGATTAAAAGCAGTACAGTTAACCCATCGCGATAAATTCCACAAGAATTAAGCACAATGGTTTCTAGGGGTGAACGCGAGGAGGTCGACCTGATGAGGTATATTGCTAGTAATGGAGCTGGTAAATTTCCATAACTAACAATCCCTTTTCCCCACTGAAATATATATATATCTTTTATGGGTGTAAATGGTATGGTAACCTCGCCTGCGCTAACGGAATACGCTGACGGAGCACCAGTGAAGGGTGATAGATGAGAATGAAAACAGGCCAGTTAGCCCATCATGATGGATTCATCAGTAATTAACCATGATAGTTTCCAGGGGGAACCGCGAGGAGGTCGACCTGGTTGGGTATATTGCTAGCAGTAGGATTCTCAGTCTCCATTACTAACAATCCCTTCCCCCCTCACTCAAATATATTAGTGTTTCTGTTATGATGCAACTGTGCTTATTATGCAGTTTTTCGTTTTAAAATGGAATCAAAATTATTGGATACAAAGGGATAACACCTTAATCCACACGAATGGCAATTTTTTTTTATACGACTTAGAATGGCTAACAAGCTGACGGCCCACCTGATGGAAAGTGGTAACCGTTGCCTGTAGACATGAGCAGTACCATGCACATAACAGAGTATACTGTTTCGCCCATGGTACGCCCCATGCGTTGCCATTCCTGAGGACTCAGGTGTTATTCCTCTGTACCCAGTAAATTCACGCCATATCTCACCCTTCAAACCGAAACACAGCCATGCAAACACAACTGTTTCACGGTTGAAACACGAATGGGACAGAGGTACCCAAGCAATCGACTTTTGAACAATGTCTCCCTCTGGTGAATCATGGTAAATCAAATCTGATGAATTATTGTCTACGTCACCTTTTCTTGTTCTTTTCAGATCAAGCTGGCACTCGAACCCGTTCACTCGAGGTAGCTACACATACGACAACGTACTAGCCCCGCAGTATCCCACAGCGAGGGAAGACCTGGGTGCACCCCTCACCGACTCCTCCGGTAGACCGAGGGTCCTCTTCGCTGGGGAGGCGACGAATCCAACTCACTTCTCGACGGTCCACGGCGCTAGCGAGACCGGCTATAGGGAAGCGACGAGGCTATTACAAGCACACTAAGTAAATACCACAATAAGAAATAAAAAAAAAAAATGAAAAATCAAAGATATTAGCATCATGTTAAGAGAGTTTTCTTCCTGTAAAACTGAGGATTTTTCCTAAGGATATACGAGATAAAATCGTCATATTTTTCTTTTATGGGTGAAAATGGTATGGTAATAAAAACAGGCCAGTTAGCCCATCATGATGAATTCATCAGGAATTAACCATGATAGTTTCCAGGGGGAACCGCGAGGAGCTCGACCTGGTTGGGTATATTGCTAGCAATGGGATTCTCAGTCTCCATACCTTTCCCCCCACATAACCGTATTAGGTATACTGGAAGAGATCTGTGTCACAGATAAGTCCCCCCTTGCCTACAATATCTATAAATGTGTTAACTATGTAATTTACAAGTGCAATAAAGAATATATATTAAATAACAAAATAAAACAATTTTTAATATACAAATTAATTTATTGTTAATATTTCTTGATATAGTCTACACACAACAACACATTTGAGATTAGTGATAACACTTTATTGCTATTTAGAGATAAAAATTAAGAAAAAAAATAATTAAAAAAAATAACAGGATTGTGTGTTTAGAAGCTATCCTAAATGCAGACCGATAACCTAAAATCCTATATAAATATAACCCTTTATATTGTTTCCTAAGTCTTGATAAAAAGCGTGGTCATAATTTTTTTTACTAAGCTAATAATAGTCTTCATTTTTTTATTTATTATTAGCGGGCAACTGGGCCCTTAACTACCCAAATAGTTAAAAATAACTAAAAATCTACAAAATAATATATAAAATAGCCGATACACATAGTTGTGATGTATTGAATTATTTATTTTTTATTAATAATAACTTACACAAGTAAATAAATAGTAAAATACGTGGATCAAATGTCAATTAAAACTAGAAAGATGAAAAATATATTTAAAAAATTATTATAAATTAATTAGGTACTAAATTAGTGTAAATTATAATGGAAAAACATATTGTATATGTAATCATATATATATATATATATATATATATATATATATATATATATATATATATATATATATATATATACGAGGTCTGTCCGGAAAGTTCGTATAAAAGTGTTCTGGAATGCGAGAAAGAGGAGTGGGGAGGCCAGGTAAGCGCAGGACCCCTTCCTTATGTCCCTAACAATGCTTCAGTTCTGGTCTGACCGCCGTGCGGTGCGAACTGGCTTGTCACGCCATCTGTGAAGTTACCTCTTAACGAAACCCCGTCGGCATGGAGCCCGCTTCCGTTGAAGAGCAGCGCGTCGTAATCAAGTTTCTCTCGAAACTCGGCAAGAATGGCCGTGAAATTTTTGCCGATCTCAGAACAGTTTATGGGGATGATGCTGTGAAGGAACCAACCGTCCACAAGTGGCTAAAAAGATTCAGAGAGGGCCGAGAAAGAGTTCGATGTTCGGGGGATTGTCCATCAAGAATTCGTCCCTCCAGGCCAGACAGTTGATGGAAAATTCTACGTCGATGTGCTCAGACGCCTCAAAGCTCGTGTGGCACGAGTTCGTCCAGAATTGGCGCGAGAGGGGCGTTGGATTCTTCACCACGACAATGCCCCTGCCCACACCTCTCTTGTTGTCCGTGAGTTTTTGAGTAAAAATTCCATTACGGTGACCGAACACCCCCCTATTCGCCGGATTTGGCCCCGTGTGACTTCTTCTTGTTCCCAAAAACCAAATTGGTACTTCGGGGGCGGCATTTGGGGGACATAAATGAGATAAAAAAAGCTACGACGGGGCAGCTGAGAAACCTACAACCAGAGGACTTTCAAGGAGCCTTCTCACAGTGGAAACGGCGTTGGCACAAGTGCATTATGTCACAGGGGGAGTACTTTGAAGGGGATAAAATTGATTTACCTGAATAATTGTAAAATAAAATTTTTAAAAAACTTTTATACGTACTTTCCGGACAAACCTCGTATATATATATATTAATTAATTAACGAAATTCATTCCTTAGAACTAATATTAGTATTGATGCGTAGGGCGTAACCAGGGGAAGCGAAGGTCAATCCGAACCTTTAAAAATTTATCTTATGCGTAAATTTTTAAAAAAACCACAAGCAGTAAACAAGCGTCACATTAGCCACAGTTCAGGTTAGTCATATAAAGATATTTTCTAGGAAAATAATGTTCTTTTGAGACCCTATTAATGAATACTAGTTTTGAGGACTTCGTTAATTAACATACTGTACATTTTTTTATTATTACATAATTGTTAATATCGTCTAGTGAGATATCATTGATTCTACTACCGTCAACTTATCTAAAAACATAGCGTTAACGCCAAAACTTTACAATAGATGGCTCTAAAATTAACAAAAATTAAAAGAATATCGGATTTCTTGAGTGCGAATAATATTTTAAAACACTTAGTAGTTTTAGTAGATAATGGTAGATGGCGCTGTAGCGTCATTTTGGCGAAAAAGAAAAGGGACAAATAATTTAATAGCTGAAATAAGTTTATGAGAATTTGGCGTGTTTTTTTCTTTTATGAATAAAATTAGAATATATATTAGTTGAACCTAAATTAGAACTTTAGCCTCTCAATTGTCTCTGCATATCACGCAAGATACATGGCGTGAATATTGAACGTAAATATTTACATTTATGATTTTTTTAATTTCTCAGTGTAGACCATCCGAAATTCCTTGTGTTTTCTCAACTTATGTGACAGTACATAACGCTTCAACAGCTTCTTCTGGCATATGTCGCATTCGACAAGCACTCGGCTGCTCTTGGCAGGACTACGGCGTATTGTTGGGTATAAATTGCTCAAATCAACAATATTTGCGCATGTGTCGATCACTTTGATTGCTGTTTTCTCGCTCAGCCTCCGGAAAATCAAGGAATTGTGTCCGGTCTTGCGGACTTCTATGATCTTGTTCGAATTCTGCACTTTCTCGAACCACACCTGGTTGACCTTCTTCATGTCGCAGTAAGGTATTTTGGCTTGCAAGTTGAAGTGGTCTCGCCTTATGTGATAACGGAGTTTCCATACATTTGTAAAGTCCTGATTGCAAACTTTACAGTATGATTGACTCAACTTGTGTCCGTCGCTGAAAATTAGATCGCTTGTTACCCCGGACGATCTTATCATCGCTTACCCATCAGGTGATGTAAGATCAAGCGTATTCATTTAGCAGTAAAAATAATAAAATCTATCTATCTATACTTATAATAAATCTGTAGAGAGGTCAATTCTGTAGATGAAATATATTTCCAAAATAACTATCAGGAGGTGATTAGTAATCGATATTGATGTCAAAAATGCAATCAGTAAAATTTTTGTGTGTCTGTATGTTCGTTATAAAAACAAAAATTACTCGACGGATTTTAACGAAACTTTGTACAATTATTCCTCATACTCCTGGGCAGGTTATAGTATACTTTTCATCACGCTACTATCAGTGAGTAGGAGCAGAGCAGTGAAGGGAAATGTTGGGAAAACGGGAGAAGTTACTCCATTTTTAAGTTTCCGTCGCGTGTGCAGCCTTAATGGCCACTTTTTAAAATGTAAAAATGTCCACCCGTGCGACGCCGGGACGGGCCGCTTGTAAATAATATAGAAGAAAAAATACAATTATTTATTATTGTAATATAGGTATGGAAAAATATGTTTCCTTTTAACCAAGTACTGGTAAGTTTTATCTTTAGCTATACAATTTTCACCCTCCAACATTCTATATTATTTTTTCAATATCTCATAGGTCGACTGTAATAGATCCCTCTATTGGATAAGTCCACCATTGTATTTTAAATCTTTTTAATGTGTCCAACCCCCGTGTGATCCCGGTATAGAATAGGTAACCCCTTCCTTTCCCGTGGGTATCGTAAAAAACGACTAAGGGAAGGTGAGGTTCGGGCTAACTGCGGTTGCCAATCCGACTGGCGTGGCAATTACTTGTAAAACCCTCCAAGGGGAAGCTTATGTTTAGCAGTGGACAGTTAAACGCTGATATGATGATAATGGTGGATGTGTCCAATGTTACATATTTACAATAAATAGTTTGCAATATAATAAATAGGTAGCTATGTTAGAGAAAATATTGATAATAATGCTGAAATAGGCGTATTTAAGGCAGGGGATATGTATGGGAATGGTCGGTGGACTCCTGATGGAAACTTTTCCGCATGAGCTAATTTCATTCCGAATGACATGATATTTATTATTGATATGATATTATATGACACTACGCGCACGTGCGCGTGCGAGTGCGAGTGCATGTGCGTGTGTGCGTGCGCGTGCGCGTGCTTGTGCGTGTGCGAGTGCATGTGCGTGTGTGCGTGCGTGTGTGCGTGCGCGTGCGAGTGCGTGTGTGTGTGCGCGTGTGTGTGCGTGTGTGTATGCGTGTGCCTGTGTGCGTGTGCCTGTGTGGGTGTGCCTGTGTGCGTGTGCCTGTGTGCGTGTGCCTTTGTGCGTATGCCTGTGTGCGTGTGCACGTGTACGTGCGTGTGTGCGTGCGTTTGTAAGTGCGTGCGTGTGTGTATGAATGTATGTGCGTGCGTGTGCCGTGTACGTGTGCTTGTGCCTATGCGTATGAGTTCGCGTATGCGTGTATGTGCGTGTGCGTGTACCTTAGAGTGGGCATGTGTATCCATTTAAGCATGTGAGTTTTTGTATTGAAGATGGCTATCATCCCTTATGCACATGGACAGCACTATTAACATAAAATAATTAAGATTGAATTCCAAAAAAATTGGACCTCAATTTTGGAAAAATCAGTTATTTTGATTTAAAAACTAAACTACCAAACTGATATTGATAAAATTTCTATAGGACCAATCTGTAAGTATATCTTTTTAGATAAAAATTCCATATTAATTTACAACTGACAGAGTTATGAGGTAACAAACTTAAAAAAAAATTACTACCAAATTCCTCCAATCTCCAAGAAAATACACTGTGACACCCACGGTACCTTTCATATAAGATACAATAAAAGATCTACCTATCATCATCATCATATCAGCCATTATCATGGGTACAATTTTTGGTTTCTAAAATCTGTTAACTTTACAAATATATCATCCTAGTCTCGACATCCATACATCAATAAATAATGTATTTTTTATGGATGAGACTATCCTGGAATGTGAGGCTGTGGCCCATTAATGTTTAGAAATCCTCAGAACGGTGAGGTTGCTCCGTGAGGCTTGTAAAGAACCCAGGAAGCTTCTGCGCTTCTGAGCGGAGCTAGGTTGGCTGTACTAGCCACGACTCATACACACAACGGCCCAAATGAGAGGCTAAGCGTGGAAAATAGTGTCTTTTTCACATTCATGAATGAGACTGAAATAGTAACCACACTTGCTCTATCAGTACATGCTGTTGAGGCACCAGTGGGGGTGATAGGTGAGGACAAAACCCAGATCAATTGGTACATAGTGACAATGGGGGACTGGCATGGAGATTGACCTAATTAGGTATATTGCTAGCAATGGGACTGTTACACCCCAACATTAACAATCTCTTTTCTCCCTATTAACAATGTTATGAAGAGAAATGTGACACAAAAAATTGCTTAAAATTCAAAATTAGAATCATAATATTTCATAAGTCATTTTTACTTTTCTGCAAGTATCAAAGTTAGATCAGACTACAGGCAGTATAAATAATTATCTTGGCCTATTTCATACTTGGTATAATTTTTTTTAATCATAGATTAGGGAACTAGCATTTCTAAATGTTTATTATTTACTGTTAAAAGTTCAAGACGATAAATTGATCGCTTTGGAATCCATTGCGTCGCATAAATACACAAACTAATTAACGTGCGAAAATATTATTCAATTTACTGACCTGTTATTTTTAGAAACAGTGACACAAATTTTTTGATCGTTTTCTAGAGTTTTAGTGGCCATATTTTCAATATTCTTACTACATTGTTTCAGGTGATGAATAATTAAACGTTTACTAACAAATTTTACATCTGTATCGCAGTAATTACAGAGAAAATAATTGTTTAAGCTGCTAGTTACTTTGCTATCGGCAACACAAAATTTTGATTGAGAAGTTGGTATGTATTGACTGTCTGCCATTTTCCATGTATTTGTTACATGATTTCTAATTTTGTGAGATTAAACTCGCCAAGAAATAAATAAAAACTACATTTTTATTACTTTCACATCAACTTTCGAAAAATAAGATATTTCTTTTGTATAGGTATATAACGAATTGACGTTTTAGTTTTTTTTTTTTTTTTTTTTTTTTTCTTTTTTGTGGCGTTCACCCCGATATTAGGGTATTTTGCCAAGAACAAAACGGGGAAACGATAATAGTAATAAAATACCTAACACAAACGAATTTAGAAAGGATAAGGATTAGGTCTAGGATATTTATAGGATATGAAGGATATACTTGTACATATGAGAATATACTTATAAATATATAGGAAAAGCAATTGATGCAACTATAAATATATTCATGTAATATAACTAAATCTTAATATTGTTATCATATATATATGAAGATAGTATTTTATAGATAATAGAATCATTGGAAGAAAGTAGAGTAAGAATAGAAGTTGGGAATGGAACACGGATGGATCGGAGATGATTAAAAAGGGAGGTGTGGTCAAATTTAGAACATGAGAAGAATATATGATTCAAGTCCGCCACTTCAGCACCGCAATTACACGACGAACTTTGTACAATACCAAGCTTGTATAAATGAGAAGGTGTGCATACGTGACCTAGACGCATACGAGTTATAATAGTTGTTGTGGTCTTTCCAAGCTTTAATTTACAAAACCATGGTTTGAAAGGAATATCGGGTTGTATAAGGCGATAAAATCTTCCTTTCATTGTACTTGTTTTTTCCCAATATTCCTTCCAGGCATACCTTAAATATATTTTTGGGAGACAAGCTAGGTCACTACAGTAATTATGATACGGATACATATCACCACAAGTTACAGCCTCTCTTGCAATAAGGTCAGCTTTGTCATTGCCGCTAATACCACTGTGTCCTGGTAACCAGGCAAAAGAAACGGAATAACCTCTCAACATGCAAAGATAAAGACTTTGTCTTATGTCACAAATAATGGGATAAACTGGTTTTGATTTAAACGGATATTTGGCTAGAGCTTGCAAAGAGCTCATAGAGTCAGTGAAAACTATTGCCTTATGTAATTTCATTAAAAGTATATATTCTACAGCTTTTAAAATACCATAACATTCCCCGGTAAAAACTGAAGACTCCGGTGGAAGTTTAATTTTTGAACGATATTAAATTGTGAATGAAACACACCCACACCTACACAACCGCTATTGTCTGGTTTTGATGCATCAGTAAAGATGTAGTGCCATTCATTCCATTCAATGTCAGTTATAAACATAAATTTGGCATTCAATTCTGAATCATTTTTTGATAACCCAAAATCATATTTAATATTAGGAGATAAAACTAAAGATTGATATGAGCATTTATAAATGGGAAAACAGGACGATGTAAAAGTGGGAGATTCTATGGATTTATATTTTTCATAACTTTGTATTAAACATGGAGGTTTTTTATGTTTCCAATAAGATGAAGACGAAATAAAGATATGTAGTTGAGATAACTTTTGAATAAGCGGATGATCAGATAATTGTAAACAACGAAAAAAGAAGCGATCAGATAGATATTGCCTTCTTAAAACCAAAGGTGGATCACCGACTTCGAGCTGTAAAGCATTGATTGGACTTGATTTCATTGCTCCAGAGATAATCCTCAAGGCCTTTGATTGAATTAAATCCAATTTCTTAAAAGCAAAAGAACTTCCTGGAGCTAACAAAAAAGTTCCATAATCAATGACACTCCTTATAAGACCATTATAAGCAAGTTTTAGTGAAACGGGATGTGCTCCCCACCAAACTCCAGCAAGGCACCTAAGAATGTTGAGGTTACGCTCACATTTCGTAGAAATATAATTACAGTGGGACAGACCTGTTAATTTATTATCTAGCACGATACCTAAAAATTTAATTTCAGTCTTTATAGGAATGTATGAGTTATCATAAAGCACCTTAATTTGTTGCGGTGATCTCATTCTTGAAAACAAAACTACACTACTCTTGGTTACAGAAAGATTAAGACCATTTGCATCTAACCACGTTTTTAACAAATCTAATGAATCAGATAATTTGGCAGAAGCAGATTCTATGGACTTCGCAATAAAATATAATAAAAGATCATCAGCATATTGTAAAATTTTGACGGATTTATCAAGGAATAATTCTAGATCGTATGTGTATAGGTTAAATAAGATTGGACTGAGAACAGATCCTTGTGGAAGGCCTTTCCATACTGTTCTAGATAATTTGGTATCTTCATCTAAATTCATATATATTGTTCTTTCTGATAAAATATTAATAATGAAATTAGAAAGCATTACCGGTACATTTAGAGCTTGTAATTTAGTTTTTAAAATAGAAATTATTACATTATCATAGGCAGAATTTATATCTAAAAAGGCTGAGAGGATTGACAAATTTTGTGAGAAAGCTATATGAATATCTGAAATAAGAATGCTCACATTATCTAAGGTGCTCTTACCTTTCCTAAAACCAAACTGGTTCGGGGATAGTAAGTTATTACTTTCTAAAAACCATTCTAGACGGTTTTTCACTAAATGTTCAGCTAGCTTTAGTAAGACAGAGGAAAGTGCAACAGGGCGGTATGAAGATGGTTCAGAAGGTGGTTTATGAGGCTTTAGAAATGGTATAATAATCTGAGACTTCCATGAAGTAGGTATATTTCCCGAAATAATTATGGAATTAATTATATTTAAAAAGTAAATTAATGTCGCATCGCTAGCATTTTTAAAAAAGGAATACGGTATACCGTCTTCTCCCGGTGCAGAGTCTTTAATAGAAGCTAGAACACCTTTAAGTTCTACTAGAGTAAAAGGAGAGTCAAGTTCGAATAATTCGTCAGAGACGGATAGAGAAATATTGTAAAGGCATTCCGGCACATAACTAGGAGCAAGGCGATCTAAAAATTTATTCGCTAAAGTTAAATCGAGTGCAGAACGTGATGTATGATCACTAAAGGCAGATCTGAATCTTTTAATATTATTCCAAACGACTGATGAATTAACTTCTGGACAGATAGAAGAACAAAATCTTCTCCAGCCTTCTAATTTCTTTTTTTTCAGTAGTTTTCGAGTAGAACGTGAAACTGCGGTGTAAATTTCAAAATTTTCTGGTGTCATGTAATTATTATAATTTTTTTCAGCCTCTTTACGATTTTTAATTGCTTCCGTACAATCTTTGTCCCACCAAGGTGGCGAGGGAATTTTCCCTGAAGCACTATTTTTAACAGGAAATAATAAATCAGCAACCTCCTTCATATTTATCATCAAGTCATTACAACATTGATGTTCATTTCCATGGTAAACAATAGGTAACTCCGATATTTTATTATCTAAATATTGTTTGTAAATATTCCAGTCTACATTTGATAAATTATATTTAAGCCGAGGACCACTCTTTCGACTTGAGGGAATGGAAATTGGAAAAGAAAGAATGAGGGGAAAGTGATCGCTTCCGAAGGTAGAGGAATGAGGATACCACGACAGTGAAGAAGCTAAATCAGAAGAACATATTGAAATGTCAGGAGCACTAAACCCTTCATTCGGTGCAGTTCTACGTGTTGGTACATCTGAGTTAATAATACATAAGTTGTAAGTGTCAATTATCGTCAGGAGTTTTCCACCATAAAAATTAGAAGTAGAACTGCCCCACGATTGGTGTTGAGCATTAAAATCGCCCATTACGAGAAAAGGTTTAGGTAAAATTGAAAATAATTGTTCTAGTTGTGAATATATTTGGCATGTAGGATCAGGAATATATAAAGTAACAAAACAGATACCATTTATAATTATAGCAGCTGCATTAATGCCGCTATATACAGGAAGCGAAAAAGAAGAAAAAGGAAGGGAGTTTTTGACCAATATGGCAACACCGCCATATCCGTCAGCTCTATCATCACGGAGACTTGTAAAGCCTGAAATCCTAAAAGGATATCCTGGCTTTAACCAAGTCTCTTGGAGAGCTATTATAAAAGGATTATATTTATTAATCAAATAAAATAAGTCTGATTTCTTGTTTGTTATGCTACGACAGTTCCACTGAATTATTAGGACTTTGTAATCCATTGTGAGAAGTTAATAATTGAGAAAATACATTGTAAATGGCATCGTTGGACGGTGGTAAATTTGTTTGTATCATTTTCGATTGCGATAACACTTTAATAAGCATGAGAATAATATCAAAGATGGATTGATTATTGTCAATATTATTTGATGATAATGCACAACCATTAGAGGGAGCAGGAATATTATATTCCTTAACTATGGCTTCATGGGCAGAACGATCATATCCTTGTTGTGCTTTTTGAGGAGAGCGTGGTTTAAGTGTAACTGTTTTTTTATATGATGATTGAGTATGTGGTAATGATGATTTCTCTTTGAGGAAAGAAGATTGAAAATGAGATTTATTAGACAGAGATGATGATGTTAATACATCTGAATATAGTTTAGAAGTGGGAGGATGAAATTTTGATGCTTCAGCATAAGAAACACAACTGTGGGCCATTGTTTCTTTAATGGCTTTCTGACGTGCATATTCAGGACATTTCTTACTAATTGCTGAATGAGAACCATTACACAAGATACAAGAAACATTTTCCTCATCTACTTCACATTTATCACCTGTATGATTTTGCCTGCATTTATAACACCGAGGATTTGAACGACACTGCATCTTGACATGTCCGAACCTACAGCAGTTATAGCATTGGATAGTGGGGTAAATGTACAAATCTACAGTTAATGATGTGTAAAACATAAATACTCTTTTTGGTAATATTTGTCCATCAAAAGTAATAACAATGGTTTCAGTATTAATAAAACCTGGTTGTCCTTCATTAATGGTCTTTTTCTTAATTCTTCTGGTTTTTAGAATTCTCCCACAACCTATAGGTACTGATATATTTTGGATTACTTCCTCTTCTGTCCAATCTTTAGGAATACCCCTCACAATTCCCATACGGGTTACATGGAAAGAAGGTATAAATGCCTTAAAATTATGTGTTTCTAAGTGACTATTATTTAAAAATGCATTTGCATTTTCAAAATTTGAGAAAGAAAGCGATAAACGGTTTCTTCCTATTCTTTTGAGGCTACCATTCACTATATTATTTATCTTATTAGTGTGTAAAAAGCGACCAAATGCAATAGGATGTAATGTAGTGTTATCATTAGAATGTGTTTCATTTTTTTGTACATGAACGACATAAGGAGCTACATCCTCGGCATTGTACAAAGTTCTACTTAAAGTACTGGGTGGAGAAGCAGGTTTAACAGACTCGGTATTATTTACAACTGGTATTGATACTTGAGTTTGATTCTCATCCTCAATACATTGACAATCACTATCTTTAATTTTAGATTCGAGACCTTTGGTGTGCCTCCTTCGTTTTTTATTGCAATGTTTGCAAATGCGACGTTCGCCACGTACACGCTTACGTTTAGAACTTGCAACGCTAGAACCATCTGTGTCCATACTAGATTCACCCAATATATCAAAACTATTATTAAATGGGATAGTTATATTTGCAGACACCTGGGGGGTTGTCCCCCCAGGGTCTATAGGTGGATCCATAATGTCTAATTAATATAGGTAATTTACTTACCAATATTTACAGCAACAAACACTATTACTACAAAATATACAATTATATATACAATCTAATACACAATATATAAATAAGACTAATCCTTATATAATTAAAAATAAAATTAATTTAAAGAAGATCAAAAAACACTCCCGCTTTTTTAAACGTTTCCCGCGCTTTTTCGACGTTTTAGTTTGATAACTGTACTGTCACTGTCACAGATAGCCCATAATTCTCATAGACGGTCCGGTAGCTAAAGTTAGGTATTACTATAGATTAAGGATAATACCTACGATCCTTATTACTCAAGATTCATAAATGTTTAAAATGTAGATCATAGTATTAGGTTTTCAGTATTCGTTGCAATTGTGGCAAATTGCTGGCCATCATAATACGCCTTTTATGTTACTGGCCAACATATTCCGTCCTTTATATTTTTATATTGATTTTCTATTATACTTATGTTTTTACAATTCTGTCATTATTCTTTATATTTTTCTACCGACAAAAACGTGATAAAAAAGAACTACATTATTAAGCATTTTATTTATCAATCCGTTTCTCTTAACAATTATGAATAATATATGCACTTAGATAAAACTATATGTTGACAAAATAAATGTTATGATTTCATATGTTTACATTTTTAAATATTAAAATTATTAAAATTTTTAAATATTAAAAGTACCCGTAACCGACGAGCGTGTATAACAAGATTGATGAATGTGGAAGAAGCGAAAGAGGTTTGTTTGAATCGAAGCATTTGGCGTTCCATTGTTTCTGCCTACCCTAATAGGAGACAGGCGTGACAGATATGTATGTATGTAAAATTATTATAAAGTTCCTATCTGGTCTGTGGGTGAAATGTACATGTAATAATAATCTGTGGTAGTTCTCCGCCATACAGATACAGACGTTTTGCAATTTTCATTGTTTTTTTAGTACTTATAAAAAATAGAATTTTTATCAAAATTATAATTATATGGAAATAAACTTTAAATTTATAATAACAATTAGTTATTAAACAAATGTATATTGTTAAAATATGGGTAAAAATAAAATGATTGCGAAAAGCTGTCCGAAATGTGAACTTCAGGTTGGTGCACAAAATTCATTTTTTCAAAATCTTCGATATGAACTAATTAAGGAACGAATCTATTCGTCTTAGCATAAAAATTTTACCATCCACACTAACAATACGTGTCCAGCTCTCTGAATAATATTCGACGCTTAAAATATTAATTTGTCGACCAATGTTAACTGTAATGTATTTTCTCTGTTAATAAATTTGTTTCGTTTAATTAATAAAAGAAAATTATGCTAATATTAATAATAGGTCTATTAGAACATTCTACCTCATAATAATATATATGTTAACATATATTTATATAGATAGATAGATACTCTTTATTGTTTCCTCCAAAAGATTACAATAGTAAACTTATTATAGATACAAACAATTACAAGAAATGATCACAGTGAGACAACAATGCGTGGGTGGTGGGTACTAATGCAATAATCATTAATAAACTAAGGAAATTATTTAATATGGATGAGAGGTTTAAATATAAACAATTATTATTATTATTATGTAAATTTCTTTCTTTCTTTCTAAATAATTATTTAGTAGCTAAAACGACAATATTAAGAAATTTTGTCTGTCTAAGCATTTCTCTGTAAACTGGGCAATTTTTTTTTTTTTTATATAACTTAGAATGGCAAACAAGCTAACGGTCCACCTGATGGAAAGTGGTAACCGTCGCCTATAGACATGAGCAGTACCATGGACATAACAGAGTATACTGTTTCGCCCATGATACCCCTCATGCGTTGCCATTCCCGAGGACTCAGGTGTTATTCCTCTGTACCCAGTAAATTCACGCCATATCCCACCCTTCATTCTATGTTGTATAAAACGTATATTTATGTAATATAATATCTTATTTTAATATATAAATGATATTTAGAATATTTTGCATTTTATTTGATTCCTTTTTTGTATTTTTTAGAATGGCAAACAAACTGACGGCCCTGATGGAAAGGGGTAACCGTTGCCTATAGACATGAGCAGTACCACGGACATAATAGAGTATAATGTTTTGCCTACGATACCCCCCATGCATTGCCATTCCTGAGGACTCAAGTGTTATTCTCTGTACCCAGTAAATTCACGCCATATCCCACCCTTCAAACCGAAACACAGCCATGCAAACACAACTGCTTCACGGTTGAAACACGAATGGGACAGAGGTATCCAAGCAGTCGACTTTTGTACAAAGTCTCCCTCTTTTTGTAATATGGATAGAAAACATAGTATGGCGCACCCAAATAATAATTAGGATAAAGGTAGGAAGATGATGTTTAATAATAAATTTAGTTTTATTTTATTAAGTGGACAAACTCACTAACTAATAACTAACTTAGGCTGGACCCAAATTATTTATTTATTTATTACATTACATCTACTGGAGGAGCTTTATAACCTTCCAATACGCTCAGAAAATCATCAGTATAATGACATATATAAATAAGGAATAATACACATAAATAAATTTAATTTCTAAATTTCTGCACACAAACACCTTGTGGTCATTCGACGAAACTCCAGCAAGTTGGTAGCAAATACATCCAATTGCGGATGCCGGTTCCCTCTGCGGATAGTTTTCTCAGATTTGTACTAGTTTAGAGAGCATCCGAGAGCATCTAGGCAGGGATAATCTGGGTTTAAAAATTTAAAACAAATTTTAGAGATGGCAACCCTGATTCTGATCAATTTTGAACTGTTTCCAATGACTACATCAACAGCGGAGATCAGCACTATAGTAAGGATCTGATCTTAAACAAATTCACATAGGTTGCAGTGGCTTCAAAATCCTGCAAATGCGGCCACACATTTTTCGCGGCTCGAAGAACCATGGAGTGTCTACCCGCCTCCGAGGACATACGTAGAAGAACGGGCCGCGTGAGACGCTCTCAGCCGCAGTTCTATGACGCTCAGCATTATCAAAAGCAAATCAAGAAAAGGGTAAGCGGCACTGACTGTCAATAAATTATTTAATTACCATTATACTATTAAAGATGCGAGATGAGACTTCATGTCACGCAATTAATTCATTACGCTATCCAAAGTTGCTGGTTCACCAGAACACTTCTTAGTAGTAGGAGAGGAAGACTTGCAGAACTCACCAGCCAGTCTTGGATATGTTGGCACATGATAAATCAAACTGTTCACGACACGCTCTGCACTGAACGCCATCATTAAACTCAACGTAACACAACGCACACTTCATTGTTAAAATTGATGTTGAATGCGGGGAAAGGGATTGTTAGCAATGGAGTTTGACAGCCCCATTGCTAGCAATATACCCTATTAGGTCGACCTCCAAGTGGTTCCCCCTGGAAACCATCGTGAACAATTCTTGTTGAATTCGTCACGATGGGCTAACTGGCCTGCTTCATCCTCACCTATCATCCCTCACTGGTGCCCCGCCTGTGTATATCGATAGCGCTGGTGGGGTTACCATTACATTACCACCTACTAAAAAAAAAATTGATGTTGAATCAAAAGCCAATTTTATAAACAAATTATAATTTTAAAAAGTAAACGAGTCCTGCATTTACGTTAAATTCAATTAAACGTCACGCCTCTGAGAGAGCACGGGCCTGACTAATTATTATAAAAA